TATGCTAGATTTTGGTACAACAAAGCCTCCCTACAACTTCTTCACCTTTTGCAACCCTTCCCCCCCCCCCCCCCCCCCCCCCCTTTTTTTTTTTTTTTTTTTTTTTGGTTTTGTTCCTAGTAGTACGATTTTTCTACCAAGAACGCAATCTGATAATAGTTCCAGGTACTTTGGGTACGCTGATGCCGCACTCAAGACAGTTAACAGCGTGCTTGGGTACATGCCCACGGTTCCTCATTGGGGTTGGAATGGCAACGCTCGTCGCTACTGGGATAACATGTAAGTCGCAGCACACCGAACAGGTGTTTTCTAAGAGAGTAACACTGACATTGAGTAGATATGGCGGAAAGCTTCGCAGGATCGAGCGCCAGATACACCACTATGGCTCCGGTCTCAACGCCTTGGTTTTGCTTTCAGCCTTCCGTAGTAACCCTTCAGACACGTACCTGATCCAGACGGGTTACGGTGGTACAAGCGGGCCACTCTCCAGTATCAACCAAGACGGGTTCGCAGCGGCGTCGTTCCACTCCTGGCCCGATACTCTGAAGTGGGATGGTATCAGCGGCGATTATGGCCCGAATTTTGTCGGGTTGGCTTTGGGCTCTGGAACCTACGTTGTTCAAGATAATGACCTGGGATTGGTAGCCTATGGAGGTTCGCTGACCGTAGATGGAACAGTTGCCCGCGTTGAGACGCGAGATGCAGTAAGGCGGAAGGTTTTCGTTGGCCCTCTTGGAGTGCTGATCTCCGTTGATGCTGGTATAATCCAGGAAGTCGGTTATGACACCAAGGACCATGGCAGTCTTTCAATCACACTGGCACAGCTAAATAACGGACCGAGTGCTGCCGCGGTGGTGCTGTGGGTCGAAACTACATCAGGTTCGAATTCGTACAAAGTCCGGACATCTGGAATCGATCAGCTTCGTGGTGGATGGCGAGTGCCTCTCGGCCAGAAGTCTGCGACCGTACAGCTGCAAAATGTAGCCTAAGATGTGCCTTGGGTGTACTCACTCATTGGAAAGACGTTGATATTGGAATCCATTCTCGATGGCTAACACCGAGTGAAAGCGTGGCATTCGCGCTTAATATTCTACATACTTTCTTACATATCTTAAGTCCAATACAATCCCAGAGAGATATACAGGGACACTTGATTGCATATTCTGCTTTATTGTGTGATATGAAGTGGTGACGGCGGCCCCGAACTTGTCGTCTATGCTATGAGTCAACGCAGTTTGTCGCCGTGTTCACGCCGCCCGGGGGCCGATGTGCCCCACCATGCCGCCGGGCCTAAACCCCGCGATACAGCCCTCGACGCGTAGATAGACCAAAGACGCGTCTCAACACCAAATTGATGGTGTGAAGAGGTTAAGTTAATTCCTCCACGAAGAGCCGAGACCGCAGCTGCACACACCCAACGACCCTCAAACCTAAGCTCGAGAACAATCAACGAGAATCTTGTTCGGCCCTCGTGCCGTCGTTCGTCGGCCCACCGTTGCCACCGCTGTGCACTGTACACACCATGGCGCCGCCGACCATTCTAGCCCACAAGTCTACGTTCCTGGCCGCGCAAACGCTGCAGCTGTCTCGAGGTCTTGCCCCCTCGCATGCTTGGCGGGCGGCCAATGAGGCAGCTGAGGACGGCATCCCCAGCCGCGCTGTCGAAGATGCGCTATACCGGCTCAACAACGCACTGCAGCAGCATGTCAAGAGGGTCTACCCGCTGCAGGCGACCCGACACGTGGCCGAGCAGATCGACTCGCTCTTCCTTGATGGTGGCGGGAGGGATGGTGACGACGATGACGAGGATGGACTAGAGGGGGAAGAGTCTCTGAGGGAGGGAATCGATCTCGGTACGCAGTTGCTTTCTGTTCCCCAGTCACCTTGACAAATTACACAGGCTTGCTTACCGCTCTATATTGTACCACAGCAACCGACCACGCAATCGCCTCGCTACCCCCAACCTGGGACGCCCACGCTCCGGCCGAAGCCGAGGCCCAACCCCCAGAGGCACACCGTTACGCCGAGCTGCAGTCCTCGCTGACATCGCTGTCCGCGCGCCGCGCCGAGATCACTGCCCGCGTCGAACGGCTGCGACACATGCGGGCTCTCCTCGAGCCTTTCCAAGAAAACAATGTCCAGGAGAACCTGGTCACGCGGAACGGCGAGGTCGAAAAGGAGCTCGAGCGCATGCGCTTCTTGCTCGTCCGTGTTGCTGGCAGGATTGGGCAGTTACCGGATCCTGCTCGGGACGCCGAGACCGACGACGATGTCCCGATGGAGGACCTGGACGAGTTGGAGAAAAAGAAGGTGGATGCGCTACTCGATACCTTGTGACCCTGTCTACCTGACATTTGTTCCGGCTGCCCATCCCTTTTGGCTTTTAAGAGGCGTTTGGCGTCATGATACCCCGAAGTATGGTTGGTTATGAGGCCTGGTTTTGTTTTGCATTGTCATGTTTGGATAGATCTTCATAGATCTTTGGAAAAGTTTACACCATCACGTAACAGACATCGGGACTAGAGTAAAACCTTTCAGATGAATGCTAATGATCATTCTGCATAATGCTAATCCGACAATAGTCTGATCCAATGTTAAGGATGCTCTCAATCTGCCTACAGCAAAACCCGAACACCACAGTGGTTTAGGCTGGCTCCAATCTCAATGGACCCGTTATCGCGGTGGTCGTAGTCCCTCATTCGGCACGATACTCTTCTTCCTGCGCTCGTGATCTCCGATAAGCGTAGCATCCTTGGAGGAGTCATCAACATCGAGACCCTTTTCCATGTCAACACCCTGTTCTTCCCCCTCTGAATCCTCTCGGCTGCCTCTATGGCTGTTCCCCTGGCCGTTGTCCTTCTCCCGGGGTGCATCTTTAGCATTCTCGTGGCCGGTCTTCTTCACATGTGGATTTGGTCGAACGACACGCAGTCTCACCATCTCCTTGTCCTTGTCCTCCTTGGCTACCTTGTGGTATATACGTAGACCAACAGTGACGACTGCGTTCCAAGGACTGCGTAAAAACTCGTCGTTGTCATCATCGTCTTCTTCTTCTTTCTCCGCTTCATCTGAGGCTGTAGGTTGTGCAGCGACCGGCGGTGGAGGTCTCGCGCGAGCTTCAAGTTGATATTGGAGCTCATACTCAAGCTCGCGGTCTGAAATGTCGGCGACGGATGAAATATCTGATTCATCAGACGAAGAATGGATCTCAGAGTCAGTCTCAGGTGAAGGAGGTTCAGCTGCCTTCTTGGTGTTACGGTCCTCCCTGTCTTGATTCGTGTGGCTGGTTTGTGCCTCTAATGCTTTGGTCGTCTGGCCTTTGAAAGTTGAGCTCTGGGGCTCAGAAACAACACCGGACGAGGAAGAATCGACTGAGTAAGGGGCCGCTGCGGCAGTCGCGAGCTTAGTCGCCCACTCCGTTGGAACACCGGACGCATCTGAGGTTTGCGGCACTGGAGTCGTATCAAATCCTGGATCAGGTGCTACGGGTGTTGACTTTTCCGATTCTACCGAGTTCATGGTCGCATTCGTATCCTGACTAGGCTTGGAAGTCTTGAGGGGAAGTTCTTTCTGCGAATCCCCAGGGCCTGGGGTGGAACCAGGTGTCAATATCTGGACACGTCTTCCTGTTTGGAGGGGGTCCTGGGTAGCCTCGGAGTCCTCAATGTCCTTGGCACCTCGCATGGCTTTTTCCCGTTCGGCCTTTTGGTATTTCCTGAGTTGCACCTTCGCTTTGGCCTTGGCCTTATTTTCCCGCCTTTTATTCTGCTCTTTGACATTGTAGTAATGGTTCCGCTGTCTAATATTCATTAGCTTCTTTTTCAGCTCCTCTTTTTGTTTCTGTTCCTTCCGCTTCTCGACATCTTTCCTCGCCCTTCTCTCCTCCTCACTTTCAATAATCTTTCCTTTGCCTTTGAGTGTGCTGTTAGTGAATTACACTTATTGGTGCTAGAGCCTCTTGCGTTCGATGGCAATAAACCAGATATAATGAGCCTGACTTACTGTGAGCCAAGTCGTACGACATTCCAACAGCAACAAGCTTGTCTCGACGTTCTCGTGCGTAGTTTCGTACAACCTCCTCTATTGGTAGTAGTCCCATGTCGCGCGTAGCGTTGATCTTGAGCAACACCGTATAGTCGCCCGCCTCGAGCTTTAGTTCCACATTGACACTGCGCTTCTGACAATAGGGGTTGATGCTGCGGACGACATAGTCTTCCTGGCCAGTCTTGTGTAGACGAAAGTTGAGTTCGAAACGGTACTGTCCTTCTAGCCCGCGGTAGTAACGATCATCTAATTGAGAGAGGACAAGAACGACCGGGCCACTTTTGGTCAAAGAAAAGGCGAACTGGGTGTCATGATAATCAAGAGTCCATGGAACGGAGAGTGTCGTCCAGAGGGAAGTGACTTTCCATTCTGGACCAAACAGGCGAGTTCGATCAAATGCTTGGTATTTGCGAAGAAGATCTTTGTACGAGATCCAAAAGGAGCCGTCATCGCCGAAGCGATGATTAAGCTTGAGTAGCCATTCAGCAGTCCATTCTTTAGATCCATCGCTCCACGGCCCTTTCCACTCGCCTTTGCCCCAGGGGTTCTGCAGGAGCAGGAGACGATGGCCGTCGACTTCGACAGCCCGCATGACGGAGTAGGCGTGTAGCTCAAGGATACCTCGGCGTTCGCCCCAGCCGATTCCCCACATGCCAGTCGAGCAACCGAAGAGAAACTCCTCGTTGACTTTCATAAGTTCTTCCTTCCAGAAATACTCCGTATCAAGGATATCGCTGGTGTAGAGCTCACTGGTGACGCCACCTGTGAGATCTTCAATTCCTTCCCCAGTGAAGCCACCTTCAATCGCCGCAAAGTCACCATGGGCCTTGGCATATGCCTTCTCCAGCAGAGGTACCCAAGTTTCGTCTGGATGGACGCACTGAGCAAAGTACAGAGAACCCGACCCGCTCTGGTATGCTTTGCGGTATTGCTCCTCGGACTCGACCCGCTCTCTGTCTTCCCAGAGCACTCGTTCGAGAAAGCTTTCCTCGAAGTCCGGCTTGGTCAGGAACAACTTGTCGTCAATGATCTCGGAGATCCACTCGCCGTCTCGGTGGAAGACGAAGCCGTAGACGCCGACCTGCTCATCGCGAGCCACGCAACACCGCTCAATCAGACTAGGTTTGTTGCTGAGCGTGCAAAGAGCCGCGAGCAGCCAGCAATCCCCATCCCTGCCCTGTCTTACATCGCTGGCCGTTGGTCCGTCGATGTAGAACCTAGGGTTTTCAAAGATATCGGGCACTCTCTTGACGCTTTTGGGCTTGAATTTGGACTGTAGGGGATTCCTAAAGTTGTACAGGGTCTCAAGTGTGTCTCGCTTGCCCCATTTCAAGTCCCACTCAAGGTCAAAATGGGGGTCTCTGTACTTTTGGTTGACACGGCGACATTCCTTGACGATTTTGGCCACCTTGGCCTGACAAACTGCGGCAGCTTCGTCGTAAGATGCCTGCGTTGTGATTCCTGCAGTTTGGTGCGCGTGCTTGGCTGCCAGGTCAACGTAAGAGTTGTGAGGAATAACAGTAGTGGCTATAATCTCGTAAGTTATTACTCATGGGACATGTCTAATACATGGGATAGGCCAATAAAAAAAGAGCCGGGCCAAGTGTCTTCGAACGATGCACCTTGCATACCTTTTCCAGGTGCTTTGGTTGTAAACTTGGCCCAAAACTCGTCAATAGTGTCTTGCGGAGTCTTTTGCTTGATCTTTTTAGGCATTTTTGCTGTAGATACTGGCCTCTTGGCAATGGCAGTACGTGCGACAGGCGCAATGTCGTCGTCGCGTTCTAGGTAAACTGATTCCGAGGATGTCGATGATGTTACAGACATCTTAGGCGACCGAGGGCGTGGCACTTTTACTTCTGCACTCTATGTTTAATTGGAAGGGAAGCCTCGCTAACTAGATCATTGCCTACCTAGGCAAGTACTTACTCGGTAGATATAGGTAGAGAAAGAATGGCTTTGGACTGGTCGCACAACGTGAAGCGCTCTGTACAGCTGTAGGGTGGTTGTCAATTCGACGTGTAGCGTACCTAGGTGGGCTGAGCGTTGGCGGAGCTTTCCGTCAGTTGATTCAGAAGCAGGAGGAGCAACTAAATAGCTTACACAACATGGAAGTCCAGAAGGACATAGAAACGACCAGCGGAAAGAAACAGATCATTTGTAGCCGCAGCCCTCTCGCCGATCCAGTAGTCGCCTCCGTCTGACCAGCATCGGCATCGTTCGTGCCCGCACGTCTTGCATTTGACCAGTAAAATCAAGTCATTTAGATGAGTTCTGACCAATGATTTCTTTAGGCTGTCTTTCGCCCACATCATGCAGTCAGACCCGAGGCTGAGGATTTGCCAAACGGCGCAGGTGCAGCAGCTTCATACGCGGCTAACATCAGCCCCACGTTAAGCCTTCCCATCCTTGAATTTGGGGGCCAAAATGCCTGACAGCAAAGATGCAATTGAAGCCAATGGACTACCAAACATGAAGAGAAACAAGACAGCTAGGCATTCATGGCACTTGAGGCGGCCAAGGCGTGGAACGAATTCCCTTCAAATGTATTCAAGCGGAGCAATTTTACCAAGGCTGTGCTGCGGGTCATCTCAGCTTGCAAATTACAAACCAGTCCACCAATACGTGTCCTCGACACTGAACGTTGCCTCCACCATCTTTGCGCTCTCCCCCCCACTGCTATCGCCTACGATGACCTGATAGTCACCGGCCTCCACGCACCACTGGTCCCGCTCCTCATCCCAGTATGCTGCAGCGTACTTGGAGTCCACTTCGATTGTTACTGTCTCGGCTTGCCCAGGTGCGAGCTCGACCTTTGAGAAGCCCTTGAGCTCCTTGAAAGGACGGTTGACTTTGGACTTCTGTTTCGGAGCGACGTATACCTGGGCCACTTCTGCTCCGCGGACTTTGCCTGTGTTCGTAACTTTGACGGTGACCGTGATCTTGCCGCCCTTCTCGACAACAGAGAGGTCCGAGAATGCAAACGTCGTATAGCTCAACCCGTGACCAAAGGGGAACAAAACTTCCCTCTGAGCATACTCGTAGTATCGATATCCAATATAGATGTCTTCCCCGTAGAGTACACGACCACCCTCAGTTCGGTAGTTCAAGAATGCTGGGTTATCCTGTACCCTTACAGGGAAACTGAGGCTGAGTTTACCAGACGGGTTGACATCGCCGAACAAGACGTCCGCTATGGTGTTGCCTGTTTCATTTCCTCCATACCAGGCTTGAATCACAGCACTGACATCTTTAATCCAGGGCATCTCCACAGGTGTACCAGATTGCATGACAACCGCTGTGTTCAAGTTCGCTTTACCAACAGCGGATATAAGGTCGTCAATACCTGGCGGTAGGCTCATGTTCTCGCGATCCGCACCCTCGGTTTCCCAGTCCTGATGTGCATGTGATTAGCAGAATGCTCGCAGACCAGGTATTAAGCAATTCAGAGTCAGCAACACCTACTGCATTCAGACCAGCGCAAATAATGACCTGATCCGCATCCTTTGCCAAGGCCACCGCCTTTTCAATCTCGGCCTTCGGATCTATAACCTTACAGCCACCAAGACGTATGGCACCCCCTCTCATCAGCACGGCTTGGTCGGCCAGCTTAGAAGTCGGCGTTGAGGCCCATTCAAGCTTGAAATCGTACTTCTTTCCCTTCTCCAACTTGTGGAACACCTTCTCCTCAATAGTACCGCATCCGAAGAAAGCACTCCCCAGGGTCTGCTTTTCGGTGTTCTCAATAGCCAGTCCTCCGTTGACGTATAGATTTCCACTTCCACAAACCACAAGACCTAGTTCGTATGAGCAGTCCTCATCTGCAACGAAAGACCCTTCCAGTGTGGCATAGAACAGCTCAGACTTCAGATCCGGGTGGTGGTAATCGACGAGAAACATGTCTGTCTTGAGGATCTCGATTTCATGGAAGGGCGTCCTGCCAGACACATGGTGACCTTCGTTGTATATCTTCATCGTCATTCCTGGGTTTCCCTTCGCAGAAGTTGTTGTGAATCCCAATGGAGGGAGCATCAGATGTGAGTACTGCCCCACTGTGTATTCAGGAGGGTGGGTCAGCTTGCTTGTGATCCCATCAAAAGGGGTGATTGCGTAGTATGAGGCGAGCGATGCTGAGCCTCCGCCGTGGTATGTTGCAATCTTGGCATTCGGCCCAATGATGACAGTCTACATTGCCGTTCAGTACTTTGCCTTGAAAGCAGATGAACATGTCTCACCTTCTTTTCCTTCTTGAAAGGCAACACATCGCCCTCGTTTTTCAATAAAACTATTCCTTCATTTCCAATTTTGCGAAGAACTGCAGCTGTCTCTGGGGTATCAAGTGTGCCTTCCTCACCGTTCTCTGGAATGCCACTAGCATAGCATTTCTTGACGAACTCAAGTACAGTCTTAGCTCGCTGGGTGATGATATGCTCCCGTACTTTGTCTGTTTGAGCATTGAACTTGAGCATATCACCGCGAAACCGGGTCGGGCCCGGCATTTCTAGATCAAGCCCAGCCAGAGCAGCTCTAGGATTCTGTCAATTACGGGATGTACCTAGCAAGGCTGCGGGGTTTATACTTACTCAGTTGTACTGTAAGTTCCCCACCAGTCACTCATGACAAGACCCTCCCAACCCCAGTCTCCGCGTAGCATCTTGTCCAACAGTTTCTCGTTTTCACTGCAGTATGTCCCATTGACGCCATTGTATGCCGTCATGAATGCTGCTGGGTTGGATTCCCGAACAACTAGTTGGAAGGGCAAGGCATAAATCTCACGGAGAGCTCGTTCTGTAATCATAACCTTCATGAAGCGTCAATGCACAAAGAACTGGAGTATGAGTACTAGACACGGAAATGACCTACTTGGACAGCATTTCTCTTATGCTCGTGATCATTTGCAACGAAGTGCTTGATCGTTGCCTGGACCCCCTTAGATTGAATCCCATTGATGAGAGCTGCAGCTCCGAGTCCGGCCTGGTACAATTGTATGTGAGAAGTGCACTGAGAATGACAAAGACAGTTTGTGGTTTACCAAGAATGGATCCTCGCCTAACGACTCAAAGCCTCGGCCGCCTAGAGGTGATCTCTGCATGTTGATGGTCGGACCCAGGATGGCATGCACTCCCTTAGCTCTAGCTTCTTCGCCCATCAACTTTCCCGCCTCCTCCAAAAGCTTAAGATTGAATGTTGAACCAAGCGCTGTACCGCAGGGAAAGCAAGCAGCTTTGATGCCATTGAAGAACTTGGTTCCGCGGACTCCATTGGGACCCTAGTTTCCTATGAATTAGAGACAATAACCCGGTGGATATCACAATTTATGGGGTATATGTCGTCTGCTAGGCATCTCAAAATGCTGCTAGACATAACCATTTAGGGTGAAGAGAGGTCACTCTGCCGTCGTGTTAGTGCACGATCATCGGAAAGTTGCATGGGCACCAAAGCCGCCCAATCTCAGTTGCTTAATAAGAGGAACAAAACATACCACATCTGAGGTGCGGACTGTAGGTATCCCATGGTGATGCAAAGCCTTTGTGTGCCACATGTCAATGCCTGTGTCGAGATGCCATCAGTGACCTAATGCCCTGCGCTGTGGGGTTTGAAGATGAGACGGACCCGATAGAAGATCGACCTTCTCAGACAGAGAAAGCTTCTTCAGCACTTCCTCGACGTTGAGGTCTGCCATCTTGTCTGACTCGGTTACGAGGGTAATTGCTAGTTGAAGACGTTCCAGGAAACAGGAACTGAGATGTTAAGGAAAGAAAGCAAAGGCCGTCTGCAATTGGGTTCTGCAGCCCCTCGTTGTTATATACGAACCCCTGCCCGAGGCTGGTGCATATTCGCTCGCATCACTTGGCCCGTGGCTCCACGGCGGCATCGCTTCATCCGTGATGCATCCAATTGATACCAACTTGGCACGCGTTCACATCTCGTCGATCAGCCAGCCTGTTTGGACTAGGATAAAGAGCTTGACAGCGAGAGGAAAATGCTCAGCAATCTGGGTTTCCCCCTTTCCCTTGACAGATTCTCATAGATGCCGCACGTGTTCACAAGCTCAACCTCTGAGTACACAGCGAATGGACCCTGATCTTCAACGATACGAACTTCTCTTGGCCCCTCACAGAATGCAGCGCCGAAGCTAGCTGGTTTCCCCTGCTCCTAAGGCCCGGTCGACGGCCCGCGCTTCCTTGCAAAGCCGGAGTTTTGCCAGGACCCATTGAAATGGTGTTCAGGTCGGCGTTGCTCAAGCTGGCAGGCTTGTAAATGGCTCATGGCCCGAGCACTTTAAGATTCCGCGATTCTGCAGGAGAAATTACCCAGAAGAACGAATCAGAGTACGGAGAACACCATCCTAGGTCGGAAATGGTGGTTTGGATTGGGATCGTATGGTGAGGGATGGCGCCAGGCGCTACAGTTGCTCAGTCCTTTTGACCAGCTGGTTTCAATTACGTAGCACTGCCACCATGGCGGACAGGTTACAGGATGTCTTTGGAGTTCGACTTCCTTCGATTACACCCAGGACACAACTCATTTGACTCACGCCGTGACTTCTACCACGAGCAATTGTTACAATTTTCCTGATGGATTAGTTTCTACTATTTCTGCCCAGATAAAGAGGCTTCTACAAGCCCAGAACAGCTTCTTAACCTTCTCTGGAGGGTCTGTCAGTCTGGAAAAGTACAGCATCCCACCACTATAAACTGAACATTACAATTCAATATATAACTTGGCTCACCTTGAGACAAATTGGCTGTATGCGTCAGGCAGGGAAGACTCGGTATGCTATACAGGGGTGACTACAGCATTAAGGACCTTCGACGCGATCTGGAGACTGGCCTAGGGTGGGCACATTCGACAGAAAGTGTCGCAAGATACTTGGAAACCATTGTAAACGAGCTCAGCAAACTTATTCCAAGGTAAATAGCTAACTAGGAGGATAGCTACCCATTGTGGGTGAAGCCAAGATCAAGTACGCTCTGAATGCCGTCGAAAGACCATTGCTGACTTGGTATAGGGGATCCTATCGACACACTTCGAGCCAGGATAAGAGTGACACAAAGAAAGTAGTGACAACTTCTTTCTACAAATACAAAGGCGGAAAGATTGCCACGTGCCATGCCCATGGAGATGGAACATGGAGCATCGCTTTCACTCTACTGGGAGAGGAAGAGCTCAAAAAGCAGCAAGACTTAGGAAGCAAGACAAACGAAGATCAGCTGGAGGTCCTCGTGAATACTGAAAGGAATGGGGGACAATTAATTCACCATGGTGAAATCAAGAACAAGCCACAAGCCTGCCGTGGCCATATCTCTCTGAACAATGATGAGGCACATCGAACGCATAAGGCCAGACCTCAAAAAGGGGGATACGTGCCCGAGGGTCCGCCCGCCGTATCATCTACTGGCCACCGAGCCTTAGAAGATCATAGCTCTATCTCGGACGTCGCTCAGCCGACATCAAATAGTCGCGCAGGGGGTCATTTGGCATATTATCAACGATCGCGCGACAGGTTAAGTCTTGAACAGAAGCATATAGCTTCTGAATTAGCAAAGGATGTCCTCACGCGAAAGGAAGAGAGGGATTTGTTCCAAAGACTCAAGGAAATGCCAAGGGAAGAACAGGAACAAGTTATGAACCTTACGAAGACATTCAAGTCTCAGAAATCAACGGCGTCAGGCAGCTAAATATGATACATGTCGACGATAATGTAAGGAAGCCGATGAACATAATCCACTTATCAACAAATCGACTTCATTCTAGATTTACGAATATCCTAATGATTTCCCCATTGCCTGGGCCTCAAGAATTTGTTCATGCTGAGGCAATCTCCTGCAGAGTCTTGTAAAATTGTGCCGGGTCGTGGCCAAAGCGGCCCAAAAACAGCCCATCCAAGCCCCCCTTCAATTTCTCAAACAAACCTGGTCCAGCACTTCCACCGTACAGGATCCTAGTGATGCCCTTTCGGCGCTGGACACAGTCTAGAGTGCGGATGTCTCTGACCACATTCACAACATACTCAGCACCAGCCGGCTCTTTCGCGCCTATTGCCCACACCGGCTCGTAAGCCAATATGACCTCGGTGTCGTCCGGAACTGCCGCCATCACAGATTCAACCTGAGACCTGCACTCTTCCACAGCGATGGTCACCTGGCCTTGCGTTCGTTCGCCAATACAGACGAGGGGAATCATGCCATTCCTAGCGGCGGCTGCCGCTTTTTTGGCCGCATCCTCATCCGTCTCTCCGAATATCCTCCGACGCTCTGCGTGGCCCAGCTCAATAATGCGACACCCTACTTCGGCAAGAACTTGAGGAGAAACCTCGCCCGTGTAGGCCCCTGAGTCCTCATAGAATGCATCCTGGGCTCCAGTAAGAATCTTCGTGCGCTTCAACTGGGCGACCACGGAGGTGAGGGTGATGTGGTCGGGGATGATGAATACGTCCACATCATCAAGCAGTTCCGGTGATTTGGAGAGAAGTTGAACCAGTTCGTCGACATATTGTCTGGTGCGCGCTGCCGAGAAGTACATCTTAGTGGATACGCCCACAAGGCGGCGCTGAGGTGACGACATGGCGCAGCGGGCCTGCAGATCTTGCTGATGCTACTTGAAGAGTTGAAGGCTGTATAAGTGATTGGTTTTAATACTTGCTGTAAAGAAATATTGCGAAGTTGAAGTATGAATAAGAAGGAAGTGAGAGGTGAAGTCAACCTTTCCCCAGTCTGTGGACCTGTTCTCCACGCCGCTACGTGGTGGGGATGAGCAATGCGGGTCTGATGCCAGACGTGCGTGGAGCAAGACAGCCTGGAAAGTAACGTCGTCCATCCCAGAGTAAGAGGCAAAATACGACATACAAGAGTTCAACATGCACAAATTTCAACATGATAGAAGCCATCGGCTTGCGAATGCGTCCATGAGAGAGGCTGTAACCGCTAGTCAATGATTTTCCTAAACGCGCCTGTTGGCGCACTCTATATTAAGGCCAGTAGGGGATGCAGCAGGGGTGAGACTATATGGTCCGTCGAAGGCACACCGGTGACTACAGTTCATTCTTCTCATACTCAGTGATAGCATCCACTTTTGCCGCGCTCGCACTATTTGGGTCAAACTGATATCCCAACCATTCCTTTGCCAGACGCCGCGCCAGCTCCAAGCCGACCACTCTCTCGCCCATACACAGCACCTGAGCATTGTTGCTGAGCACCGCCCTCTCGACCGAGAAGCTGTCATGTGCCGTAACCGCGCGGATTCCCTTGATCTTGTTCGCCGAGATGGCGACGCCCAGTCCAGTGCCGCAGATCAGGAGTGCCCGGTCGCATTTGCCGTCTGCCACGAGTTTGGCCGCCGACACTGCTCGGTGGGGATATGCCGTTTTGTCGTCCGCCCCATGGCTGCCGACATCTGTGACAGACTCTACGCGTGGATCGCTCTCGAAGTCAGCTTTGATTTGGTTCTTGTAGCCGACTCCAGCATTCTGTGTAGTCAAGTGATTAGGCTTCGTGATCTATATATGGTAGTGCTGTTGGAGAAGAAACAGTTGCCGACTTACATCGCAGCCCATCGCTATTCTGTACTTTGGTGAAGCCATTTTGGACAATGTATTAGCTTCTGGCAATATGCAGTCACGAACTCGAACAGCAAGGAGTACAGGAAATGACAGAAGATCCAACAAAGCCGCTACTGGAGGCTGTGTCGTGGGAAACTTCAAGTGGCGTCATGTGTCAGTCAATCAACCGCTACGGGGAGCGCATATAATACGGCAATCCGAAAGCCGGAGCATCGCAACATTCACTTCAAGCAAGGGGGGTAAATCCTTCTGCCCCATCCTTCTGCCCCCTCCATTACTGGCAATATACCAATGCGGCCACTGATGAGCAATCTCCCCCACCACACCTCGTGTGCAATATTCTGTGCAGAGGTAGTATCCCGTCAGTGTCGCCCCCACCTAATGTAGTCCTTCAGCCGAGCCGAACAATCCGTGCAACACATATCCAACCCCCCTTTGACCCCAACAACACCTAATCAAGCAAAGCGAAGTCTGCAGCAGTGACTTAGTGCCAGTCCGGGGTACGTTTTGGAGAAATAGCTCCTTGCCGCTACCCCTCCTTATATGGAACCGCGTCCTCCCAAGCGCTTCTCTTCCCCACAAACTCATCCACTATCTACGTCTAGACCCTTAATCGTTCTTCTCTGGTCCGGGTTACCGCATTAGGCAACCCCGAGACACTGGTTTACCACTTGCGAGAGGCAGTAGCAATAACTGCGGCAGGTACAAAGAAAACCCAGGGCATTTGGCCGTGTGTTCTTCGGCCCCTGAGACAGGAAGAGGGCAGCTCAGTAGGAAACAACCAAACAAAAGCAAAAAACAGCATCACAATGTCGAAACGCCACCTCTTTGAGTCCCCCGATGGACTCGTGAACAAAGCTCTCCGGGGTATTATAGCGTACAACCCATCTTTAAGCCTGGACGAGGCAAACCGGGTGGTGTTTGACACCGCCTACGATAGATCCAAAGTCAGTATCATCAGCGGAGGAGGCTCGGGTCATGAGCCCGCCTGGTCTGGCTATGTGGGCAAGAACCTCCTGGCAGCATCTGTAGCTGGCGATATCTTCGCCAGTCCCAGCACGAAACAGATCCTCGCCGGTATTGATGCGGTTCCTTCGGATAAGGGCACCATTCTGGTCGTCACAAACTACACGGGAGACTGCCTGCACTTTGGCCTCGCCAACGAGAAGGCTATTGCACGGGGTCACAAGAGCCGCATGATCATCTGCGGGGACGATGTTTCTGTGGGCAGGCAGGGCAGTCTGGTTGGCCGGCGAGGTCTTGCCGGCCAGCTTGGTGTGCTCAAGGTCATGGGCGGTGCATCGGGTGCTGGCGCAACATTAGACCAGGTTTATGATCTCGGCGTGGCATTCTCACAGCAGATCGTCTCAATTGCGGCAACACTCGACCACTGCCACGTCCCCGGTCGGACAGAGCACGGCATGCTTGGTAGCGACGAGGTTGAACTGGGTACGGGTCCTCACAATGAGCCCGGATATCAGAAACTCTCACCCGTACCATCGCCGGAAGAGCTGATCCACAAGATTTTGAAGTACTGCCTAGATGAAAATGACCCGAATCGGGGCTATGTCAACTTCACACCCGGAGACGAAACGATGTTGCTCGTCAGCAACTTTGGCGGAATGTCACACCTTGAGATGGGAGCATTAGTCGACGAGCTCCTCGAACAACTAGCACGAGACTGGAACATTGAGCCGGTGAGGGTGGTCACCGGACCCCTGGAGACGTCCCTCAACGCGCCGGCCTTCTCCGTTTCGGTGATCAACGTGACTGCTGCGGCCAAGAACTGCTCGTACTCGGTCGAGGAGATCAAGTCCTTCTTTGACGTGCGCACCAACACATACTGGGAGTCGATGGCCGGATCCCAGGCGCAGCAGCGCAGCCGGCAGCAGCAGTTCGTGCATGCGCCGCTCGAGCCCAAGAAGACTGTCGACGACGCCAAAGACCTCAAGATCGATCCAGCAACACTTGACAGCATGTTACGCCGGGCGTGTGCCGCGCTCGTCAAGGCTGAACCTGACCTCACCAAGTGGGACACAGTCATGGGCGACGGCGACTGCGGCGAGACCCTCAAGACGGGAGCGAACTACCTCGTGGCGGCGCTGGACGCCAACCTTGCCGCCGGTGGCTCGGTCATCGCCGTCTTGCAGGAGCTCGAGGACATCGTGGAGAGCAAGATGGGCGGCACGCTCGGCGGTATTTTGGGCATATTTTTCGTGTCTCTGCGTACGGCCGTCGAGCAGAACGTCGACCAGGCCATGGGCTCCGAAGGGGTGCCGGAACTGTGGGCGAAGGCGCTCAAGATTGCCCTGGACAACCTGGGACGTTATACGCCTGCCAAGGTCGGCGACCGCACCGTCATGGACACGCTGATTCCGTTCGCGGACGCCATGGCCACGGGCAACTTCGACGAGGCTATCGAGGCGGCGGTCAAGGGTGCCGAGGCCACAAAGACCATGACGCCTCGTCTGGGCCGGGCGACGTACGTCGGTGCGGATACCAGTAAGGTGCTGCCGCCCGACCCGGGTGCTTGGGGTGCGATGGTGGCGATTCAGGGGCTGAAAGAGGGCTTGTGAAGAAGGAGAAAGTAATGGGGAGGACGTCGAAGGAAGTGTTTTTTATTTGCAGCTATTATAATATGGGGAGCCGTTAATTCTGTTAATCTCTGTCTGTTGCCAGACGGTGGGGCTACAGTTGTAAATCTCAATGGTACGGGAATCGTCAAATCACGAAATGTCACTTACATCGTTGGGACCGTGTGAAATTTGCTGTATCATGACACAGAAATAACTGGACTCGTGCAATTGACTCATTTGATTAATACTAGGATCTAGATGTAGGTACAACTTCTAAACTTAAGCCTTGCCGGCACTTCCCAGCCAGTGCATATACTGCTCAATGGCCTTCTGCATGGCGTCCGTGCCGGCCTCAATGACGCTGGTCAGGGGCTTGCCCCGCATCTCCTCCTGGACGCGGGCGTAGTGTTTGTTCATGCCCTTGTTGATGTTGACCTTGGACACGCCGGCCTTGATGCAGCGCTGGAAGATCTCCTCGTCGAACGGGTCCGCCCCGTGTAGCACCAGCCGCACCTGGTTGCCGACCTTCTTGTTGATGGCCTCCAGACGGTCGTACTCGAGCCGAATGCCCCGCGGTCCGTATTCGCCGTGCACGTTGCCGAACGCCGGGGCCAGCATCTCGATGCCGGTGTCGACAAACACCTGGGCCTCCTCGGGCGTCGTCAGCAGGCCCTCGAGGTCGGCCGTCTCGGCCACACCGTCCTCGCCGCCCTCGATACGCCCGGGCTCGGCCTCGGCGGCGATTCCGCGCTCGTGGCAGTAGGCGGCCAGCTCCTTGGTTAGGGCCAGGTTCTCCTCGCGCTCGTAGTGGCTCATGTCGCACATGATGGAATCAAAGCCGTCCGGGATGTCGGCGGCGCGGCGAACGAGCTCGGGCGTCTGCGCGTGGTCCAGGTGCAGACTGATGGGAACCGAGGCGCCATGCGCCGCGCTGGCCGCTGCCAGCACCAGCGCCTCGTCGGCGTACTGCATCGCCCACGGGAACAGCAGCACCATGGCTGGCGAGCGCGCCGCCTCGGCCGCCCGCACCGTCGCGATGATCGACTCCATGTTATAGCAGCACATGCCCGGCACCGCGTATCCGCCATCACGAGCGGCGTTGAGGATCGCCATGCTGCGGTTTTGAGAGAGCGGTGGCCGGCCCATGATGAAGGTGAAGACTTGGCTTGGGGAAATATATTTTCCTTGCTATTTCGATATTCTCGTAGCCGGACTCAGGGCCTCGACGTGTAAGTGTGGAAGCTCAATGCTGGGCTGGCCGCAATATAGTCGCAGATCTGCTATACAGATGCGTGGGCACGACCGTTAATCAGAGAAGTATGAGCGCGAAATGTCACCAGCGAGCCTCGTCACGAGCGAGGCACATGAGGGTTTCAAATGCATTCTACGATAGGGTACGTCACTCTCCATCCCCCGCGTCGTGATCCACCCGGGTCGGCTGCCCTCGAGGTGAGATGTCCCGAGCCATTCCATGACCTGCATAGAGCCTGTTCGTACCATCATACTATCGTGTCTACTACTGGAGCAACCTGCATCGAATTTCCGTACACGGACCGGGATGCCACTCTAGTAGGACGACACTGAATGCGCCTCTAAATTTCACCAGCTCCATTACCCCAAATCGACAGCAGCCATTTGATCCACGCTCGCTGCTGCCGGCTAATGAGTTGGCTAATAGCAATGCTAAGTTCAATGAGAGGTGCGGCAAGTGGAGATCATTCTCGTTTCCCCCCTTCGCAAAGAGCGGGGGAGGTGGGGACGAACGGAGCACCGAGATCGGTTCGGGGAGAAGGCCGCCGGATCATCACCCTGGCTTGCAATAGTTGTGCATTGTGACGAGTTGCTCCGTGGGGGCCAGGTATCTCGGCACAAAGAAATCCACGGGTGCTAGTGGTGTACCACTGAGAGCCGAGCCATGAGTTGAGCCTCTGCACCGTTGATGATAGTTGTTGTAGGTATAGTATATCCCCCCTGCGGCACTTGATCCTCCTATTACATCACTCTGTTTCCCGCCTTATAGAGCAGAGCAAATCAGACCTCGACAAACCCATCTGTTATAGGTGTTGAAGCCTGGCAAATACACTCCAAATCCCAGGAGCAGCTCCCGTGTGGTCAGCCCAAAGCTTAACCGCCAAGTAGCCAGGAACCGACCATGTCATCAAAACCAGACATCGCCTTTATAGGCCTGGGCGCCATGGGCTTTGGTATGGCGACCAACCTGGTCAAGCAAGGATACAGCGTGACCGGGTTCGACGTTTGGGCGCCGACTCTCGAGAAGTTCAAGGCCGCCGGCGGTCTCACGGCCACCACGCCGTCTGACGCGGTTAAGGGGAAGGACTACGTCGTGGTCATGGTGGCGACGGCGGCGCAGGCGCAAGCCGTGCTCATCGAGGGAGAGAACGCGGCGCTCCCATCGCTGTCCAAGGGCGCGGCCCTCCTGCTGTGCTCCACGGTACCGGCGTCGTACGTGCGGGGGCTGGCGGCGCAGCTGGCCGAGATGGGCCGGAACGACGTGTTCCTCGTCGACGCGCCCGTGTCGGGCGGCACGTACCGTGCGGCGGACGGCACGCTGTCCATCATGGCGGGGGCGTCGGACGCGGCGCTAGACCGGGCGCGCTTCCTGCTACAGGAGATGGCCGACCCCAAGAAGCTGTACATCGTGCGCGGCGGCGTCGGCGGCGGCAGCAACCTGAAGATGGTGCACCAGGTGCTGGCGGCCGTGCAGATCCTGTCGGGCAGCGAGGCCATGGGCTTCGCGCACCACCTGGGGCTGGACCTGGCGCGCACGCGCGAGGCCATCCTGCAGTCGCAGGGCCGCAGCTGGATGTTCGACAACCGCAGCCCGCGCATGCTGCACCCGGAGTTTCAGCCCATCGCCAGCGCCCTGACCATCATCCTCAAGGACACCAGCATCATCACGTCCGAGGCCCGGCGGGCCGGCTTCCCCACGCCGATGGCCAGCACCGCCGAGCAGGTCTACTTCTCCGGGCTGGGCAAGGGATACGGCCCGGACGACGACAGCAGCATGGTCCGGGTGTACACCGAGGGCAAGGGCAAGGTCGGACCCGTGGCGGGGACGGCGGAGACGGACGAGGCGAAGCTGGAGCTCGTGGTGGCGCTGCTCAAGGGCATCCATCTGTGCGCCGCCGGGGAGACCATTGCCTTTGCGAAGCACCTTGGGCTGGACCTCGAGCAGGTCTTTGACCTGTGCATCAACGCCGCCGGTGGCAGCTACATGCTTGAGGCGGCGGGCCCGGAGATGCTGGGCCTGTTCGGAGCGCAGGCCACCGCGCCGGCGGACGCGGGTGCGAGTCTGCCGAGCATCGCCAAGGGACTGCAGGATGCCGTCGACGAGGCGCAACGCTTGAAGGTGCCCGTGTATCTGGGCAACCAAGCTTCAAATCTCGTGAGGCTGGCTCTAGCGCACAGGCCGAAGACTGCCCCTGAAGCGACGCAGGGCCAGGTAGTTAGAGTGTGGGGTGCGTGAATGTAGATTTATAGTTAATTACGAATAATGAGCTCGGAGAGAGTTTGCAGCCTGTTCATACATTTGCTCTTGAGAGTTGGGGAAGATCGTTTGCTATTCAAGCATCAAGTGGTATTGGCCATGAAACAATATGTAAAAGCAGCAATTCATACCCATATTACCACTCAACATCACAGAGCTACAACACCGGTTCCCATCTTCGTACCATGCTTCCTTAAACCCCCGAATGACAGTACTCCAGATTTTCTTTTCGCACAATCAAATGCAGTCATTACGCCATCGTAGGAGCTGGCCGCCTCGCCAGCAGTCCTCCTCTCTTCGCCGATGATCCAGCACCAGCACCGGGCCTGGCCAACGTGTACTTGGCGAAGGCTCTCGCGAGAGCCTTCTTGCAACTGACCTTCTGGCTGCCTACGAAACTCTCGACCGTAACGGCGATGGCGCGGTCGATGTCCTGCGCATTACAGTACTCCGACAACCTCATGCGGCAGAAGGCCTCAGAGATTCGGATGATGGCTTCCAAGTGACGGACCTAGTAGTTGCAAGTTAGTTTAAGACTTTTCAGTTGATAAAGTTAGGTAGTACATACTGTGATGGGATAGGCACCAGTAGCCAGCGACTCTCTTCTCATGTCGGCAAACAACCTCGCCACCTTGTCCTCGTCCATGTTGAGAAGCTTGGGTTGGCAGTGATCACGAGCATACAGGATGTACTTGCGCAGTAAATCCTGCGGGATCTGACCCTCCTTTCTAGTTTGGGCCTCCTGGCTCTCACGGGAGGTCTGAGAGTCGGGCTCGACTTCCATCGAGTCCTTGGCGCTCTGTGATTGTGACGTAGGATGGCTACGGCTGTGAGACCCAACGATGAAGCGGGCAAGACGCTCATCTTCGGAAGGATCGACGGTATCTCTGACCACGCAGAGGATATCGAAACGCGACAAGATGGGCTCCGTCAGCTCGACATTGGACGAGAAGGGGATGGTCGAGTTGTAGCGACCTCCGATCGGGTTAGCAGCGGCGATGATGCCACAGCGTGCCTGCAACGTTGTCACAATACCGGCCTTGGAGATGGAAATGGTCTGCTGTTCCATGGCTTCGTGGATGGACGTCCGATCTTGGTCGTTCATCTTGTCAAACTCGTCGATGAGGCAGGTACCCCTATCGGCCAACACCAGAGCACCACCTTCAAGAGTCCATTCGCTGGTAAGGGGATCTCGGCGGACACTAGCCGTCAGACCGACAGCGGAGGCACCCTGGCCGGTTGCGAAAACAGCACGGTGGGCCGTCTTCTCAACATATTTGAGTACTTGGGACTTGGCGGTACCCGGGTCACCGAGAAGAAGCACGTTGATGTCTCCACGGAGGTGATGGCCGCCCTTGGCGATCTTGGCTACACCGCCGAACAGGGACAGGGCCACAGCGGTCTTGATGTCGGTGTGCCCGTAAATGCTGGGGGCGATGGAGTTGACAACCTTGTCGATGATCTGGGGGTCGCGCGACAGCTTACGAATCTCTTGTTCATCCTGTTCGGTGAGCCTGAAGCCGGCCAGCTGGTCGTGGGCCTTGACTACGTTGTTTGCCTCGAGGATGGTAGCAAAAACGGGGAAGCCATTGCGGTTGTTCAGCTGAGCGTCGTAGTTGTTCCGGTAGATGCCAGTGACCTCAATCTCCTCGCCGGGCTTGGCCTTGTCGATAAGGTCCCAGAGGAGAATGACCTCGCGGTGCCGGGGCAGACGACCGGCGGGAACGGTGCCGGGGGACTCCTGGAGGGTGAGCTTCTGGTAGTTGCGGTACACGGTCTTCTCCGAGTTGAGTGTGAAAGGACCGCGAGACTGGCAGCTCTGGCAGAAGGTGATCTTGACCTCGACGTTGGACTCCTGCTGGTACGGGCCCAGGGTGACACCGCACTTGGTGCAGTCGAACTTGACGTACTTCAACTGGGGGAAGACGCCGGTCCTCCGAGTCACGACGCCGCTGACTCTGACCAAGCAGTTCAGATGGGACTGGCGCAGCTGGCGGAGGGTGTAGTGGACGGGCAGGTCGAAGATACGAACGTGAATCTCGGAGTGGATACGCTCGTAGTCGGGGTAGTGCAGCAACACGACGTCCATGGCGACGTCGTCGAAGAGCTTGAGCATCTCGGCGGGGGCGTTGGCCAAGAAGTAGGCCAGGATGGCTCTGGAGGAGGAGAGGTGGTCGTACGAGACCTCGAGGGACTCGGCGTTGATCTCACCGAGGGTCCGGATGCGGTTTCCGTAGACTGACGAGCCGCTCTCGTCGGTGTACTCTGTCAGGAAGGCCTTGAACTCCCTCTTGATGGTGCGCTGGACGGCGGGCTGCGAGACCCACTCGGTCAAGCTGGAGGCCTTGACGTCCTGGAGGCCTTCGAGCGAGAGCTCCTCGTCCATGATGTCCTGGTCCATGTCATCATCTGGGTCCTCGTCGTAGTGGTGACGACGTCTGCGGGGCTGGGCGGTCAGATCGATGTCGCCATCCTCGTCCTCGTCCTGGAGGAAGGCGGCGGGCATGCGCCTTCTGCGGGCGACCTCGCGATCTCTACGGTTCAGCTGGGCCTCGAGACGACGTCTATCGCCGAGGGCCATCTCGTCATAGTCGCCGTCGTCGTCAATGTCGATGCCCTCGTAGGTGTCGTTCTCGCCCTTGTCTCTGTAGTCGCCCTCGAAGCCGTCCCGGAAGAGATCGATGTCATCCTCGGCCATCTCGTCCAGGTCGTCCAGGTCATCGTCCTGGACCTCGACCTCCTCCTCGATGTCATCTTCGTCATCGCCGCCGTGGGCAATGTTGAAGGCGGGGGGAGAGGAGGGCATGGGGCTGGAGGCGGCGACTGAGGAGCTGGCGTCACCGCCGGTCCTGGAGCGCTTCCGGTTGCCCCTGGGCGCCGGGCCACGGTTGGCCGACGCCGGGTTGCTCCGCAGAGGCGAGCTGGGAGGGTTCTGGGAGCTGGATCGTGGTTCAGGGTCAGCGGATGCTCCCTCGATGTGGCAGCGGGGGAGGGGAAACGGGGGGTTGGCGCGGCGAGGTGTTTTCTTCGAACATACCTCATATTGGTTCTATGGCTTTGTCCAGCGTGTGGAGGCAGTTCACGTGGGAAAAGTGCGTGAATGTCCTCTTCAGCGAATCGACAGGATCAATCGGGGTGTGAATGCGGAAAGACTGAGCGAGGGACTGAGGGTCGAGAGAATGAGCGGAGGGAGCTGATAAGCGCCGTGGCCAAGGAAGAGATTGAGGAGCCCGGGACCAGGACACGTCCCGACGCGTCTCCTTTTTCTCCATTTCGCGTTTTGGGGGGGTGGGAAGTGGGACGCGTCAAAGTGGTTGCATGTGCCCCAAGCCTGTTTAGGCTTAGGCGTCTACGGGTGGGAGACTCCCATAGGTACTGGGCCAGCCAGGCCAGCGTCGGGTATCACTGGCTCGTTGGTGGCTCGCTGGAACTACCCTGGGCGGGCGCCTGGACCCACTGAAGCCCTCACGCTGGACTGGACCTTGTCCCGCTGGTCTGTCCCGTCGCGTACTGTCACTGAGGTAGCTCCCGGGAGTCGCGTCAGTGGGCGACCATCAATTTAATGGATTTTGATGGATTCCAGTTCCAGTCAGCCTTGATGTTCCAGTCACTGACCCGCTGCGGATACCTCACCATCTAACCATCGAGATCTATACCCTTGCCTACCGAGATACTTGCATCTTGTCGTATCCAATTGTCGAACAGGTTGCGAGCGGACTCCATCATTTCATCTTCCGACTTGACCTCTTCAGCAGGACGGACTCTAGCTGTGTGCACCAGCGCGCAGACTGCTCGACCGGGAGCCGCGTCTCTCGACGACTTACACCATGTCTGCCGACCCCCAGGATGCTCAGAGTGCGCCGGCTGGCGATGCGCCGCGCGACCGACGCGAGAGCATGTCGCAGCGCTCCGAAGCCTCCCAGACTGCCGCTGATTTTATTAGAGATCAGATGCAGCTCGAGGCCGATGCCCGCGAAGCTCTACCCTACGTAAGCCTGCTGCTCTCATCTCTGCTCTGCGTATAAACAATGCCCAGACAGGACACCACCGTTGCTGACTCTTGCCTCTCACAGAGCATATCCGAATGCACCAAGCCTCTCGGATCGCTGCGCCAGAACGTCTTTGCCTGCCTGACCTGCAACCCACCCCCGGCAAACCCCAGCGACCCCTTCACCCCCGCTGGCGTGTGCTACTCGTGCTCAGTCCAGTGCCACGGTGAGCACGAGCTGGTCGAGATCTTCCAGAAGCGCAACTTCACCTGCGACTGCGGCACCACACGCTTCACCAAGGACCAGCCCTGCACTCTGCGCCTCGATCCCGACACCAACACCAAGGGCGCCGTCCATTCCGAGCCCGCCGACCCCAACAACAGGTACAACCAGAACGTCCGCAACCGCTTCTGCTCCTGCTCCATCGACTACAAGGCCCAGGAGCAGAAGGGCACCATGTTCCAGTGCTTGGGCCTGGGCACTGCCGACCAGGGCGGCTGCGGAGAGGACTGGTATCATCCCGGCTGTCTGGCCGGCCTTGGTCCCAGGTGGTGGGACACCCCGGAGAAGCAGAAGGCACCAACAACATCTGCCCCGAGCGGCGGGCTGCCATCGATCGCAGAAGATGACACGCCACAGCAGCCGGCTGCGGTGGAACAGAATGCGAGTGCGGCACCCGAAGACGATGATGACGACCCGCCGCTGCCCCAAGGCTTCCCTGGTGAAGATGACTTTGACCACTTCATCTGCTACAAATGCATCGAGGCAAATCCCTGGATCAAGCGTTATGCGGGCTGTTTGTCGGGCTTCTTAGCCCCTGTATACTTCAAGAAGCCAGACGACGATGCAGCGACTGCGAAGAAGCGACCGCGCGACGACGAAGATGACGACAATACCGAGGACACTCAAACTAAGCGTATCAAAAGTGAGCCACCCCAGGAAGCACAGGATCCCTCCATATCGTCAGCCACCGACAGCGTCCCTATCAAAGTCAAGGAGGAGGACTCGAAAGACGCCCTGGCCACCTCTCCTACCGCCACATGCAAACTCGACAGTTTGCCTCCTACCCCGTCAGGCCAGTTCTCCCTGTTTGTTAAAGAAGGCTTTCGCGACCAGTTCTGTCGCTGTCCCGCCTGTTTCCCCAACCTTAAGCCCCACCCTCAGCTTCTGGACGAGGAGGAGGCATACGAACCGCCGCTCTCGGATACTGCCTCGGACAATGGCTCCACACACGGTAGTGGTTCGCTGTACGAACGTGGCGAGTCGGCTTTGCGAAATGTCGACCGTGTGCGCGCCATCGAGGGTGTCATGGCCTATAATCATCTCAAGGAGCAGCTGACGCCCTTCTTCAAGCGCTTCGCTGAGAGCGGTGAGGCTGTTAGCGCCGAGCACATCAAGGAATACTTTGCCAAACTGCGTGGTGACCAAGAAGCCATCCAGGAGGCTGGCGAAGCTGCCAAGAGCGATAGTCGCCACGAGCAGAGCGGCTATTAAACCGATACCGCCATCGCCAGATGACTGAGTAGATTACAGGCGTACGCGGACACCTCATGGTTGAATCTGCGATACCTAGGTCCCCAGATCATTGAGTATCTCGCTAAACAAAGCCGTATACTGTACAACCCTGAACAACGATTACGGTTCCTTGGTAGTTAGCAGCACGTTCGGACTAGGATCGCGTATGAGGATTTTCCTAGTTGGATACGGGACGGCAGCCCTGCGATCAGAGACAAGCGAAAAAAAAACAAGACGTAACCGACTCAGATTCGTGCCATGGTTCACACCGAGAATGATAGATAACACACCTCTCAAGGTTTAGACCAAGATCTGTCAATCAAGTCAAGAGCGCGGGGAGAGTGTTTATACTCTCTGGAAAGCGTGGTTGTGGCTTGGCTAAACCTCGACGAAACACGCTCGATAAAGATCGGCCCCATAATACAAACGTATAATTTGCCTGTGCAAAGCCTCACATATCTTTCTTATCCCCGTCTGCTCTGGTGGCCCTTTCCTGCTCTTCAAAAGGACCAGGACTTCCCAATGATAAAGGGTGGTTCCTGCTACCAAAAGCCAGACCATCTCTCTTCCTCACAACTCATCTATCCAGAAATCATATCCATCATCTGCCACCGGATTGAAGCATTTCAACATCACGCAGCAGATATAGTTATCTATACTGTGCTCCTACTTCGCCCTCTTGCTCTCCTAGGTCATCATGGCGAGCTCTCCGGAAATGGCTGCGACTGAAAAGATCAGGCCGCTGTCGCCGTCGATAACTCCGTTGTCCTCGACGGCTATGGGCTCGACCGACGTTGAGAAATCCGAGACGGCCCTGAAGAAATCCATTTCCAACCGCCAATTCATCTTCATGGCCATGGGCGGCTCCATTGGCGCCGGCCTGCTGATTGCCAGTTCGACCGCACTGCAAGTCGGCGGCCCCGGCGCGCTGCTCATGGGTTTCCTGATCGTCGGTATCGCCGTCACCCTGACCATGGGCTCCCTCGGCGAGCTCGCCGCCACATTCCCCGTGGCCGGCTCCTTCTACGACTACTCGGTGCAGTTCATCTCGCCCTCGTGGGGTTTCTCGATGGGCTGGAACTACATCCTGAACTTTCTCCTCATCGTTCCCTTCGAGGTCACTGTCATGACCCTGGTGACAAAGTACTGGAACACGGACCTTAACTCGGCCATTCTCATCCCCATCTTTCTCATCGCCCTCTTCGCTATTGCCGCGTGTGGCGCAAAATGGTATGCCGAGGCGGAGCACTTCTTCGGTATCCTGAAGGTGGCCGTGCTCGTAGGCTTCTCCATCACCGCCGTTATCATCGCAGCCGGTGGCGTCAGTACAGATGATCGACACGGCACGGGGTTCAGCTACTGGCAAGACGGCAAAGCTTTCCAGGGCGGCGCCACCGGTTTCCTCTGGGTCTTTGTCGCAGCCGGTCTCGCATATGGAGGCACCGAGATGCTGGGCTTGACCGTCGCCGAGTGCAAGCACCCACAGAAGGTCATGCCGCTCGCCTTTAAGATCGTCAGCCTCCGTATCCTGTTCTGCTACCTGCTCCCCTTGTTCACAGTCGGCCTCGTCATCGGCGCCGACACGTTCAAGAAGATCCCGCTCGGCCGCGTGTCCCCCTTCGTCTTGGCCACCCGTGCTGCCAACATCCCCGTACTACCCGACATCATCAACGCCATCATCCTCATCGCCGTTTTCAGCATGGCTAGTGCTAGTATCTTCGCCTCTTCTCGCGCCCTACGGGCCATTTGTGATAACGGCATGGGTCCCCGGCTGCTCGCTAAGACGACCAAGTCTGGTCTTCCGCTCAACTCGCTCCTCGTCGTGCTAGCCGTATCGATGATTGCCTTCATCAACGCCGCGCCCAAGGGCGAGACCATCTTCGACTGGCTCTTGGCCTTGGCATCCGCGAGCAACTTCTTCACCTGGCTGAGCATCAACGTCGCGCAGATCCGGCTGCGGCTGGCCATCAAGAAGCAGGGCAAGGATATCAACGAGGTACTGGTCTGGAAGAGCCCTGCCGGCATTTGGGGAAGCATGCTTGCCATCGCTATCGCCCTTGCCGGCCTGCTCTCCCTCCTGATCACCGCTCTTATTCCTCCCAAGGGCTTGAGCTCCAGCGATACGGTGGGCATCATCTTTGTCAGACACGTCCTTGGCTTCATCGTCGTGGGTGCCATGTGGTTGGTCCACATGGCGGTCACATGGAATCAGACACCGCATCCATTGCTGATTCCCCTGAAAGATATCAAGTTGTCAAAGGAGGAGACTGTGGCCGCAGCACAGGAGTAATTGGACCGGAACGTGGGATTAAAAAAAAGGGGGGGGGTTCCCTTGTTAATAGAGTGTGGGTGGTTGCCGAGTAGTATTAATGATCTAGTTGATTGTATCGTGTGGTCTTATACATCTCACTGTGTATCAAACCGATGCTGCGTCAACCGTGACCCAAATACTACCATTCACTCAGGAGTTCGGATAAAGAAAAGTTTCATTTCAAGATTTATAGAAAGAAGTGCGCAAATATAATCTACATAACACTGTCGTACTTGTCGCTTCCATTCGCCTAGTCCCATGTGGTTATGCTCTTTGGGGAAACTTAGGTGAAGATTCAGGACTACGCAGTGGGACTTGGCTTGCACCGGCATTCATCAAGAAGACAGAATCTTATTCTCCCCAGGCCAGCCATAATACAATACATTACGAAACAAGGCCCATTACCTCTTGACAGGCGTCAGCTTGCACATCAACGGCGGCTTGTTCCACGTATTGAAGGCCTTGACGTGCTGGAGGTGATTCGCGGGATCCCACACGTCGACAGGCGCGTCGCGGTCCGCCCTCTCGACGTCAAAGTGCCAGAGCAGGTTGGCAAGGATCAGCCGCAGCTCCAGGTAGCTCAGGTGCTTTCCGATGCACGCCCGGGGCCCTAGGCTGAAAGCCTGACTCGCCTCCTTCTTGTCCCCGTCGTACTTGGTTTCCAGCCACCGCTCGGGAAGGAAGTCGTCCGGGCGGACGAAGTTACACGGCGAGTGCGTGGCCGCCCACGCGTACACGGACACCGTGGTCCCGCCCTGGATGAACTCGCCGGCCACCGTGTCCCCGCCCTTGGGCACCGTCCGGGTCAGTCCGGTGGGGATTGGCGGGAAGATGCGCAGCGCCTCGTCGATGCAGGCGTTCATATAAGTCAGCTCCTGCAGTTCGAGGAAAGTCATGGCCTTGGCTTCGGTGAAGTTCGAGCGGATCTCGTTGGTGAGCTTCTTGTAGGCGTGTGGTGTGCGCAGGAGCCACATCAGCAGACCAGACAGCAGAGAGGCTGTGGTCTCGGAGCCTGCAACGCTGCGCCAGGAGATCAGATTCAAGCCGGACAAAGTCGAGGCAAGGGGCCAGGCTTCTTACATGAATAGTGCGCTGTTGAGAATGATCTCGTTCTGACTGACGCCACCCTTTTCGTTCTGCCGCAGGATATAATATAGGAAGTCATTATGCTCGCGCGTAAGCCCCTCCTCAATACGCCTATACCTGTCAGAAACACATGGTATTGCGACTCGGATCTGAGTCTACTCACTGCAGACACTTTTCACGGCTCAATTCCAGGTGGCGAAATCTCTTTTCTCTGAGGTCACTGGGGATCAATTTCACCAACATTTGCTGCGGCCAGCTGTTTGTCTTGAACATGCGTCGCGTGGCCTGCTCGAACGCGCCGGCCTTGATGGTCTGCGTGATGAGGGACACCCAGGAGTGAAAGACACCCTCGCGGAGGCAGCCAAACGGCCGTCCGAATGCCATATCGCCAATAATGTCAAAGGTGGTGAAGTCTGCATGTATGTGAGCCTCACTATATCTATGCACTTATAGAACTTGTCGCCAACTTACTGAACCAGTCGCACATGTTGATATGCTTCCCGCTCGCCGCAAATGGTGTCAGCTTGGTGATGAGAAGGTCAACGTAACCGCGAATAATGCTCTCTTGCTCAAGCAAGGCCTTCTGGCTGAATGCATGGGCCAGAGTCCTCCTCTGCCGGCTATGGTTGTCATCGTCCGCCATGGTTAATGTTGTTGAGCCAGGGATGTCTTGGACAGAACCAACGTGGATGGGGTCTTTGTGAAACTGCGGATGGCCTTGTCGGTGGCCATAAATATCCTTCCATGCTTGAGGATCAATGAAGGCCAGCTCATTCGGCATCAGCCGCAGTACTGGTCCATACTTGAGGTGTAGCTGATGAACGTCGAAGGGCCATCTACCACGGAAAAGGCCCCAAATGCTGTATATCGGCGAAATCTTGGCCAAGAAAGGGCCAGGGAACCGAGCCAACGGGTGAAAATAAATGTTGTATATACATCTCCAAAAGGTGTAGACGAAGGTCTGTAGGCCTCAGCTTGAAAACATATACTCGCCAGGAGAACTTCGTCTTACCACAGTTGCAATGCCCAATGCTATGAAGCTTACGCTTTGAGCAGAGCTCTCAATGACCCCCATAGTGATTTTCGATGATGTCCTGGTAGAGTGCTCTCAGAGAGTACTACAGCTCGTACCACGCAGAGAACCTAAGTGGACCAAGCGACAACGCGAAGTAATGTCAACGTTTATACAGTGAAAAGATGGCATTGGGATACTGCGTGTGATCCAGACTGGCTTCTAAGTCTAGGCGGGTGTAAATGGCATGGGTTTAGCGGGAATGGTTATCCCCAGAGCTTGTCTCAAATTGGAAAAGGGAACAATAGCACTAATCAACATCGGTATAATAGTAGGTGTGCTGACTTGTCACAGGAACAGGTACTGGAGCGCCTACTCTTGACTTTTGGCAATAGCATAGGTTTTGGTTGTGTTCGTACCAAGCCACGGGCTTGCACTCGATCGTACGCACCAGTATCCACGATCAGTGTCCCTATCCATTATGATTGCGTGCCATTACACTAATTCACATCACCGACAGCCAGCCTCGGCAGACTGTCTTCGTTGATATCCATTGATAACAGGGGACAAGCTGTCATCCGTAGGCAAGCATGATCCTGTAGGGAAGGAGTTTGACGGACCGAGGTCAACACGGCAACGCCCGATCTTGTCCGCACTTTGTAAGATTTACGGATGGCCAGTGCACCATTACGCATTACTCAGATGCGCCATATTCAACTATCGGAACCCAAAAACCTGGCATGAGCCATGAACGTGGGGCGTAGGCTACAGAGTGCCGAATGCGGAACCTCTTTTCCGGGGTTAGCTTCGTCCGTCTAGCGGGCAGAGAAACTCCTCTCCACTATAACTCATGCATAGTATCGAGGCAAATCTGGTCAGTAGATCTAGTGGGAGTGGAACAGGGAAATGGGTGTTTCGAAGCTCTGTGCATATCACATGTCTCAAAATCCTTTGCTTCTGCAGGGACGTAGTGACCCATTACCGTCCATATTTGACTGCACTTGCGATAATATTTGCCTGGACTAATTACCACTCTACGAAAAATGATTGCTCACTTGCCCATTTGAAATTCCAGCGAAACGCGCGTTTGTGAAACTGTTTCAGACAGGAACGTTGTATGACGATGATGCCACACACTTGGGACATCCGGATTGAAGCCTTCGGGCATGCACATAGTTCATCCAATACGGTCTGCTTTCCCGAATTGCCCAACATATGATAAATCTTCTCATTGGAAGAAGGTTCATCCGATAAAAAGGCCATTCCAATACACAGCTCTTCAAGTTGTGTTGGTACGGATCTCGCAAAGACGATGTTCATAGACATCCCGCTGTGGTATCAAATATCTGACAAGCCCAGCACCAGAATTATACTATTAATAATGCTTTTAACCATTAGAGTACCAATTGAATACTGAAAAAGTGGCCATTGTTGCTAAATTCGATTGTATCCTTCTTGACATGTTGGATAACGCTTCAAATGTCGTCTGACATAGTCCTTTCTGGCCAATTCGCGTCCGCATATTTGGCATTTGGAGCGAATTGGTTTTATCTTGTGCCTTATTGCCCAGTCTTTGTGGTAACTCCAGTAATGTTTCTTCATTTCTTTACTTTCGGCGCTGCGGTAGGTACAACGCGGGTCAGCTCTACAGGTCTCAGGTTTCTCGTGAATCTTTTTGTGCTTGCTATTATTGACAATCAGCCTTGATGGGACTGTAGGGATCGACAATTCACCACTCACTTGTAATCTCGGCCCAGCTTGTGCCATTTCCCACAACACTGCTTGTAGCTTTGAGCCAATGATTGTGCTATATGGAGTCAGCGCTCTCCTGATGTTGGACTAGCAGAAGCTCATTGACTACCTTCAGGCTCATAAGTTGACTGCCACTCAAAGTATGTATTGGTGATATTGTAAGATGAGTCGTAATGAACTTGACATGGTTCCGCAACAGGTCCAGCCAACCCACTGGCGTGGGAATCAAGGCCAGAGCCATGTGATGAGTCGCCCGGCTAAGGTAGGAGACTGGAAGCAACGTCGTGTTCAGAAAATGTTTCGTGGCCTGTCAGTTGTTGACGGCACGAGCTTGGTGGATTGGTTAGTCCGAAACTTGCAGCTGGAATGGGTTCAGCCAATATCAGTTGAGGGTCGATACAGGCGTCAAAGTCTGATTGAGCTTGCGCGCCGCCCGCCGAATCCTGCTGGAGTACCAGGGTGGATCTTGTCGATCCAGATTCAGCAGGGTGGTCGAAGGCGAAGCCTATATATGGTTCGCTGAAGGGGAATTGCATCTGCGGATCGTAGTCAGTGGTATCTGATAGATCGGAATCGTCCATTACGTAGTTCAGGAACAATTTTTCACTGGGAAAACAGTAATTGTATGGTTGCCTTGCCTGATACGGAATGCAATTCACTCTGCACATTTGTGAAGGGTGAGGTAGAGAGTGAGACTGGAGAATTGAGCGGATTCTAACTCATTTATACCTGTCATCTTTCGGTGTGCAGAGGTAAGGCTATTCGACTGTTCATCATGACCACAGGCGGGCGTTCCTACACCGCAAGGCTCTGCCGCTTTTCTCATGTCCACAGCTTCTGCGGCCGGCGGGTCCTCTGCACGAATCACCAGTCCATTGCCTGGCTAGAATCCATACTCAAAGTCTAAATGCGCCACAATGTTACTGTTAATACGCTTCATTGGAAAGATTCGTCCATCACGAGCGCTTTGTAGGGCAATCATGCTCGATAGACTGCTGATTGGCGGAGCCCAACATCGCGTCCGGCCTCCTACAGCCCCCCGCAGATGTGCCATTGATGTAGGGGGCCAGCCGAACTAGTTCGACGAAATTCTCCAAGCTTCTTCTGGGTCGCACATCGTTGAAAGAGTTTGATAATGCCTTGATGGAACTTGATCTTTATATTGGCGGATTTTGTCAACCTAGACTGATGGTTGGACCATTTCATTGGGTTTCAACATGGCCACCGCGGACCTCCCAGCCAATACGGCGGAGATTGACGCTACAGGTAAGCATCATTCGTGAAGTAGTTGCAGGCTTATTTTGACACCAGAAACAGTTCCATTGAAATCGCGTATAATTCACAAGTTTTATGAGCCTCTTGTTCTTCGGAAGGCCCTTAGCCAGGCTTCTCAGAATAGAGCTCGACATGTTTCGTCAGAACCCATTGATATGGGCAACCTTCAGCAGTTGTCTTTCGCCTTGGTATACAAGATTGCTCACGTCTGCGATGATGTCAAAGGGGAATCAGGAGCTTCTGTGACATCTTTTGCAGTACTCCAAAGTCACGGCAATACTAGCACTGTACAATATTGGTTTGCTTCGAACCAGAGAACACATGAACAGCTAGAAGGCACGAAAACCTTCATCCGCGACCTGCTACGTCTATTTCAAACCACGAATAGGGAACCACTCGAGCTGGTGTCTATGCACCGCACGGCTCTCCGTCATGTTCTTCAATTCAATAAACCTCGGCTCAAGTTCTACTTGGAAACGCTTGGTATGCATTTGAGGCAATGTCTTGCTCAATCTTTGGATGGAGAGACTGGAAGAAGTACGACCTCCTCCTTTGAGCCTCCGGCCAATAAATGAAACTAATGATTCAAAGACCACACAATCTCAAGAGCATTGGAAGGGCTGCTACAGCCTCAAATCTTTCCTGATGCCTCAGAAGAATCAGAAGACCAGTGTGAGTAGAATATGTATCTTCCAACTGGTAATTTCGGCGAACCCTACTGATAATGCGCCCAGTTGTTAGGGGATGCGAAATTATGATCGATGAGCTTCTGAGGCTCCAAACGTCCCGAGCTGGTCTCTTGATCATTGATAGGTCAAAGGAGGGACGGATGCCGGGTCATACAAGCCAAGAATGCTGGTCTGAACTGCAGCATACGATCAGCCGCATAATTGCGTATCACTACTCTGTTCAGTGCATGATTCGGGCCAGAGAAGAATGGCCTGCACTTTTTGAAAACTTTGAGGTCCACTTCATACCGTCAAGCACGCCCATGGAGAGGTTCAAAAGGAACAAGAGCCTGAGTGCTGACGGCATTGTTGGGCGTATGACCCGCAAGGTCAAGGTCATCGAACAATTCAGACGCTATGTGGAGACTCTGCAAGGCTTTGACCTCGACCAGCGAATTGTCAGTGAGTATCAGAACCCATCATTCCGGCCAGTGGTCCACAGCGAAGTGCTGCTCCTGGATTGGCTCAAGAATTCCGGGCGGCTTACCCCTGAGCATTTCTTCAACGGCTGGATGTACATTGGTACGAGCAAACCTCCTTGCACGCTGTGCCAGTATTACTTCGAGGAGCACCAATCTGGTGTAGCCCATCGACCAAGTCACGGAAATCTTTACATCAATTGGCGTTTGCCTGACGTGCTTGTCTCTCAAGGTCCAGCAGCGGAAAATGACAGACAAGTTATGCTAGACAGAGTTCTGAACAGGATCCGCAAGGATACGTTCGATTTGGTGAAGAAGAAAGTTCCATTCACATACAAAGAGCATGATTCGAACACCTTCTCACCACCGCTCACTCATGGGACGTGGACATCGGACCAGAAGAGTACAAGGATATTAAATGATGCAGCATTGCAGATGGGACAACTTTCACTGTCGGATTGAATGCTTGAAGCCTGGGAAGCTATGTCCGGATCTATACATTCGATTATCTGCCCTAACGGGGAATGAGAATTTTAGCAGCTAGTGAGCAATATTCAATTTCTTTGAGTACAGACTAAAATGCATGGTATGACACATGTTGATCACCTGAGACCGTGTTTTGACTTTTGATAATATACTATTATATCACAATAAATACGCAATATGCAGTACTACTATGCTCTTGCCTTCAACACCCAGCCAGTTTTTGCAACTCTTGCAGCTACAGCCATAAAAGCGCCAAGAAGGATAGAAGAAGCAGAAAAGGCTTGCGCACCCAGGTAGCTCCCGGATTGCCTCTGGATCAATGCACCACAAAGAGCAGGACCAGTAACATTCGCCAAGCTTATGAAACCCAATATCATCCCGACCCGAGTCCCAGTCTTGCTTGGTTCTGGCGTCATAGTCGTACAGGTTGCGGGCAGTAAAGCCTGCAAAGATGCTGCAATCAGACCGTATATGACTGCGAACGCGTAAAGCCCAGATTCCGAACTGATTGCTGCCCAACAGTATACCAAAATGCTTGCTGAGAAACTTAATGGGATCACAATGTTGAGTAAACCAGTCCATCTATCAGCGATGAGTGTTGGTAGAATACGGCCAATGATACCAACTCCATTGAGGATCATGACCAAATTGATCGGCTCAGTGACACCAATTTGATCACGAGCAAATGTCCCCAAATAGAAGAAGGCGAAATACAGACCCCAGAAGTTGAAGAACATGCTGAATGTAAAGAAAACGAACGGCAGTTCCGTAAAGGCTGATGTATCGATCCAGGGGCCAGTTTTCCTGGGTGGGAGACGTGGTTTGAACAAAATCAGGCAAGGCACGTATGTTGCCAACATGATGAAACCCATGACTCTCATTGTCCACGGAAAACCAAAGTTATCGTGAAATATCAATCTGTTGATCAGAACCGGGTAGACAAGACCACCAACTGCCGCACCAGCAGCAGAAATACCCACAGCAGCAGCTCGGTATTTCTGGAAGTATTGAGACGTTACCGCCAAGGCTGGAGTGAAGGCCAACCCATTCCCGATGCCCAAGCACACGGCCTGCGACAATATTATTTGCCAGTAGACTGTGCTAAGAGAAGCCATGAAGATACCGAACACCTGGAGGAACACGCCCAGAGTGAAAGTGACTCTGAAATACCCGGCGTCGGCAAGACGTCCTGCGCCGACGCCAATAGAGAAGAGGAAAAACACCTGGACGCTACCTATCCAGGATATCGCAGACTCTGATTGGCCAAGTGCCTGCGTATAGTAGGTTTGGAACACCCCATAGCCGTTGGCGACGCCCCAGGTATTGAAGAAAACGATATGCATGAGCAGGACTTGCGTCCACGCGACGGCACCACCATCGGGCGGCCCATCAATTCCTTCGAGCGCACACTCCAAGTCTGTCTGACTTGACCGTAACGAGTCGCTCCCATCTAGCGATGTCCGGAGCATCGTGCTGGGCGCTCGCACCCGATCAGGGTCCAGATAGCGTGCGGCCCCTGAATCTGCGATGATGTGGTGGTAGGTGGGAGGGAATGCGACAGGAAAAATAGCAGCCACATATGGTGCCAAGACTAGTCATATATTGATATGCCGTTTGGTAGATGCATGGATCTGGTGTGTAAGAGTATCTAAATATTTCGTGGGCGTCCCTACTATAACACCGATTCTTGCTACCCGTCTTTGCCGCCTTTGCCTCTCTAGCCGCCCTTATCCGCTTTAGCCGCGATTGCCGCGATTGCCGCGATTGCCGCTCATCCCCGACACCCTTCACGTAATGGATAGTTTGTAATGATGATTCTCGCAGTCACAAACAACGGCAACCGGGAAGTTCCTTCAACTGCCATATGTGCTTGGCTGACTAAAGCGTAAGGCTGCCGCTCAGTTGGCTTGTGCAACCTAGACGCTATTTTCCTGCCGTAACCGGCAGCTACTCCCGACTCCCGAGCGACCGATTACTTCGACCAAGAAAGGGTATGACGATCTCCAATGCCCAGTTCTGAAGGCCGTAAGCGTTCAAGGCGTGCATGCGAGACATGCAGGGAGCTCAAGCGTAAATGTGACGGTGCTGAACCGTGTGGGACTTGTGTTCGGTTTGAATATGACTGCACCTACTCCAAGGCCACGTCCGGCCGCAGGAGCAGGAAGGTTACCGACGTTGCGACAGCCAGCTCTCCGGCAACACAGATCAGTCTTCCAAGCCCTCTTGTCGAAACAGGACAAGCGATACAGAACTCAAACAGTCGTATTCGCTCCTTGGAAGCGAATTCAGGGGCTGCTTTCCTAAGAAGGCTTGCCCTTAGGATCGATGCGAACAACGCGCCCCGGATGCATGCTTTTGCATGGAATTCGTTCCTTGGTAAGCGGACGGCTGGTTACACTCCAGTTTCTCGTTTAATCTGTGAAATCTTATCAGAAAGAGAAATGAAGAGTTTGGCGGATGTTTACTACGAGAAGCTTGACCCGGTCTACGGGTTCGTCGACCGTGGAGGTATCGATAAGCTCATCAGCAACAGATGGACATATAGTCAGACAGTGCGTCCGGAAGATGCGGTGCTATGCGGCATAGCAGCACTCGGCTATCTGTTCTCCCAGGTGCAGGCAGGGTCACTGGAGCTGGACCTTGCAGAATCAGCAAGATCTGTCCTGGAAAGATCAATGTTTGAGCCCCCAACTGCTACCAGCATTACGGCGTGGGTACTCCGCGTCGTATACCTGAGGCTCACTGAGACTCCTCATATTGTATGGATGGCCAGTTGTATGCTCATGCACATGATTGAAGCGGCGGGCCTGCAATATGAATGTGCTCAAGGGTCAATTCTCCACCCGTGTCCCCAGACGGTGAACCCAGAAATTCGGAAGCGGCTGGTTGCGGTTGCTCAACACCTCAACACTTGGGTGTCGTTCGATATGGGGCGTTCAAGGGTTACTCCTGGCAATGTAACGGATGGGACCTTGTCAGCACCTCTTGGCGACCGCACCGTGGAGATAGCGGAACTCCTACCATATTCCATCATTCTGGATCCCGAAAGGGCGTCCAACGTATCAGAGTTGGAATCTGCCCTAGCCTCAGTTTTGCAACGCGTGCACTCCAGCCCCCCTTCCATCCTTGCGCAGGTGAACCTGATGCTCTGCCTATGCCGACGCCTACAGTCAATGAACATTGCTTTCCAAGGCTCAACCCTGGATCAGGTGCTCTCACTAAGCTCCAGAGGAATTCAAGCAGCCCAAGACTTGCTGGAGGAGCGAACGCCGTGGCACCACATGGTGAATGTGCCTTTCCATGTCGTCTGTGTGTTGCTCGCTATTGATACACTCTCATCAACACCTCAGCTCAGACATGCAATGCACTGCCTGAACAGTGTTGCTGCGGTATACAAGACTGAAGCCACCCAAGAAGCTCTGAGAACCGCGTCTTTATTGATTTCGCTACATCAGAAGTGGAAAGAGAAATGCGCTGCAAATCTCAGTGATGTACTGAGAATGTGCCCGATCACATCGAACATTGAGACTCAGGACGGCTCGTCTCAGCTTCTGAACGATGCGAATTGGCTAGACGGCATATTAGGGGACTTATCAACTATTCAGCAGTTCGACCTCGACCGACTGCTAACACCCGCACCACCGTGGGAAACCGATGTTAATAGTGTGTAATCGAGATGATAATTCATCATGAACCTGTTGCAATGCACTGTACATGCCACCACAAAGCAGCCAGGAGACTCACAACCAAGTCACATTCAATACAAGCCTGACCTTCACCGTGCTACCCACGTTTCTCAGGGCATATCTTAGTGCCTTGAAGATCTCCTTTCCATTCGCCACTTCGGGCTCCATCCACCAAAGCCCACCACTACCAGATAGGTCAACCTCGTGTCCGTCTTCCCCGTAGCATACGTAGCGCTCCCACTTCCGTAAGATCTTGTCAGTATATGGGGTGAAGCCATACTCATCATAAGTCAAGGCATGACGGATGCTCGTAGTCCTCCAACTCGTGGGGCAACTGGCTCACGACAACGGTCACACGAATCACAATCTCCCCTAGAGATTTCATTTCGGGCAAGGAATCCAGCACGCCATTGACTGACAAATTCTTGCGGAACTGAATCCACGAACATCCGTCCAATGTAACTGGGAGTCTATTAACTCTGTCCATTGTCAGCTTTCCTTCCAGCATTATCGACAGGGATTGAAGGGAAACGGGGTCACAGTTCCTGAAGTTGAGCAGATCCGTAACCCAGTTCACCAAGATGTGTCATCATGCGGCCTTTCGAGCCGCAACGCTCTTCAAACCCTCGCGGCAACCCGTCATTTCTCTGTCCGTCAGGTACAACGGGATGGCATGAGCCCGGATGATGTCGAAACAGCTCTGCGCGACACGCCGAGCTATTGTATCACTATGCATGATGTAGAGCCGCTGAACCTGGTGCTGGTCGACGTATTTGCGCCATTTCTCTGGTAGGCGATAGGACGATGGCTGATCTTGATCTCATCTGGTAGCTCAGCGAAGTGGTGAAACAGGAGAATATCAGGCGCCATGACGAAGGTTGGATGGGCGGCTTGCAGTTCATGTATGATGCTGTTGACTGAACTTGATACTGCAGTTGCAGATATGATGCCCCAATCGAAGTAGAATTGTCTGCTATAGGTTTACCATGAGTGGCTTAGGCAAAAACCACGTGAACATGACCTTGAGGCGGCGATGGGCCAAGGAGTGCCTTGCGTACATCTTCGCCTTTGTTGATCCTGAGACCTGAAACGTATAAGTACCATGGAAGCTACTCATTCAATCTTGAAGGGGTCTCGTTCGTGGTCTTAGTTCGCCTGGCAAGGCACCAGTAACATGAGGTAGGGTACGAGGACGCCCGGATACAGAGTCTGCGAGGCTCATCTCGCGGCCCCATAAACAATTGCTACCTGTGTAGCCTTTCGGAGTACTCTTCCTACCTAGAGAATATCTTGTTGACAAACAAAACTTGGAAAGAGGCAGCCTCAGCTCTGCAGCTGCCATCAAACAGCTACGCCAAAGCAAGCTCCTACGCTGGTCTCGAGGCTGAGAGCTCTACACACCTGCATACACCGCATCGAAGGATACTGATACTGGTTGGCAAAGGGTATATCTATTGGGTGGAAGAACATAATTCTTGGTTGGCGCCAGACGGCAGGCTCCTTATTCACCATGGTCCACACCTAGCATCACTGCACATCTTGATCCAGATCACGTTGGCAAAAGACGGGATCCGAGTAAAAAATGCAACCGTTTTCTCATGCCAATACATGCAAAAAGCTCGATGACTTGATTCGCATTATGTACGACTTGCCGACGAGCCTCTCTTCCGAGGGAAAATCAGGTGACCCAAACCAAATGACTCCGAATGCAGCCGTCTCGAATACCGGACCGTGAACGTGTCGTGTCAAGTCTTTAAGATATCCGAGTCCATGTGTGTAAGACTAGGACTTGTGTTCGTGATCAACCATTTATTTCTCCTCGTCCTCACCCAGCATAGCATTGCGCTTGGCGTTGACTCTCTCCAGCTTGCGCTCACGGGCAGCCTTGGTCTTGGCGCGCTTGGCGTCCATCTCCTCCTTCAGGGCGGTCTCACGAGCCTTCTCGGCCTTGGCACGGTGGATCTGGAACGAGAAAGTTAGTCGGTGGTCAAGCGGGTGATCCGAAAAGGGTCAACGTACGTGCTCGACCAATGCGCGCTTGTGCTTGAAGGTGTTACCCTTGCTGGAGTGGTAGAGCTCGTGGTACAGGTGCTTGTCGATCTTGCCGCTGGCACGGTACTTGACGAGGAGGCGGCGGAGGACACGGAGGCGGCGCATCCAGAGGACCTGCTGGGGCATACGAGCGTCGGCAGTACCCTTGCGCTTACCGAAGCCACGGTGGCGACCGTCGCGGCGGGCGAGGTTGAGCTCACGGGCACGGGATCTCGAGTGCATGGTGACGGGCTTCTGGATGATCAAGCCATCCTTGACGAGCTTGCGGATGGTCTGGCGAGAGTTGGCGTTGGAGATCTCGGAGACCTCGTTGGGGTCGAGCCAGATCTTGTTCTTGCCGCAGCCGATGACCGAGGCGGCCAGGCGCTTCTGGGTTCGCAAGTTGACCCTGGAGAAGAGAGAAAATCATGTCAGCCTTAGGTTCCTGCCAGTGGTTCCACAAAAGTGTCACGACGAATATTGAGCCGTGTCTTGTCGAGATGGCGCGTCAGGAACAGACTCTGGGCGATGGTGAGGCGGTAGGCGATGGCAGTGATGGGATTGTGTCGTGGTGGTTGTCGAATATCGATGACGCCCGCCCTCCAACAGTGGGAAAAAAAAAATCTCGGGTGGCCCGGTCCATTGCGTCCATCCAACAGGTGATCAATTCGGGGTTGGGAGCTGGCCATCTCGACGGGCGCAGATTGAGGGCGGCAAAGAATCGTAGACATCGGCATCGGCATCAAGAGGATCATCACAGGGTGTGCAACTTACATCTTGAAGGTTGTTGTGCTGTTGAGATGGTCGGTTAGTACTATCGCTGGGCGAAGGGGAAGTCGAAGAGCAAAAATCGAGAGGGGTCTCGAAATTTGGTGAAGTCGATTTCGATGGAGAACCCGTGACTGGCCTCTGTTTGGGCGCTTTGGTGCTGGGGCCGACGGGGGAATTTGGCCCTGACGTCCACCAAACCACCAGCTGTGAGGGTTTTGTGGACTCTAGGCCCGATTAGGCGAGCTAACCCTTAGGCTGAGGGCTTGAGGGGGAGCACGGACTACAGGCAGGACTGCCTCGTCGGACCAGGAAAGCCCCACCTTCCTCTGACAGCTGCCACGGGTCGCCAGACACTCGAAATCCAGAGGCAGGTTGGCAGGTATCCGTACCGTACTGTACGTAAACATCCAATCCATCCAATCCCTTCAAAGCTGCAGCTGCAGTTGTAGTTGCATTTGCTGTCTGGGCCTGCCGGTGATAGTTGGTGCTTCCGGCAGGTGGTATTTGATACCTGATAGCTGGAATAGTCCGCGCTTACACCAGCGTCAACAGCATCATGGCCACGTTGATGAAGAGCAGCGAAATGACCTCGGTCGACATCCCGCGCTCCCTGTTGTAGCGAAAGATGAACCAAGCGCAGTGCAACTGGAAGGCGTTGATCCCACTCCACAGCCGTTCCGGTGGCTGCAGGGTATCTGTGGTCTGCAGAAGCTTAACCGTGAGCAGTACCAATCCTGTCCCCGAGAGAATTATGTACACAATTTTGGTAAACAGCCGCATTGTTGTTGCTTGCTTGCGGAGACGATTGGCGGTTGGGGACTGTTCCGGTGCATTGCAGAAGAAGATGTGATACCGGCCAAGGTTTGGGTCGTGTCGACATCGAGGTTGATGCAGAAGAGCTCCTACTTAACCCTGGCCTCTTTCACAGAGGGAAGGCATGCCCCTTCTGACATCGTTCTCCTGCCACTTTCCAGTTCGAAATCCCCTAGACCCCTCCAGCAAGTCCTCTACACTCAGCCGCGGCCCTGCCAAGGCAGCTATAACACAATCACAGGCACGAAGCAACCAATATGGATAGTGACATGTGTTCCAAGGCTGGCGTAATCTACATTCGATTTCTCCACGCCGTTCTATTACAGGCAGCGATACGCCATGCTAGATATATAATGCCGATGCTTCTATGCTCTACTCCATCTAAAACCTCACTTAGTCCCATATCCAACTGATAACCTTCCATGCGCTGTGGGCCTTCGGCTCAGGCTCATCCGGATACTGCTCTGCCTGCTCCAGTGCATCGATAAGAGGTATGCTGTCGAGCGACACGAGCTTGGTCTTCTTGACAAACTTCCAGATGAGATAGGCTCCGAGAACCAATGGGATATCCCTATAAGCACGGTCAGCATCATCGTTGGATTATAGACAACAGTTCAAGGTGTATAAGGGCGACATACAGATAGGACGAAATAAAGGTGGCCGTATCCCATTGTCCCTCGCAGAATGTCGTGAAGCCACCGGTCAGCAGAATGAGAATGCACATCGGGAGGGCAATAGCTGAGCTGTAGACTGTGAGGCACATGTGTTAGCATCACCTTGTCTCGCCTTCACCCCTGGGGGGCTGTTAAAACTTACTGGTCCACGAATTGTGCCACGGCAGTCTGCTAGGGTCGATCCCCTGCTTCCTGAGAGCCATCTTCAACCTCAAGTGGTTGAAAAGAATGGTAGACCAACTGATCAACACACCCGCAGCCGTCAGATCAACCAGCCACCAGAAGGCCGTGTAAGCGCCGTCGCTCAGACTCATGAAGCTCAGCAGCATGAAAAGCGAGAAGAGCCCCACACACACATATGGAGTGCCCCAGGAAGTCGTTCGCAGGAAGATCTTAGGTGCTTGGCCTTTCAGCGCAAGACCGTAGAGGACACGCGTGCCAGAAAGCAGACTCTGGTTGGACGCCGACCACGCAGACGTGATGACCACAGCGTTGACCACCGAGGCGATGGCAGGGATGCCAGCAGCCGAAGCAGCAAGCACAAAAGGACTCGTGGCCGCAGTGCCTGAGTCGTCGCCCAATCTCTCATCGTCACTTGCAACCAGCATACCCACGATCAGCACTGCCAGCATGTAGAAAATGACAATCCTCGCAAAGACACGCTTGCAAGCCTTCGGGATGGCACGTCTGGGGTTGCGAGCCTCGGCAGCCGCCATTGCCAAGGACTCAACACCGGCGAACGAAAATACAGCACCAGTCATGACGCTCCAGAATCCAAGGAAGCGACCCCAGTCCCCAGAAGCAATGGGGAGCAGCTCAACAAAAGGGCCCGGGTCGTGCCAGTACCTAAACCCAATCCGCTCCGTGCCCGGAATTCCACCCAGGTTGATCACCAATCCCAGGATGATCAAGAAGACCACAAGCAGGATCTTCAACATCGCGAACGTGAACTCGATCTCGCCAAACACTCGGATGAAGGCAAATCCCACGGCGCTAGTCAGGACGATGAATATCACGATCCACACGACAGGGGTGATATCGGTCCAGAACTGGAACAAGACGCAGATAGCCGTAATCTCGGCCGGGATACTCAGGATATTGCCGTACACCAGGTTCCAGCCGACGGCAAAGCCAAGCGCCGGGTCGACCAGGAACTCGGCGTGGCGCACGAACGAACCCGTCACGGGAAGAAGGGCTGCGACCTCACCCAGAGCAAACTGGACGGCGCAGACGACGAGGCCAATGACTGCATAGCCCAGCAGCGCACCGAGCGGGCCGGCGGTCTGGATCGCGCTGCCGAGACTGAGGAAGAGACCCGTGCCGATGGCGCCTGCGATACCCAGCATGCTCAGATGGCGCTGGGCGAGGCCGCGCTTAAGGTTTTGGGCCTCGGAGCGGGTGATGAGGTCGCCGTCCTGGGCGGCGTGGTGCGCGCCGCCGAGTCCCGCCGCTCCATAGGCATTCTCGGTGTCGTCGGCCGTGGCGCCGTAGTGACTGCTGACCGTCGCGCTCTGCTTGGGATCCATGAGGGGCTGCCGTTCTGAGGATGCCGCTGACTCACTCATACTGGGAGCAAAGAAGAGGAGCTTCCCGCGCCCCCTGGGGTAGACGTTTTCTTTATCAATTACGACGAGCTTGCGCGTACTAGCTTCCCGTGCGACATGGTTTCATGGTATCGCGAGCGGCTACTCCGGTCGGATCCGCCTGGTATGGGGTTATTGGATGAGGTGATCGTTATCGCCTTGCCTCCATGCCTTATCGCTACTGCCTGCCGCGATGTCGTGATCTGCAATTCGGAGGTTTAGTGGGGCCGCCGCACCGGCACTTATAAAAATTGTGCTACCCTCATCTCACCCGGCCTGCTTCTAACACGGCGAATGGCATTCACCCAACGCAAGATTACGTTCGAATTCACGCATTTCCACATGTTAGATAGACATAGGGTCCAGGTGCTGAGAATTCAAGCATTTTTCCGATCTCTTGACGTTCTGGAAAGCAAGCCACACGGCCCCGAGTCAGGATGGCACCGGCAACATACCTCAGCTGCGTTAGAGCTTTCCGGGATACAATTACGGCTTCCTCCACCAGGGGATAATGGCCGGGCCCAGATTTACGTAAACTCTGTGCGAAATCGCAAAACATCTGCGATACAGAGACATTGATAATTTGATATGAACTGCGGATACGAGGTTCTTTGTGGTCACGCGACCCTGGGCTTTCAAGTTTGATCTGGAATGGATTGCCAGACAATTATGTTCAGAAACGACGGAGCCGGGCCGCACACTCCACCAAGAGCTACTGGTTAAATAAATGCTAAACTACCCGCCGCCGGCATACTTACATAGTAAGAGAGGAAAACTATAACCAACACTTGATCCATAGTTGTGACCACCAGAACATGAAGCAATCTTCAGAGCAAACCGCCTCTTCAGTTGCATGCGCTTCCTCTGACCCTGTCAATTGTTATCACCAGGATGCTCGAGTCATGAACCATGTCGGTCCCCTTCTTGTGGAGATCCAACACGATGTTGCAACTGCAAACAATGTCGTGGCCTGTCTCGCAACGTTGTTAAGACTATGCACTCGTATCTTAGTTTTGCAGGCCAAGCTCAGATAGATCAGCCAACGTAGCAATTAATGTCGTCAAAGGTCAAAATACGATCTGCCACCCGATGCATTTCTTGACCGCGTCATGGCAGAGTTGTGCTGTCAAAATGCACATTCTTCTCACGAACACGTTCTTATACGGGCCTTGCGTTTCGGGGAACTCAGCTACGAGATGCGGAGAGAGATGGATTAACCTCAATCCTCGCCAGTCTATCCCATTATAGGTATCGTATCATGGGCAAGCTTTCGAAGCAGTGGCTGCTCCTCCATCTGTAAATTCTACAATATTGTGCGATATTCATAGGCAACATAAACAAGTTCAGAGCCAGTTTCCAGTCCGGTCAAAGGGGCAAAATAATTTAACGTGGAATATCTAGTGAAAAAGGGCCAACTACAAAAGACCACTAATACAGTTTACGGTTTGAAGGACTTCTTGTAGGACAATATTAGACCTACCTTGTCAAAGATGTATTTCATCACACCCGAGCAAGCATGGCCATCCTGATACTGTCTTCACAAGAAATTGCTTGGCCTTATCAATACCATATGGTCTCTTATAGACTGACTTGACCCGCAATGTTCCAAGACTATACGTCAGTAAGTGGAGAAACGCTTCTAGACACTGTTGGGCTCTGCCGATCGGAATCTGCACGACGAGAAAACTCGCAGAACATATACTGTTGCACCGTAGGTACTTCTGCAAGGGGACAATTGTCTACTGGCAAAGCATGACCACCCAGCGAGACTGTAGGAGCGACCAAGCGATATTCACAATCAGGATGGATGTTTTCATGTCCGTCACGTATTTGGGGTGTCTCTGACAATATGAAGGGGAGGCAGTTAGTCTACTGTATGTCGGAGCTAATTATGAAAATAATATGGGTTCAACTGCCGAATCACCAAGACAACAATAGTATTGTCCAAAAATAGGGCTACCCAGCAGCCTTGAGTGCACACATTGCTAGCTAGAATTGACCGACTGGCCAAGCCACTTTGACTTGGAGGAGCCGGCTTGTAGTCACAGCCCTACGGTACTTCGTAGTAGCCACGTCCTTGGGGTCTATAGTGCGGTTTGCGGATCACGGCCAATTACTCACACGAAAGCGGCGGTAAGGGTGCAAGTCTCCTTTGTTGGCCGAGTGGCCACTGCTTCTTCATACCATGCCGCTACCAACACTTCGGATGCGGCTCACCAGACCCGGGCGGTGGCGCGGCCAAGAAATGGGGGACTGCTTGGGCGTGGAGTAAGGTAAGCTGATGGCGCGTGGAGTAAGGTAAGCTGATGGCGCGTGGATGGCAACGGGCGCGGTGGTTGTTGGGATCGGGTTGCCTGATCAAGTGAGAAAACAAAACTTGCTCATATGCCCTCAGCCCAAAGAAGGATCGTCGAGACCGCGAACCAAGAGATCTTACGCACCACTACCATGCCACGCAGGCAAGGCAGGCGGTGCGCCCAGTCGCCGTTGACCAGGGGCCAGCCCACGCCGGGGGCTAGGTTGCTACGGGCTAGAGGGACGGCGGATCTAGGAGGGCCTGAGGGCCTAGGGGCACAGCGTGTCGGGATCTAGCCAACTGTAAATGCGACCCCTCCTTCCATGACAGGTAGGCGCTCCTGGGAAATGCGACGTGCCAATTGGACCCTGACCTCGTCAACTTACAGAAAAAGACTTGCATGATTATGGGGGAATAAGTCACTGGTCAGAGAGCTCTCTCCAGAGGCCTGACTGGCAGTCTTTTCGAGGTACGAGCAAGACATATCAGACGAGAAACGCCGCGTCGCTCGGGCACGTGGGCTGAACTGAGCTGAACTCTCACCTAGCGTTTCGTGCGATCAGACATAGAAAAACTCTCTGGGCCCGACTGCTGTCTGACCGACCCCCGGTCCCATGGTCCCACGGTCCCCAGAAGTGCCCTGTGTGTCTTCGAGGTACCGTACTTCAAGTTAAGTGGCCGCAACGTTTAGTTTCACCATGGCACAGCAGAGCCGACGATAGAGAGAGTACATACATCACTAGGGTCTGTCAGCTCACCTTCACCGGCCCGCATGCGGTCATCCTCGTTACCGGTCTGGTCCCTGGGTATCGCAGCGCTTAATGGGATCCGACTTGAAACTGGGTCTTTACCTACTTCATCTGATTTTCTGATCCCCCCTGCGTGTTGAAACAAGCCCGAGGATCTGCGCGAGGGAAGGCTCTAGGGGGATCTCATGAAAGCGGGTCGCCTTGTCTGTTCTCCAGATCCAACGGCACCGTGTCACTGCGACTCTGTGAGAGCCGAAACCTCTGCCTCAGCAACAATACGGAAATCTCGGGGCACAGAGAACACCAGTTCTTCTTCTCGAAGCATACGAGACTGGTGACCTTGATCGCATCTCACTCGCACCGGTCCAGGTGCAGGCTGTATCCTGTACTCCCACAATGCCGATCATCAACGGCAAAAAGATGGCCTGGTGCGTTGCTATCTCTTCTCACTGCCGACATCCCCACCCCCCGCGGGCATTTCCTCAACGCACGCATTTCTTCTCACGCTCACCCTCTCGCCTCCCTTAAGCTCACCCATGCTGATTTGTGCTGTCACTATAGCGAGCCATGCATTCGCGGCCACCGGTCGACGACATGCAACCATGCCCGGGAGCGCGTCATGGTGCCGGTCCGCAAGCCGGGCAGGCCGCTGAATGAATGCCCGCACCCGAAGGGCAGCAACTGCCACTGCAGGGACCTGACTGTCGCCATCCCCCGCAAGAGGAAATGTCCTTGTGGTGACACCAAGTCCTCGACCGCCCAGGGCTCGACGTCTGGCGTCCTCAAGGAAGGTTCCTCCCCGGGAAGCGCAACGCCGCCAGCCGATGACCAGATCAAGGTCGCCGAGCCCACGCAGTTAGCGCACCCGAACCCTTCAGCCTTCGTTCCGACGCCTCCTGCTACTTACTCATCATCGCCCAGTCTGAATGGTCACACCTCGGCGCAATGGAATGCCAACCCGAGCTGGGACTGGAATTTCGGGGCAGCAGGCGCGCCTACTGTTGGGCCATCATTCCAGGGTTTCAATGGCGCTCCGGCGCCGTTATCTCAACAACCAGGAGTTCTTGGTTCTGCTGTCGGAAAATCGGAGGTGGAGGTCAATGCAGCAACACCGCTCAACGAGCCCACGATACCGCCTCCGAAAGATGATGTTCCCGTACAGTCGAGCTGCTGCTCGACGAGGCGGTCCAGCACGACAGCACAGTTCGCATCAGCTTCGGGGGCTGTCTCTCCTGAGTCAAGCGCATCGTCCTACACCGATCACTCACGATCCAGCTCAAAATCAAGAAACATTCCAGCAATGCGGATGGATAGGTATGATGTCTTGCAACTCCGCCCCCTGATAGTACTCAACTCACCCTGTGTCCCAGGCCCACTTCACAGACGTCACCACGTGTAGCGGCCCTTCCCCAAATCTCACCTGTCCAAGCTGGTCAAGCTTCGTATCCGGTCATGCTGCAGAGCCCATTGGCACAGTTCACCATGCAGCCCATCACAGCTCACCCGCCGGCTTGTACCGGCTGTGGACATGATCAACCGCCCATCCTGATATATCTCCCGTATGGCCCACCCGCGCAACCCGTCAGTTATGTTGGTGCAGGTGGCCCCATGTTTGTCGTACCGCCCAATGGCGCGAGCGTACCGCCCACAAATTTCCCTAGGAACCCTCCGCCAACTGCCATCACGGTTCCGGTTGGTGGCTGTGCAAGCGATGGCGGCAATTTGGGAAGCATCCATGAGTGCCATTGTGGTCCGGGGTGCCAATGCATAGGCTGTATCGCACATCCATTCAACGATGCGACCAAGGAATATATCAGGTCCGCGCAAGATGCTTACGAGGATTTCGGTCAAGGTTATCCTGCGATTCCCGAGGTGGATAGCGCGTCAGTCCCTACTGCACAATCCATGGCCAACCTGGCGTTGAGCCCGGAGCAGACGTTAGGTCCTGAGGACTTCTTCTTCGTCGATTACCCCATGACTAGAGGAACATACGGAGGATGAAACACAAAAAGGCAGCGACATTGAGTTATTGATGACCAGCACAGTTGATACTGCTTGAAAGTCAGCCAGCATTGACGCGGGAGGGAAGAGTTATCACTCCATCATGCCTGATATCAGTCCCTCCCGGGATTGAACCTTTGGCCCAGATGCAATCAGACAGACTGATAAGCTTGATATACGGGGATTGGAGGCATCGAGCAGTCGTGACACTGAGCAGCCCCACAGCGCATACGAGTTACAGCATATTTACGACAGCCATGAATGACGTAGGACCGATCTATTACCGTTGCACCAGAGTGCACACGAGGACAGAGAGCATATCCCGCATTCCTGCTCGATCAGTCAATACAACATGGCAGCAATATTTAAGCTGGTCTGGCGTTACCACGAATCGAGGTTCATCGCGGATGGATCTACTGTATCACCGCGCCATTTCAGCGCGGTGCTGTAGAGGACGAGCTGAGGGTATGGAAAGGTACCAGAATGTATGTCGATATGACATTTAGGGAGTACAGCTAGAGACACAAGCGAGCGAGTTTACTTCGTGACTTTGTGCGAAATTCAGGTTTAATTAGGCATCGCTTGCATTTGGAGTTCTTATGAGTGATTAATATCGTCCCATTTAGTATACATAGTGCTCTTGTAAGCCAACTGCCAGCCGTGGAAATCAAAGATTCGCGGGAACCTGAAGTTCATTGTCCACCTATGTGTTACCCGCCGTAGTCCCATGTCATACCCTGAGGAACCAATACAGCGAGGTGTCTAGCCGCAGCACACCGTGGCCTCTTTGGTTGCACCTGTTGAAGCGCCTCTATTGTAGACTGGTTTAGCTAGTATTCACCGCCAAAAGGGTCTTCTACTTACCTTCCAAGGACTTCCCACTGGAAGACGAAGGCACCAAGGTATGCACCAATGAAGATGCAGATGATGAAGTAGCCGTTATAGTACATGGCAAGCCTGGTGATCCGCGTCAATACGACTGTGACATGTTCCTCAGTGACGGCTTGTCCATCCACTCACAGCATGATGAAGTACGCAACTGCAAACTGCACCGTGTGAAGCAACGCACGAACGGCCTGTTCGAGTATCGAAGGCCGGAAACCTCGGTCACCACTTGTAACACACGCTGGAACCCCTCTTTCGTCCGTGACACTCGATCCGGGGCTTGCCTTGGTCCCAGCCGTTGTTGTAGTCGTGGTCGTAGCTGCCGTCGGGGGCGAACTGGTTCCTGAGCTGGCGGGTCCCACAGATGCGATGTGCTTGCGCACGAGGTAGCCGTCGTATTCCTTCGTTGCCCGGCGCAGCATCTCCAGCGCCATGACCAGGAGGATCACGCCGATGCAGGACCCTGCGAACATGCCCGAGGACGTGATCTGCCAGCTTTTGGATATGAAGCACGCGTCGACCGTGTTCCAGTTCCAGAGCATCTGATGTGGTTGAAACGGGCAATGTTAGCAGCGTGCCACCAAGGGGGAGCATTGTGTCTGCTGGATGGCTGGCTGTACTCACGGAGATCTTGCAGGAGGCGCCGCCTCCCATGTCCATGCCCATATCCGTGGACATGGCGGATGTGGTTGCGCTGCTGGCGGCGGTCGCAGTACCGGTCATGCCCATCGACATGGTTGCCGTGCCCATGTCCATATCCATAGTCATTGATGACATGTCCATGTTCCGTTTGCAGGTCTATCGTGGTGTGGGAGAAACAGAGTTGCCTTCGATGTCTGTAGCTGGTTGTCTTTGCTGACCGTCACCGAACGTCCTTATTATCTATGGCAGGCGATGTGTGCAGGTCAGTGGAGGCCGGCGGCGATGGCCCAATAAGTTTCAACCGCCAAGGCTGCCGTTCGACGAAAAGGAAACATACGAGCACTAGAGCCGATTGGACTCCGGGCTTGCCAGAGGTCAGCAGCTAATTCCCGTGCACACCGAGGATTGCATGGCTGCGAGGCTTTCGGCCTGCGCGGGTTTGAGCACGATTCACGGCGGCATCAACAGACCGCCGGGCCCACCCCCGGTCACACAGCTTCCCGATCGGAAGACGGCTTGGCGAAGCATGGCCCAGAGAGTCCCGTTGAGGCAGTTCCTATATCACGTGCATGGTTGATAACATACGATGTAGGGTTTCGGTACTGTTGGTTCGCCACAATACAACCACACTGTTCATACATATCTTCGTCAGGTTGTAACTGTTGCCTGCCGGATCCTGCTCTCAGCTCCAACGACTCCAACCCTCTCAACTAATTAACGTGGATAGCAAGATCCTTGATGCACGCTCGTCCAAGAAACTCCAGAAAAGATGGCTTATCGCGTCGTGGTCCAGAGAATCAACCCACTGGGAGTGGAGCCAGAGGGTTCCTATCCCATTTCTGACATTTGTATGAGGATTTCATGGTGCATCAGAGCCAGATTGACGACCAGGGGAAGGATGAAAGGTCGACCCAGCTGAGTAAATCCAAGTCACTTACGGAGAATTGTCACTTCTGGTGACATCGTCGCCAAATCCTGTTATGTTTTATGCTCTCGGCCTGCTCGTCTCAATGCTTGCGCTCTCCACCCCAGTTGGATTTTCCTCTGCGACTCTCGTCGCCAACAGCGCTGACTCAGGCATGATTACTCAGTTAATATGCTACTTCTATTCTGGGTAGTCAATATGAGCTACTTCATCGAATATTATCTTGCCGTACGACCTGTGGTTGAATTATACGACGACAATGCGTGGCATGCTTTCGGTTTCGTAGACCAGTCTGAGCCTGTGCGTATAGTTCCGAGATATTCATCGCATAGGTAGTTTATGCGACTAGTCAATATAACTATACGAAGGCTGAGACTGCACATACTAAAATCGAGCTAGTATAGAAATGTCCCCAATCTGATATTGTGTCGTACCCCTGGGTAAAGGCTAACTCCACCACAATCACACTATTTGATGCTTGATGCAGGTCTCAACCCGAGAGGCAGAGCTAAATCTCCCCTTGGTATATGGATCCATCGCAAACCTGCTCAGGTTTCATGGGGAGCGGTGCATAACTCTTCCTTCCAGGATTGCGCTCCACAAACTTAGGCTTACATACCTAAGACCACACTGGAACCTATTCGGCCAGCTTCTGCTTGAACCAATAGTTCATTCGCTTCAGCCTTCCGCACTTCTATTCCTGTGACCAGGTTAGCCCGCGACAGCTGGAAGTGTCATAGGCCTAGCGTCAAAACATGCTCATATACCCTCGCGCCCCTGAAGTTCGTCCAACTTCATCCCTTGGTATCCACTTTTGAACTGTCTAGTTACTAGGAAAAGTGTCACCATACACAGAAGCCAATTGGGAATTCTGGAAGAGGCGTTATGTTTCCCGAGAGTGTTGTGCCTAAAAGTGGTACAAGTCTTTGCTCACCTGGCTCAATAATTGCATTCATCCCGTGCATATGGGGAGTGAATTGAGCATGTAGATCAATGCTACGCCATACATCATCCGGTGTGAACTTCCGGATTCATTGTTGTTGAGTTCAAAACAACCCGCGGCCCCGGTTGAGTCTATAGCTGTGCCAATGCATAAGCCGCCGGCGTAGGTGAAGCCAACCTTCCATTATCCAAAGTAGGCAAAACGCTCTATCTGCTTGCAACAATGGTCGACGCTATCAAGCCACTTCGCCTCGGCTCTATGGTATTAGAGATCATTATCACTTTCACTACACTTGTATTACTCTGCTGTACATATCCGGGCGGGATCAGAACGATCCTATGGGAGGCGGGCGGAGAGAACGGATGGAACTCTAACCCACGCCTACGCATCTATGACTATGCAAATCATAGAGATCCGCCGCCCATACCGCTAATATGGAGCCAGAGGTACGAAGTCTAGACCGAAGCCCGTGAACTACTCTCCGAGAATAAGTTTAGACAGAACTAAAGTGTTTCTTCAGTCTCACTACATCGAACCTAGCCATATCCTTGCTAGCAGCGGCTATTTGTCTTATACGGATTGCATTGCTGTTTTTTGACTTCGGAAGCTTGACTCTGCATGCTGTCTACGATACGATTCTGTCGGTGCTTTGGATCTACAGTGTCTCAGGGCAATCATCCTCCGATTTCACCGACCCGAAACACCCGAGTACGAGACCGTGGTATCTGGAGCGAGAGTGCAGCGAAGTAGACGACAAGTATATCAGCGCATGTGTCTTAGCCAAGATATCATTTGGTTTCTCCGTGGTGTCGATGTGAGTTTTGAACAATTCCATTTCATGCTTCGGCGCAGGGCCTTTCCGGTTAACAACTTTCGTGAAAGGGTTTTCTTTGTCGGCCGCTCAGCCTACTATTATTTTGGACTCGCATACTGGTGCGGTGAGCGCAGACTCATTGACCAAGACCCTGAAAAGCTTTATACTTATCTAAGAGAGTATTTTGAGGAAGATCATATTGGGTATAAACGTATCGGAGGCTGTTCCGAAACTTGGGTCGGTATTGAGGACAGATGTACCAAGGCAGACACAATGGATGCATAGGGTGAGCACTATGGAGAAGAAATACGCCGCAGAACGCTTTTGTAGAATATTCATAGACTCTTCATTTACTGAATCTCTATCTCACTACTTCAATCATGGGCCAGAAGACTTGAGTCCATAGTCTCCATCACCTTCTGAGCGGTTCTACCCGAGATTCCAAGCCGCAGCGCTTCTTTCCCATTCTGACTCCTATACCTAGTGCTCTCTTGTTGTATAACCGAATACCAACTAGACCAGAGCGCCTTGTATTGATCATCGTAGTGGTAGATCTTATCGTGCGCGCATGTAAGCCATCGAGTTGCGGCAAGAAATGTGTCACTATTTCTGACGGGGGTTGGTCCGAAGTAAGCCTCGATAGCCGTACTTGCGGGCACGAGGGTCGTGAGAAGTTTCTTGTTATACAGTCGTACTGCAAAATCGTGGAGATTCGCAGTCATCAGCACGTCCTGCTGAACTTCTGGGCTTCCCAAGTCTTCCTGTTTCAGACTGGGGTAAGCTTCTCGATCTAAGATTAGTCAGATGATTGTTAGATTTTAAGCTAGCTTTACTTCGCAGCACGCACCCAAGAAGACGCCTTCTACCTCCCGATCCAAATGCTCAATATCTATAACCCGTGCCTTGTGTACCATGTATTGCACGAGATCCAAGATCTTCTTCATCTTCTCATCAACCGTGGTTTTTTCGTCGTCCTCACAGAGCATGACGAGCTCAACAAGCATATACCTTAATACTGCGCTGTAGTACAGCTGGACACGGTCTACCTAAGTCAGCCTTGTCTAACGCATCAATTGCTAGATATCCATGCCTTCTATTACACTAGGTGGATGCGTTGCAGAGTTCTCACGGACGGCGTCGTAGCATGAGTCAACCGAGAGAACTACCCAATCATATAGATCGGCGATCAAATTCTCAAAATCATCTTTCTCTTCAGGTGTCAAGCTGCGTGCGGACCAATCTGTCGTCCAGTGAGCATTTGTCAGGTCCTTCTCCTCGGCAGCGATTGAATGGTGGCCCATATTTTCGCAAGCGGACAGATCTGACACTACACACTTGCAAGATAGACTCTGCCTTAGAATATCAACTGCCTGGCTTGCACGATAGATTGATTAGGCATCGAGGGGTTATGTTGCATGTTTCCTTCTTTTAGGGCTGTGCGGCATTCGGCGCATCACGTGAGGAAGCGGACTACAACCATGTCTCATTCTTCTTCTTTTGTCGCCTAAAATTGCAGTGCAATGCATGGTCAATTCATCAGCCACTAGCACGATTTGCTGAACGCTTTCTGGTAGGGAAGGAATGAATTACGTTGCCAGGATCATATTGAGCCAGCATAAATAGAATATCTGAAGATGACCCAGAATCCTCGAGTGGCGCTCATTTCTTCATAGATATTAAAGCCGAATAGCATCATATATAATAAATCCTCCCACTAACACACAATCGTCAACAGTGCTTGTACCTTGAGTAGGAGTGCCCATGCCATGTTATACACTCATTTGCTCTGTGCTGCTGCCCAAGAAGCGTCCCAGTCCGGTACTTGTTGTTGTTGTCCATACTCTCTACCCGATGGTAACCCAAGAGCTACAAGCTCATGAGTTTGATGATCTCTGATGTACTCCTGTGTCCACTCCGAAACTTGGTGGCCTGACTGTTGCTTGCTGCTCTTCTTCTTCGAGGAAGACGAGGTTTTGTTCTTTTTCTTACTTCCGCTACCTTGACTCAGTAAATCTGACGCTGGTTGCAATAGTAATAACTTCTTACCTGTCTTTCCCCATCATTTAAAGATGACGATAAGTAGGCAGATACTGGAGAAGTCTTGAGGAGTCAATATGTGGAATGGAGCTCGTCGTACGGTAGAAACGGAGTGTTGAGTGTCTTGGACATCTATTGATGCAAACGTAAACAGCATTTATATATTGAGAAGACTTGAGAATGGTAGACATTATATCGTATTGTCTGCAAATTCGTTTTAAAGTGGTGAAGAAGGGATTTGTCCCTTTCGCACTTTGCCAAGTAATAGTGCTTCTACTAAGATGAACCCTTGCCAGAGACTATACTTGCCTGAAAAGGAGGCGGTGGATTCCAGACGGTACTCTCTTCATGATAGATTGGCTCGACAGATTCCGAGACATCAAAAGCTCTTCCTTATTTGGTTAGCTCCACCACCCTTCCAGGTAATAGCCTTGCGGCTCTTTCGCACCGGCGATTCCCTTCTCAATCGTTTGTGACCCTGCTCAAAAGTACATCAGGTGTTGTAGTTTCAAGTAAGCAAACCCTTACGCACGTGTAAGGCAACCACGAAGGGTCCGACCCTTTCTGTTTCCAGGGTCTTCGACCTGAACAGCCTGCGCTATTCCTCGACAGGTAGAATACGATGTTCTTGGAACGGGAGCCATGATTTCAGGGTCATCTCTCACTTATTCCTCATGATGGTTCTATACCAGTAGACATATGCTTTCGGAGATTACGTGAAAGGCTAGGTTCTACATCTATGTTGAGTATTGGTATCCAGATAGTTCTTGAGAACTTTTGAAGGAAAGGTTGCCGTCCCGGATATCGTAATCCTAAAGAGAAAACATCTCACTCTATACCGAAGAAGCCTTCTATCTTTAGGTACTTTCAGAAGGTGATATTATAACGATGTCAAAGAGACCGATAATTTATTTATCTGGAGAAAATATATCATGCTCAGGTTGAAGAACTCATCATTCGTTGCTATCTTGAAGATGAAACCGTTCCACCAACAACCTTGAAAGTGAATCATTATGAGATAATGAAATATATGAAGACCGAGTTCATGAAGATAGAGATAATGTCACTATTGACATAAGAGCCACCTCCTCAAAGTCAAACTAAGCCGAGTAGGTAGCAAGAGAGACTTGCTCGTAGCCTTCAGCCGGACGCAATACTCTCTTCCGCTGGAAGTTTTGATTGATCGTCCCACTGCTTCCCGGTCGCTTCCGGCCCAAACCTTGGTGTATTCTTTTTAAGTGTTGGGTCATATTATCCTGACGGGTAAACTCTCTATGGCACTGAGGGCACTTGATCTTGCTCCCAGCATGAATCTTCTTGTGTTTACTCATGTATGAACGACGATTCTCTGCTTTGCCTTTGGGTTTGTAACCACATTCCGAACAGCAAAAGTCATCATCGCTCTCTATCATGTCCTCGTTCTGGTCTGCTGAACTTCTCGACGAGTAGAGTGTCTGGGGAGAGGACGTTTGACTAGAAGGAAATAGTTGAAACGACTCCATGGCAGCTGTGGAATAATCTTCTGTGGCAGTATATTGGGGTTGAAATCCCGGAATTTGGGTCATCGAAATGACTTCATCGTGCTCAACTGGGAGTTTGAAATCCGGGCCCCATGTGAAAGCTCCGATATCAGGGATTTCGTTTCTCTGGAAGTCAGTCTGTACAGTAAGAGCTACCGACCTTCTGCGATCAATTTTCGTTTGGGATCTCTTTTCAAGATTCTGAATGCGAGTGTGCGCGCCAGTGGAATTGAGCGGAATGATGTCGCGGTAACGATTGGTCAGGGGACTTTGTGCGCTCTTTGGTGCTAGGCTCATAGTTTGCTGGCTCTCAATCCAGCGCCCACTTATATCGTTTGTGGCGCTACGTGCCCACGGTTTGCGACGCAGAACAGATGGCACGATGTGTATCTTACTTCCTGTATTGCTTGTTGAGGACTCTATTGAAGATGTAGGTGAAACCTTGCCGGAGCTGCTTGCCCCTGGACCAACTGACGGCGGGGAGATACCTCCATGATTCCAGTCGTATGAGATTGGTTGAACCGTAGGTGTTGGAGGTGTATTGCTTGATGCAGAAGAACTGGGAGGGAAACGAGTATGTTTGTAGATAATTTCCAACGGTGTCGAGGCAGTGTCGCCCAACTCGACTCGGGGGCTCGTGTCCATCAACTCCGCCGTCAAGCAACCTGGATGGAGTTCAGACGTACAGAGCGAGCCGGGGAGCATAGTATTGATATTGTCTGGCTCTGGTGTAGTTGACGGTCTGACGGCCGTTGGGGAGTGGTCGTCAAGCATTCTCCACTCGTGTCGGTTGTAAGGCGTGTCATCACACCACAACTGTTGCGGGTGGGTTGGTTCTTCCTGAAGAGGGTGGTGGCAGTTGGGGCATTCGATTGGCTTTGGCTTGACCAGCCTCATGAATTCTGCAGATGCACGGATACTCTTCTTGATGCTGTTTGACCTCGTTCTGTCCCAGGAACACTTTTTCTCCGAATGCGTTCTGTATTTGGTTTCTTTGCTACAGCAGGGGCATTGGAATTTGCCAGTTGCCTGGTATGGACAATGCTTTAGATGCATAAGCATGCGTCTGGCGTTATGAAGTCCAATATCGGAATTGGCAAAAACCAGTGGGCAATCCGTCATTGGGCAGCGAACGAAAGCCAAGCTCTCGTAGTCTGTCTCAAGCATGTAGTGCTCGAGAAATTTAGCGTAGAGACGACTAGCGAAGCACGAGTCCACAATTCCAGAAAGAAATCTGTGAGATTAGCCAGGGCTCATTCATCATTCCCCGAAGAAGGACCTACTGGCAAGACTTGCTGGGGCTTCCACGTTTCTGTTCATCGTTGTGTCCAGCATGCATTGGCCGAGGCAATATATAAGACTCTCTGCAGTAAGTATTGTCGAGGTCTGGGACGAGAATCGTCTCACTGAGTCTCAAATCTGCGCCAGAAGCACCGCGAAGTGAGCTGTCAAGCTGGTGGAGCGAGAAAAACGAATGCCCAGCACTGTCACTGCCAACGTGCCTTCTCGCCGAAGGAAGAGAAGGCTCTAGCTGTGAGAAGCTCTGCGCTCCGTCAGCATTTCCGCTGTAATTACTTGCATCGCTCCAAGCGTGGACTTGAGAATGAGTTGCGGTAGGACTAGAGCTGAAACTATCCATCTTGAAAAAAGGTGTGTTTTCGAGAGCAAAAAGAAGCACAGCCTGGTCTCAAATTGGCTACAGCATTCCTGGCAGTTTCCAAATATAAAACCGAGTTGCATACATCATGGAATTTTCAAATTCCATTGCCATCTTCTGCATTGACGTTGTATAGGTCGCTTGTCACCCTGAATCGCCCTGCAGGTAAGCAGGGTGAGCAGGGTGATAGGGTCGACAGGGCCACACCGAAAGTCTGCGGTCGCAGGCCATTGTGCGCGGAGTAATTTTAAAGGGCCTCGATCTTTCTTTTTCAACTGATAGACCACCGAATGTACGAACTATCTGCAGGGAGGGGTATGTCGTGGTCGCGATGGTTGCCTCGTTCACCCACATGATGCTCGAACCATACTTGTCTTGCGTTGGCTCTCATCAGTCGGGCAACATCGATTACTTCGGCAAATCGATAGATGGTCAACCCTGCATAGATCAATTATTGCCCCTCAGTATCCCAGGAGTAGAAGCTCGATTCAATTCGCTGTTTCCCGAGGTCGGAGTGAAGTAGGGAACGATGTCCTGTTGAATATTAGGATTGCCCTGCAAGGCGGGATATTGAAGGCAGAGGGGAGAAAAGGGAGCGCGCCCCATAAAGACATACTGTGGCTAGGTCATGTAGTCAGTGGCCATCTGTTCGAATAGAAGTACGAGTTATCACATACCTGGAAATGCAACGAGAGTAAAGGGACGAACTCCGGGCAGGCCGGCCACAGATATATAGAATGCCACTCGCCCCCATCTCAGCTCGGGCTTGTTCTCCAAGTACACACAGCCATAGTAATATTAGAAGCCCATCACGTTATCATCTGGGGGCCGTTGACCAGCATAATATGAGGGTCATGGATGGGGCGGTAATTGGGGGCCCAGTAACGGTCTGCTCGTCGCTTCCATGGCTTGAATTCGCTGTTTGTAGTCCTAAACCATAGAAATCCATCGCTCTGCATTAATTACAAGGCTGTATGGGCCATGGATTGCTTTTGTCTCCTCGCCAGGCTCAAAGCACACAACGCCCATCGGCACAATGGGTGACAGCACATACTTTGTGGCCACAAGCGCACACCACACCGACTTAGATCCTAGTCAGAGGACCAAGCCCGAGGCGGACTAATGCATGGATTCTGTCAAGATGTGGCCTCAAGCCTGCAGACAATGTCATCATCGCCGGGGCCAAACTCCGAAACAACTTCCAAAAGCCTTCTTGAGCATCGACTCCGCATGACGATTGTCAACCCGTTTCTGTATTGAGTGTCTTCCATTGGGTCTTGACGCATGCAGCCCCCGCTTTGAGTATTGTTGTGGCTTTTCTACGGGCTCGCAGTCCCGCTTGTGAATATTCCACGCCAATCGTTTACCATTCCCAGCCACCTGCAAACCGGTGTAACTCTATAGAGCCTGTCTTTGGGGAGCCGAATCATTCGCTTAGCAGCACCACCATTCCGACGTATCCATTCCGGCATTTTTATGAAACATTCTGGTCAGCGAGGACACAGCTCCTCGAGGGTCATCATTGATGGCGTTGGGCTTAATCAGTAATGAGTTTCCTGTTTCTGTCTGGAATAGCTAAGTGGAAATGGAATGCTCAGGTTTGAAAACAAAAGAGACAGGTAAGGGTGAAAACCACACTACTGCAATCAGCGATTGGCTTTGTCATACCCGTACACGAGAAAACTATCCCCCGACCCCAACGAAGTCAACTGACAGCACGGGATACGGTAACTCCTCGATAGGTCCCAAAATCAGACAAAACAAAGCAAAACAAAATTAGAAGTCTGTTGAAACGAATGGCCACGCAGACTGGCAACCGACCCAAGGAAACTGCGACCCAATACCAGCTGGTGCATAAGACGGCTGAGGCTTTCAGCTGTACTTCACTGCAGGCCTTTCTCTGGATTTTTCTTCATTCATTTCTGCTCTTCTAGAAGTGGTATTCCAAGCTTGAGATCAGACTTGAGCTGATCGAAAGTATACAGGATTGCACTTCTTTCTTGCCGATATGTCCATTCAAGCTGATCGGGAGATTCTAGCTCCTCAAAAAACCGGTCTCTAGTATCCTTCATTGCGACTGCTTGAGTTTTGGCGCTCTTCCTGGTCTGGTGAATTTTAAGGAGTGCTTTCTTGCCACTATCAATCATCCGTTCACGCCCCACCGGGCCCAGCAGGTGTAACGGCCGGCCACCCTCGTACGCCTTGCCTTGCTGAATTATTTTATCTTCAAGAAAATCCCAATCATCCTCTTTGATCAACTTCTTACTGACCAAACGACCACACGTGAGTCTGACCCATTCGCAGGCATGCCAATAACCTACATCGGTAGCCCGTGACTCTATGAATTCCCTTATCGCGCTCTCTGCTGGAAAGTCATCCGTGAAATGCTTGTCCATATATAATTGGCGCAACACGACGTTTAAACTATTGAATCGCTTTTGAACAAGTGTAGAATCGTGTGCCGTGTCGGTAAGGAAGGGATAAAAGCCTATATGCGTTGGGTTAATGACGCTGGCTCCTGCATGGGCCGGTGCTTTACGAACCTGTGTGTCTGCAGAGTACAACTAAAAGCCTTCGTATTTCCGCATCAGAAGAAGCAGTGTCAGGCTTGGGTCTTGTCGTTTTTTGCCACTCTACCTGAGATATTGGTTTGGCTCCCAAATTTTCTTTCAACCATACAAATAGCGATATCACTCTTGCTGCCTTACTTGATCCGTCGGAATCGATAATCTCGTTTCCAGTATGAGACTTCACATCGCATTCTTTGGAATGTACAGCCAAAAGGTACCACGATAGTGCGCAGCGAAAGAGATGATTTCTTCTTAAAGAAGAGCCACGAGTAGAACCTTCGATAATTTTATACAGTCGCCCGAAGCTTGAGATATCCTCTCCGTCTCCAAATCTCTCATGCGTACCAGAAACGTGTCTGTTCATCCAGAAAATGGCGCGGACAAGCGAGTCCCGGTCATCTGCGCTCAGGCCACTGATGCTTCTGCAGTACTCCTCTGCACTGGCGTTTTCCGGGTTAGTCGGGATGATAAAGGTTGAGAAGTCGATTTTGTCAATTGCTGTATCGGACTCCTGAGTACCTGAGGATTGGCCCTCAGGAGTAGCCTGAACGTGCGGGTCTTTGTCTGTAGGCATGACGAGCTCTTACAGCTTTTCTTCAATCTTGGATTTAATACTGGGCATTCTGGGTTTCTTTATAACTGCGAGTCTTTAGATCAACAAGCCAGATGCGGCACCAGACATACGGTATTTCGCGAGGTCACCTTTGGCCATTGTAGGACCAACTAACGCATGAGGACAGAAAATGCAGGCTTGTGACGGACGACTCAGCGGTCATAAGAGATGAGTTGCATTCTTGCCCAAGTGTTTGCTTTGATTGCCGCAGGTCACGGCTACACCACTCCGCCTCTGAGGCGAACATTGAAATAAAAAGGATTCTGTTGGTTCCCTGGTCGAGGAACAAGATAGTCATGCTCCACGGGTGGGGGCAAGGAACGTTTCACATGAAGCCAGTATGTATCCAGACTTATATGTTGTATACAAAACCAGTTGATAGCACGAGAAGATTGAATGTCATTATTTTGATGTCAGGACTACGCTGCTCAAATGAGGGTGCCGGGCACCATCCTTGTCTCAATTGTGATGGACATTGACGAAGAGTTAGCTTGCCTGTACCATGAGAGGGCGGGGAGAGTTCAGCATGTGAGCAGGAAGATATTGGGATGTTTGTGAACGAGAAATAAAGCATCCGTTTGCGGGCTATAGCTGCAATAGCCTTGAGTTACATCACCAGGAATCCCCTGCCAGGAACGAGTCTCGTGCTGGACCCAGCACGCAAGCGTCAATTGTGATAGCAACGCGATGCCACTAACGAGTGGGAGTTGACTTGGTCTTGGGTCAAGCCAGCGCACACGCGACCGCATTCGGAGGGCAAATCGTTTGGGCGGCATCCTACACCGTGCTCGCATTCCAATTACCAAGTGTAACCACCACTGTTGGTCAGAACACCGTGACAGCAATGGGATATGGTGCAAGGCTACAACAAGATCGACGAAGTTGTCCCTCGCAACAGAGTACTCATCTTTGTCGAAGGCATGACCTTCCACAAACACAACACATCATCTACCGGGCCACAGCACGATGTCTGCCTAGATCGCTGTTATAGGCAGTGCGCGCCAATACATCTTCACCGGCAATAGATGTGAGGAAATATGCAGTGTACACTTAGATGGATATAGCGCGAAAGTCGATGCGTTGCCAATCGAGCTCCATCAATATGTCAGGCACACATAAATCATCTGGGCCGACTGGTAAAGGACAAGACGTCCTCGGCCGTTACTAAGAAGGTCCGACTCCCATTGCCAAAGCATACAACGGTTTACTATAGGAGCAGTGAGCAGGGACCAATGGAGAATAACAAGGTGGCCCAGGAACGGTTCGGGGTCTGGTATGGCAGAGGGGATCAACGCAGGGACGTCCAGGTAGGGCCAACGGGAATCAAGTTACGGAGAATAGATAGCAACAAGATCAACTTTGGATTGGATCAGATGGTCTCAAATTGTCCCTCTAAGGTGGTGAGGTGCCGCCCGGGACATGTCAGCATGCTCCCGCCGAAGCGGAAAACCAATGTGCTGGAGGGTAGAGCGGCTCGTCACGTCCAATTTAGTTGATACAGAAGAAAGGGAGGGAAAAAGGATTTCGTGAAATCGGGCGCGAGCCTTTTGAGGTCGGTGGGCCGTGGGCCGTTGGTCGGGGCGTATCTTATCGCCACGTGACCGAGGAGCGGCTCCATCCTCCGAGAGCCCAGCGCCCCCAACGCCCTGGACAAATGCCCTGGAGTCTTGAAGTCTTGAAGTCGCGCCTGGGCCCCGCGGGCTCCCATTCCAGCTCCAATCAGCTGTCAGACTGCCGTTCGGGCGGTCGGGCTCCTCGGCCGATCGATAGCAGCAGCCTCGCGGGACAGGGGGCCCGCGCACTGTGAGTCTGGCAGTCACAGCAGGCCACGCCCTCTGTAAGGGTCACTAAACTGCCTTGGGGCATTGTTCCCTAGTGGGCAGTTCAGCGGGGCCTCTTGGGGCCTGGCAGCGTTGCCGACTGGCGACTACGGCTCACTCCCGCACTCTCCCACACAAGGCGACGAGCGACGAGCGACTCCATCGCACGACTCAAGCCGACCTCGCTATCCCATTAGCAATTGATTTGCTTGTGTTTTTCTGATCGATCCCGCGACCCCGGACGCCGCAGCATGGAATTTCAGATAAGACTGTACGCTAGCCCGTGATCCCATCCCATATACATAAAAGCCTACTTCCTCCCCCTGCGCTGGCGCCCCGTGTGACTGCGAGTGAGAACGCGCCGACCCGAGCTGACTCCCAAGCTTCCTCTGCAGATAGCCATGTCTCTTGCCGCTTTCCGAGGCACCTCGCGTGCTCTCCGCACCCTGCCGAGATGGGCTGTGGCGACGGCGGCGACGACCTCGATCGTCCGCTTCCCGGGCCTCGCTCAGGCCCGGCCCCAGTCGTCGGCCTCGGCCTCGTCCGCCGCCTCTCTCGACGGGCAGCAAAGTGTACGACATGAATCTACTTCTGCCTCTGCTGACTCCGGAGCTCCTGCTCGTGGTCTTGGTGCTGATGCTGATGCTGGTCAAAAGTTGCTGTCTTCCCACCTGCGCGAGGCCGACCCGGCCGTCTTCGACATCATCGAGAAGGAGAAGAAGCGCCAAAAGCACTCCATCAACCTCATCCCCTCCGAGAACTTTACCTCGCAAGCCGTCCTCGATGCGCTAGGCAGTGTTATGCAGAGTGGGCAATCCCTTCCTTCGACGGCGTCAACAAAAGCTATACAATGCTAATCTAGCCGGACAGACAAGTACTCGGAAGGATACCCAGGCGCGAGATATTATGCCGGCAATGAGTTCATTGACCAATCCGAGCGATTGTGTCAGCAGAGAGCTTTGGAGACGTTCGGTCTGAGCGATAAGGAGTGGGGAGTCAATGTTCAGTGTAAGTCGATGATGCCCTTGTCCGTAGGTATACCTACGATCCCTGCTCGAGCTCACACCCGTACCAGCTCTCTCTGGCGCACCGGCGAACCTCTATGTCTACTCCGCTTTGATGAATACACACGATAGATTAATGGGCCTCGACTTGCCCCACGGCGGCCACTTGTCCCACGGTTATCAGACGCCTACCAAGAAGATCTCGGCCGTCTCCAAGTATTTCGAGACTGTGCCGTACAGGCTTGATGAGGAAACTGGCCTGATTGATTATGCCAAGCTGGACGAGCTGGCCCAAATATACAGACCCAAGATCATTGTGGCTGGAGCCAGCGCGTACGGCCGATTTATCGATTACAAGGCCATGAAGGATACGGCTCAGAAGGTCGGCGCCTATCTCGTCGCCGATATGGCCCATATCTCCGGAATGGTCGCCGCTAAGGTCCTCCCAAGCCCCTTTAACTATGCCGACATTGTGACGACCACCACCCACAAGAGTTTGCGTGGTCCCCGGGGCGCTATGATCTTCTACCGAAAGGGTGTCAGATCGATCAACAAGAAGAAGGAAGAAGTTATGTACGACCTTGAAGGTCCCATCAACGCCTCGGTCTTCCCCGGTCACCAGGGCGGTCCTCATAACCACACCATCACCGCGCTTTCGGTTGCTCTCAAGCAGGCACAAAGCCCGCAGTTCCGCGTGTACCAGGAGCAGGTGCTTGCCAACGCTCAGGCTTTTGCCAAGCGCCTCGGCGAGTCCAAGAGCTCTGGTGGTCTTGGCTACAAGGTGGTCAGCGGTGGCACGGACAACCATCTCGTCCTGGTCGACCTGAAGCCGCAGAAGGTTGACGGCGCACGTGTGGAGCGCGTGCTAGAGCTGGTAGGTGTTGCCAGCAACAAGAACACAGTTCCTGGAGACAAGTCGGCCATGATCCCTGGTGGTCTCAGAATGGGAACTCCGGCCATGACGACTAGAGGCTTCAATGAGGAGGACTTTGTGCGTGTTGCCGACATTGTTGACCGTGCTGTCACCATCGCAGCTCGTGTCGACAAGGCCGCCCGCAAGGCCACCGAGGAGAAGGGCGACAAGTACAAGCTGCGCTCTTTCTTCGACCACCTGGGAAGCGGTGAGGATGATGCCGAGATTGTCCAGCTACGCGCAGAAGTCGCTGACTGGGTGGGCACCTACCCATTGCCATGGATCGAGGAGGAGAAGGCGTGAAAAGCCTATGCAGTTGGTCGGCTTTAGGATACGCTACGAGCTTCAACGCTCTTGGGCCGGGCCTTGGAATATTGTTGGATCCCCGCCACTCCCATGTGGAAGCTGTCTCGCTTCGCAAGCAGGCGTTTGAACGTATAGCAGCAAGGCTGGAATCTTTTTTTCATCGCAACTCATCTTGCATCGGGAGTTGGGAGATCTGTCTTATAGCCACTGTACACAATGAGACTGGTTCAACATGCATTTCTTTTTCATTGCCCTTCCATGCACAAGCCGCCCACTATGTGAGGCGCGCAATGCGCCCCGGCGGTTATGCCTGTTACACAAGCTAAATTCAAGCAAAGCGGATTGGCCAAAACCTCAGCACCTGAAGCCATACAACAATGTCCCCGTGAGGCGGGGTTGAGTTCGTACAGCCTTGCCGTTCTCATTAGGCTTTTTTCCTTCTCTGTCCAACTTGGGCTCGAACCTCCTCCTGTCGTGCTGTACTTTGTTCGTTATCATCCAGGTCCTGACCCAAGCGGTGTCGCCCCGCCCCCCTTGACCAGCCTTCGTACGTTTGACATAGCGTACCGTCCAAAGTGCCCATCCGCTACGCCCGTCTGTCTCCTGCAGTGACCCGCGACAATAGTATTCCGAGCGCCGTCATCACTACTGTTCTTTCCACCATGGAAGCCCTTGCAGCCCTGAGCTTCTGTTGCAATGTTCTCCAGCTGGTCAGCTTCGCAGGAGAGACCGTCTCCTTGTGCAAGAATGTGTACAATGGGCAGCCTCCTGATGCTGACTTTAAAGTGCGTTCTATACCATGCTTGCTGCCCAATACCTCTGCTACTCCTAGAGAACAAGTTGGAACTGATCCCACAATTAGGATAACGTAGAGGCGATGGTCAAGGTCTCTTCGCAAATTCGAACTCAAACCAAACCGTCCGGCGTCCCTGATTCAAATGCGCCTGGTGTGAAGGATGTTGCGAACAAGTGCAACATTATCGCACAGGCTTTGAAAGACGAGTATAATCACATAACAAGGAATCAGAAGACGGGCAGCATATTATCTACCGTCAATGTAGCGGCTCGCCATCAATGGAGGCGAAATCGTCTGGAAAGATTGGAGTCATCTTTGAGAGACATTCAGAGCACGATGGACACCTATCTCTTGGCTGATCTCTGGTATGTAAGCTCTTGTCCTCACTTTATTTAGGCAAACTAATAGCCTATGTTTAGTAAACAAAGCGCTGCTGCGCAAGAGGCCAACAAGGCTAGTTTCAGAAAGCTGGACACCAACCTGCAATGCTTCATAACCCAGTGTGCAAAAGGCGAAAGATCTGTCACAACTTTGATTCAGCGCGAGGCCGTTTCCACTAGGGAAGCCATCGACCGGTCCATGAAACAGCAGTCGAAATCCATAAACGCGCGCGTTACGGTCGAAGCCGAAGCAACCAGGAATCACACGAAAAGTGAGGTGCAACAGGTCACACACTCTATGTTAGCACTTTCACTCGAGAAGAAAAATAAAGAACGTCAGATACGGAGTAGAGACCGCTTCATTCAAAGCCTCAAGTTCGAAGGCATGAACGAAAGGTTCAACCAGGTGTCTGACTCGCACCACAAGACTTTCCGTTGGATCTTGACATGCCATGACGATTCGGTATATTGGGTTTCAGACGAGGAAGATCGTGAACTTGACAACTCACCTCCCGGTGATACGAAAAGTCTAGCCGACTCAGAACCAAACGACTCGGGAGCAGAGTCGCAGGAAGACTCACGGAGCACGGCGAGCTCATCTGTCCACGAGCAGATATGGGATTGCTTCCACTGCTGGCTCAACCAAGACGACAAACTTTATTGGATACAAGGAAAGCCGGGTTCAGGCAAGAGCACGTTAATGAAACACCTGGTGCAAAACCCAGCAACGAAGGCAGCCGTTCGCACCGCGAGCCCTGGCATACTTATTCTACACCACTTCTTCTGGAAACCCGGGTCTAGCATGCAAAACTCCATTAAGGGGCTTTACTGTACCTTGCTCTATCAACTGTTGGTTGAAGGCCCTGAGGACATTGATGGAATCATCAGAAAGGATCCCGCATTTGCGAGAAAAGACCATGTGAGCGACTGGTCGACTTGCGAGCTCCAGAGCCTTTGTATTCGACTTTTCCGACATCAGTCATCCTTGGTGTGTCTGTTTATTGACGGACTTGATGAAGTTTCAAAGGACGATGGTGCCATCAACCTTGTCACTGCAATCAAAACTATGGTGCAACTTCCCAACGTGAAAGCATGTGTCTCCAGCCGCCCTGAAACCGCTTTCCTTGCACGTCTAGAGACATATCCACATCTCAGACTCCAGGACCTGAATCATCGAGATATTAAGAAGTTCTGCACGTCCACGCTGGCCTCTCATTGGCATAATCGAGTGTCTGAGAAGGCTCGAGCATCTATCTTGAACGAAACTCTTCATAAAGCGGAAGGAGTTTTCTTATGGGCAGCGCTCGCAGTGAGAGAGATCATTACTGGACTGGATAACGATGACAGCGAGCATGAGCTCCAAACCAGAGTCAACCGACTGCCGTCAGAGTTATATGCTCTCTATTTGGATATGTGGAGAAGACTCAATGACGATCGGATATTGTATCAACAAGAAGCAGCCTGGTATTTCAAATTACTACTTGAATGGGTTCATACTCCCGGTCATCTTCATTACGATGGTTATGGGGACAGGGATTCTATACCATTACTTAGGGTTGTCGCAGCTTCAGATAAGATGGTTCAACGGACGGTCCTCGAGAAGAACAAATGGATTGATTCAGATGTCTTACATGATCTATTGGACAAAACTCTCAAAAAGATCGGAGTGCGGTGCGCTGGCCTGCTTACAACCACGCCTAGAGAGAGAGATCTCAGTGTAAAGGCCTATGCACACCATTATGATAAGCTGCGCCCGCGGATTACATATCGAACAACGTTCATACATCGGACTGCCATTGATTTCTTGGTTGATACTAAAGAAGGTCAACAAATCCTCCAATACTGTCCAACCAGCGAGGATGAACTAAGCGCTGATCTCGTCAAGGGATATCTGATTCAATGGAGGATCTTTGAAACGACACGATTTGCACAGTCTTTAAGGATGGATATGCTCCACTGTATGTTTCGTGGAATATCACACCTTACCACATTGCCTGAAAAAGAACTGTTTGAACTACTTGATATCTGTCGAAATGAGATTGAGTCTGGGTACTTTGGCTCTTTTGTGGGTTCAAGCCTTGTTCTCACCGCCCGGCCAAGGTTCACTCAATACGTCCTCTCGAGGATATTGCAGTCTCCAGAACCGGTTTCTTGCGCGACGTCAATACTTCGAGACATGTGGGATGCTCGTAAACCAATCTCACAGAATCTGGATCACCCTGGCTGCTACGTTGAGCCTCTTCTTGCTCTTGGTGCGCGAAGTAACGTAAGAGGGATATGCCAAGGCTATATTTTAGACCACGAATATCACGCCAGCCCCTTCATGATAGCCGATACCGCGTTTTGGCGATTTCTAAAATGGACTGTACTCTTGGGTGAACTCCAGCTTTTACAACCGGGAGAATTTCTACACCTATTGCAAAGCTATCTCGCAAGTGAACCAGATCTAGCTTGTCGCACCCAAGTTTCGATAGAGTTCGGAAATAGAACAGCTCATTATCTACCAGATAATTGGCTGCTGAGCACGGCTGGGCTTCCCGGACTTTCTGAGAACAGACCCGTGTTCACGATAGAAACAAATTTAGTCTTCTTCATTGAGACACTGATGACATGGCTTGCACATCAGAACCATGATGGTAGTAAAGTAACCTTCTCAGATGTTCTCGAAGGCATAGCATCAAGGAACACTGAGCCTGTCTTCAGGCTTCGATTTGTTACTGTGGGACCTCGCTCGGTTGCCTCAAGCTACTGCGTCGTGAACCAGAGACCATCCGACCAAATAACAAGTCAGCTCAAGGGGTGGGTACGTTCACAACTATATCAGGAAATTATCGACGACGACTTGGTAGCCATGGCCTCGAAGACTTGCAATGAGATTGCACTTGCCGAATCAGGCAATTACCAGAAAGTTGATGAGGATTTCAGGGCAATACTCGCCCGGGAAGGAGTGGGGTTTGCCTTTGCTGAGAACTGCACCGAGAATTTAGGTCCTGGGACGTCGAATGAGGTATCCATAGATTGAGGCATCAGCGAATGTTGAATTAGGTATAAAGCATCATTAACGCCGTCATGGGTAGCGTCGGCTGATTATGGGTACTGCGTGGACAAGTTGTAGCATGCTTCAATGTAGTTCGCCAGGTTTATCTTGTATGTTTCTACTCGCTATGGATGGAGTCCGTGGGTGGAATATACCCGTCGAGGACTATAGTCATATTACTATAACTAGTCGAATCTCCCTCTAATTTCAGCTGAATTTGAGAGGTACATATTTTAGTAATGTAAGCACGGTTCCACCCTGAGTATCGACTGAAATCGACTCTTTACCGTGGTCTTCTGGCGGTCAATGTTTCACTGGCAGAATAGGGCTCCATCAACACAAACATGTCATCCACGCAAAGGGAAGATGAGCTTGTCAATCAGCTACGCCAAGGGCTCCATACTATAGTGCACCCCCTAGGACACAAAATATCAACAGCTCGTCATTGGCAAGCCGGTATGAACAGTCACAATCTACGAGCTCCAAGAATTGATCGCCGATCATAAAGATGAGTCAGTATTGCGCTATGCACAGAATACCAGTGTAGCCACTGTGGGAGTTTAGTCGATGGATTAGGAGTCGGGGCTGTGCTGAAGTCGCGTGAACCAGAAAAGCGGGTGTCGTTGAAGGGTACATGGGAAGGTGTCACTGGTATTGCAACCCCCCGGCCGGACTTCCTACATGGACGGGCAGATGTAACTGGTTGTCGGGGTTGGATTCGCGTATCAACGCATGATGTGGAACGTCACGAGAAAACATCCTTTGCCCCTGAGCGGCACCCGGATGCTTTTATGGGATATTGCTATCTGTCGTCAAGACCCATATTTGGCCGGGTCGCACGAGGCTGCGCTGAGGTCAGACGAGGCCGATCAAGATCTTCTTCCGACCCACCGTCGGACCGCAGGCCCGGGCCATAGCATCGATATCGTCACTCACCGGCTGCCGGCTGGCTATCATGCAGAGCGACTGTGAGGGTTCCACCTTATCCCGAGCGGTGGGGACTAGGCAGCCGCTCATCAGCCCGGATGGCCCGGGGGAACAGCTCCGATAATATGATGATAAGTCTAGACACGCTGTTGGAGACGAGACTGAGAGATGATTGACGCAATTTCTGTGGGTTGTTTCCAAAGTACACCCCAAAGTACCGCATATGTACTCCGTACGCAAGTGCAGTGGATAAGACTCCATTCCGGCGAAGTGGATATAGGAACGTTGGTGGTGGATCTGGTGATCTGGGGCGTTGCAGCGGTGCGGCAGTGGATAATGTATGCAGGCGGGCGGCTGTCAGCATGACTGTGATGCACTGATTATGGCATCAAAACATATTGGTCCAGGCCTGACGTAAATCCGAAAAGTGCGAGGTAAGCAGGAGTCAAGACCAGGCTCGGGTGCTCGCTACTGAGTTATGTTAACAGCCCACCTTCTAGTCGGCGGGCGCGATCACTTAACCAAGTTTACACTGTCGGCGTGCAAGAGACATGTCAATGACTGCCTGTTTACGTTGTAGGGCCTGTCATCGCAACGTGTGAGGCAGACCAAATGCAACACTTATCTGATAGGATTTATATAAACATCTATGGTGTTGTGCGAATGATACGCTGAGGGAATTCGGCAGTGACAGATCATTGCCTGTTCCGGACTGCTGATAGCCTCGCATTGCCCTACCATGAACTTGCGTGCTAGGAAAACCTGATTGTACACCAGGCCCGGCCAGGCTCGGTTGCGGAAGGCCACCGAATATGCATCATGATGGCGTTCTGCTTCCCCTCTGTAGAGTCCGATGCGCATCATGGAGAGACGTGTCGGCAGCAGTACGGGAATGTCGCTTTGCCATGCGCTCTTACGAAGTAAAGGTGTGCTACTGGCACTAAACAGTTCGATGATGGGCTTTCAACGGGACACACATCGACATCGGCATTTCAGCATACAATCAGCGATGATGTAGTACGGGCCGGTGGCAGTTTAAGAGGGCCCTATCCGTTTTGGAGGCTAAACAGTAAAAGGCCCGATGGACTGGCGGGAACTCGTGGGAGTCTTCACTCCGTCATATTGTCGGTGTATCCTGGTCGATTAATCCAATTGAGGGTTTCGTCCGGTTGTCAGATTTGGAAATTTGCATCGCCAGCTAGTTAGGTAGCCTGACAATTTCAAATGTTCCAGTTTGCCAGTCTTCCAGCCCTGTGGGTTAACAAGCTCACTCCCCTGCAGCTTGTGTGAGCCCTTACCCACGAAAAGCAGGCGGGCAACGATCTGGGAAACGTAACTGCCGAACCATGCTATTCATTAGCCCGGCTGTTCGGCTACAAGGGAAAAAAGACAATTAAATAAGTAGAGCAAAATTGACAAAGTGTGCGCTCTCCGAAGGCAATGTGTGACGTCTAGTCTGACTGCGCAAGCTGGATTATACTGTCTTTGGTAGTTGATAGTGGCCGATCGCGCCCTGGCAGTGCCTGGATGGGAAAAGTGGCGGCTCTGCGGGAAAAAGTCTGTGCAAGGACGATAAGCTGTGGCACAACAGCACGTTTGAGCGGCAAGATCTGCCACGCACCAACCCAGTCAGGCAATCCGATGGAAGGTAGTCACAGGGCTTCATCGCTCGATGCCAACGGAAGTCATCGATTCAATGAGAGGTCAAACAGGACTGGCGAGCCCTCGAGCACAAACAACAAACACGTCGGGGGGCTTGCAAGACTTACCCATAAGTTACGGGGCACAGGCAGAGGACTTCAGTAGCTCCACTGAAACCGGCCTGCCCCTTGGCTACTATTGGCTCAGTCCCTAGTCATTCTGCAGAACTCATGTACGAGAGCCGTCATTGGGCAGGAGGAATGGCCAGGGTCTTTTCACATGCCAGACGCCGAGGGCAGGACACGACAACTACAATACTCTGTCCTGCCTGGTACACGCCGTCGCAAAAGACGAGCTGAGGGATTCCTACCCTGCTTGCATACGGCGGAAGCATTGCACATGTACTCATGTACTGTGATAAGGCAAGTTGGCATCATACAATGCCAGCCCACAGTACAGACGCGCACTACCAGCTTCTCCAGACCCAATTTTGAGGCACCAATATCTGGGGGAGGGTCTTCGAATGACTCGGATGTGGATTGTACGTCACAGCGCATGCGACGGAGCCATGTTGGGCGCAACGGCCGTTTGACAAAGACGCATAGCAGAGCCCAGCAAACAACGAACCTTATTATCCTGTCCATCGAAATATGTCCTGAATCTTAAAACGTTAGCTTACCCGTCTGTTTGGCCAGGGGCCGGCCACATGCTGTTATGCGCGTCGTCCGTAGGGATAATGGCGGGCGACTATGTCAGTACCCAGCTGCCGCTTGCCCGTGCTTGTCTGCGTGCGATGCTCGTCTTGCTCATGTCAAAAACACGTTTCGTCGAGGGTTTATCCAATGGTGATATTCTCCGAGTCAGGACTAGCAAGCCGGCCGGTGATCCTGGGGATTGGCAAATAGATTGCCGAAAGATCTACGGGCATGGCATTCGCCAAGGCTGCGGTGAGACAACATAATCCGTAGGATCAAGGGGTGAAGCGTCGGGTGGCATCGGAGTACGGCGTCCTGCCGGGAGGGATACGGCACGCGGAACCCTCAAATCAGATCACGTTGAATCATAGGTATACTGTAGATACCCATGGGATTGTCTGGGCAGGTCGGGAATATGAGATTACTGCATATGTAAGTACATAATAGAAAACCGTCGCATGCGTATGGGGGTCGCATATGTCGGCCCAGGCGGGCGAGTCCTGTTTAGGATATCATCCCAAGAGCGCCTCAGCCGTCCCTGAATGCTTTAGAGCTGCTGGTAGTGATCCCCTACACTGTTACCCTGCGCCTTTACCGCCGTAGCCGAGTAATGGAAGCTGGATAGGGCAGGTCAAGTTATAACCTTATCGACTAGGCAGCATGTCAATTGCTTCCACTCAGCCGCCCGTCTTGGTACTGCAAGACTCCAGGGCAAGCAGGGCTCAGGGTCTGTCTGTGGCTGAGTAGTGTAGACGCGGTCGTCGAACGACTGCAATCAAAACATTGGAGAGGCAGGGATAGGCCGCCTACAGCGAAGGGCATCAATCAATCCCATTCAACCACTCATTTCATTTCACGGAGGGGTATGAGGGGCTGGCTGGCTCGGAGGGGTTCGAGGGGTTATGAGGGGTTCGTCCGAGGGGCAGATTGGCAATGAGAAGAAGAGGGAAATCATCCCTCTCTTCCTCACTTCATCTTCGATCGCACGTTGACTGGCATCCATGGATAGCCTGGTAAGTTCGGCTCTGGCACGCACCCACAGTTCTGGATCGCACACCAGGCACGCTATCGCCAGAACCGAGCATTTGCAGCCCCTCGACAGTCAGACTGTGCATGTACCAGGTGGACCTTTGGTAGAGGGGCGCAGACTCGCAGTAACCCCCGCGCTCGTCCAGCCGCAGTCCTTGGCTGGAGGGACCCCACGGGTTCCGCTTTTCGGGGACGCTTGACGTCATTTTCTGGGCGCTCCAGGCGGCGGTTCATCTGTGCTTCCGATGGTGCATGAGGGCTCCATTTTTATCTACAAGTCGCATCGGCCTTGTTCAACAGCGGCCTTGGTTGCTCTTGGCTATGGTGGCATGGCGCTGGCCTCTATTGGAAGAAGCCCCTGGCAAGCCTGGGTATCACAAGATAGAGTTTTCAATCCCGACTCAGAGATTTTCTGCTGTGACGTGCGAGAGCCTCACAAGCCGAGTACTGCAGTACGCGCAGAGCTGCTTCGTTCTGGAAGTCATCCACACGCCATCTGAAAGTATATCGCTAGATCCTGGGGTCGACGGGTCACCTCTCATCTTCGATGACGGCCGGGAGTCCCGGTTTTCTCCTGCAGCCAGCACTCAGTGTCATTGTTCGCTCATGGACGCGCTCCGCTAATAATACGGGGTATGGAGCGATAGGGTGATAGATATTCAGAGGAAGTATGGAAAATCGGGTCTGAGGCACGTCGACTGGGTTGGGTGGAATACTATTGCACCGCCAAGCCTGCAGCATTCCGACCGCAGACGCTCAGATCAGTTCCAGTCTGGGTGACGTTGTCATCTGGAAAACGGCCGAGTCATTCCCCGGACGAGGACTTGTCGGGAACGTCAGGGAGCCGGTGCTATGGCGCGCAGATAGCGACAGACTAAGTACCTCGACGGTATGTAATGGGCCATGGTCCCCCTTCGCCTGGGGCGGCGGAAGATAGGCAATGGCTGTGTCTGGTTGGTCGATGGCTTGTATCGGGTTTGCCTCTGGCAACTCGCTGGCCCACATGGTCCCTGATCCGAAAATGCCTCCTTACATTGGCTCTACGTCGAGATGCGTATTCCTTCGGGCGCCAGCCTGCGCAGGCTTGCTGGACGCCATACTCTACTCCGCGCCCCTGGTACAAACGTTTGACATGCAAGGCCAAGGATAGCAACCTGATTCAGCCCCACCCAGGGGTCCACGCCGTCGACCAAGTCCATCTCTGTGTTTGGACAATGTACACATCTAATCACTCTGACTGTAACATGTATGTCGACAGCACTTGCCTTCATGTGCCCACAATTCCAATATCCACAGTATTCCACTCTTCCTGCCGCGATGAACATAAATATGGGAATCCCCAGACGTCCCCGTGGAGCTTGGTTTTCGGTTCTCCATTTCTATACGGATATTTGACCTCCAGTTGAGCCCAGTATCTGACAGCATCTCATCAACAACTTTCCGATTGTTTTCACTTGCGTGTAGAGTTCGTTCCTTACCATACACTTTCACCATGTCTCCCGAACCTCAACAACCCGCCAAGCCCTCTTTTCACAGAGGCAGCTTTGTCGATGAGCTCGAGACCGCCCGCAAAGACTTGACACAGAAGCTAGTCACCGGCCAGTCTCCATCTGAGGCTCGATCGGCTTCGTCAGCAGACTCTCTCCCAGCTTTGACGCTGTCGTCATCAGGAGATTCGGCCTCTTCCTTGAGCCCTTCTATGAGCGCCACACCCTCCACACCACCCACGGAGCCGACATCGCCGCCTGAGGATCTGGTTGCAGACAGTTTTGCTTTCGCCTTCGATATCGACGGCGTTCTTATCCGGGGTGGACGCGCAATTCCCGAGGCCGTTGAGGCCATGAAGGTGCTTAACGGCAAGAACGAGTATGGAATCAAAATGTGAGTCTGCTTCCTATCTCAGCATTCTATATCAATTTCTGACTAACCCGGTTGTAGTCCTTACATCTTTCTGACCAACGGTGGTGGCAAGTCCGAGGCAGAAAGATGCCGTGATCTGTCCAAGCAAATGGAGATTGATATCTCGCCGTCTCAGTTCATCTGTGGACACACTCCCATGTCGGAGATGGCTACCAAGTATGGTACTGTCCTCGTCGTCGGTGGTGAGGGCGAGAAATGCCGTATGGTCGCTGAGTCATATGGCTTCAAGGATGTTGTCACTCCGGGCGATATCATCAAGCACAACAGCGCGACTACTCCTTTCCGCAAACTTACTGCCGAGGAGCTTGCCAACTCTCGTGAGCGCGACTTCACCGATGTGACCATCGATGCTGTCTTTGTCTTCGCGGACTCTCGCGACTGGGCTGGCGACCTTCAAATCATCCTTGACGTTGCCATGTCGAAGGGTGGTCGCCTCGGTACCACCTCCGAGACCTTCGACGAGGGCCCGCCAATCTACTTCTCCCACAGCGACGTCCTCTGGTCTGCTGCCCATGACGATCCTCGTCTTGGCATGGGTGCCCTGCGGGGCATTGTAGAATACACGTTCAAGGAGGTTACCAAGGGCAAGACCTTGACTACTCATGCTTTCGGCAAGCCTCAGATTGGCACTTTCGAGTTCGCTACAAGACTTCTGCAAAGATGGCGCAAGAACGAGCACAACCTGGATTCCCCACCCGAGACTGTTTACTTCGTTGGTGACACTCCCGAGAGTGACATCCGGGGTACCAACAACTATAACACTCAGGCCAAGAACGACTGGTACAGCATTCTCGTCGAGACCGGTATCTACCAGCAGGGTACTACACCTACCTACAAACCCCGTAACACTGTTCCCACTGTGCTTGATGCTGTGAACCACGGCATCAAGCGTGAGATGCAGAAGAAGAAGTTCAACGGCAAGCTGGGTCTGGCCGAAATTGAGAAGAACTTCAAGCCAAGACTTAACGATCTCCCCAACTGGCTGCTGAGCAACAGCGACTGCGCCGTCCTCAGCCCGTCTGAGGAGCGCGCCCTCGAGCTCGTCGTCTCTTGAGCAATGGTCGTACCAATCCGATTTGAAACGATTTCTTTTGATACCACGTTTGCATTCACTTAAGACCCTTACAGATCATAGAGATATGAACATAGACTGGGCATTTTCATTTCATACCACATTTTATACATCATCGGACACGGCAATCATTCATGCATGCTCCTTTGGGGAGAGCCAAGGAGAATGACCGAAAGGAATTCATTGGGCGGCGTTTTAACGATACACCGGTGGCTTTTACAAAAATGGAAACACAGGATTACAAAGTATCAATCAAGATTTGCTTTTGTAGCGCGATTTGGTGGAATTTTCAGCGTAGTTTAGCAGATAGTATGTCAATTAGACACTCCTTGCAACATTTTACTATCATTTTATCATTGTGCTGCTCGTAAATCAACGCGAGTTGTGATAATCATCCATCCTCACTAAAGATTACAATGCCTGAGTTGAGGGTCGGCAGCATCATCCACTTGCTGTCTCAACAATCGCTTAACTACCATTCCATTTGCTACGCCCAAAGATCATGTCTTCGTTTTCTCATTTCCTCATTTTCTTATGCCCCTACTGTAGATTAACAAACAGCCCTCCATCCACTAGCAACTGCGCACCCGTCACGTAGCCACTCAACTCCTCACAGGCGAGGAACACGGCCGGCCCCGCCAGATCGCTGGTCACGCCCGTTCGGCCCAGCGGTATGCGGCCCTCCATGTACTCGCGCTTCTTGTCGTCCTCGAGGTCCTTGTCGTTGAGCTGGGTCTTGATGGTGCCGGGCAGCAGGGCATTGCAGCGGATGCCGTGCTTGCCCAGCGCCACGGCCGTGCTCTGCATCAGGCTCAGCACGCCCGCCTTGGTCGGCGTGTAGTGCGTCTGCAGGCCGCCGCCGACCAGGGCCGAGATGGACGAGATGCCGATGATGGAGCCGCCGGGTGGGCTCTGCGCCGCCATCTGCCGCGCCGCCGCCTGCACCGTGTAGAAGGCGCCGTCGAGGTTGGTGCGCACCGTCCGCGAGAACAGGTCCGGCTCCAGCGTCAGGAACTCGGCGAACTGGCACACGCCGGCGTTGGACACGCACACGTCGAGCCGCCCGCCGAACTTGGCCACCGCGCGCTCGACCAGCGCCGCCCCCGTCGCCGGGTCCGTCACGTCGCCCGGCAGGTGGTCGAGCGAGCCCGCCGACGGGTCTGCGCTCCTGAGGGCCGCCGCCTCGCTCACCAGCGAGTCCAGGTGCGCCTGGTCGCGGGGCAGGTCCAGATGGTTGACCACGACGTTGGCCCCCTGGCGAATGTACTCGAGCGCGATGGCCCGCCCGATACCGGTTGTGCCGCCGGTGATGATTGCGGTCTTTCCCGAGAGCAGGTTGGACACGGGCATCGTGAGAATTCTGGATGTGGTGCTTTCGCTATATCCGTAGTACTGTCGTGTTGGTGGGGGAGGGGTCCTTGATGGAGGGGTAGTTTTGGGGTAGCTTTACGCGAGGTTTGTATCGTCAGCACCTGCTTCTTGATTCAACGTGTAAATTCTTGTAGACAAGTATATTGGGTAGGAAATAGGTGTAGTGTAGGGGAATGCGTATTTGATTTTCCTCGTCCCAACGGGTATGAGCCACACGATTTACCCAATCTTAGACCCGCCCCCCTTTGGGGCTTCGCATTCAACTTCATCCCCGCGAGGACCGCTTGGCCGCATACTGGTAGACTATGCCATTGATTCCTGTACATAAGGGCCAGGCCAGGCCATGTGTCTCTACTATGGGCTCGGGTTTCCTCTCCGACTTCGTATCCCCCAATCGACAGGCTCCACCTAGTGGTGTGCACCGTGGAGCCACGAGCTGAAGGTTACTCTCCCCGCGTTCTCGGGTCAAAGGACACCGAGGGGTCTTCGGGAGATGAATCGGCGAAAGGCTTTGCGCACCAGAGCTTGGTGGGTTGACAGACCGAGAGCTTGGCATCACGAGGAATTGGATGCCTATCAACCTCCAAATTTCAGGGTATTGGATTGTCAGCAAGGTCAATTGACTGCCGGCACCAATTGGGGTGTGGTGTGGTGCGGGTACCTGACATTGGCGGAATCAACTTTCTCCCCTTGAGGAAGCAAGTACTAGTGACTAGTCATCCAACTGCCATTATATGATTTGCATGCAAGACAGGGTACTCCTGACGATTTCAGTAGGTCATGAGAAGTTTATATTCATTCTAACAGCAATGCACCGTTGGTCTCATGCAAACTAACAAAAATAAGTACCATGCAAGAACGTCCGCTCTCGTATATTTCCAATCGTCGTCATTGGGGGAAAGCCAAGTACAATGGGTCCCGGGGTAATCTAAGCAGCGTTCATGTCCTTCACGCCCTCTGTAAGTTTCTCGATAATGGACGGCTCTCCGTTCGGTTTCGATTCCTCCTTCTGCTCTGCGGGCTTGAGAGCAGCAACTGGGGGAGGCGTCAGAAGGTAATCGGATGGGATCAACTTGGCCCTCGCAGCGGGGTTAAGGGTGAGACCGAATCCAGGCTTGTCGAGGTCTGCTGTGGTCAGGAAGCCCTTGGTTGGGATGGGTTCATCAATGAACAGGTCACCGAAGACTGGAAGTACGCTCTTTCCATCAGGAGAGTTGGCCAGGTACTCCTGGAACGGCGTGTTTGGTTGCGAAATGACGAAATGGTAGCTGTAGGGACCACTCGCGTGAGGAACGACAGGGATATCATATGCTGCGGCCAGGGCTGACACCTTCAACAGCTCGGTCATTCCACCAAGCCACATAACATCGGGCTGAATGATGTCCAGGTTCCGGCCCTCGACCAGCTTGCGGAAGCCGTATCTCGAGTACTCGTGCTCTCCGGTTGTGAACTTGAGAGTAGGGTGTGCCCGCTTGATCTGCTCGAAGCCGTCCGTGTCATCGGGGCTCAAGCATTCCTCCCACCAGTTGATGTTGAGATCTTTGCACTTCTCGGCGATCTCGATTGTGTAGGAGACGTTTAAGCTCATGTAGCAGTCAACCATGAGAGGGAAGTCCGGTCCGACACTTTCTCTGTGCTTACGCAAGAAAGCAATGTTCTTCCTCATACCCTCATGACCATCTTCTGGGCAGTAGGGCAAAGGCACCTTGGCTCCCCAGAAACCCATGTCCTTGGCCGCTGTCGGCTCAGGCCCGGTGCAGTAAAAGTTGAGGCGTTCCCTCGCAGCGCCACCGATAAGCTTATACACCGGCTCGTTTCTGATCTTGCCCAGCAGATCCCACAAGGCCAAGTCAATAACAGAGATAACGGCGACAGGCAGACCTTTGCGGCCGTAGAACATGGAGGCTCTGTACATCTGCTCGAACAGAAGGTTTGTGTTCCTCGGGTCGGCGCCGATCAAGAATCGTTCAAAGTGCTGGTGAACCAGCCAGCAGCCTGGGGGGCCTGTACTCCTGAGTCAGCTCGATCTCTTTGCTCGAGATTTTGTTGTTGGGGATCATAATGCACCTCCAAAGCCCGTTGCGAAACCCACGGTGCCATCTGTAGCCTCGATCTCCACGAGGAACGAGCCCAAAACATTGATACCCCAGCTTGTCCGCGACTTCTTGTATTGGTCCCAAATTGAGCAGGGTGTCGAAATGTCGGAGTCAATGAGCCTGCAAGAGAAGATCTAGTTAGTAGTTGATTGGTACAATTGTAGAAAGTCCATAGACTCACCAGTGACCGCCCTTGACGTTGTGATAATCACCACCTAGACTTGGTCAATTCTCCCATGCTGTAGACTAATTGACTTGCAGTCGCAGACTCACCGGAGCCTACGCCGCCGATAATAAAGGAGCGAATGGCCTTGATCGTTGGGAAGTCCCTTGCAGCCATCTTGAGCTTTTCACTTATGACGACAATGCGGGGAGCCGATCTGAAAGTGTTGGGAGGTGTGTATACGCGTGGACCAAGATAATGGGTGTTAAAGGGTTTCTCTAGGGAGGGAGGGTTCCAAAATGGACGTTCTCAGGGTACCCGCTGTCTATTACAAGTGCACGCGAGCCTTCGGTAGGATTACACAAAGAGGAGGAGCAAGTAAAGCAATCGTGGGGGGCGCCTCAGTACTTCAAGCTTCACACAATCCGAGTCGCGATGCAGCACTCGTCGCTCCGTCGGGGTCAGATCCCCCGACATATGGATACAGTTCCAATTGGGGGGAGGCGTCCCCGCCGCGCGCAGCTTTCAGCATGCCAGTTGCAAGCTACGCGTACCCACCGAGCCGACTGAATCTTGGCGGTCTTCTCAATGGCGGGCCGGTGGCTGTTCCAGTCGGGTTCTAGTCAGTCATGGGCTCATTACGAGTGTGTGTAACTAGATATTGCTGAGATCGAACTCTTTGCTGCTGGCCGGACAGCTGCGCGTCGTTGGTAGCGCACAGATCGGCATCCTGCCGGCAGTTGACTGACTATCCATGGGCTTAAGGGTGCCTCGGCAAGCTATAGCTACCTTGGATGCATGCCGAGTAGGTACTGAACAACCACGGAAGACCACCAAAAAGGAGTGTTTGAACCGATAAACCTCCGTCTGCAATGGGTGTGGCTCTGTCTTCACTTCAGGACGTTGGACACCACGTGAATACGAAAGCTGAACCTGGTCTGGCCAGAGCACGCTCCCCGTCTAAGTTCGGGCCAATTTCCCCAGACCCGAGGCCCCGAATCGGGTCAGGCCAGGGACGACATGGCAGGGGCAATCAACCACATGTGCTCTGCAGAATCAAGCGAACCGTCCAGTGAATCTAGTTGCCTAGGTACTAGGGATTAACTTGCCCTCGAACGTCGGGGCCCTAAAAAGTTAGAACTGCTGTTCTACAGTAATCGCTGAGATAGAGCAACTTCGTACAGCAGCGTCTTCAGTTTTTACTTCTAGGTCTGGCAGTATGAACCACGTGCCCTTACTACTATGGTATATACCTAGGTATCCCGACACGACACTCTTGAGTTGGGTTCCTGCCTTTGGCCCTCTTTCGGACACGACAACAAGACTTGTCACACCGTGGCCATCCTGGCACCTGTGTCGCTTCTGGCCAAGAAATCCTAGCGTCGCACGTGAGGACGACCCCAGATCTCCAATCTTCTCGACAAGCTTCCCCGCATCAAGAGATGAGAGACTGGGATGAAGGACCTGCGTCGCGGGTTTTTAATAAATGCTGGCTATATCTTCTGCACCGTTGAATGAGGGCTTTGCTCACAATGCCCGCCAAAGCGGCTTAGGAACGTGTGTGCCAGTGCCAATTCGGCGGAAATGATACAACCGTCGGGCCAGAATTCTTTCAATGGCTCGCTTGCCTCCTGTAAAGTCCTCCAATCTGAGCCAGCGCGCCACCAGCAGTCGCCGGGCCTCCCATTCGGATCTAACTTAGTCATTGGAACCATAGTTGTTGACTGACTATTCCTCCCTCGACGCCGCGTGTGCAACTTTGCCTCCCCAATCACAGAGCCTTGACCATCCAGGAGACCATGCTGCAATAGCCTTCCTCTTTCCTGGTCAGACAAATCCCACCTGGTCCCCAAATGTGCGTGGGTGTGGGTTGCCCGTATTCGTAGGCCCATCCATCCACCATCCCATGTCTGCTGCCACTGCGTGACCGTTGCCGCTCGGATTCGGGGTGGCCTGCCCACAATTAAAAATCCCCACGTTCCCAGACTCCGTCTCCCCCATTCTGCTCAACATTACCCCGAGCTTCTCATCGACCGTGACGCTTCGGTCGCGCGCAACAGAAACAGCCCGAGTATGCTGCCACCCGCCCGGCTGCCAGCCCAAGCCCATTCTATCTTTGAACCGAGCCCGGAGAGTATGCGCTAGACAGCTGGCTGCTGCTGGGTTCTGCGTGTGATCCAATCCGCGGGCCATGATGCAGCCTGCCCATCTGCACACGGGCTCGCTGTCACACATGTCACCGCCACATAGCCATAGTAAACAGGAGCCCGAGAGCGATGATGGAAATGGCGTGCACAGCGGAGATGATAATGACCCGGAAGACGACCAAGATGAACCTGAGATGGCGCGTAGTGGCAAGCGCAAGCGCCCTGTCTCTGTATCGTATGTGTTATATTTTCCCAGCCTAGTCTTTTGTGTGTTTATACCCCGTCCGTCCTCTCGGTGCCGTCCCCATTGCCCTCGTACTCCTTCCCCCCCTGCACTTCCCCTTTCTGTCGTTGCATGTTGGGTGTCGGCTCGGCATCTTTCATCGGCACCCTCGTGATCCATTGGGATGTCGCCGGAAGCATCCCATCAAGATCCACGGCCGACGTCTCCAGGAAGGCACCAATCCGATCACTCGGACTCCTCAGACCTTGAACCTGAGGCCAAGAAACCTGCTAACGTTGTTCTCTTCCCAAGATGCGAGCTGTGCAAGCAGAGAAAGGTGAGCCTGGTAAATTGCGCTGCCCGTTGTCGGTCTGACGCAGGCTCTCCCTCGGGTGCAAGCCGAGTACGAAGGACCACTGCTAAGACTGCTTTCATAGGTAAAATGCGACCGTGGCCAACCATCATGCGGGTGGTGTAAGCGCAACTCAGTCCCTTGCGAATACCGCGAGCGAAAGAAGCCTGGTCTGCGCGCTGGTTACGGAAGGGAGTTGGAGCAGCGTCTAGACAAGCTTGAGGAAATCTTGAGGACTCATTCCGAGATTCTTCAGCATTCATACGTTGGCAACGCCGCGCATCATGCCCCGCCGAGTGTGCGGACCAGCAATCAAAGCTTGCCCAGTGATCAGGGCACTCCGCGTGATCATGGTGGCTCGGTATTCCGACCCAATGACCCTACGAGAACACCACAGGCAGAAACGGCCCTGTTCTTGCAGAAGCCGTCGTCGTTCGCTCCGGTGACACAGAGCACCGACTTCAGTCTACCGCCACCCACGCCATCTATACACTCTGTTCCAGACGCTTTTCAGCAGCAGATGCCCCTTCCCGGTATATCCCCAACGAATCAGTTGCCCGCACTGCAAACGAGTTCAGCTACTCAGGATTACTATGGCAATCAGTCTTTGCAGTCACCAGGTTTCAGTGTCGCTCAAAGCCAGACTAATCTATCAGCTGACCAGGATCTTCCCCCCTACGACTTGCTCTACGCTCTGGCTGACCTATACTTCAAACATATCAACACATGGTGTCCCATCTTACACCGGAAGACAACACTGGACACACTTTTTGGCCCTTCCACTCTGGATGAGACTGACAGGGTACTCCTCCATGCCATAGTGGCCACAACCTTAAGATACTCGACGGACTCGCGATTAACGGAGGAGCGAAGGCGCCACTATCATGGTATCTCAAAGCAACGGGTTCTCCTCTATGGCATGGAGAACTCGTCTGTAAAGGCGTTGCAAGCCCTTGTTATTCTTGCCCTCGACCTATGCGGTGACAGCAATGGACCTCCAGGGTGGAACATAATGGCATTGATCACGAGATCCGTCGTTCAAATCGGGCTTGCGGTTGAGACTAGCTCTTTCTCTGTTTCACCAAACTACGCTTCCATTTATACCCTACGAGCCATGATATTACCGGAGCCCAGAGACTTCATCGAGGACGAGTCTCGGAGAAGGTTATTCTGGATGGTATATCTGCTCGATCGATATGCTACATTAGCTACTGCATTTGAATTTGCTTTGGACGACAAGGAGATCGACAGGACGTTGCCGTGCAGAGACGACATTTGGATGAAGAACCAAAAAGTTGAAACTAGGTGGTTTCAAGCCGAGAACCATGCACCAGATGGACCAGATCCAGATATGAACAAGCCCGAGAACCTTGGCGCCTTCTCATATTACATCGAGATACTCGGGATCCTCTCCAAAATCCACAAATTCCTCAAACAACCTGTGGACATCAGCGCTCTAGGCGACGTCGAGCAATGGCAAATGAAATATAAAGACCTCGACAATCTTCTGACTTCATGGAAGTTTGGTCTTCCGGGCGAGTACGGGAACATGGCCAAGCTGTTTCAACCTGGCTGCGGGAAGTCAATAAACTGCGGTTGGATCATGCTGCATGCCACATATCACACCGCAGTCATAAGGCTACACTCGTCTGCAGCATATCCAACAACGCGCTCACCGATCTTCACGCCGTCTTACAGTGCCAGTCAGCGTTGCCACGGAGCCGTTGAGAATATTGCCGCACTTGGAGAGTTCGTAGTGCAGAATGGGTTGCTCTCGAAACTGGGACCACCTTTCGCGTTCACTTTATGGGTCTCTGCCCGCCTTCTTCTAGTTCACGGCTCCACAGTCGAGCACAAGCTGTCGCCTCAGATTGCTTTCTTCGTGGACACACTTCGGGACATGGGGAGGTATTGGCCCGTGGCCGCGCGGTACTCTCAGCTGCTCCAGCGTGTTTTGGATGAGCACAGCGATAGCGAGCGTGTGGTGGGCTCGACGGGGGAGAGGGTGACACCCTCATCGGTCAGGATCCTCGCAGACATGCGAAGGACGGCATTTGACCTCGACTTCCTCATCAGCCGACAGCCTCGCCATCTTGCCGGTGCACCGAGCCGGATGCCGAGTGTGACGCCCGCGAGGACGCCGGCCCCAAACGAGCTGGAGTATCTCGATGTGTTTGACTTCTTTAATGTACCCAGGCTGCCATTTAATAATGAAGTCGCTGGCATGGCGGGAGTGCAACATAACGGAACAGGGAATGAGATGAATGTCGACCAGTCCTCAGCAGCTGGTGTACACAATGGAAACTCCAATGGGGCCACCAATGAGTTCAACATTACGAACTTCATGGTTGACGCGAATAGTGACTGGCTGTTTAAGCAGCCTGCTCTCAGCGGCTGATCGACTGGCTCACGATCTGCGCACGTCATGCGATAGTGCCAAGAAGACGACAAATCTGTTCATGCTAGACACAACCAACGTCCTCTGACTCGTGTGGCTCCTTTATATCGGCCTGTAGCCTCTGTTGGAATCTTGATGGTGTAATTTCTGTGATCTGGACCTGGGCGAGAGGTACATGTATCTGGATAGTAATCCGCGGTTCGGTTGGTTGGGGTGTCTGGTCCATTTTATTAGTACCACGAGAAACGGATTATCGAGCAAGGCGTCGTCGTTGTTTTTCCTTCCGGGGAGGCAGAAGAAAAAGTCAATTGAGTAGATACCCTCGTTACGAAGCATTTGCCTACTTTGAATCGTGTGTGTGGTCACAGAAAGAGAATGTGGCTGTAATAATCTAGCAGCATCTTCCTGGAAGTCCAATGAATGCAATAGGATTAAGCCCGCCTGTTTCGTGCGATAGGATGAACTTGACTGTGTCTTTGACTACTCTGTCCACTCGACCTCCATCACCACGGACGAAGACACTACCACAGCACCAATACCCGCGGGATGTCATCGTGAAACACGACACTTCTTACCCCATGAACCAGTCTACTATGGTATCGGCGTGTCTGCCCCTTTACATTGGCATTGATGCAGTCATCAATCGAAGGAAAAATACGCATGCAAATTTGCAACAAGTGAACCAGAGCAAACATTAGAAGTTCTAGTTGATTCGATTGATGAAGTAATCTTTTCTGCAATGCCAATAGCTTGGCAAGGGCAGTGGAGACTAACTCTTGTCTCTCTTTCTCTTCTCTGTGCCATGTGATTCCGAAAGCATGGCCCAAAACATGGCATGCGGGAAGATGATATGCCTTCCGCCCTATCTGCACTCCAAGAACGCCGCACCCCTATGAAGGCCAAAGTCAAGGCCATGCCAGTCTCCCTTGTGAAAAAGTCTTGTCCTCTGAATGGCTTCCTTCCTTCTTTTCCTCATTTGAATGCCAGGGGTATAATTAATGTCATTATTACATGACGCCATGTCCTCTTCTCTCTCTGAAGCCAGGTAGCTGGTCACACTTGTCCGTCCGTCCCAGCTCGACAATCCTTGCCGACCGTTTGTCCATTACTGCTTTCCCGCCAAGAACATCGCCTTGAAGTCCGCATTGGACTTGGGCGTGGAACCGGTGTCGGCACCGTCACCGTTCGCCTCGGTCTTCGCACCACCGCCGTATCCCAGTCCGGCTCGCTGCTTCGGCTTCTGGCCGCTAGCAACCGGTCTTCGTATAGCCATCGGGGGCTTCATCAACTTGTTTCCCGGTTTCTCTGCCTTTGTCTTGAAAAGCTCCTCTACTGAACCGACGCGAATTTTCTTCCCCGCGTCAATCTCGAAACCATTGAGGGCCATCATGGCCTTGCCGACAGTGGCAACGTTCGCATATTCAATGATGGCTCCTTGATGATCTGGTCGCAAGACCACTTTGACGATGTCACCGTGCTTCTCCGCAAGAGCCCGAACGCGGGCATCATTGACGGTGTCTGGCAGATCCAAGATGGCCATGGATCGGGCTTGGATTTCGCGGCCGGAAGGACCGCTGTCGTCGGTTGCCATGGTTGCGTCCGCGTCCGTGCTAGGGGCCGGCGACGAGGCAGCCGAGTGGGAACCAGTTTTGGTAGAGGCGGTGGGCTTGTAATTACTTTCCTTGCTCAGCTCCACCTCGATGATGTTGGATCCCAACTTTGTCTTGTCGAGTTCTGCTGCTTTCTCTGCTTGCTCCTTGGTCTCCATAACCGCAAAGGCAGTGCCCCGATTTTGGCCCTTGAGGTTCTTGAGGAGATTGATTGATTCCACCTTTCCATATCTCGAAAACAAGACTCGGAGATCGTCTTCACTGGACTTGAAATCAAGGTTTTTGATGCGGAGTTCTCGACCCTCGGCGACTGCACCCTCGCGTCTCTTCTTTCCAGTCGGATTTGAGTATTTGGAGAGTAGGTGAAACTTCCCTTCCAGAACCTTGCCGTCGAGCCGGGTTGCCTTGGCGGCACTTTCAGGATCACTGAATGAAATGTAACAGAAACGGCGATGGGTGTTGAATCGCAGGGATGGGAAGCGAATGCTGAAGACCTCTCCACAATCTTTGAACAGAGTACGGATGTACTCCTCGTCCGCCGTCGGTGGGTAGTTTGCCACATAGATGGTAAGCCCAGCACCAGGCTTGACAGAAATCTGTGACTCGCCGAGGTACTTCTGGTCGCGGAGCAGAGCAGATCGCATCTCTTCTGGCGATTCGAATTCAATCAGGGCCGAGGTCGTGCTGCCGTCCGCCTCCTTTTTGGTGGTCAGATTGAGGATGTGGCCGTAGTCCCTGAAGTACTTCTTCAGTGCGGTCTGGGTTACATCTGGCGGGAGATTCCGAACCATGATAGAAGTATTCTCTCGGTCGCGCTTCAAGCTCTGGTCACTAGCTGCTGCATCGGTTCCGTTCACGTCGGCATTCTTGGGACGCTTGTTCGTGATTGCTGTTGTGGCCTCTTCCATTGTATCGGCGCGTTTCCTCTTGGAACCTGATGGCGACTCACTCATGGAAACATCTACAACTTCGGCTGCGGCCGCCTGTTGAGCAGCCTGGGCTTGTGCGGCGTATGCAGATTCGGCCTCTGCTCGCTCCCGTGCGCGGCGCTTCTCTATGCCCCGGCGTGTCTTGTGGATCGTGTCCAGCGCGCGGCGCAGAGTTGGGGGTTGCTCATAATCGTTGCAATGCTGATGGCAGACCTCCATAACACGCTCGGGCCAATCTAGACCTTTGGTCTGAAGAGCTCGCAGCAAGACGTCGGTGGCGTGGGCGGGAACGCGTACGGGCTTCACCCCATTTGCTGGGGTGGCAGGTGTCGGGCTTCGCTGTCTCGGGCGAGCGGCGTAGATCATCATCTCCCACAGATAGTAATTGAGCCAAAAATCGTAGCTGTTGGCGAACAGAGCCTTGTCGGCCAGGTTTTTCCAGATATTCCGAGCCTCCTCAACCTCCCCCTTTTTCTCGGTAAGATACTGGATGAGGATTCGCTCAAGGCGATAGTTGGGGTCTCCCCGGTACTCCTCTTTGTAAAGGCGCTCCCCCCATAGTTGGACATCCTCGAGTGCGGCGAGCAGCCCTACGTCGGCAATATCAACGGCATCGTCCGGTGCGTTGGGGTTCATGGCGGTTCGTTTGAGATATCCACACCAGGCAGCATACATGTCGATGACACCTGTCATGCCATTCTTGTCAAGAGCCTTGGCGTTAGTAGCAGCGTGTTTGATAGCCTCGACATCGTGGAAGGCCCATCCAGCCTCTTCGGCGTTCAGGATGTAGCGGGACCACAAGTCACCCGACCAAGGACAGTGTGAGGTCGCGCGCTGCAGGACGTTCAGAGAGTCTGGCAGGGGCATGTGGGATGGCGCCAAATCCCTGAGCGTGGAGAGATAGACCATGTAGTTCATCCAGATGTCGTGCTCAAAAGCTAGGGCGCCGGTGAGAGCACGCGAGAACAGAGCCAGGGCGAGGGTGATGGCCAGGACGGGATCTTTCGGGTGGTTCCGCGGAGAGGTGGTTTGTATGATCTCCCAGTCCAGGTAGTCCCTGAGGGCCGTCTTGTAGGCCTGTTCGTCGCCAGACCTGGCCAGCTTGTTCAGCTCCAGCTCGCGGCGCTCTCGGTCGTTGTAGGCGTCCTTGGCAGGCTGGGCGGCGGCCGTAACCTCCTTGAACTCGGACTCGTACGCGGCATTGTTGTAGGTGCTGAGGAAGCTGGAGAACATCTGCGAGGTCTCATCCCAGGTGGCATGAGGGATCTGCAGGCGGTCGCGGAACAGGTGTGTGATGCGCCTGACGCCGACGGGGTTGCGACTGCGGGCGAGCTGCTCCTGCTCGATGGAGACCCAGCGGTTCCAGAACTCGTGGCTGTCGTTGAGGCGGTACTTGATGGCCTCGTAGCCCTCGCTCCAGAGGCTGAGGGCCAGCTCGAAGGAGAAGAGCTCGCGGCCGAGCTGCTGTTCCTCCTCGGACCATCCGGCCTCGGGGTTCTGGCAGTCGTTAAACAGCGACCAGAAGTACTCGCAGTAGGCGAGCCAGATCTTGAGGCTGCCGGGCTCGGCGCCGATGGCCTTCTTGAACAGCTCGACGACCTTGACGCGCTCTTCGAGATCGGCGGGCCGGCGTTCCTCGACGTAGGCCAGCCAGCTATCCTCTCCGACGGGGTTGGCCATGGTCGTCGGGAAGGGAAACAGGGTGGGGTTTGTCACGGATGGCGAGCAGTGTAAATGGTCAACCTGGGGTTGTCACCATTGGAGATGCGCGCTGTACGGGGTGGGCCTGTCGTTCCCTCTCTTGTTTTTTCCTCTTCCTTTGTCTTCCTGATAGGGTGAGAAGCGCCAGGTATGAGAAGGTTGAAGGATGGCGGGTTTGCAAGAAACCAGACAAACCAACACAGGTCGCCAGTTGGATTCAACGGCAGTCGGTTGCAAGCAAGGCAACCGGAAGTGGAGTGGGATCGTAATCGTGGATGCTGTGCTGTCAAAAGCTGTGCGGTCGACGGGTGCCGGCCTTGTTCGTGGTGCCTCGTTCGTAGTGGTGCCCGTTCGTTTTCGCGCGCGTGGCTCTGGCTCCAGTTTGCTGGTCGGCCTCGGAGCTAGAACCCACTACCGACATGCGATGATGCTAAAAAGCCTAAAAAGTGCCACGGCCCTGAGCTCTCACTCACTTCTCTCTCTCTCTCTCGGGTGCGTGCCGTCCGTCTTCTTAGCTCGGGTCTGGTTGTCGTCGTGGTTCGCGGTCGCGGTCGCGGTCCTGGTCCTGGTCCTGATCTCCAGCCTCTTCGTCTGCGCGCTCTCCTCTGCTCGGAACGGTGGGTGTCTGTAGGCCGGCTCAGAAAAGGAGAAAAGAAGACCCCTACCAGCTGCCGACCGGGAAGAAGTGAAAAAGACCCGACAAGGGAGGTGGCCGGATCCAGTATGAGATCAGCGCCAGCGCGCGGCGGGAAGCACGGGAGATTGAGCTACTCGGATCGTGGCCTGACGTTCAGCTCTATTGACTCGCGTGCGTCTGCCGCGGTTGCCTTGTGACCCTCAGCGCAACTTGGCGATGTATGCGATATGTGCGTGTATGTATACGTGTGTGTATGTATGTACGTATGCTTGTATATTCTACCTTGGTTATTTGGGCAGGGTGCGATAGGTCTTGCTTGTGTGTTGTCTAAAACAACACAACACAGCACACAGCACACAGCCAGACGGACGACGGACACAGCACTGGAGGACACTGTGAAGTCGCTTCCCACGTGCAAGATTCGAGTCTGTCCTGGCCCGGAAGCACTTGTTGGCGGCGGCGGAGTGACTCTGATTAGTTCCTATGAAAACCAAGGCGCGCGCGACTCTCGTGTACTGTCGCATGGATACAGGATTGTGTGAAGGAATTAGTTCACTAGGTGGCAGTGGTCTCTCTTTTCTTCCCTTTACGTATTTTCGTCCCAGCTACTGCTGCTCTCGGACTCGCTTGCTTCACTTTTTTTTTGTGAGTCGATGGTGCGAACCCCCACAAAATGTGGAGGGCCGCAATTTAGACTGGGCTGGCTGCTGTGGCCTGCCTGCCGTCCTTCTGTCATTTATCGATGCGAGTCCCTTTGTCTTCACGACGCAGATGCCCCAAGATACCCCAACCGCTCGCTGGCCCTGCCGACCGCGTTGCCGTTGCGCGTTCGCTACATACCGTACCCAGTAGCTACACAGGTACTTGACTACCGTCGCCCCGGTCTCGCGGGACTAATGTAACGTCTACGGGCCCTGCCAGCCGCAGCGAGGTCCATGCAAGCCTCCGGGCTGTCGGGGTTTGCTCTTCAGCCTCTGCAAGCCCATCCTGCCCCGGGGCATCCCCCACTACAAAGTACCCGAGTTACCACAGCAGATCCGTTGGCTGGCTGGCTGTTGGCTGGCGCTAGGCCCAACCCCTGAGCGCCCGCCAGCCCGCCCTCCTTTGGTCTCTGGTCTCACCGTGGTGCCTCACGCGATAGGGAGTGCCCCAGCACTAACAGCCAGCCGCCTAGCCCTTTCGGCTGGCCGGCGATTGAAACGGCAACCTAGCGCTCCAGTGGACCCCGAAAGGGTGCGAGCCAAGCACCAGTCAGCACTCGTTCGGGGCCTAGTCCGATGCCCTGTTGCTTGCCAGGCTTGCGCTGCTCGAATCACCTCCAGCCCTGTCTGCCAACGTCGTCATTGTGCAACCACCCAGCGCCAGGGGTGGCCCCCCTCCCCCGTGCGCCCAGCGGCCCAGGCCTGGCCGCTGTGTGGGCTGGCCAGGCTTGGGCTGCAAGCTTAAAAACGTAACTTAAGGCGAGTGCCTCTGTGCTAACATGACAGGCATCCCAGATACCATTGTACGGTAGTACATACGAGTTAGGAGAATTGGCAACTAGTATGGAGCTATGTAAACTTACGTGGTCGACTACTGCTGTGTTTGGCTCCAATGGTCACCTGTGGGCGCGAACACCCCCGTGCCGACTGCCATGGAAGAACCATTGACGAGACCAGCGCCGGATCGAGCTGCAAATACCGAAGCGGCAGAGCTCAACTTTTCTTTTGTCTCTCGAGATGTGCAAGCCGCATGACTATCGCAGATTAGTAATCCAGTCATCCTCGCCAGTTTCAGTCAAGACTCCAGGTGGCGCCTCACAGTCCGAGTAACGTTGCGTCGATTCTCGCTTTTCCCCCGACACTTATATTAGGGCTACCTGCCTTAAAGTAATACCAAACAGAAATTTGGTAGTGAAGCCAATGAGAAATCTAGAACACTGGTATAGCTCGTCTTGGCGAGCCAGCCAGGCGCAAAAATGGAAAGTTACCTCAACTTGCGACAGTGGCAGGCACATGGTAATGAGCAAATGGCGTACCTGCACCACACAAGTTCCTCTTGTCTGGCAGTCTGCAACAAGGCTTGATCATCAAACGCGATAGCCATGGTTCGTTTGGTGACAAGACGAGTATGCTACTCGCCTTGTGTCAGTCAGCAGTTGGTAGCTCGGAAAACTTTTGCAGTACCCGCAAGGTAGGGCACTTGGCACCAGGCTTCGGAGCTCATCAGTATCTGAGCGTGCGTACCTACGAATCTTGGAAGTATGCACCTATTGTTCCCTAGAAATAAGTAGGCACAACATAGAAAGGACACATGCCTATATTAAGCTGAGTATGGTCGGCTCGCCTCCACCTCCTGCCAGCTACCTAAGTATGCAAGCCTGAAGCCGGTATTTTTTTTTTTTTTATATATTTGGCCAATCACCGCCTGGTAATTGTCCCGGACCAAACCGTCCGGTGGACATAGAACCTTGCGCTTCAACGGCGGCGAGAACCATATGAAGCTCAGTTCGCCCTCAAAGAATCAGCCTTCCAACATGGATTCGGTCATTTAGGGATTTGCTCGTCGGCCAAGTCTCGGAATTGTTACCGACCAAGCCTTGGAACCATGTCGCAAAATGTCCCATCGTCGCGTGGCTCTTCTGTTGTCTCAACCAAGTCATGACGTAACATTAGCATGTGGAATGGTGGAAGCTGGCTTCAACGTCATACATTATACGACTTCCACAATGTTTGCCGCCGATGCGCGACCTGGTATTTCCTCATTTGGTTGCAATCGCGGGGTATGGAGCATAACGTCCTTGTTACGTGAGGCTTTGTAACTCTCGTCATGACTGCTTATAACCGCTACCTCCTGTGGACGTTGTTTCTGCGTGTCCCTGCGACTTTGATATCGTGATAGCCATTCCCTTATAACGAACCGCTTCCACATAACCACCAACTCCATTCCAGAACTTGGAGAAGCCAGTTGAGACGGAAGTCCAGCCCAATCATTCATCATGGCCACCTCGAAAGCGGCCTATGCGGCTGAGCAGGCTATTGGCCACGACGGCAGTACCATTACGCAGCAAGATGTTTCCGACTACACGAAAACCGGCGACCCTTCCTCGACCATGAAAGCCCTTGTGTGGCTCGCCAAGAACAAGGTCGAGGTACAAGACGTCCCGAGGCCACGCATTCTCGAGGATGGCGATGTCATTCTCAAGGTTACCGGCAGCACCGTCTGCGGCTCCGATCTGCACTTACTTCACGGCAGTGTCGTTCAGCTCAAGAAGGGTGACATCCTAGGCCACGAGTTCTGCGGCATCGTCGATGAGGTCGGCTCGGGGGTCAAGAAGGTCCAGAAGGGCAAGCGATACGTAGCCAGCTTCCAGATTGCCTGCGGTGACTGTTTCTTTTGCAAGCAGAAGCTCAGCAGTCAGTGCGAGAAGACGAACTCGAACACCACTGAGAGGGCAATGTATGGCGGACAGACCGCGGGCATGTTTGGCTACAGCCACTTCGTTGGCGGATTCGCGGGTGGACAGGCCGAGTACGTCAGGGTACCGCTCGGCGACGTCAACTTGCTGGAGATCCCTGAGGATATACCCGACGAGAAGGCATTGTACCTCAGCGATGTGCTACCCACAGCCTATAATTGTGCCAAGGATACGGCCGTCTATGAAGGAGATCAGGTTGCAATCTTTGGCGCCGGTCCGATTGGCCAGATGGCCGGTCAGTTTGCGGTTGGCCTGGGCGCGAGCAAGATCATTTTCGTCGACACGGAACCGCGGCTGAGCATCGTCAAGGACAAGTGGCCTAGTCAGCACAGTGACAAGATCCAGACAATCGACTTCAAAGAGCTGAGTTTCGGGGTTACGAATAAAGAGACGGTCGTTTCGAAGCTCAAAGAGATGTGCGGTGGACGCGGACCCGACGTAGCACTTGAGTGCGCCGCTGGCGAATACGCAAAGGGTTGGCTACACTGGCTGGAGATACAGACAGGTGCCGAGACGGACACGAGCGAGATCCTCAATGAGATGATCGAGGGTGTCAGAAATTTTGGTCGGTGTGGTGTGACCGGCATATATGTCGGCTATGTAAGTGTAGTCATCCTCTCGTTGGCGTCATCAAAGACCTTGATGGCCATTCTTCAACCCCCCCTCCCCCAACACTATTCTCTTCTGCCATTTGAGGGATATTATTCCCATGCATAATCGCTAATACTTGCTCAGACAAACCATTTCAACATCGGTTCCATGATGCAGCGCGGTGTGCGCCTCATTGGCAACGGCCAAGCGCCCGTGCATTTGTATTGGGAGAAGCTGCTGGACCAAATCAAGACTGGCGAGCTCGATCCACTACAGATGGTCTCGCACAGATTCAGCATCGAGGATATTGACAAGGTATATTACGCGTTCGAGAAGAAAGAGGATGGAATGCAGAAGGTGTTTGTGGAAACAAAATTCTCGCTACCTGCGTGCCAAGGGTGCCCCAAGTTGACCAGGTTGTAAGAGCGTAATGCCGGCTAATAGTTAAGATGGCAAATTGTCTGTGTCAGGAAATATATTCGACGGTTCAATAGCCTTTGAAGAAAGAAAAAGCTCCATCAAAAGAGTGATCCAAACAACATATCCAGCGTTAGTTTGCTTGATTTTCCGGTCGTGGACTATGAAATAAGATTCTTAACATCAATCAATAGTACTTTGTATACACTGTCCGCTTCCCAATTGAGTATTACATGGCAATTTCTCTATTTCACTCCTCGCTGCATATATTTTGAATGGGAAATGTAACTTCGCTAACTTAGAAGTCAGATCTTGGTTTGTAGATGTTATAAGACGAAATCTGGACTAGGCATGAAGCAGTCAAGGCGGGATTACAACGGTTAAAATCCCCCTCCCCCCAAGACGTCCACGGACGGTACCTAGGACGCGAGGCCGACACCGTATAGGTAGAGACTTAAGGATGTCGATTTGGTTAGTATGTGTTGCCCGGAGCTGCGCCCCAACGCGACCGTCCGGGCCCGGGAACCGAAATTGCACGAGATACCTCGCATGGCTGGTGCGCCCCGTAATTATGGCCCGCGTCTTCGTCAACCGGCACCTAGGCCAGCGTGGCACATCTATTATTGATTCGCGACATACGTGATGACACAACATCGCGACGTATACCTGGTACTTGACAGAGTACAGCGGTGCCGCCGAATCGAAGCTTTCATCCCCGCATCTGCAGAGGAAGCTCCTCTCGAAGCGCCCTATACCAGGTATATGATTCTCAGCCTCGTCTGCTAGCTCATGTGTGAGCGGCATGTCTCGATCTGGCTGTGGGAACTCTTGCTGATACCCGTGGCCTGCTCGACGCGATCCCGTAGTGTACGCAGCAACTGCCCAGGCTTGCACTTGATATGACGTTCGCGTCGATCAGCCCTACAGATGGGCCCAGCCGTTCCTAAACACGGACAGTCGGGCATACTTTCACGCAAGCCATAGACGGCAGACGACGTCCCATTAGTGGCAGCCTCTACCGAACAAAACACCAAACCCTTGTCTTCCTAATCCTGGCCAGATCTTATAAAGGGGCTGCTCCTCTCCTGCTATCATAGCCGGGATATCTATGCGCTTCTTGCTTTCCCCTTACTGTATAATAGTCATTTGTCGAACTTCAGAATATTAAAGCCCTAAAAAAATCCAAAAGAGCATCATGCCCGTCGGCTGTGAGAAGGAATATGCGGAGCTTTGATGCGGCATGGGACCTTGCAGCGTAAAGTCAAAGCGATAGCCGCTGCGTTCGGAGACTTGTTTTTTCGTCGTTGACTCAGCCCTTGTGACATAAATCAAGACCACAAGACTAGAGTCGCAGCCGTCTTATGTCTTAGATCTCATCGCGCCCAAACGCCTGACATCAAAGGCCACGCACGCCTTGGGTACCAGTCTTAGATTGTGTCACAATCAAGCTCAAATTGAATCGTCCTACTTGGACATACCGAAAGCATCTACTTCCTTATTGCATGATTTCCAGCTAGATACATATCCGTTATAATTTTTTTTTAAAAGGGGGGACCTCCCTAATGTATGTCTTGAATCCTTAACTCGTTTTCCTTTCAAGATGTCAGGGCTGAAAATGCAATTGATTCTTGATCCTGAAAGGCAGGTAGTGCGACTAATCCTTATAGCAAGAAGGAAGAGAATGTAAGGGGGCGTGTTTGGTGCCAGACAAAGGCTGTGGCCAAATGGCTTCGGCAAGCCCCTTTTTAAAACAGTCAAGTTGTTTGCCTGCCGCTTAATTTACAATCTTGACATAGGATATTTGACTTCAAGTATATACAATCCGGCCAGTCAAGGATCAGCACTAAGACATCCGCTAAAAAGCATCGATCAGATGCCGAGTTATGAATATGGATTAAAGGTAAAGACTGAAGTTTGAGATAGTAATAAGATTTAATAATTCATTAGTAACTTTCATATTCAACAGCTTATGCCCTTTCCCAAAACACTATTACAAGTTTTAGTGTATAAACATCTAGGTGAGGAAATATAACGAGTCAATACTTTAAGGTATTGCTGTGCGTTATGTTGGAAGCAATATTTTGATCACGACGATGTAACGAACAGGAAACAGCACTTAAATGTATGTATTTTCCCTTACGATTACTAAGGACAGAGCATTTAAATCATGCCTGTAAAGTATGAGACATCTAGACACTGCAAATCAATACCCAATTAGGCAGTTGCACGAGACTCTCGGTGAGGCCAAATTGCCGCCCACTTGCGAAATATACTTTGGAATGACGTAGAAGCCTTTCTGAGCTAGAATGCCATTATAGCTATCCGAGGGAAATTGATAGTTTACTCGGCGCTCTACTTGCTCCTACCAATTTTCTAGTAATAAGTAAACTAGTCCTTCCGTGTAATTTGAGGCCCGTATAACAAGCGTTGTTCTCCTTAAAAAGAAGAAACTTGAACATCCCGTATCATCTCATAGGCGGAAACCCATGTCATCGTTGATTGGGTTAAGCTTGATTATGCCCAAGCCCCGCGAGTCCTCTTGTGGTCACGGCAGTGACAAGCACTACTCGCGATCATGCCTGGTCCTCCGTGTCTCGCCCATCGGCAACTTTTCCGGAAGATTTGTTCCACTGCATGAAATAACAGAAGCGGAAACCGCTTTGTTTCAATAAAAAGCTTAGCATATTGGTGAGATTGACCTTCGCCCGCTTTCTACTGATTCCTCTGAGATAGTGGCCTGCACGGCGAAAGCATAATGTTCGCCGGTGACAGCCCGCCACTTGTTCGGAGCGGTTGAAAAACAATGACCAAACTTGATATTAGAGACGCCAAGACCACAGAGCAGCCCAGCCAAGGTCGAGAGAGAGAAACCCCAAGCGCCTCCGTCGCGATATCCCCGGCGGGGTCTTTCAGGATTCACCAGGAGCGGCTCACTGGTCATCTGCTGATTCACACCGCACCTACCTATTTGTCTTAGCCTCGAAATTGCATCATAACTACAGCAACACGGGTTTCTTCGCCTCGGCCTCGCTTCGTGTCTTCCTAGCTATAACCAACATGCTACATCTATAAAGTCTGCCTCTCCCTATCCGGTTCGACTAGAATGGCCTCCCCCCACAGCGTCCAAGCAACGGCAAACCTTCTGTAGTCCTCCACTCATATCCCCTCTCTTATAACATACACTTGGAACCTCTTTTTGCGTTTCCATCTCAATTGCCAAAATGAGATCCCTCCGAATCCTTGGTTTCGCCACATTAGCTCTGGCCCTGCCAAGCCCGGCAGTCCAGGAGAATAGCGCGGCTATTGTCAAGCGAGGCGTAGAAGACAGTGTCGCCGTCGAGGGCCTGTATAAGAGAGGACCCATTGATCAGGCTTTCTCATCCGCCGCCGCGGACCTGAGTTCTTCCGTCAATCCCAAAATTACTGTCATTCGTACGCTCATTCCCATCTTCATAAATGGTAGCACCCTACAGCTTTCGACACCATTAACACTATCACAGAGTCTTCTGTTGCTACGCTAAAAAGCTCGACCGACGCGCAGGTCACCGCCCAGGCTGTGGCCACCATCAGAACCAACCTCCAAGGGATTGCAGTGGACCTTGGTAGGGATGGTATCGTTATAGTAGGAGCAGTCAGTAGTCTCGGTCGGGCTGTGCCTGCCCTGACGCAAGCTGACATCGACAACCTTACTGCTGCCCTCAATAGCCTCACTTCTACCCTGACCAACATCCAAGCTACTTTGGTCCTGGTTCAGAGCGTCTCTGCTAGTACCACTGCCGCCGTCGCCTCCAACATCTTTACTGTCCGTCTTAGTGCGACAACTATCGTGAATCCCGTCCAGATCCTGGTTCCTAACATCATCGCATCCGGAACGATCAAGGGGCTTAACGTTACCAACCTTACAGAAGCCTATCGCAAATTCGATGTGATCGGGGTTGAACTCATCTCGGGCCTATAGGAGACCAATCTCCGCCTCGGGAGAGTTGCCGTCAGATAGTTCCGGCTGACGAGCCGAAATCTTATCATCGCCCGCTCTCTCAGAGATATCCTGGACGGTTATTGAGATAGAGTTCCTATCATCAGTTCGAACTATCGTATCGGATCGGTAATCTCTTGAAGATATGCTATTTTCATATATAATTAATCCTTCATCGTAGGATTAGCAGAAGCTTGGATTTTCACACTCTTTAATACAGATGCATCTGGAACCATCTTATAAACGTGCTATTAACTTGTCATCTTCATTAAAAGTAAGTTGTTCGTATAATACCTCGTCGTTGCGCTACACTCAACAACCACAGGATAACCTCAGACAGCTGGGTACCGTGTACCAGCTGGTGCGCATCTGAGTACCATAGGCAGATAGTTTTCACGTAGCTGTAGTAGCATACATAATCTATGCTTCTTATTACATACAAATCGCACCTGTTCATCGTGACCCTCACGTACCAAGAATATTATTATTTAATAATATCTACATATAATATTTCAATAAAAAAGTTATGAAATAAAGCCTTTAATATATTATTCTTTACGGTAAATTAAGTTGTTAATATTATCATAAAGTCGAAGGTTAAGTACGATAAGTATATTCCACTATAGGCTCGTAAGATTACAAGACTATGCCTTATCCTCCTTTTCTATGTAGAGGGAGAACTTGGAGGCTAGGTAATAATGGTAGAGGTACTATAACGGAAGCCCCACGAGACCTAGGCTGTGCGCCTTACCTTAGCTAGTGTGACATCTGCCAAACCCTAACACTTTACTGGGGCAGGGCCCGGGTTCTTGTAGCTCGTTGGAATGGGCCAGTACAAGTTGATCAGGATACCTGGGTCGCTCGCCTATTTGCAACGTGTTTAGTCAATCATGAACCGTTTGCTACAGGACATAGAGACCTACGGAGTAAGCACCGGGGAAAGAAACACCGCTGAACGTTTTGGAGCCGCTGCCGGTTACAGTCAGTTGAGCGCAGCCAATATAGAACTACGCCAGTGTAAGTATGAATGCATGGTCTTTCACCACAGAAGGTTGGGATGATATTATCATTACCTGCGCTCCGCCCTTATCTCCTGCACTGTGGAGACCGATGTGCTCAACTCTGAGGAGATAATCTCCTGGGGCGACGCATGAGGGGATCGTCACGCTGACCTGGGTCGCGCCGTTTGACGACCACACCAATCCTGAGTCGGTGACGGAAGGGTGCTCCTCGTAGATCTTGAACCAGACATTTCCCTCACCAGAGAATGTCTTCGCGGTGTTCCCTGACGGTACCTTGGCCAAGTAGAAATGCATAGGTCCTGGGTGCTGGATGGATGGGTCGACTGGGAAAGCGATGCTGCTACCTGCAGTGACGGTCTTGATTCCGCTCGCCCCCGTGCCAGGATTCAGCTCGTAGCATCTGAGCTGAGAGTCGTTGACGTCTTGTACCGGGCCGTGGCTGTAGTGGTTGGTTGTTTCGCGGATGAATCTGTATTACTGCATGAGCTTTGACTACTGAACGACCTTGGGTGTTGCCACCTACTCCCATTCGGCGGATGCGGCCCCATTGTAGGACAGTTTTGGGAATGTGTCTAGGGCAAATTTAGTCATACCAGAGGACCTGGTCGAAATAGGTTGACGTACAATGTGCCTGAGCAGCTCCAAGGAGTGCTAAGAATGCAACGGACTTCATGGTGATTGTGCGAAGTTGATAAGTCTCAGTCGAGGTATAGCGTATGATCGTCACTAGTTGTCTTATCTTGGCAGCAGAAACCCCGATCACAGCGACGATCACCCTATCTTATAGGCCGTACAAGACGAAGTAAGCACCCCCACTAGGCGTTCTTGCACGGGGACCCGGACCGTAACCATCCGCCAGGTTACATCAATCAACGACGGTATGCCAAGGAAGTGAGGCGCTGCTTTCTGGGGAACCCTGTCACATACAACCCTTCGGGACTTTTCTTTCTATCATGTATGGAGCAAAGGTTGCTGCGGTATACCGATCGGGAATGACTCAGGGCCATAGGCTTACACGGCATCGCCAGGGCTGGATCACGCCAAATATGCAAAGGATAGATTCCTTCCATGGAAGTTTTGGACGACTCAAAAAATTGCAATTCTAGGAGCATCAACAGCCGTGCTTAGATATACAGGTCTGTGCTGGATGGTCACTGTCCAAGCGAACTACTATGGGCTTGCGCGACTGTGTAGAAACCTGACTTCCCAGAGAGTTCTGTTCAGTTCTATAACCACTTGGCTTTGCAGTCTGACTTCCATCTTGCTAGAGATAGGACAAGGGTAGGCGCACCCGCGTTTCTCAGCGCTTCCTCTGATCCAGGCAGAATAATCAGAATCAGACAAGAAACGTGGGCATTCCAGACGATATAATTACCGAAACCGTCAACAGGCCAAGGCCACACAGTTACCAAATAGAGCCAAAGCGGGAGGTCTTCCGAAAGCAGTAACTCAGGGGTATTCTGATTGGCTCGCTTGGCGGAGCTCAAGCATCTCATGGTCACCCCAAGACCATGAAAGGGGGAACACGCATCCACCAATGGTGGATAACTTAAATATTTAGGTGCTACATAAGCCTAGAGATAACTCACATCTATCTCGATCTCCCGTCATTGATTGTAGACTGGCCAGCAGATGCACATTGCCAAATCTCACATCGGCCCGAATTTGGCTTCATCACCTGCCTTGGCTCTTTGCAATGAATCAAATTAGGTACCGCATGTCATGTACAGGCCAGTATCTAGTCGAATAATTCTGTACAGCGGGAATCAATGTTTCCGGTCTTATATGTCCTACTCTGGGTCCGATATCATTGTACAACTGAACAGAGGAATTGCAGTGTACTTTGTACATCGTGTCTTAAATAAAACTATGGTTTGTCCAAAGCCGGAACAATATACTCCACAGAACCTCAATAGTTAGATCGCGTTTTATAACTTTAATTGCAGTATGGGGCCTTCTTGAGTGCATCATGCCGATTTGTGTAGCACACCCGGAGCGTCGGCGGCCTCCAAGAGCAAATGTCAAAGAGTAACCCAACCTCAAATGGACTGAAAGTCCGAACTGTCCACCACGCAGCAAAATATGGCGGCCCAATCCTGGCCTACGAAAAAGTCCCGAATCAGCTTGGTCCAATGTGCCCAAGAAGCTATTCGCCTCATCTGAGCCACAGCGTGAAGGAACAAAGGGACCCGTCACATCCACTTCACCGGACCATACAATCGCATCCACGGCTTGTGAGGCGAGCTGGCTTGCTGGCGGCGATTCGGCACCCTAATTATTCCACGGACTCGGGATCTTTCCGTCACCCCGAGAATGAGCTTTGTTACCTGCTGAGAGTTATGCGATGGGTTAGTTGTCCCTCCTGAGCCCGCACCTAGGTTCAACGCGCGTAGAATGCAATAAGGGAAACGATATATTCCATGCCATCAGAATATACGTATTAAGAGACAGGAGACTTTTTTTTGGCGAGCAAGAGTCACAATAGTGCATTGTCGCCAATCTCGTTGGTCCATTGCCTTAAGACATGTCGTTGAGTCTAGTGGAATACGACTACAGACTATATCGGCCCTTACTACATTGATGTCGTTAAACAAATGGAGTGTCGGGCTTGGCTATAGACGACACAACCTTCCGTTCTGCGTCTGGACGCCCTGCTCACGGGTTCTGACCTCCCACGCCTCGCTTCCTACCCCCGTGGTTGCGTAAAAGACATTGCTAGGGTCCCACTTATGCTTAAGTCTCAGCAGCTCGGCGTACTGGTCTCCGTAGAACTCCTGCTGCCAATTGGGCTCCATGACGTGCGCCTCGTTGAGGTAGGATCCACCCCCCTCGCTCGCCGGCGCGACCTGTCTCCAGGGTTCAAGGATGGCGTTGATCTCCTCGTGCGCGGCTGTCATCTGCGCCGGCGTAGCATCCGCTGCCACGGGGGCATTCGTGATCAGGAATGCGATGGTGTTGCGCCATGCGGAGCTGACGGCGTTGTCGGCATTCAGTCGGTTTCGTGGCGCCTGGTGGTAACCCAGGATCACATGGCCCGCCTCCCCATGCTTCTGGACAAGGTCAAAGGTGTCATTGAACTTTGCTGGGTCCTCCCAGTTGGCGCGAGGAAACAACCGGTTCCCTGGCATGCTGGTGTAACGGCCAACGCTGTCTTTCCCAAACGCGTCTTTGATGCCAAATTGGTCGTTGTAAGCCGGCAGGTAGTCATCATAGTAGGTTGTATTTGGCGTGAAAGGTATCCCCAATGCTTGCAGTTTGTCAAACCAAGGCTTTACGAGCTGGTTGAATGACTCAATAGTGTGATTGGGAGCGAAGAATGGGTGCATGTCCAGTACGGGGGCCCCGCCGGTTGAATTGATAGAATACCAAGAATACGTCCCCGCATCAGTAAACGGGATGAAAAGCTCAAAGTATGCTCGTATCCCCTCCCAAAATGTCTCGTTGCTGACGCTGGGGCCTACCCCGAAGGTGAAGGTAGATGTGACGACCTTCACTCGGGGGTGAACTCTGCAGTACAGGGTCAGTGTCTGGGTTTGGTAACTACATCCATTGAACAACTCACCTGACTGTGGCAGATGTTACAATGCCAAAAGTGCTACCCCCTCCACCACGCAAAGCCCAAAAGAGATCAGGGTTTGAGGTCTCATTTGCGGTGACGAATCGGCCATCAGCAGTTACCACCTCAAACCCAAGCACCTGGTCAGCAGCCATGCCATATAGTCCCGACAGCGGCGTGTGGCCACCGCCGGCGAGATAGCCACCGGCAAAGCCCACGCTCTATACACGAGTCAGGATTCAGTTCTCAACCTTCGATTCAAGGGATGCAAACCTCGCAGATGCCACCAAGCGCACTCACACCGTACTGGTGCGCAGCGTTATAAACCTCTCGAACAGTAACGCCCGCGCCGACTTTCAGAGCAGCTCCGCGATAAGTGGCACTGTGATAGTCAGGCAGGAATGCGATGTCCTTGAAATGATGTGTCCACACACTTAGCGACCCGGCCCCATTTGACTTCCCCAGATAGCAGTGGCCCGTGTTCTTGATCACCAGTCGGATGTTCTTGGTAAGAGCAAAGTTCACAGCGTGCTGGATCTGCGCGACATTGCTGACGTTCACTGCATACGTCGGATACCCCCCCAACGTGCAAGTACCATTTGCATTGTTCATCGGAAGGCAAGTTTTACCCTGCCACAGGGGCCACATCGTCGACGTTGGATCGGCTTCACTACAAGGACGGTCAGCAGTATAACTCGAGTTGACTGCCATGAGATGCTTTAGTCTCACTGGAAATAGGGGTTGGGGAAGTTTTTCGTCACAGCTGCACACTTCTCCTTGTCGAAAACGCCCCAGTTCTGATAACAGGGGGCGCCTATTGGGACCGTTGGGATAAGTGCACCACCCAGCAAATCATCAAAGCTATCCCATTCCTGATCGGAGGGCCAATCTGCCTCACCAGGAAAGGTTCTGCACTCGCCACTGTCTAAGACTGGTCTCCTAACACCAAAGTTACCTAGACTTTGCTCATCCAAATGGGATGATTCGTACTCGAACAAGGGAAAGCCGCTGGTAGCAGCTTGAACTGGAGAGCTTGGAGGCGCAGCATTGACCTCAACAGGCGTCCAACACAATATCGAGAGGGCAATAGCCGCGTGGAGCCAATGTTGCCGGAAAGTCATGGTGAGCAAAATGTCCCATGGAAAGTCGAGATACGTGGTGGCTGTTGGAGGCTAGAACATGTGCGCACACGTGGATTCATATACACGCCTGTCATCACAGGGCTCAAGCTGAGCTGTTAGGACAGCAGCGGGGTCCCTGCAGTTTTCGCACTTGGTTGCCCTGGTAGAAGGGGCAAAGGGTGCTATAGCACTTGCGGCTCCATCAGACATATTGCAGATGCTCTTGGCACCAGTCTCGTGGCTCTGTGGACGTGCAAACGAGAGGTGCAGATGACCCCGCAATTGGATGGCCGCTTTGCACGGCATTGGGCCGGCAGCATGGGCGAAAAATTCATGGGCTTTGAATGTGACACTGTGACGGGTGCTGGCTGAGTCTTGATTTCTTGAGTTGCGCCGCTAATGCGATGCCCGCCTCTGGGCCGACAATCATTGCTTACTTAAGTAGGTATATTAGTGATCGGATGAAGGTGCTCTTATTCACGACATATGAGCATGGATAGGTACCTTTTCGAATAGCAAAAACAGTGAGCTCAAGTACGTACGAACAACGCGTAGCCTCATTTGTATAGTATAATGCCTCACGCCCAAGTATCTGTTAGCCACACGAGTAGAGACGAGAGCGTGGTGTTGGGGTATCCATTGATCTCATTTTGGCCATCAACTCCAATGCATGCTTTTGGGTTGGTTCTGTTAGTTTCCCATTAAACGCCTGGCTTTCAGGAGAACGAAAATAGGGGATGACCCTGCTCTGCAGCATGACAGCGACTCAGCCAGCTTGACCACCTGTACTACCCGTACTCGCAGGCCTGGGCGGCGGAGTGGGCTGGCTGCCTTCCCTCTCCATAGCCACACCACCGATGAATCCCATGCCATGGTGTCCTTGCCCGGGCCCGTCTTCCCCCTCGCTGTCCTCGCCCTGCTGGCTGTCGCCACTGCCCATGCCGGCCAGTTGTTGCTCGGCGACCTTCCTTTCGACCTCCTTTAGCCTCTCCTTCTCGACGGGGTCGACCAGATCGTCATCGTCACTCCAGAGGGCGGCATCGTCATCTGGCACATCAGGCATAGCCATGCGCCGCCAGAACCTGATCTCCTGCTTCTTGGCCTTCTCATCAATGCGGCGGTCGTTGCGAGCCTCGTCCTCGTCGTAGCGCTTGCGGAACTCGCGGAGCAGCTTGTTGGCGCGGCCGGCGTGCTCCTGCATCTCCCAGATCTGCTCGCGCAGACGGGAGTTCTCGGCGCGTGTCTCTGCCAGCTGGGAGCGGTAGGACCGGTGCCAGGCACTGACGTCGGCTATGTGCTTTTGTTTGTAATTGTGGAACTGGCTGAGGAGGCCCGAGAGGATGCGGGCGTACGACGTCAGCAGGGCAAAGTTGGCGTCACGGCTGGTTTTGGCCCGGTCGAGGGATTCGGTGAGGACAGAAAGCAGAGCCTCCAGGTTGGGTTCTTGGGCTGTTGGGACGCGGTTAGCTGAGTCCTCGCGGTCGACCCAGGGTCGTGGAGAGAGTGTGTATGTAACCTACCATAGATGTCGTCTGCGATCTCCCCCAGCACCTCATCATTGCCCAACCCTCGCTCGTGCGCACGATTCCGTACCCTGCCAATGCCACTGACAATGTCTTCGGTCTGCCGCCTGTTCTCGGCCAGCTGTCTCGACAGCTCCTCGACCAAGCCGTAGATGATGTTGAGCTCGGCCTGGTGGCCGGCAGGCGTGGGACCGACAGCCATGGCGGCGCCGGCATTGACACCAGGGCCCTGCATAGCCGGGCCAGCGCCGTTCATGCCGTTCATGGCGGCGGGATGGCCGTTGGCGTAGGCGAGGAGATTCTGCAGCTGGATGTGCTGGTGCTGGGCCTGTACGGCGCGCGCGGTGGCCTCGGCAGCAGCGCGTTGTGAGGCCTCAAACTGGGCGGCGTCCTGGTTGACGTTGTAGATGACGAAATGCTGCTGCTGCTGCTGCTGCTGTCTCTCTGGCCTTGGTGGGTTGTCGCCGGATTGGTAGTGAGGTTGAGGCTGAGGGCGCTGCGGGGGAGCCGGGGGCTGCTGTGTCGGGGGCTCTCGGGGATGCGACGGGGATGTTGATGGCGAAGGCGAGTGAGAGGTTGATGGTGCCGTCGGGGCTGCTGAGGATGGCGGCGCTGGCGGATGGAGAAAGTTCATTGTTGTCGTTGCTGCCGATCGGCCAGACCCGGCCGCGCACCGCCGCCGCCGCCGCTGCCCACTGGACGAGGCCCCGTGCTCGATGCTAGACCCCTGGAGCGCGCCGCAACTTTAACGGGCTTCTGGCGTCTGGGGAGCCACTGGACGGGGGCACTTGGAGCGGTGGCCGGTGCACAGAGCTTCTCGGTCGGGGGCGAGGCAGCGAGGTCACACAACCAATTGGCAGGCGGCGAAGGAATTGGATGCTTGGAGGTCGACACGCTCAACGGCTGTTGTCCCAGCATTCGACACTGGAGCAGGCTCGGATGCTCTGCTTTGCCAAACCAATGCGGTTGCTCTAGCCCCCTCGTTTGGTTCACGGTCAACCAAAGTCAGATCCCGCCCGCGGTCAGAGGCTGGAACGTGGCAAGCTCGAGCGTGATGGAAGTCATTCGTCTCAAGCCACCTGCTCGCGTGATATGTAAGTTACGCTCAGGATTCTTCCATGTTGCACCCATCCAAGTAGGACTGAGACTTGGGGGTTTGGTAAGCGGTACGGGTACGGGTACGGAGTACCTACCACGCAGGGGACCAACACAGCCGCCCATTGGCGATTGGCGCGCGCTACATGCGTCGTGGATGTCTCTCTTTCTTGCCAACTCCCCCAGACCTGGATCTGATCTGATCCGGCATGCGATAGCAAGAGACACGATATACTGACCCTCCACCCCCGGCGTCATCCTCCGCGTACTAGTCGAGTAGCATGTTGATGTCCAGGACCATCTCGCCCTCTGCCGGACATTGGGCTGCCCCAACTCTTCAACGGCCTTCCCCTACTCGATCGTCTCATGTTAAGCGCGCCACTGATCGACGCTCAATTGCGAGGGTTTACCTGCTCCACCGCAGCCCACACCGGCCATCCACCTCCCACGGCGGTGCTGATCCCACAGCCTGATTGGCCCCGTCTGGTCCACTGCCGGCAACTAATCTGTGCAGCTTCTCAACCCAGTTCATGCCGCTAGTCGATGAAGAAACAGTCTTCATTTCGAATGTCTATGTTTCTCGTTGACTAGGGACTGGACATGCCCACTTTGTATACGTAGTCTCCTGGTCTAACGTCTCTTGATCTTCTCGTTCATGCGACTCACTTGGGATGGCACCTCTGAGCTGCTTAGTGTCAGGGTGTATGGTGGACATTGTCGCGCTCAGCCGTGACAACCCACGCCATTGACCACCCAACTAGATCCTCGAATTGGCGGCGATCACTGAATCCTTTGGCCTTCTTCTTCTGTCGCCAATGGCTCCGTATCGCGCTAGCTGTATTGCAAGCTATACCACTATGGTATGCAATCCACAATGTTCGCTCTAGTTAGGCCAACTAAGGCCTCGCTACACCTGAATCGGGCTGGTCTTCAGCCTCGCAAATAGGATCAAGTGGCTTGATCTCCATCTGCACGCCAGACGAGTCGGTTCGGGGAACCCGCTGCTTGTACCCGGCCGAGTTCTCCAGCACGCGAGGCGGCAGTCCATCTCTTAAGATGCCGCGCCCTGCTGGTGGCCTTATGATCCCTCCCCTTTCCGTCTCACAAGTAGCTGTGTCTGGGCCTTGTGAGCCTTAACTGAGCCGTCCCGAGAGTCGGACTGGGCCTACTGGTAGCTCTCAACCGTCCAGCTATACGCTCATGTTCTCTCAATCGTTGTTGGTGCCCCTTGCGGGCCTCCTCGTACCGGGGATGGCGACCACTATCCAGCTTCTCGCGCGTGAGACGTCGCCTGCCGAATTACAAGGGAAAATGATGGCACCGAGGGCACCCGAAACCACCACAGCACCATTCCACCCGCGCTGGGCCGGCATGGGAATGGATCGCCTGTTCGAGAGGGCGGATCCGGTCGGTACCAATACTTGTGGCTACATCTCGGGAACCAGCAGTATGTGGACTCTATCAGGGCATGCGCTGGCTTACTTGTTGACCTTCAACCAGGCTATTACGCATTGACTTGCGATGATATCTACACCTGCACCAATTCGGGTTCCTATCGAGGCTGCTGCAGTTCCAGTGCCTGCTCAGCATCGACAAACTTCTATACGGCATGTTATGATGCGACGGCAGCCGAATGCTCAGCGACAAGTTTAGGTTCCAATTCCATCTGTTGGTATGCTTGGGCCCGAGTCCCCTGGTTCAAATTCAGACCGGTGCTAACATGAGCAGCAATATTGCAACTGAGTATCCTTACTGCGTAACATATCTCTGGTCCACATCTGTCTCACCAGGTCAGCTGTTCACCGAGTTTAACTGCGACCGGTCTGCCTTCTCGGGGCAATACTTCCTCGCCGCCACCTCACCCTCCACCACGTCTACCTCATCAGCGACCACTCGCTCAGGCACCTCCGCCTCGGTGACAATCAGCAGCAGCGCCGCCGCAGTAGTCACACCGGACTCGTCATCTTCTTCAAGCAGCGGCAGCAGTACTAACACGGGCGCCATTGCGGGCGGTGTCGTGGGCGGTGTGGTTGTCTTGGCCCTCATTGGCTTAGGCGTCTGGTTCTTGCTACGGAAGAAGAAGTCCGTCGACAACGACAACACATCACCGCCCACTCAGCCACAGCCGGATATGGCACAGTCTGCAGGCTATCCCTCGCCTCCGCCACCCGGCACTCCGGGCTACGACCCGCGATTCAGTTTCGCCGCTGCACACAGCCAGATGAGCCCAACGACGCCGGGATATCCGAGTCCGCAGGGTACTCCCAGCCCGTACTATGATCCGCAATTAGGAGGCTATTATGGGGCTCAGAAATCGGAGCAGGGGCATAATGCTAGCTTTATGTATGCGCAATCGACAGGCGGCCAGGCCGGCAAGGATATGCCTGGCCATGATGGATCTATAGCAGCGGGACCCGCGGTTCCGCACCACTATGCGGAAATGGATGGGCAGAATCCGGTTGGGACTATTGGCAATAGAGCGGAGCTGTCGTAGATATCATCTGGATGCTTGGGAGAAGACGAAAGACGATGGCAAACGGTTTTGATGAATTACAATATCCCATAGACCGATGCAGATGACCCGGATGGGCATCACAATTACCTCGCTAGAATATTAGACTAATGTAGAATCCAAGGTCAAGGAGTTGTCATCAGGTTCTAGAAATAACTATGAGGCACGACACCATGTCGGTCACTGGAGCTTGATCCTGAAAACTCATCCTGGAAATTTGGAGCAAGCCCTGCAGTATATTCGTCATGATATATCCAGTTGAAGCGAAATCTAGCGAGTGAGACGTAGGATCGATAATATCAATCTCCTCTTGACACCTTTCTTGGGCCGGCTTTTCAGACTTTGTTCCACTTTGTCATAATAGTCGCGGTCCTCGGCATTCAGCTTTCCAAGTCTCCTCAATTCCTCCACGAGGTCGATGAACCCGGCCTGGGAGTGAGTCTTGGCTTGGGTCGCCCCTTGGGACACCAAGAACTGTACCATCTGATGTCTTTCTTGGGTTGCGATAGGCGGAAGTTCGAAAGGAGGATCGAAGCCCTCATCCATGAAGTACTTATGGCCGAAGACTGCATTTTCAAGGATCCCGATTGTGCGTTTTGTGGCTGTGAGACCCAGTGACACTCGTCCATCAGTGACCTGCCTTCGAATATGCTCTTGGACATAGGGAAAGATGGAAAACTGGGCCGTCAATCCCACAAAAGTGTTTTTGGGGGAGTCTTTACTGGAGCAAATACGTTGCTTTTCATACCAATGTTGATGGTAGCTGTCAGTTCTGTCACGCTCGGGCCATGCGACTTGCGCTGAAAGGTAAGCTGTGCTGGATTTGACGTTGAGGGTATCCATTAGCTCTATCAAGCGTGGGGTGTTCGCTGCAGTGGCCTGGGCTTTGTACGCATACGATAAAACTTTTGCAATCGCTATCCAGAAGCTGCCGTGGGAGTAATCCAGTATCTCTTTGCGATCGGCAATTGTCAGGACGTGGATCTCGAATAAAGTCATATAGGGGTCGTAGGCATTCTCCCCATATGACGAACATATGTCTTCCCAAACGTGCGCCTGCAAGGCCCAATCTCGTGCCGTACGATGTGGGAAGTCCACAAAAGTTCCACCCTCAGGAATCTCGAGTAGGCCCCTGGTTCTTGAAGCAAGGCGCCTTTTCACCGTTTTCACGGAGAGGCTTTTGATACCCACAAGGTCATCAATCCGGACTTTCCTCGAAGTAATCTCTTCTGCAAGCCACATACTAAAAGAGGAGAGTGGTCCATAGGAAGCCACACTCAGCTGTATCATCCAAGAGGCTTTGGCTTTGTTTTGGGGAAGGATGCGAGCCCAGATAGAGTCGTAAAGGCTAGAAATATCCAGAGGAAGGGCTCGGATGCAGTCTTTCAAATCTGTCATGCTGTCCCCAGCTGTGAGGCACTCTAGCAATGTTTCCATAACTAGCGAAACCCAGAGAAACACGCCTCGCGCCTTCGTGACGACGTCGTCCACAAGAAGGTCCGCTTCCTCAGAATAGATGCGGCGCATCTCATCGAACCCCCTGTTTTCGTCCAGCTGCGTTTTGACAAATGACCTCAAATCATCAAAAGTCAGGAGATGCATCTCAAGCAACGGATTGCCGTAGAATTCGTCGTCAAACTCCGTCCAAGGTCGACTTGCCACGCATACCTTGATGCAATCTTGTGAGACTTTCGTCACTTCTCGAATCAGATCCAGCACTTGGTTCGGGAGCATGTCGAATTCGTCAAGACCATCGACGAATAGTGCAAGCTTGAAAGATTGTCCGCACTGGGACAAAAGCCGACCGAATGACTCCTCGATCTCCCACGATGACCACGCAGGAAGCTGTTGAGGGTTCCGAAATATCTTTGCAAACATAAAACGCCTCGGGGATACAAACGGAATCAACTTGTTATCAATACTGAAGGCTTGACATAACAGACTGCGCTTTAGACCTATCCAGCTTTTTTGCATGTCGTTCCCGCCAATCCAGGCGTAGTATTTCATTATATAGGGTGGAAGTGGCGCAGACCATTTCTCGAGGTGAAATGCAGTGCTAGGATGCTCGATGATATACTTCATCATTGTTGACTTGCCAGATCCCGGCTTCCCCGTTATCCAGTAGACTGTGTTTGAGTCGGCCTCGAGCCATTGAGGAAAGTTGTGCCACTGGAGCTTCCCTTCTCCGTCGGGAGGGGTTGTGTGGAAGATCCACTGGTATGTAGATCGGAAATTCTTTGGAATCGCTTCTTCCCTTCTTCCCATTGCCTCATAGCTCAAATCCGTTATAAGAGCTTCAGCGAGCTTTGTCAGATTCACTTGGTGTGCCATTGGTCGACCATCAGGGATAATGGTGTCAGAATCTATGATCCACTTCCGATTCCAAATGGTGTCAACCAAAGTCTGACGTATCCCTTTTAAAAGCCCTGGAGAGTCACCGTCAAGTTCACTGAAGATATCTTCGTCGACCCTAGTAAACCCTGGTGTACGTGCAGCCTTTATTATCGGTATTAATGCGTCGGCAATGCATTCCTTAGTCTTCCGAGCGGGAGATATGGTGCGTATATTCTGATCCTCACTAAGACTTCGACTTAGGTCTTCCACCATTCCCGAGATTGGACTTGATTGATCGCTTAGGTCAAACATCTCCAAATTATGCTTGCTCATCATGGTTGAGATCTTAACTTTTCCGAGTATGGCCGTCAAGTCCTCGAGCTGTTGGCATAAATGTAACTCCCGCTTCTTTGCTTCTTTAGAATCTTCCCTGTAAGGTCGATCAGTATATAGTATCCACGTGGAAGAGATTGTACGATTACTATAACATGGATCGGCTGATGAAATTCCTTCAATCTTACCAGAGGGAGAATATCATGCTTGTAACCATCTGGTGCTTGATTGTCGCCAATTGACGATTCGCTCCATCGATCTGGTCATGAGTCCAGATCCCTCCAAGCAACGCTAATCCATCATAATCAATAGATGGATATTGGGAAGTTCCCACCTTCGCTGGCTTCTTCAAAATGCCATCTAAGAGCTCCCGGCCAACCTGATTCCTCGGAGTACCATCCACAGTCAGTCTTTGAGGTCGGCTCTTTCGGATGTCATCAATCAAGTTCTGGAACTTTGAGCTGACTGCTTCGCAATCCTCACATACTTTGAGAATTTGCTTCTCAGCCAAGCTTGATCTTTGAGATGGACCAAACTGTTTCGAGCACTTCCTAACATCGTCAACCAACTGCAATAGTTCCTTGGTGTTTTGTACCAATTCGGCTTCTTCTCTTGGGGCATGGTAGGCTGCTTGTTTCGATTCATCATCCTTAGGGCTTAATTTCCTAACCCACTTCTTGTGTAGTAGGCGTCCACCGAAGTCCACAAATTGTATCACAGCTGCCGCGATCGCAAGGGCCGAAAGAGGATCCATTGTAGCACGCCATTGATTGGTCTGTCTCAGACACAGCACGCCTATAGTATCAATGAGAGAAATGATTTCCAACTTGCTTCAGACCTTTGCACGAACTCACATGCCTGATCAGCTTCGACATAACAGGCGCCCGGAGTGATGTCGGAGGCGGGGTAAGTGTTACGCTCGCGGAACTTTGGATGGCCAATACGCGGCGCACATCTACATTGATTGGTCGGGGTCATATGAATGAGGTTCCTGCAGCCTTACCTGCCGGAACGGAAGAATGATGGAACGCATCAAGATTCTAAGCACGAAAGGAAAGGGGACGAAGGAATGGGAAGGGAGGGAGGCGGCGGTCAGCTAATTCTCCCACGAATATGAGCCGATCCCATGTCAATAAAGTCATAGGGAATCAGCAAGCAGTGATATGATGATAGGCAATCATAGAAACACAAATTGAAACCACGGAGTGGCTGACTGCCTACCCAAGGTAGTTGGCTGTAGGTGGCTGGCACTACAGGGCCTTGTTACACAGGACCGGACTAAAAACCCTACAACATCATCCCTACAGACGGGCAGGAGGATTCTGTAAAAAAGAAAATGTAAAAAATTTCTACATACCAATACAAACCACGTTTATCCATAAATGTTATCGTCAAAAAAGCAAACTTTTCTTTCCGGATGCAAATTCGTAGCGTTTAGTCAATGACGTAATCGATAGCCTAACTTGTTCCTTAACCCTCTCTTCAACTGGCGAAGGGAGCTTTGCGATGTTACATTCCGCCTGTGAAAAGAATCGCCATTTAGCTTGCAAGTTTCGCTACATACACAGATGTCGTTTTCGTTGAAGACTCCGGAGGGGCTACCGACCCACGCGCAATTGGTCGACTTTTTTAACAAGGTTCTCCCACCCAACGTCAAGGACATCCCGCTCCTGTATCATGTGCCGCGCTGGCCTGGGTATAATGCCAGCAAGATATATGTACACGACATTGTACTCAGCGTCACGCCTACTCTAGGTGTCTACGCGAAACTGAGGCAGCTAGCGAGGGGGACCCGGAAGGCCGTCTGCTTCCTCCACAGACCGTTCCAGCTAGATCGGAAAGCACTACCCAAGGGCTCGTTAGTCCTGGCAAACCATAAGAGATTTGATGAGTTGCTGACAGTGGGCTATAATTTGGCCCTTGCTTCGCGACTTGGTATGGTCGTCGAGCGAGCGACTTGTATCCAGGGATACAAAGGAGATCCGGAACGTCGAATCGGAATTGTTGGCCCGCTAGGACAAGTAGAAACTCTCGAGAATCTGGCTCAGACTATATCCGCCGAACTTTGCGTCGCCGACATACATAAAAACAGCCAAAGCACCTCATCTCAAACGATTCAGGCTGTGGCTCTAATGAACGCCTTTGGCCCTGATGAGGTCTCCCGAGTCATCCTGACTACAAAGGGTGATGGGCTCATCCTGGAGGAAGTCAGCCCGCGTAGCTTGCTATATCTTACTGGGCAGCCGCGAGATCTGGGATTACGGGCTGCCGAGACTTTCAGGATGCCTTCAATCTGTGTCGGACATCGTCCTGCGGAGGAATGGGGCATTCGTTACCTAGAGAGTTCTCTTCACCAGACGTGGCCAAACCTTGCAGTTCATACGGTATTTGAGGATGAATCTCCTCCAGAAACCCAAAGTGTTCTGATAGAGGCCAAGAGTTAGAATGTCCATATTTCATCTATGGGACTCTTAGGATCAAATCACGTCAGCAACATCATCAGCTTTAAGGCAGTCTGTGCTCAGTAAATACAGGTAGACTGGCATTCATATGGCTGTTTAGAAGGAATTCTGGGACTTTGAATTAGGTATACTATCTGATTCTGACACGGTTCAGTGACGTGGCGTCAATGGACAGGTATTCCAGGGCCTTTCCATCCATCATCCCAAAAAGATAGCAATCTTTCTCCAAAAAGAAGTACCCACAATCCCGGGCGCTTAGGACGTAGAGAACTCGACATCAATGTGAAAGGTTTTATGACTTCTATTCTGGTTCCTTCGATATCGACCTGGAAAATGGTCCAGAGTATGATCTAGAAAGGAAATTCTGGGGTGGAGACGTGGACGGATTGTGATCGACATGTCACATCAGAATGGCATCCGCAGGCTTACCAAAGATTATTATGCCAGCTTCCATGTTGTTTTGGGATATTTCAGCGTGAAAGGATCAAGCTACACGGATTCATCCAACCTGTGGATACTCAGCCCTTGCCTTCGGATGGGATTTTGCCTGCGCTCAAAGGATCGGTGCTGACCCTCGCTAGTGGCTAATCATCTACAAATACTATAACTCTTATAATTGCCGTCTTACATGGCCTCAGCAGCAAGCTTACAACCGAGACTCTTGGCCATTAAATTTCCCTAAGAAGAAGATTTGTGCATGTCATTTCCGCATCTTGCATTTTAGCGATTTCCATTGGCTGAAGTCACTCTCAAGGATGAGGCGATGTTCGTGCAATCTGAAAATATCCCACATTCCTGTAGCTAGCAGCCTAGTGACTTCTCCTTGATTCAGGACACCTGGGAAGAAGAGAAACCACTCCCTGTCGATCACTCACGAACTATAAATGCGTGCCAGTCTTTCTTTAACTTCAGTCCAGAAGATACCTAGACAGCAAAACAAGCATAGTCGCACTCGCTTCATTCTCATTCTTAGCCCCGACGTTCCCATTACCCTGTGACCTGGAAAACACACACATCTAACCCAGGCCATGCATTTCTCCCAGATCTTCGTGTTACCTCTATTTTCAGTGGTTGCTGTGTCAGGCCTCGCAATCAGAGAGGCGGACAATGTTGACGGAGAAGCGAAGTTAGCCAAGCGCAATTGCTACCCAGGAGGTGTAAATTGGGGTAACGAATATCAAGTGGCCCTCGACGCTGTGGACATTGTCTGCCGGGACGAATTTGTTGGACACTATGACGGCCTGTCCGAATGGTCGGTTTGTTACAATTTGAGCGCTGGCAAGCGCGTCAACTTCAACGTGAGGCGCTGGGCTGGCACCCCCGGCGACTTGAGCTTTGAACTATGCCAGAAGTATCTGAGACTCGAGATTGTGGGCTGTGGTATGGGCGGCCAGAGCTACCAAGGGAATTGGAGATTCATGTAAGTTTGTTTATGTCATCATGAACACCGTCACGAAGATACTATTTGCTGATCCGTGAACTGCGCCAGGTCTGACCCCAACTCGGGAACATGCTAAACGACAAAACGTCTGATAAGCTATTTTCGTTCTCTCTACACATACCATTATATAAGCTCATTTCCGTTCTATCTCAACTGAGGTTGTCGTTCTTTTCACTTTTGGTTGCAAGATCATGGTTGTTGTAGGACCATGGATACATTCTTTATACATTCGCTCTCTTCTACTTATATACATCAAATAAGCTATCAGCTTCTGAGAAGCAATTCTTGCCGTTATTGTGAAATTTCAAATTCCCTCTTGAGAATGATCCAGTAATCAAGTATGTGCAGCATTGTAGATGGGGTGTCTAGTCGTTCTAATATAATTTCACTCCGGCTGATGTAAATGAAGACATGAGAAGCTTGCCTTTAGTTCTTGGGTTTCAGCTATCAGTTCATCCCGTGATTTTCATTACCACTTAGAAATTTCTTTTGTACCAATCGCATATCGAATCGGACAGCTTTCCGACTGAACTCAACATCTATACCAAACAGTGCAGGATCGTATGCGCAGAGACGCTGCAAGTACGACGTGGCCGATCTTCAAAGGGTAGCGCAGATGACCTTTCTTGGCTAGTTCTGACTGCAACTTGTCGGTCGCATCGTATCCTTCTTGATTTATGTTATTTGAAGAATGTCTTAGTTAGGCTACCGTCTTGTAATTATTTCAAAAAATTGCGTTGACCTACCCAGTGCTAAGCTAATAAGTGCTTACGGCAATCTAACCCAACAGGTAACAACACGAAGGCAGGTTTGTTCCTTATGCGAACTAGCGGCCGCTTGTCACACAACTATTCTTATCCAAACAGCTCAGGGCATTCAAAACGACGACAACATGTCTTCATACCTCTCTAAATGCTCTTTCCAGACCCACGCCAATAGTGACGATTCTCCTTTACGATGGGCAACCGAGTCTCAAAGCCCAAGCCTGGCACTGAATTCCAAGTCATTGGGGCTGGGCTCCCTCGCACTGGCACGGCATCTTTCAGTGAGGCACTTCGCATTCTCCTCGATGGCCCCGTCTACCATGGAGGCACGCAGACGACGCTGGGAAAACCAGTGGAGATTAAATCTTGGATCAAGCTGCTGTCTCACTGGCCTCCAGCCAACCCGACTGATCGGGAAGTTGGTTTGTTTTTGATGTCGACATCCGGCGCGAATAAACGCTGACCATAAAAGTGCTTGACATTCTAAGAGACCGCATTGGCGGCTATGCTGCCATCACGGACTCTCCTGCTGCAGGACTTGTGGAGGAATTGGTGGAACTATACCCAGACGCAAAGGTCATCTGCACAGTCCGCGACAAGGACAGTTGGGTGAAGAGCATGGCCGGAGTAAGTGGCGCGGCAACCATGTGGTTCCTACGCGGCGTACTGATGCCCATTCCGGGCATGCGGCACTTCGTGGACTACATCGAGGGGCTCCGCAAGCAGTGGGCGTTCCTGTATGGAGACTGTGAGCCGGCCACAGTAAAGACATACGACCGGCATATGATGTGGCTGAAGGAGATCGTGCCCGAGGATCGACTGATATTATTCAATGTCAAGGATGGGTGGGGGCCGCTGTGTAAGGCACTTGGCAAGCAGGTCCCCGAGGGCGTCCCCTTTCCGAGCATTAACGACGGGCAGGCCATCGATAAATTTGCGAAGCTGATGGTCCAGCGCGGGATCCTCCGATGGCTGGTGATCTTCCTGACGCTTGGCTTGGCTTTTGTCCCTTTTATTTGGATATAGATGTGACTTAATACAAGGTTTCAAATCCATAACCATCAAGGGTGGTGCATTTTGTAGTAACTTTTGATGAACTCGTCTAAGTCAGTGGCTATTGGCGCCGAACACCCTTCAATGCGGTGGTTCCATGATACCCGGACGTGGTTATTGTAGAGAATAACAAAGGAAATTGCTTAAAGTAGAAGAAACCAGGCATGTAGGGAAACTTGACATGACAAAGACATCATCCCGAAATCTGACAGCACTTATACTTGCCCCCGAGGACGGGGTAGTTGTGTTCCTGATTATCTTGTAATCATGTGTCAAAAGTATCAGTGTGAGCCGCATTGGTTGTGAATAGCAGGCTCAAATAATAATATGTATCGGCGCTATCTTGAACCCTAGAACCCGACAGTCCGTTCTTGCCAGTAACCTGCCTTCGTTGGGACAAAGAAACTATGGTACCAAAACCGACATCTACTTCGCTACTAGTGCAAGACTCGGATAGAGGCGCGATTTTTCCATGCCCTGTAACCTTGTTCATAATGTGTTGGCGTATATAGAACGTAGCCTGTAGACAATATTAACACTGAAAACTACTTAACAGCGTAGTTCTGAGACAGCAGCCAATGATGAGCCTAAGAAAGGACTGCGGCATTGATCTTGGCCAGTGCTATGTATGCATAGAATAGTAATTAGTAACAGCCCAAATAAAGGAGGATGAGGGATTCCATTTGCAACGGCATAAGCAGGGAAGTCCCTTTGACCCAAATTTGAATATCCCTGGCCACTGTGGCACACTCGTTAAGACAGTGTAATACGAAGATCGATAGCAGATGGCTGTGGACAGGGCATCTCATTAGAGTATAGTGGAATTCAGTAAGAGCAGAAATTTCAATGTATATGGTGAACATGACGCCTATGAACTACTTGGCACGTAACCTTTTCCTAGGTATCTAACTAGCTGAAGGAAAATACGTTTCATCAACGCTTACACAACCCACTCTTCTATTGTAATCCAACTGCCTATGCCGCTTATCTCAGAAAGGTTCTCAGTGTGGAACGGGGGTTTACCCCTGTGTCGGCGACTTTAGCCTTTCTAGCCTGATTGCAGACTTACCAGCATCGATATAGCATGGGATGCGACAAAAATAACCGCTCCACCCCATAGGCTATTGGAGAGAGAAGAGTGGTATGTGACTTTAATAACTAAGCGGGGCAAGCTCTATTGAGGCACTAGCAATTTGCTGCAGCGCTCGTAGGATTCGGTTCATAATAGGCTCCTGTACAGTTCGTAAATTGACAACCGGGACCTTGCTATATGATGCAAGGGTGACTAAGCTCAAATGCCGATGTATAAACACTCGGCCTTCCGCTTGGTCTGGATGCCACATATTTCCACATGAATTTCCGCTGAAATTGATGCTCACCGCGTAAAGGGTCTGAATGATGCTGCTTGTTACATTTTTGATATCCGCGTTCGCTGCGACGGGCTTGGCCCAAGCACCCACTGGATACCGCACTGTATACATTACCTCGATGGTCGACACCAAGTTTGTCGTGGTTCCTAAGTCGGCCACCAGTGGTAGCGCCATCGTCGTGTTAGTCTTCCTCTCCGATGGAGTGCAAGGATCTGTATCTGAACCATCTTCATGCACAGTCAAACCCTCACGAGTAAGCCGGAGCAGCAGTGGTACCTCAAGGAGGGCAATACTACGATCCAGCTAGCGGATTCCAAACTTTGCCTAGATGCTGGTGCTAAGAGTCAGTTTCTTCATATCACCTAGGGGGTTGATCCAACTCTAACCCAAGGATAAAAGGCAACTGGAAAGACATGGGCGCCATCACCCTGAAAGACTGTTCCGACACTGAGACTGCTCAAAAGTGGAACGTAATGGCTGATGGGCGAATTGCCCTCATAGCTTCAAGTCCGCGTAAGTATTATGCTATTATTTTTGGCGGGGACAGGACTGACATCCTAGATAGAGGAGTGCATTGACCTTCAGTACATGCGAGCCACAGCCAACAATCCAGTCGGTCTATATAGCTGTGCAGGTCTAGGAAACACGGGCGCCAAGGACAAGGGAATCAACTGGCCGCTAGCGAATGCAACGACGACCCCATAGGCTCTGGAAGTTGAGCCAAGCTGCTATGAAATGTGGAGGTTTGTCTTGTACCAGCACATTTGCAAGATTATAGCATTGCGTGCGGTTATAGTCTCTAAGAACTAGTTGTAGCAATGTTGACCTTCTGTTAGTGCTGACAGTTACGCATCCTTACTCTGTTCCACCGTAGATCCAAGACGTTGACACAACCCTGGCCAACTATACTTCTCCCAACGCAGACTGAATACACTCTGTCCTGCTCGGTCACAAGAGATTCAGATCCGCGGTGGATCATCTATCGGAAGGTCACGTCCTAACTCTCAATTATCTGCCGAATGATCAGACTGTATGCAGATCTAGTCTCGGCGATGCCTCTCCGGAGTCTCCCTGCTAGAGTGGAGTCTCTCCGGATCTGGAGTTCCACTAGCTCGGGTACAGCACCGCCGAAACCCCACACTTGCCCTCGGGCTGCATCCGAATTCCCGATGGGGTCGGCGGCATCCGTCCAATCATCGGATGGATTATTGTCATGATGTCAAATAGAAGACGTAAAGCGACTTGAACTGCTTTGAGATCCCCGAGATCAAGTTTCCAGTACCATCACTGACCAACTCCTCCAGAAGTCATTTTCGGCTTCGAGTTCGTTGATCTGTAGAAATGACGGCAAATGGCTGCATCGTCCCGCAGCTCACAGAGCTCCTCAGTAGTACACGCGGGGTTAATATACATGTTGATGGTAAGCGCTCCGTCTCTCTGGCTACTTCAGTTGAATATACACTCATCAATACCAGCAAACGAGTCTCATCCTCTGCAGGCTTTACAGGTAGTTATAGATGGTATCAAGAGCGAACACCCCCGCGAGGCTGGGGCACTGGAATCTGTGTTGGCAATTGCAGAGAACTCCACCGACTTTGGTGGGTTGGGACTAAGCTCTGAAAGCTCTGTGTCCGTCGACAAGTGTGACGAATTAGTCTTCCTGTCGTCGGCGTGGCTCGAATCACTAAACTCTGCGGACCGCAGCAGACAAATTCGACCCCCTATTGCGACCAAGCCACAAAGTCGTCGGTCCATGAATGTGACTGAAAAGATCTTCGCATTGCACGATGTAGAGAGCAAGGGCTGGGTACGGCCAGGAGAAATGATTCGAGTCGCCGTGGACTGGATTATGGCTAGTGAATTTAGTTGGCATGTAAGTTGTCACGTCTCAGAGCTTGAATGCTGCGAGAGTTCCCTGAACGAAATTTGATGTAGGGTATGGTATCAGTCTATAATCGCCTTGGAGATCCTGGAATCTTTCGCAACGACAGATTCTGGATAGCTGGTGACCACGTGGTGGACCCGCGAAATTACGACACACCCTTGACCAAGAAATTGATGGCACAAACCGACAAAGCAAGGCGTTCTTTCAAAATGACAGAATTCCAAGGACACAACTACACAATCATGCACACAGAGTTCTTCCGTGAGCGTACCCAGCCTGGACAATTAATCATAGGGAGTGATAGCCATACATGCAGCAGCGGGGCCAACGGCTGCCTCTCCATCGGCATGGGAGCCGCAGATGTAACAATGGCCTTAGTCACTGGCGAGACTTGGTTCAAGGTGCCAGAAGTCGTCGAGATACGGTTTGTTGGCAAGCCACCGAGGGGTGTGGGCGGCAAGGATGTTATTCTATACGTGCTGCAACAGCTCAAGCGGAATACTGTGGCAGCTGATCGAGTGGTGGAATACACTGGGCCAGGCTTGGACTATCTGAGTGCAGACGCTAGATTTGCTGTGGCAAACATGACAACGGTGGGTGGCCTCATTTCTGTCACAACCTGTGGTGAAGACTAATTATCCCATTAGGAATTTGGCGGTATCACTGGCATATTTGCCCCTGATCATGTAACCTCCGGGTTTATCAGCCAGCGCAAGCTCAGTCGCTACAAGGATCAGAGCCATTACTTCAAGGCGGATGAAGACTGTCAATATGCGGAATCTCACGTTATTGACCTCAGCAAGGCTGAACCTTTCATCGCTCGTTATCCCAACCCAGACGATGTCGTTGCTGTCAGTGCGATGAACCAGGCAGACCTGGATGGATGCTTCATTGGCGCCTGTACAACAGCTGAGGAAGACATCATCATGGGAGCTCTGGTACTTCAGGAGGGCCTCAATGCTGGCAAGGTCCCAGTTGCGAAAGGCAAACGAAAGGTTGTTCCGGGTAGCAGACCCATCATCGACATGCTTAGAAAGACTGGTCTGTACGAAGTATACGAGAAAGCAGGCTTTGAGGTTGGTGTCCCCGGCTGCAGCTATTGTGTCGGCGTCAGTGCAGATGTCGCAGATGATGGTGAAATCTGGCTGAGCAGCCAGAACCGAAACTTCAAGAACCGCATGGGACCGGGTTCTATTGGCAACCTTGCATCTGCAGCCACAGTTGCGGCATCGTCGTTTGACATGAAGATGACATCACCCAATGAGCTTGTTGCAAGAATCTCGGACGAGCAGTGGGAGAGGGTCAAAGGCAAGGGGTCTCTTTCTTCGGCGACTCGCATAGAGCCGCAGTGGGTTGAGCCACCAGAGCCTGTAGTAGAATCTCGGGAAGAGCATGTACATGCTGCACAAGCCATCAGTGACTCTTCGCCTAGCACGGCTGATACTGGCAGCCTGGATAATATTCAGTCCAAAGTCTACCGACTTGGTGATTTCATCGACACGGACGCTCTTGCACCTGCACAATTCCTGGTTACGGCAAAGAATGATGAGGAGTTTGGAACGCACTGCCTAGAGTACACCCATCCCGATTTTAGGCAAAGAGTCAAAGATGGATCACAGGTGGTGGTGGCTGGAAACGCCTTTGGCTGCGGTTCGTCGCGTATGGAAGCGGTACAAGCATTGCTTGGAGTTGGCATCAAGTGTGTCATTGCCAAGTCATTCGCCTTCATCTACTCACGAAACCAACCCAGTCTTGGTCTGCTTGGCATTACCATCCAGGACGAGGCTTTCTACGAAGCAGCACAAGACGGTGTTGATATTGGCCTGGATCTTGTCACCAATGTTGCCAGAGTTAACGGGGAAGAGTTCCCCTTTGAGCTAAGCCAGATGGAGAAGAGCCTGACGAGTCTGGGCGGAGTGGCGCCAGCATTCAACAAATTCGGCAAGCAGATATTTGACGCATTAACAAGCGGCCAACGTGGAGTGAAAAAGTCCATTAAAGATCACGACGCAGGAAGCGCGCCACTTTCTTGGTAAATTGCAACTAAACTAGCTCGAATGCATCGATCGACTTGAAGTTTGGCAGGAATGGAGTCGCTACGTCCGACGGGCGGAAATTCTGGTTTCTGGTGCCACTTAGGTAATGTGGCACATCGTACAGGTCGATAGTTAGCAGATCGAAGTATTTGCCAGCTCATTTTCATGTTGCATGACATTTCACATGTGTGTTACTTACGATACTACCAAGTGAGGGAACTAGAAAGGAAGGTCCATTCTGTAAAACGAACACTTAAATTAGACCGCTGCAGGTACTTTGTGTACCAAGTGCTGATGGCGAAATGGTGGCATTCCAGCTTTCAGCTTTGGGAATCAAGATTACGCAATAGTATACGGAGTTATTGGATGTGAAGTGAGATAAAGTTTACTGGAGCTGACTGCGTCTGGAGGTTATCGATTGGTGCCAGCCGCATGCTATATTGCATTACATGGCAACGTCAGCCTATATAGGCAACTCCGATAGGGCGTTGGGGAAGTTGAACAGAGGATCTTACTGCACTGCGGTAACGATCTAGCCTTCTTACAGGCTCTGTCTCGGTTGCACTAGCAAAGTGCAGCTGGCCGATTATTTCAGGTTATGACTGTATGTTCTCCTCAAAGCAAAGCAGGTGGAGTCCAGCCTAAGTGTTCGATGTTATGAAATTGATAGCTTAGTCAGATTCCCCTTCAAGCTGAAGCTGACAATATGCCTTAATTGTTTGTTGATCAAATACCGTAGAGTTTGAAAGCCAGTAGTACGAGTCTTAAGACTCATTGGGATGTAGCTTGATGACAGGACTGTCATCTTCCATACCACACAGCTCCACTTGGTTGAGAGTCGCATTTTGGACTGGTTAACGGAAATCAAATTCTTGTATAAGAAGGGAACTCATGCCACCAAGAAGCCACGACTTGTTCGCATCCATTCCAGCATAGCAAAACCCACCCGAATCGAATCACTTCTGCAAACGCGCCAACGCCTCGACAAGATGGTCAAATTCGCTGTTCTCCTCATTGCTGCTACCTCTGCTTTCTGTGGACTAGCCACTGCCAGCAATTGCAAGCATGGACTATATTACTGTGGCCACGGCCTGCTTCACAAAGGTAAGTTTTAGGACTTATGCAGTTCTCCAGAACCAAACTCCGGTGCACGAGGTACTGATTACTGGTTTAGGAAACTATTACCAAGATATATCCAGTTCATTGCGCGCCGCTGGCCAGCCACTTGACGATGCGCATGTCAACGACTCGCTGTTCTTCTGCCAGGGGGACGACGATGTGCCATTCGTGAGTTATTGCGCCCAGGGATGTCAGGATGGAGGCAGTGGCAAGAGCGACCACTGCTAAGCGGAGGACATGTAGCAATCTCTTGGGCTACAATGAGCGGGAAATGGGGTACTTTGGTGCACACTGCCACTGTTTTCACAATGTTGATGCGTCTCCATAGCGCCGGCTTATCGCGTCCTAGCGGCAAACCTCAAGCGTCTATAGCAATGATAAGAACGGACGTCTTTTGAAACTGTGTACGCGTTGTCTGAAATGGTGTTGCATTCACTTTCAAGGCCCACTTGATGAGCACTAAAATTGAATCTACCGCGTAAGAGAGATGAGAGACCAGGCACCCTGAGAAAGAATCCACGCGATCAGCTCTTCAACAACTTCAGTACATCCAACCACCGCGTGTAGCGTAATTCGGATCGAACAGAACCTTTGTGGCCTTATAAACCCCACGGTACCTCAGGACCCAGAGCATGAACCAAACAAGAAACGCGAATATCACCACGCACCCAAACACGAGCCCGCATATTTCGCATGGGTTGAGCCCGCTTAGCGGATCGACTTGGCCGGAGGGCTCGCCTTCGTGTGCCTCCTGCAGCGGCAGCCCAGTAGAAGCAACAGAGATGGGTATCTCAGTGGAGTCTGTGTTCTGCGCCCCGTCTTCCACTTGAGTAGGCACTGCTACGTGGAAGTGATCTGAGATATACACTCCGCTCAATAATGAGCTTGGGTCTTGGTGCATTTGAGATTCAGGAACGTCGGCGCTTCTTCCTCCGACGGCGGCGTGAGTTGTCGTTGAACCAGATATCAAGGCGGGGCGTAGGGTTGGAAGCGGAGAGGATGAACGGTATGGGCGCCGCCGCGAGCGCAGGGACTGCCGCGGCCGCGGCCGGGGCAGCAGGCTGCTGGTTGACGATGATGTTGGGAACGGCGGCGGCATTCTGCTGAAACTGCTGCTGCCCGTTGCCGCCGAAGATAAACTGGTTGCAGAGGGTACAGTGGAAGCCACTGCCGAACGGGGCATTGACATATCGCCGGAATACAGCCTGATGAGAGCACCAAGGTGCATTGAATGGAAGAGAAAACATCATACGAGAAGTAGGCTGGGAGTTGAGCCTTCCTGGTATGACAATTTCTTTTTCTTTTTCTTTTTCGAAGTAAATGCGAGTTCGGAAGCCGGAGCACAGGACATAAGTCGAGGGAGCGGGAAAACACCAGATTGTGTACGGACATAGGGAAGGGGACTTTGTTTCGTTGGTGAGGGAGTATTTGCCCTAAATACAAACATTCGACGTGGTTCCGGTGCACAAACGTGTTAGCAGCCTCACTTTTGAAGATACGAGGGGTTGACATTGGGTGACCACGTGGGACATGTACATGCCCAGAGAACAGTAAGCCACGAGCTTCTTGTAAAGACATCCAACCAAAGCGTTGGCAGATTCTGAACCACCTCATAGGACATGAAATTTTGCAAGCACATCTCAGCTCCAGCTTGAATAGCGAACTTGCAACTCATTATACGCAGATTAGAGCCGCCTGTCCTTTGACATCCACGGATTATAAGGGTGTAAGTTGTTCATTCAACAGTACCTATAATCATCGCCATCGGCTGGCCCTACGAACAGGCGTTTCCAGCATTTCCAGATGCACAAAACCGTCAAGAAAGCTACAACGAAAACAATCACAAAAGCCAGAATGATAGCCCCGTCGTGCGTCATTGTAGTAGTGAAAATCTGCTAATATGAACCTGCGAGCCTCTTCTTCCGCAGATCTAGCGGGCGGATGCACAACTGGAACGGCAATTAGTTGGATTTGTACTTGTGAACTCTCTATTGGGGTTCAACCTCAGAGTGGCAGAAACTGGCGTTTGACTGGCCTTTGGGCTTACTGGAACAGTTAAGATTTAGTAATTTGCAGAGGAGAAGTGTGAATATCCAGAAGTAGGCCGCAACGAACCGCACGATTCGTTTCTACAATGATATGACCAAGTGGTGGGACACTTTTTGAATGGCTGTTGCATCCCAGCGAGAATTCTCGGGAGAGCTGCTTCAGACTGGCTTGATACTGACTCACTGGCGGACGAGCTGGACAACAATGAGAACAGTGGACCGGCAAACAGGTCAACAAAGTCACACAATCATGTTTGCTATTGCACGAGTCGGCAACACCACGCCAGAGGGTCTTCTGAGGCTTTATGTCAGCCTCAATATGCAGCAAAGAGATGTTTGTCAAGGTTTCTTCCCGGGCCGTAAAGCCTGATTTGCTACATTGCTGCTGACTGGAATACGAATAATTCGTTCTAGTAGTGGCAGATTCCACCGACGTCATCATCTATGGTCCAAGTACCGGCCAACCCGTTCTCAACGACAGGCTCATCGATGAGCTCTGGTTCCTCGGGTTTACCAAGGAAGAAGTCGCCCTGACCGGTGGCACGCGTCTGCCGGGTCATGAACTTGTGAGCCCACCGTTCGACAGCCGGCTCACCCGTCTCATCCCGCGCCTGCTTCAGGAATGGAATCAGCGCAGTGCCTCCAGTGCCCTTGACTTTCTTGTGGGCGGCATTCTTGGAAGCAACAGCTAGATTCTGGCGGTTACGCACAGCCTCGGGACTGCGGCTACGGCTGCGTGCCCGATTCTCGCGCGAAGGAAGAATGATGTAGCGGGTAACGATAGCGATGTGAATGTCACGGAAGGCACGCAGCATTGCCAAGCAGGCGTCGTATGCAAGAGCAAGGGGCCGGTCAGACTTGGCGCGGTTTTCAACAAACTGGCGAATGTTGGCAATTGAAGCAACATCGTCAAGGAACCGAGCATGGGGGCCGGGCATATAGCGTCGCATGTCCTGAATGAAGTTGTGTGTGGGTCCACGCATACGCCCCTCTCGTTCAGAATCTGAGGCGTCGGCTTTCTCACCGGTAGGGCGATGCTCAATGCCCAGAATGACATCGAAGAACTGGATCAGAGAGCTCTGCGCGTTGCTGGGACCGGAAAATTGCACGAAGTCGGATGTTCCGGTGCCATCATCCCAGAGGACACCGTTGGGCAGACCGGCCTCGGCCATGTTCTTGCTGCCAGCAAGGAAGGTGCGAATCTTCCGATAGAAGAAGCTGGGGTCGCAATTATCGTGCATGCGACGGAGCAGTTCGCCAAGATCATCCAGGCGCTCAGCAAAGGCTTGCAGGCAACGTGTCACGGTCGCCGCATCACCTTGACGAGCCGCAGCCACGGCCGTCAGCATGAGCGGAATGATGGGACCACCGCGGGCCTCAATGGCGACGGAGACCAGATAGAACCATGATTCGTCGAGAGAACCCGTGAAGGTGGTCAGGGTAGCGAGGTTGTCGAGATCATCGATATCCTCGTCCATGAAGAGGGGCTTGAAGTTCCAGAGAACCGAAGCGGCGTACGTGGACACAGGCGGGACCTCGAGATGCTCGCAGATCTTGAGCAGCGGAGCCGAAATGCTGGGCGGCACACGCTCCATGGGAGTGTCACCTCCCCAGATGTAGCCGTGAGCAAAGAAGGTGAGGAGCATGTAGGCTCTGCGCCATTCTGCGTCATGTTCCAGACCGATGGTCGAGAGGACAGGGAGGCGATCAATGACTCCTCGAAGCCGCTTGCTGAGAATCAGGCTTTGAAAGTTGGTGGCGATGGCCTCCCATTTGTTGTAGTATGGATCAGGAAGCCTCGTCAGGGGCAAGACATCTGGAAGGAAGCCATGGGTCGGCGAGATTCCATATTCGGCCAGAACGGGGATGGGAGGAATCATAACTGCGATGCTTGCGTGTCTAATTCAAGAGACCACTGGCCGAATGGGGTGGGCCGTGGTAGCCAGTCAGTTCAGACGGATGTTGCAGTTCCCTCAAGTGGTGACGGCGTGTGGTCAATGGTAGAAGTTCAAGTAATGAAGTCCTGACGCAAGGAGTATACAGATATGGTTCTGTAATACTCCTCAGCCGTGCGAGTACTCTGTGCGGTCGTTGTCATGAGACTACAACTAAGTAATCTATGGTTTGGTGGTTGATGCACAAGAAACAAAAAGATGAGACTAGCGACGAGAGACTATGAGATTTTTATGGCGGGCCACCGGGGATGGCGGCGTTATTATTCACCAGGCGAGCGACTCGGGTCAACGGTTACCTTAGTAATTGACCAGCCTTCCCAAAGGAGGGATCCGTCAAGTAACGCGAGTATGAGATGATTAGTATGCAGGGTCCTCGGGATGACACGGGCTAAGAGGTTCATGTCGCAGGGACAAGCAGGGACAAAGAGAGGACTTGACTACAAGGCCCAGGCCAGAGGTTTATTGCGCAATTGCATGAGGAGGGTAGTTGCAACCTCGACATTACCTGGAAGCTGAACGACAACCTTGGGGTTCCTGGCAAAAGCGCAAGCAATACAATACGTGCGCATGATAAACGAAAACGCCGAGCCCCGGGTGACGGTATGGGAGAGATTTTGCAGACATTCCCCTCAGCTACCATCGACAACTTCCTTGGGACCGATGCCGGCTATTGTCGCACAAGCTATCTCGGCAGCCTAGTAGCAATCCCAGGCGTCACGGCGTGGGTGCACATCTGTTAGAGCCGCAAGGCGAGGGTAACCTTGCAAGCACATGCGAAACGGGTGCCATGATGCACGCTTTGTTCTGAAGAGCTCAGCCAGCCATGCATAGACGCGAGGGTTGCCAGCGCGCATGAGGGTGTAGAAGAGGCGAAATGGCTCTTGGATGGCCATTGGTCAAGTTGTCCATGTGTCAGAAAGCAGATGTGGCGGAATCCGTCGGCATTGCCATCACAGTCTCATTAATAATGAACCTCCTCCAGCAGGCTGGTGGGAGCCCTGGAGGGAGGGATGGATGCAGGAGGTGCCGGTGGTGATGAAGGGCCCCCGGGGGCGCTGTGGGCGAGTAAGCATGGGCCACTCTGGTGGGCTGCTGTGGCCCAGACCACCGGAATTTCGGGGGCGAATGTTCCACTAACTTGAGATGGCTCCCTGGAAGGTACTGTACTGCCGCCTACTTGTAGTGTTGGACCGACGCCCCAACGCGCCCTGATTGGCAGCTGGTCTCCAGCGATTCCCGGCTCCGCTCTCAGCCTTGGCGGGCGCATGGACAAGGCTTCGGCGACTCCAACCTGGATGAAGCTCTCCGCCATCCTCGACGAGCGCTCCGTTGCCAGTCCCCCGCGATACACAGACCATGACGCCATCTGGGAGGATATAGACAATCGCCCGGGACCCTACAAGATGGTTGTCCAGCAACATGTGCTCAACTGGCTGTACAGTGTCCTGACAAGTGTACGAGTGCACATGAAGACCCCTCTGTCCGTCGAATGGGCACCCAGCTAATGCGGCGCCTCCCCCAGGAGTATCACGATGTCCAGCGAACGTACAACGACGTAGCGCAGGCGCTGTCGCAGTACCCGTCGCTGTCGCCGCGGACAGACGTCCACACCTTCGACAATGGCGTCTCCGCCCTCCTCGTCCACCTCTCCGGCACCTTGCCCGTCGTGTTCCGAGGCACCACGTACCGCTTTCCCATCTCCATCTGGGTGCCTCACGCATACCCTCGAGAGGCGCCGTTGGCCTATGTCAACCCGACCGAGTCCATGATGATACGCCCCGGCCAACACATCGATCCCCAGGGCCGCATATATCACCCGTACCTGGTGGGCTGGGCCGAATACTGGGATGTAAGTGCGCCGTGGTGGGCGAGTCCTCCTGGGCACAGCAGCCTACCTAGCAGTGCTGACGCTGCCATCCTGTACAGAAATCATCCATGCTGGATTTCCTGGCCATCTTGCGCGATGTCTTCGCCAAAGAACCGCCCGTGATAGCGCGCCAGCAGCAGCAGCCAAGACCGCCGCCACAGCAGCAGGCTACGCCCTCTGCGACACCTCCGCCCATACCTCCTCTACCGCATGAGCTCTCCCGGACGCCTGCGCAGACCCATACACCTCATTCAGCAGACGGCCTGCCGCCTCCCCCACCACCGAAGGGTAGTGACGCGCCCCAGGTCGTCCCGGGCCAAGCCATCAACGCCAACAGCGGGCCTCCTCTGCCGCCGCTCCCACCCGGCATCCACAGACCGCAGAGCCAATACGGATCTCAACAGCCCCAACAAGCCCACAGGTTGTCGAGATACGAGACGGCGCCCCCTCTCCCGCCGCAGGTAACGGGCCAGCAGCAGGCACATCCGCAGCCTGTGCAAGCCTACCAACAAGCTCCATCGCCCGCTCCGCAACACCAACACCAGACCTCGTACGCGCAAGGGAACACGCAAGCTGGCTACCCACCGCAGGGGCCCCGTCAGGCAGCTGCTGTCTCACCAACTGGCCCTTACAATGACCCCAGAGCTTCATATGCAGGGCCTCCACCCAATTGGCAACAACAGCAGCCGCCTGCACAACAACCTACGGTGCAGCAGCAGCCTTTTCAGCAACCACCAGCACCACCGCAGTCCAAGCCACCGCCCCCTCCAGACATTATGGATGAACCACTTACACTTTCTCTGCCATCCCCATCCAATCTACCGCCACCTCCCATCCCGCCAAACCCCGAGAAAGATGCACTGCTGCGCCAATTGGGCATGACACTCCATCAGCATCGTCTGCGGGCCCGGCAACAGAATGAGTCGTCGCTGGCCGGCTTGATTGCCCAGCGGAACGCAATGCTGACGGCGTTACAAAACATCCAGTCAGATACCAACTCGCTGGGCTCTCTATCGACCGTGCTAAGCTCAAACACCTCCGACCTGCAATCGTCGCTCAAGGAAGCCGATGCTGTCATTATCAACAGCAGAAAACAGGCGCCACCCGGTATCGACGAACTCCTGGTCGCCCCCACCGTAGTTGGCAATCAGCTGTACGATGTAGTGGCCGAGGAGCGAGCCCTGGGTGATGCAATCTTCATCCTTGGGCGGGCTGTGGAAAGGGGCCGCATCACGCCAGCCGCCTTCGCCAAGACTACTCGCAGCCTGGCTCGCGAATGGTACCTTAAGAAGGCTCTGGCGAAGAAGATCGGGCGTGGCATGGGCCTGGTGTCCTGAACCGAGCTTAATGTCACTCAGTAAACCTGGGCCCAAGGAACCTGGGCGCAAGTGCCTACCCAGGCAGGGGGTCAGGTAGTTGTCACGGTAATTGGCTGGCTCACGAGGCAAGACAAGTCATGAAGCCATTTTCTTGTACATAGAACGATGACCTTGAGCGCATACCGGGGTTATAAACGAGACCATGAAACCAATACATGCTATAGAGCCGTACCAAACCCCCCCTTCCCCCTGAGGTCATGTGTGCCATTCTCGACTGAGACCTATCCCGTGAATGTACGTCGCGACCAGGGCTCCTAGGGTCCGCCCTTTTTCTCTTGCATCAAGGCAAGCGCCGTCCCGAGATCCCGCTTTCCAACAGGCTAGATAGTTGCCTCGAGACAACTGCCTTGGGTGCTTAAGTACCTCGACCAGGTATGTGCCTGTGTGCTGTTTCACTTTCTGTTGTCAACTGCTCAGATTACTATGTGGTAAGCACGATGGATTGGGTCAAGTTTGGGAGCCTCGTCCACCGAGCTCAGCTTCGCTGGCATTTCCACGGCAGCCTCTCACCACTTCCAAGATTGGTACCATGGATTGACTTCACGCGCGCTCTTCTACTTGTTGTTATCGCCTCGAATGGTCTCAGTCTTTTTGGGCCCCGTTATATCCCGTACTGTAGTTCAATCCAATGGCTTCAACAGCCACCTCACGCAGCTCGGTGCCAAGCTCCCCTGTTCGCTTCGACAGCCCAACACCCGCCGCCTTAAGACCTCAGCCCCTCCGAATCCCTCAGAATGGATCTACGCGGCGGCGCGTATCTGTTGATGGAAGCGGCGTGGCACAATCCGAGCCCCCGGCAGAGCTCGGCCAGCATAGCTTCCAAGATGAACGCCACACCGGCCAGGCGAAGTCCATAGCGACGCAGTCTTCAGTGGGTCTTCGAAACAAGACATCAAAGCTCGGCTCACTTGTCTCAAAGTTCGAGATACTGGATGCAATGAATAACGCAGGCCTTGATTCCTATAGAATTCCACGGCTATCCAAGATTAACCTGGAAACGGGACCCCGTGCAGTTGCAAGAGCTCCAACGTCTCCGGTGTCACTGCCCCGGGAAACTATACTACAGTCAACGCCCTCACTCGAAAAGTCTAGCGCCAGTGATGAGTCGAGCAACTTATCACCTAGGCAAGTGAGGCTCCCGAAAGCTACATCTGCTCCTCGATCCCGATTGCCAATCGGTACCCGTCTCAAAACAGTGACCAGTGACGCTCTGGAGACCCCAGAGACCCACCATATTAAGCAAGATAACGCAATGCAAACAGAAGACGCCAGGCTCCCTTTATTCCTCAAGGGTGCTGCTTCTTCCGAAACCAAGAGTTCTGGATAGGATCCCAGGATCACCAATGATAAGAAGCAGTTGTTTGACACGGAATGTCAGTCATGAGTCACTCCCCACACTGATTTCTGAGTTATCCTTTACTACATCTGAACACTTACGGCTCGCTAGATTCTCCATTCAAGTCCCCTAAGTCCCTGCTAGATCCGGTTGCCTTCCGAGTTCCACACCCGACACAGTGCTTCAACAATAACTCTCCAAGGCGATTACCTGTGTCCAAGTCTTCAAGAAAAGTCTTACCATCAACCAAGAGTCAACCTTGTGTTACAGATAATGGCGACAAAACCAAACCTCTACATCACAAAGCTATGAGCAGTGGTTTGGAAGAGGCCTTCGTACCTTCGCCGCAGCAGAAGCAACTCACGAGTACATCTTTGCAAGAAGGAAGACCCAGTGTGGCAGACCTTCGCCGGTCCTTTGAACAGACAAACACTGGTACACAAAGAAACGCTCACTCATTCGAGACTCCGAGATACCGCCTGGACAGGCGATCCATTTCCATTCGTCATGCAGCTGGGAACAGTGTAGACCGCAATTCACGTGAACGGAAAGATGTAGAAACCGAAGTTTTCAAGACTCCGTCGGCACATAGAACCAATAAGCTCGAGGCTCCGCCAGGCTCTGGGGAGAAACTTGGCGAACTGAAACCTAGAAATACAGGCTTGACATTACCAGGACAGATTCCTGACGGCGAATCAATCCCAACCTCGGCCATACGTACACCGCCCTCGCTTCCCGTAAGCAAAAGCTCTCGTTCTCATCATGAGATGATGAAATCCAGGACATTGGGAACCCCCAAAACTCTACCAGCCAAGTTTTATACCGTCGCTGATGATGTCAAGCGCCGATTGCCACCCAAAATTGACGTCCACGCTTCTGGGATCGAAAAGGGTGAGAAGTATAGTCACTCAAGCCCATATCACCCCTTGCTTCTTTGTAACTCGGATAAACAAGATCGAGTGAAGACAAATGGCGCACAACGGGATCTAAATCTTATTTTTGTGTCGAAGTCAAGCCAGCTTATCCCTTTGCGCCGAAGTATTGACTTTGGAACCCAGACAGACCTGTCCTTTCCGGTAATTCTTGGGCCTGACCCAGAACCACCAATACAGCTACCGTTTCGCAACAGCAAGGTCGCAGACTTGCGTAAACTTTTTGACAGGCGATCACCGAAGCCATTGCTCTCTTTTTCTCGGCGACATCGCCAAAGTATACCAGGTCTGAATACTGATTCTTCAAGCCGGAGACGTGTTCTGCATCGCACAACTTCATCGAGCATCCTGTCGAGCCCCCTTTCGACGAAGACATCAACACCGCCCGCACTTACCACCAAAATCAGTACGAACGATTTCTCATGCGACTTCTTGAACGAGAAGAAATATCCTGTAGTACAGGAAGCAACTCGGTCGTCCACGAAGGTTCGTCACTCGCCCCCCAAAGGCGGTCCTGATTCACGCGCAAGGGACCGAACACAGACAAGCAATGAGTCTCCCTTGAAAGACCACATCAAACATTTTGAACATCTACACACGCGTGCACACTCACGTGAGACTCGCATTCACGATACCATCCAGGCAAGCTCCTTTCCCCCGACAGTTGAAGCGCCTGTGCCGACTGCACCCACGGCCGTAGAATCTCACCACCCTATCCGTAGAGTGTGGCGACGCATCTCGAGCTCTTTCGCACAGTCACTCGAAGGTGGTCATGAGAATAGCCACTATCGCTCCTCTTACCAGGAATCTTCCACAAGTTTTGATCATAGCCGCTCGCCACATCAGCGCTCATTGTTCCCTCTTCTCCCCGCGCGCAAGAGTTTTGCTTTCATGCAGCGTTTCTCAAGCAATGGCACACACAATCTGTTTGGACTCGACGGCGCAAATCAGTCTGTCCCGGATGCCGATATCTTTATGAACCCCGATGCAGCTCATGGCACGACGAACCTGGCGCGGCATCCAAGTCACACAAGCACGACAAGCCACAATACGTCGCTTCCTGCGCAAGACGAGCTTCGTAGGCTGGCGCAGCGTGATGCTTTCCGGGACAAGCAGACACAGAAGAAACGGGACAAGGAACTGGCCAAGCACGAACGAAGGGAACGACGGAAAGAGAGGCGATTAGCCAAGCAGGCCGGTAAGCAGACGAGACGAACAGTCTCCAGAGCAGGCTCGACTGCAGAGGCAGAGACATCAAGCACAAAAGAGCGAGCTTGGGGCCAACAGACAGCCAGTGGTTTCATGGTGCGTCAAGCTCGCTTGGGGTCCGATGAGCTGCAATCACCGAAACCATATCGGCCTGGCCAGGTCAAGAAGATTGTGAACATGTACAAGGAGAAGAGCAACAGTTTGTTGAGGATTGCGAGTGGCCACTGGGGCAATAGCACGGAGCAAGTGAAGGGCAAGGGAAAGGAGAAAGACGAACGCACTTTGTATTAAGCCGCCGGATCAAGTCGTCGCACATCGGACGAGACACAATATCTGGGACAAGGGGGGGCGGTTTGGGATAGAGTACAGAGACAGCATGGGATGGGAAGGCTTGCGGCATAGTTTTCTGCGCGGGCACGTTACAACTGCTGCTTGGCTGTCTGTCTGATGGGGTGGGAGTATCGGGCCATCTTGAACAGCTGCTACTTCAGAGTGACAGGTCATGGGATTGTTTACTTATTGGATACAGTGTTATGTTACCAGGGGATTGACACAGAGATAGGAGCTTTGGCGATAGTATACTTTACCTTTCGAGAGTATACAAACAAGGAAGCCGATTTGTGTCGGACAAACGCGAATACCGTTGCAAGGTGCACGGTGCAAGCAAGCAGTCATTTTCTTCCCGCACACATGAACCTGCAGGCGATGAGACTGGTGGTCCTGGTGGTGCCAAGTACTCGTGGGGGGCTGAAGGGTAGTTGGCGCATATCTCCACAATCATCCAAGATCTCCACGATGGCGGCTGATTCCGCAAAAACGTGGCCTAGCACTGGCACTAGGGCTGGGGAGATCTGGGGTGCTCAAGTTCCGACGCTGACTAGTCAAGCCCGTCGCGAGTGGCGCATCGTAGACTATTCGTAACACACGATTTGTGATACAGTACCATCGCGACGTCGCTTGTCGGTTCATTTTGACGACTCGAGAGCTCTTCGCTTGGGTATTCTTAGCAGCTGAACTGTCAGCACCGGCTCTCCATTGGCCGGGTGGACGCCTCTTGGGGGCCATCTCTTGGGAGCGAACGAATCGGGTAAACCAAGCCGATCCCATCCCAGGTGCCCCCCTCCGAGATCAGGGCCCTGGGACCTAGATCCTCATTCAGGCTTCGAGCCCCCCTGGCTCTCTGACCAGGCAGGCCTGCACTCGAACTGCAGAAACGAGCGCTTCATTAGGAGTGCGTAGCGAGATCGACCCAGTGCCATGGAACAGCATTGAGTACCATACATAACCCTACCGGGCTGGAACACGTCGGGCCAGGGAACGTTTTTCTTCTCTTCGGATGTTCGGAAATCCATGGCGACATACGATATCATACACACACCAATCCACCCACACCATGCGTGCGCATACGCGATAACCACGCCGTAGAATTGTCAAAGCGTGTCGACTGCTGAGACTTACCGCTTCAATTGACTTTAGCGGCTCTGTAGCGGACGCCGCTTGTCACGGAAAAGCAAGCAAAGCAAAACATACGAGGGAAAAGCTCTGCGCGCGTGCGCCTCTACGAACTCTGATTGACTGCATGGATGCGCCAAGCGGAGGAGGCGGCGGCGCGGATAGCCCCGCTCGCGACCTCGATCACCAGAACGCGGGCGTATCGACAAAGGCTACCGACACGCCGGCGAGGACGACGGGAGAGTACGCGGCGCCGGCAGGAGTCGAAGTCACCTTGTCGCATGCCAGCGGACATGAGGATGGAGCAGCGCCCGCCGCTGCTGACTATGATGGTGCTGGGAGCGAGGACCACCTGTCGGCGCCGTCAGCCTCGGCGCCGCACCTGCACTCCGAGGACGATTCCAGCTCGTTCGGCACGCCGAGTACATACTCGGTCATTTTAAGTGTATGACATTCACCCAGGGCATTTTTGCCCGTTTTTGACGGACTGGCAATTGACATTCCGAGTCATAGGTCGATACGGATAACGATGCGGATTCGGCGTTGGGCAGCATGATGCCGTAAGTCTTTCCTCGGAGTCGTTCCCTCAACGGCGCATTAGATACTTATAGGTCGCCAGCAACTCGAGCATGTCTGCAACTTCCAGCGTCTACGAATTCGTGGAGGAGTTTGGCAGGACGTTCCATAAGTATAAAGAGGGTAGTAAGTGCTGTGGAGACCCTGACCTGCCCGCTCTCGGAGACTAATTGAGGCAACCAGAATACTTCTTACCGAATGACGAGGTAAGATGGTCCATGAACTTGATGAGAGATCACGCTACTAACTGGTTATCCAACAGCAAGAAATAGGTAGATTAGGTCGGGATCTCAGTGCCAGTCTTTCATGGTTATCGCTGACCGCATACTAGACCTTCAACATCGGATTGCACTACAAGTACTAGATTGGAAGCTTTATCTAGCTCCTATAGACCGACCACATCGAGTGCTTGACGTCGGGACAGGATCGGGCATCTGGGCTATCGAGTTCTCTGATCAGAGCCCAGAGTCGGACGTTCTTGGCACAGACTTGAGCCCAATCCAGCCTGAATACGTGCCGGCAAACTGTCGCTTCGAGATTGACGACGTCGAGGACGAATGGATATACAGCCACAAGTTCGACTATGTACATGGACGGTACATGTGTGCCTTTCTGACGGATTTCCCCAAGCTCTTCGGCCAGGCCTACGACAATCTCAACCCAGGCGGCTGGGTCGAGTTTATGGAGACCGTCATCTATTTCCAGAGCCAGGACGGATCACTAGAGGGAACGGCGCTGGAGCGCTGGAATAAGCTACTCCTCGAGGGTAAGTGATTTCGACTCGTTTCGTAGCAGAATCGGGATAGAAGGATGGGGGTCAGAGCATCGGAATGCTGACTACGTAACTCAAAGGAATCAGAAACATGGGTCGCAACGCGCTGTCCTGCATGAAGTACAAGAAATGGATGACTGATGCGGGCTTCATTAACGTGGAGGAGAAAAAGTTCATCGTCCCAGCAAACCCCTGGGCCAAGGGTCGCAAGAACAAGGAGCTTGGCGCCTTACAGATGGTCAACAACCTCAATGGCGTCTATGGTCTCACGGTCACCGTCTTCACCAAAGGTCTGGGCTGGACCACGGAGGAGGTTGAGGTCCTCCTGGCCGATGTGCGAAGGGATATGAGCGACAAGGACATCCATTCGTATATCACTATGTAAGTTTCCTGGTTTCCAGTTTCAGAAGGCGGTACTAATGAGGCTATAAGTATGGTGGTATATGGGCAGAAGCCGATATAGATCCGGGATGTGGGGGCGTCCAAGGGAAGTGTTATGGGGAAGATATAGACACCATAACGTATTGGGTGTCTGTGTCATAGGAACCCGTAGAAGATCTTCATATATGCTTTGATACCACGAATTACACGTTGCGACATCAGCTAATACGCTGAAGAATATCTCGAGCTATATACAATCTCATTATTAAGTGGACATTGAAACAACCTGCAGGAAACTATGTGTCTGTGATTCTGAAGCCTCCCTGATCGTGCACCCATAGCAAGTAGAAACTAGCAGTGGTCGAAGTTAGTCGGGTAGCGAGAGATGATGCTGTTCAGGTCAACCCCCCTGGCCTGCTATCTCTCGTAGTCCAGCAACCTCACCAACCCTGCAAGGACCGGCGTGGATGACATCCCGGTTCGGAATCTTCCCATCTTTCGTTGGGATTTGCAACGCAATTCTAATATTAATAGTGTCAGTAAAGCACTAGCCGTAGACAGTTCCGCGTGGTCTCCAAATTGCACGTAGCAGTGTTTGTCTAGCCTACGTTTCTGTGATACCAGGATACTGTGTCCTGTGACCATGTTCACTGACAGCCGCGATGTCCGCTGCGAATATCAGACCGAATTCGCCGCCTGCGATATCGACGGCTGTCGAGTTGTCTTCGGAGAGCGTAATGTGCGCAAGCCCCGCGATGAACACCACCCATCTATCAACAGAAAGTCAGCTTGCGAATCATACGCAACTCTCAAGACCAAAAAGGGAAGTGGGGGCAGTTTACTGATAAAATGGAGCGTTGTGAAACCCTCCATCAAAGTTGGAGGGGATCGCCGTGTACGTTATGTTGGTGGCTTCGCTCAGGAGCAACGCGGCTGTCCCGGCTGTACCAGGTTGGGTCGACTGTGAGAATGGTGTCTCGAGTTGCCAACATTCTAGTGTCGAGCGGCCATCCCGGGCACCAATGGCGGTGACGTTGAGCCTTAGTGCTGTGACTGCAAGGGGTAAAAGCATCAATGCGAGATGTGATTTCGTCGCTTTAGTCATTTTCGATTAACAAAACAAAGGCACACAACAAGTCACCACTTCGAGGTTCTACTAGCTTACAGACAAGGTAAAGAAATGTGTAAATATGACTCCAGGTGGAAAATTCACGAAACGAGAACAAGATATTTATCATCGGGGCCGAGACTCTCGGTATTTGTAACAAATCAACTCAGCTAACACATGAAGAACGGTTGTCCACAGTTTGCGTCGTCATGCTGCATATGAAGGTCACGTTTCCAAGAATCCCAGTGCAACCTTGGGTAATAGTTCACCAATCACAGAAAATTAATCATGGGTATCCCTAGCTTATACCTGTTTTGTGCATCACTGTGCAGCTATTAGTGATTAATCTCAGATCCTCATCCAAGTCTAAGGTACCTCTAACATCTAGTGATGTGCGTCATTCAGACATAAATCTGCTTTGATGCTTTTAGTTGAACCATTATGGCCATGTAATGCACTTATGCTAAGAGGGAACATCTTATTCTCAACTTTGACTAGTCTTATCATGTATGGAGTATTATTCAGGCGAGTTCGGTACTCTATCCATGGTTATATTTATGGGCATATTCTGCTACATACTAAGAAAAGTCAGTTATGATAGACTGTACAGTCGGCGTATCTTGGTTATGTCCCTTTCAAAACCAAGCGCAGCTACTACCCTGGTTTAGATATAGTATCTACATGGGCCTTGATGAAGGGATATTGCTTCAACGTGAGAGTAATGTCATAGATTGTCCTCTAAACTCATGACCACGGTAAGTATCCCGAAATCGCAATACCGCCCTATTCTGAAATCTTATCCTCAAGTAAATCGACTTCTGGTAACGATAAGACAGGAAGGTGGGCCATATGTAGTTTGGCGCTTGCATATGGGACAAAGCGTGCGCTGAATGGCTTTCCCTTGGTCACTGGGTTGAGCGGTGGGATATCCGGTGAGTCGTAAAGAAGGGGCCACTCGATCTCGATAGCTGCGATTCGCAACTCCACAGGCGGCGCGCCGAGAGACCAAACGGGATTTGGAATAGTTGAAACATTCTTTTGCACCACTTCGATCTGGGACGGATCTATGGCAATGTTCCATAGGCTTGTCGGTACCATAATATGGTCATGCGAATGAGAGTCCGTAGTGTTCGTAGGCAGAACCGCCTGGGTATTGTATTGACGGGCCGGAGTTTCCGTGTCATTGTATTCGATTGCTAGACTGTATAGGAGTGCACCGTAGTAAACACCGGCTGTGTTGTTGGCTCTCATCTCCACTCGAGGTTGCGTATCGAGTTCGACGGTAAAGGTGCTCTCCCCTGCTGCTATTTTGACTTCCTGCAGGCCTTTACTGGACGGGGTTATAGGCTGACTCGAAGATTCTCCCGGTCCAGTAATCTTGCTGGCATTGCTTGCCCAGGTCGGTATGCGAACATAGAAGGAGAACGGAGAGGAAGCCAAAACTTGATAGCTGAGGTTCAGCCCAAAGGGATATGTTCCAGTAGCCGATATTGTTACCGAATTGTCACCCTCGAGCATTGTTGATACCGTTCCGGGAGACAAGTAGACATGAGCAAGACCACCATCTTCAGTGCTAACAAATGAGTTCGCTAGGAACTTCGGATATCCTTGTGGGTGGTTTACTGTGCAGCAAGGCTAGTCGTTGTTAGTAAGTTTTGCTGGATGGAGATTCGTCATTCTACTCACATAGTTCGGCTCCAGCCCGAAAACATTGGAGTATGAATTCACGTCAGTCCACATTGCCGATCCTTCTGTCAGGTTCCGAGACCATGGCTGATTTTCTTGTTGAACGTATTGATGACTGTACCAATCTGAGGATATCGAAGCCGGCAGGGCGTTAAAGGCAACAAGTTCTACCCAATCGGCCCTGAAAATTAGTCGAAATTTAGCGATCAACCATTCTTATGAGGGTATGTGCTGGTGAGTTACTAACAAATCATTATCCGCAAGGTACTGGTAAATCCAGGTCACTGGAACGGCAGTTATTAGATGTGTTCCCATACAATATTACCCACCTGTGTTCAGATACACAATACTCACTGGAGAAGATCATCTCAGCTGCAATGCAGAGCTCGGCACCTCTATTCGGATTCAAATCCGAAATGTATTCATCTGCAATAATTGTTCCAGCTAGGGATTTGTGATATTTCGCCAGCAGGTCAGTTGCGAACCGGGTTTGCTCTTTAAGCTTCTCGTCATGGGTCATGCGGTATACTGCCAGAGGATAGCGTAAACCTGTTTCCACTGATGAGTAAGACGCAAAGACAAAGTCAGTGGATGATTTTACCTTCAGCGTAGTTCACTCCGTGTAAGAAGACCCAACTCAGGTTCCACGGAGTAACACCATCTTGGTAGACGGTCGGGTAGACACCGTCCACGAAGAAAGTCCTCCAATCCGCGCCCCACTGCCTTGCGTTAGATGACGACTTCAATTTATACGAGTGTAGTGAAGTGCGCCTTATTTTTTGACCCCCAAAGGACGAGAGTGTAGAAAAATAGTGTCGAAGCAACCTGAGTTGGCTTCCCCAAAATCAAGAATCGCATGGTCTGAATCACGGAAGGAGTTATATGCGTAGGGTGTCACTTACGAGCACGCCACCCTCGATCATGAGCTCCATCGTCTCCCATATCAGCTCGGAATTATTGCGGGGGTACTTCTCGTAAAGCCATTGTAAGGGTATGTGGTATTCGTGAGTTCGGCCAACACCAAACCCAGCAGTATCGAATACATCATCTCCATGGACCTTCGCAAGTGAGCTTCCAGGCCAGGGCCAATAATTATGAATGCTTAAATATATTACTTACCAACAGACCTGTGTAGTTATCACGTAGCATACTGTGTGCTAACTCTACGTATCGATGCATGGAATCCACTATTCTTTCGGTCTGGGTAGAATCAGCCTCGGCGTATTGCTGTCACTAGTTAGTTCAAGATATCATCGCGTGGGTCCGGAGCGTGTTGTAAACAGCATGTTGCTGTCAATAGCCACAACCGAATGGGTTCAAAGCCTGTCTTACCACCCCAAACTCACCATTAAGCCCAGCAAAAGCAGGCACCTGGCCCATAGGCCCCGAGTCTGATGGGTTGTTTCGAACCCAAGCCAGCCATCGTCCTGTTGATGGTCGAGCACATAGTCAAGATAATATTGCACTTGTCCCTTGATTCGAGTATCATTCAGTCCGAAAGCAAGTGGAACCAGGCCGTTGAACCAGTATGGCGATGCTTCATCGAGGATAGAGTACTCTGTAGTTCCTCCAATCCATTTCGAGTTGTGCACAAAGCGATAGAAGTCAAACATGTTGCCGGCGAGGCCATTGGCTTCCAATTCTAGCTGATCACGGAGCCAACCCAAAGGGCTGGTGGATCCGAGAGAAAGCGGGCGGTATACGGGTTGAACCACTGAGAGGGATTAGTCCAATAGCAACGGTGTGTTGTGCGTGGTGTCTTGGCCTACGTGAAGATCCACGGTCAACTTGCAAGACATGCTGAGCTTGGCCGAAAGCAAGGCCCACCAGAAAAGTAGCAATCCCGAGCAGGCGCATTTTGTCAACCTTCAATCAGGAAACACCACCTAATAGCTTGCCTTGAAGGTCCAAAGGATCGTATAGGGCACGCAAACGGGGTTTTACGGACGCGTGCGGCAACAAATGATGCAATGGTGTCAAGAACATAGATCGCTCATGAGAAGCCCCGCCTACAGATTTGATCCCCAAGCAAGAAAATCCCAAATGCTATGTTACACCTACGGTCAAGATATACCGTCACAATGAACTGCGGATGTCCCACCCGATAACTGAAATGACGGTGACTTGCCAGGTTCGGAAGCCAGCCCCACGTTACATCGGCATTGCGGTCCGCCGTCTGGCAACTCTGCAGTGCGGACTCTCCTATCTGCGTGCAGGATCGGATCGTTCATAAACGCACTGTTCATTTAAACTCTGAATTCCAGGGTTCAGCACAAGTTTTTCGGTAATTGTATCTATAAAACCCATTCCATCGCCTACAAATACTCTATTGCATACTACTTACATGACAGGTGACCACACTTTTCGTGTAGGAGTGATGTGTCGCATTGAGTAAAGCTCGAGTTAGTCAACAACTACGCTGTACGCGACTCTGTTGGTAAACGATGGTACCCCCAAGACGAAAAGATGAGCATTGTAGCATATTGATACAAATTGGTTCGTTTATCAGTACCATACGTACAAAACTATCCGCAATTGTACCTATGATTCACCCCTCATCTCCCAGAAGGCGACCGACATGATTCCCCCCCCCCCCCCCAGAAACTTACACCACAGCTCACCACCAATATTAACCGTAAGGACAAATCATTGTGGACATTATTTGTCCATACGGTCATGTTTCCAACGTCAACAGTACATTACCGGTCATTGGGTAGGTTGATATGAGGCATGTGGGTGTTATGGGTATCGGAGACAGGCTCTGACGTTGGTAGAACTGTAGAGGGTGCGACGGGACCCCCAGATGGGGATCCAGACCCTTCATCATGGTGTATAACCCCTGAATACCCACTGTCCATTCTTGAGTGCCCCTTCTTCTGAGAGGCAGCGTTTGAGGCAGGATTTGAAGTGGTGTTCGAATTCTTCTCGTTAAGCCCCCTGTCCGAATGGCTGTAAAACCTTTCAAGGTCATCCTCGTCTTGTCCAGGGTTTGCAGTGTTATACTTCATCCACCTGAGAAGAGCGTAACATCCATATGCTAGCAGAGAGCCCGTGAGAGGTCCGATCCAGTAGATCCAGTGATAACCTGGAAAGTTCGTGATCACTGCAGGACCAAAAGCCCTGGCTGGATTAATCGAAGTCCCCGTCCAGTTCGTTGCACAGATGTGTGCAATGAAGACAGAAATCCCAATGCCGATAGGTGCTAAATATGTAGCACGGTGTTTCTCGACAGCCAAGAAGAACACAGTCAGGACAAGTTGCGCAGTAAGGAAGAACTCCAGGAAAAACCCTTGAGCTGTGTTCGCGCCGCCACCAAGCTTATCACCAAATAGAGCCGGGCCAGGCGTGAGGCCATCGGCAACTGCAGCCGCCGCTATCGCAGCGACCAGTTGTGTAATAAATACGAAGAGGCCCCGCAGTGGCCCAACAGCTCCGACCAGGACGAGACCCAATGTGATCTGGATATGTTAGATCTTCTAGCAAGACGTTGGAACGAAGAGGATGAATACGTACGGCAGGATTGAACATGCCACCAGTGACTCTGTAGAAGATCCACACATTTACGGCGACTGCAGCGCCGAAGGAGAAGGCGACATACAGTAGACTGAATGGAGCCAGAGGGGCAGTGTAGTCGTTGGGGTTGTTTGTGACGATGGCGGTCTGGGTGCCGATGAATGACAAGAGCAAAAACATAAAGGTCCCGCAGAATTCACCGACGAGGACGGTCAACATGTTCCGCGTTGGATCTGGGAACATGTGGCTCCCTTCGCCGGGGCGGGTTGGGAAAAGGTGTCGCGTCATGTTTGGCAAGCTTCTCAGGTCAAGGAAAAGCTTGAGGGGGACGTTTATCAATGAAGAGGTGAAATCAATGGGCAAGATTGGAATAGCCAGCGAATATAAATAGTAGCGGAATGGAAATACAGTCGCCAACAAATACCAAGATTGGCTTTGCCAAATGTGAACCATATTGGGCAGATGCTCGTGCCATGTCTAGGATAATCCTTTCATCGGCTACATGTGCCGACCACACTGGATGCTTGGATAATCTGAAAACAGAAGGTTGTTACAGTGAGCTGTTTATGGTTTGCCGGTAAGAACAAGCGAACTCAAGCTCAGCTACCGTATTCCATGGCTGAACATTGAGGTGAATCAAGATTTGTACTTGCCTCTACAGGAGCCATGAGGGCCACAGATCTCTTGGGAAACCCAACGTAAACGGTGACGCGAACGTAGAAAATTATCGGCATTTTTGTCGCCATATCTGCGTAGCTAGTCATTAGTCCAGATATAATGAGAGGATAATTCGAGGTGAGCACAAGCGAATTTCCCGAAGACACTATACGTTGCTCAAGAACGGTATCTTTTGGGATCGAGATCTCTTTATCTCCCTCTGATGCCTTGCTCCTTGAGGGAGCTTATTAACTGCATGTGGCGGGTGGAGACTCGTCCAAACGACTTGCAACAATCTTTCTTTCATAGTTGGGATGAACACCCTTAGACATCATGATGGAATGGATTCAGATGGCGGCAATAAGACCATGCATGATTTACTTTTAATAAGGCTAAATCTGAGTTTGGACCATGGTAGAGTCTATCTTCATTTTGGGTCACAGGCTAAGGACAAATACGAGAGTTGCATGTATGCACTTGCTGGGCCCTGGCTTTTGTTGCATTGTTTGCATTCTTGGATGGCGCTGGTGGGAAAGATCTGATCTTGGCGTGCTATTGTACAAATCGAGGCTCACCGATCCTGACCGTAATCTTTACAAACGACCCATGTCATTGCATTGAAGACATCTTTCCAATCTCAGTAGCTCAATATTTTAGACGCGAGGTATGATGGCTCAATTTTCGACTCGCCGAACGAATCGAGCCACACCACGCTCTGTAAGTATAGAACACGCCAAGTAGAGGAGAATGAATATCCCAACAAATGTTTCGGGCGATAATACGACCACGTAGACGATACCGGGGCATATGCAAAAGCAAGGATTGTCCGTTGATAATATGACTTACATGGGTGAATTACTCCTGCAGGGAGTGACAATCCCATTTTGGTGGAGTAAGGCGTTTACATCATAGACCCCCTACAAAGGCTTACGCAGTCTCCAGGTTGCTATGAACAGTGGCACATGGTCTTATTGGCCTGAAATGCTTTCAAATATTGGCAGAGGATAGCGGTATCTTGAGCTAAAAAGGCAAGCAAGGTTCAACAGCTTCCTTGCTGAGTCAAGACACCAGATGTGGGGTTGCGTAGGCTAAAGTTTAGATGCGGGCCGCAAGTCAATTCGACACCTAATCAGACGACAAGCAGAGCCGTGAAAGGCAATTGGCAACTTTCATCGATGAGGCTCAATCAGATTAACACTGAAGGGCGGGGTAAATGTCATAGTCTTACAGCAATCAGAGTGGCGCGTTTTGGGGACCCCTACGGCTATTGGTCCTGCCATTTCATGATGGCATGGACTACCGGTATCTAGCAACAGCCCTAGCCTTGTATACCTTTCACGATAGCAATTCTTCAACTCTAGACGAGTAGAGCAATCATGAGAGTCGTGTGGGGCCTTCCAGCCAGGATGGAGAGGAGTGAACAAAGCATGCCTGGTCACTAGGCTGACTGGAACGTCAAGATGGTTGACAGACCATTCTTACTCGTGGACAATGCCTACCGCTGGCTCTGTTCACCTCGTTGGAAATTTCAGCTTGTAGGCACCAAACGAGCAGCAATGTGGTGCAAAACACCGTGATCACATTCGAAGCAAGTCGGGTTAACACCTGTAGTGGACTTCAGTCAGGTCCAGTGGAGCCGGAAGCGTGGGCTCGGGCCGAGCGTTTCGCATACTAGACGCAGAATGTAAGACATCCGTAAATCTGCCCAGGATGATGTTGAGCCAGCTACCACCTATCATATTTAGAGTCACCGCTGAACCTTGAGTGCTTGCATGGGGATGTATGAAGAAAAACGCCAGTATCTGAAGATTTGGATGATCATTCCTAACACAGCCTTTCCCTTCGAAGCCCCAACTTTATTGCCACGGATTTCCGTTAACCGCACGAGATGACTATGGCATCATTGTTTGGCGTCGAGGCGACGCTGAGAACGCCTACTCAACCTGGGATCCTAGAGTACTCATCCGCATTGCTGTAGATCTGCACTAGATAGGCTACTATCGGGCTGGTGGTTGCAGACTAACATCAGACCAGCCAGATCTTGCTAGACGTTGGGACGCCGCTGGGTAGACAGGGAGTTGCCATCCCAGACCTACCTGTCTCTCCAAGGTGGTTATATTTCGCGCGATGGCAAGTCCTGCCGAAGGTATCGGTGGGCTCGAGTATCTGCCAAGATACGCTGCCTCGGACAGGCGCCAATCATCTGGTTCATCCCAAGCACCAGACGAGTACGAGAAAGTTTGTTAAGCTGCCATTGAATGCCAGCATATGACGCGTGAACAAGGCGAAGGGGTGATACGGCTACCTAGACCACCAGAGCTCTGGCGGCCGGCTTCGAGAACGGAAGAGCCGCTGCAGCAGGCGGATAGGGCCAGCACAGTCAGTAAGCAGATGGGAACTGCGGCTCTTGGGTCTATGCCAACGCAAGTGCGGCGCCTGCAAGCTTTGAGTAGCCGGATGCGTTGGAGTTCCGTCGGGAGAATGATGCTGTCGAGTGTGCTCGGAGATGGACGGACAGCTTGCCACTCAACTCACAAACTCAGGCCCAGTATCAATCATCGAGAAATCACAAAAGTACTGCGCTTTGGTGCGGATTCACCCGCAGCCGTGCCCAATTTCCCATTGTCTCTCCTCTCCTCTCATTTGTGTCCAGAGCGTCAGCGTCGCCCTGGTTGGATTGTTGATGGATCCATTGGCCAGCGAGCGACCAGACAGACGACAGACGACAGACGACGGACGACGGACCCACCCAGGCCGCCGAAGCACTCCGGCAGTCAATCATGTGACAGCCCGTGAGGCGCTAGGGCCGCTTCGGGACTAGGCTGAGGCTCGCACGCAGCTCAGGAACTTCTTTGGCCTTCGCCTTCGCCTCAGTCGACGGAATTGTCAGCCGCCCTCCGAAGAAGCATCTGCATTCCTGCCTCCGTGGACGTGTTGAGGCCGCCACGACATCACGCGCAACGATCGGAAGGACAGTCTGGACATCAAGAAGGTGTGGCTTTGATGATCTTGGATAGTCGGACGAGCCTGAGGCCAGCGCTGACGTGACCTGCGACCGTAGATCGTTGCTGGGTTGAAGGCCAGCCAGCAAAGCCTCCCGCGCTCCCTGCCTGCGACTCGCGACATCACCGCGCGCCCTCGCCCTCTGTCGCCTGTCCCCCCTCCGTCCATCGGGACCACCAAGGCGTCGACCCCATTCATTTCCTCGATAGCGGTTCACGATACGCATACCGACCACGGCGCCTTCCTGCTCACAGCGCCTGCCCGAAAGGCCAAACTGTGCGCGACGCGGCTTCGGTACCAAGGTCGCCCTCTGCTAATATCTTTCTCACCTTCGACTTTGCATCTTCGCACATCACTGTGTGCTTCTTGTGTGCTTTTCACGTCCTTCATTCATAGCTTACGCGCGCAACGCTGCGTCTGCCAACCGCTACCGCGGTCTTGACTTCAGAAAGACGACACCGACTCCTCCATCAGACGCCAAGATGGATGAGTACGCCAACGACTACGAGTACGATGCCGAGTACGATGCCGAGGGAGAGGAGGGTATCACCCCGGAGGATTGCTGGACCGTCATCTCCTCCTACTTCGACACCAAGGGCTTGGTGTCGCAACAGATCGATTCGTTCAACGACTTCCAGGAGACCACCGTCCAGGAGCTGATCGACGAGTACTCCCACATCAGCCTCGACCAGAACAACCCCCCCGATTCCACACCAGAGCACCCCATCGCCCTCAGGAGATATGAGCTGAAGCTGGGTCACATCGCCGTCTCGAGGCCCGTCATCACCGAGGGCGAGGGTACCATGGCCCCGCTGCTTCCCTACGAGTGCCGCGACCGAAACCTTACATACTCGGCACCTCTGTACGTCAAGATCACCCAGAAGCGATCTGTCTGCGTGGAGGAGCCCATCCCCCTGCACGAGATGGACGATGAACAGCAGAACGAGTATGCTCGCACACAGGAGCAGCCTACGCGCCTCGTCTGGGAAGAGGAGGAAGTCCCCATTCCCGCGACTTCCAAGGACAGCAACACCAAGGACAAGGACCCCGACATGGTTTTTATCGGCAAGCTACCCGTCATGGTCAAGTCCAAGGCCTGCCACCTGGCCCACGAGACTGAGGACGACCTGTTCTTGCTCAACGAGTGCCCTTACGACCAGGGTGGCTACTTCATCATCAACGGAAGTGAGAAGGTGCTTATCGCCCAAGAGCGCTCCGCTGCCAACATCGTCCAGGTCTTCAAGAAGGCCCAACCCAGCCCCTTCACCTACATGGCTGAGATTCGAAGTGCGCTGGAGAAGGGCTCCCGCCTCATCTCATCACTGGCCATCAAGCTCTTCTCCAAGGGAAGCGCCGGCATCCAGGGCCAGACAATTGCCTGTACACTGCCCTATGTCCAGTCCGATGTCCCCATCGTCATCGCATTCCGTGCCCTCGGTGTTGTCTCGGACGAAGACGTCTTGAACCAAATCTGCTACGACCGCAACGACAGCCAGATGCTCGAGATGCTGCGGCCCTGCATTGAAGAAGCCTTCTGTATCCAGGATCGCGAGGTTGCACTGGACTTTATTGGCAAGCGCGGTAACCAGACTTCGGGCTTTACCAGAGACCGTCGTATCCGCGCCGCCAAGGACATCCTGCAGAAGGAGATGCTCCCTCACATTTCCCAGAGCGAGGGTTGTGAGACGAGAAAGGCTTTCTTCTTGGGCTACATGGTTCACAAGCTCCTCCAGTGCTCTCTCGGACGACGCGACACCGACGACCGTGATCATTTTGGCAAGAAGCGGTTGGATCTGGCTGGTCCCCTGTTGGCCAAGCTCTTCCGTAATATTGTGCGGAAGCTGACCAATGAGATTACCATGACCTTGAAGCGCTGTGTCGAGCAGAACAAGGACTTCCAGGTTCAGTTCGGTATCAAGTCCGGTATTGTAACCAACGGCCTAAAGTACTCGCTCGCTACCGGCAACTGGGGTGACCAGAAGAAGGCAATGAGCTCGACCGCTGGTGTCTCCCAGGTGCTGAACCGATACACCTTTGCCTCCACACTGTCCCATTTGCGACGCACAAACACGCCTATCGGGCGTGATGGAAAGCTCGCCAAGCCCAGACAATTGCACAACACCCACTGGGGTCTGGTTTGTCCGGCTGAAACGCCCGAGGGTCAGGCTTGTGGTCTGGTCAAGAATCTGTCTTTAATGTGCTCCATCAGCGTGGGAACGTCTACCGAACCCATCATCGACTACATGATTACCAGAAACATGGAGGTGTTAGAAGAGTACGATGCCGTTCGTTATCCCAACGCCACCAAGATCTTCCTCAACGGATCCTGGATCGGTGTGCACCAAGACCCAAAGGCCCTTGTCAAGGATGTCCAGCAGCTGCGCCGTAGCGCCCAAATTCCTGCAGAGGTTTCTTTGGTCCGTGACATTCGTGATCGAGAGTTCAAGATCTTTTCCGATGCCGGCCGTGTCATGCGGCCTCTATTCGTTGTTGAACAAGAAGATGACCCGGACCGTGGTTTGGAGAATGGCACATTGGCTCTGACCAAGGACATGGTCAGAAAACTGGAGAGGGACAGCACGCTGCCAGCGGATAGCGACGAGTTCTTTGGTTGGCAGAGCCTTGTCTCTCAGGGAGTTGTCGAATACTTGGATGCCGAGGAAGAAGAGACCGCCATGATCTGCATGACGCCTGAAGATCTCGAGACCTACAGAATGGCAAAGGCGGGCCACGATGTCACCCAGGATATGGGTGACGACCTCAACCAACGTGTCAAAACCAAGTTGAATCCTACGACGCATATGTACACGCATTGCGAAATTCATCCTAGCATGCTTCTAGGTATTTGTGCCAGTATCATTCCGTTCCCAGATCACAACCAGGTATGCTTCTACTGGCCCCATTTCGGGAACACTCGCTAACACGGATCGTAGTCTCCCCGTAACACTTACCAATCCGCTATGGGTAAACAGGCCATGGGCTTCTTCCTCACCAACTATACACGACGCATGGATACCATGGCCAACATCCTCTACTACCCTCAGAAGCCCCTCGGAACGACTCGCTCTATGGAGTTTTTGAAGTTCCGTGAGCTGCCTGCTGGTCAGAACGCCATTGTAGCCATTGCGTGCTATTCTGGTTACAACCAAGAAGATTCCGTCATCATGAACCAGAGCAGTATCGATCGAGGCTTGTTCCGAAGTTTGTTTTTCCGATCCTACAGCGACTGTGAAAAGCGCGTCGGAATCAACACTATAGAGCAGTTTGAGAAGCCTTTCCGGTCCGATACTTTGCGCATGAAGCACGGTACTTATGATAAGCTGGACGATGATGGTATCGTTGCCCCAGGTGTCCGAGTCAACGGTGAAGACATCATTATTGGCAAGACGTCTCCCATAAACCCAGACAATGAGGAGTTCGGCGTAAGGACCAAGGCTCACCAGAAGCGTGACGCTTCCACGCCCCTCCGAAGCACAGAGAGCGGCATCGTGGATCAGGTCATCATGACGACGAATGCCGACGGCCTGCGCTACGTCAAGGTCAGGGTGCGAACCACCAAGATCCCACAGATTGGTGACAAGTTCGCTTCTCGTCACGGTCAGAAGGGTACCATTGGTGTTACCTACCGCCAAGAAGACATGCCGTTCAGCCGTGAAGGCATTGTGCCCGACATCATTATTAACCCCCACGCCATCCCGTCTCGAATGACCATTGCTCATTTGATTGAATGCTTGCTGAGCAAAGTTTCAACGCTCAAGGGTATGGAGGGTGATGCAACGCCGTTCACCGACGTAACGGTGGACTCGGTTTCTTCTCTACTGCGTGAACACGGCTACCAGTCGCGCGGGTTTGAGATCATGTACCACGGCCACACTGGCCGTAAGCTGCGATCGCAGGTTTTCTTCGGTCCTACATACTACCAGCGTCTGCGTCACATGGTGGACGACAAGATCCATGCCAGAGCTCGCGGTCCTGTTCAGATCATGACTCGTCAACCCGTGGAGGGTCGTGCTAGAGATGGCGGTCTTCGGTTCGGAGAGATGGAGCGTGATTGTATGATTGCGCACGGTGCCGCGGCCTTCTTGAAGGAGCGTCTCTTCGAAGTCTCTGATGCGTTCAGAGTTCACATTTGTGAAATTTGTGGGCTCATGACTCCTATCGCGTAAGTTTCTTTGCCTCCTCTTTGGCTCTACCCTACAAAACACTGACATCTCCCCTAGGAACATGACCAATCACACTTTCGAATGTAGACCATGCAAGAACAAGACCAAGATCGCCCAAATCCACATCCCGTATGCCGCCAAGCTTCTGTTCCAGGAGCTTCAAGCTATGAACATCGCTAGTCGCATGTTTACCGATCGCTCTGGCGCGTCTGTGCGATAAGGAAGTCGTGCCGGGGCAGAACGTACACAGAAGTACCTGAGGACAATGGTCAAGGTGCTAGATTGGCATTGGCGTCATGCCAAGGAGGATTTTCGAGGCAGATAGTTGCATTGGGCCGGCGTTGTTGCGGGAAAATTTTGAACGTTAAGAAGTTAAGCCCCTACCTTGATACCGAAGCGGGACTTCCTCGCATGCATGGGTACAGGAAGCGCCATGTGCACATATCCGCAATTGCGAGCAGTGCTTCCGGACTTAGTTCGTGCAAGGTCGGCAACAGGGTGGAGATGTATGTAGACTATAATCAGCGCGTAACTAAGCATTGTCCCCCTAGACTGAGAACCGGGAAACTAATACAAAATTGTAAAACGGTAACGGGTCTATTAATGCGATCTTGTGATTCTTGAGTCAGCTAATCTTTGTAAGTCACTGTCCATTTTCCTTGCACCATGTGAGTGAGGTAGGAATGGCGGGGCACACACTAGTCGTGGCAAGAGCCCACCGTACATGATCAAGCAAAAGTCACGTATCTCTGGCCGTCAGTTGCTCTCTGCATCTGGGCTCCGAATAGAAGGCATTGTCGGGTTGAGAGCGACCGTGCCGGCGGCATTGAGATAATTCCGTTTCGGATTGGCGAATTCAAAGCCCCTGGTTTCGCTGGTACGAGCTTGCAGAGACTCGATTGGTGCCTCCGGGTTGCGTAATGTGGTGTACAGATGGCGCTTGGGTTACGACTGGATGTTCGGAAAAGGTTGGCGAGGATATTCCGCGCAGTAGAAGAACGGGATTACTTCTTGAGGAAGCACTTGCAGTGAGTTCCTGGCAGTAGCTGAGCCAGCAGCTGATGCGTTATTCCCTGCGTCCCATCGCATTAAGTTGCCCGACAACCAGCAAAGTTGCAACACCATGGCAGCCAGCACTTCCAACATAGATAAAAAAAAAAAAAAAAAAAAAAAAAAAAAAAGTACGATTGGATGTTGAATGAGAGAAGCTTTGAACCTGCATGTTATTTCTACCATGATTCATGCATCACGCGAACGCAGCACCATTGACTACTAGCAGCTGGACAAGCAACTGCAGGGGGTAGCGGAGAATTTTCGAATAGGAGCTCAGACTGCCCATGGCTGTCGCAACGACATATCAGATACAAAGAAAAAGCACAGCATTAGTCAACACATCTATTAGCGCAGTGACGAATCCCTCCTCGAGTTCAGCTTCAGCTGGTCAGCAATCACCCCCTTGGCCCCACTGCCCAAAATTGCTCACCATTCCTGGTTGCTTTTTCCGGAACGCTCTGCCCGCTTGCGTACACAGATCGGCATACTATCGACTTCAAGACATGACCTTTTTTTCTTTCTACCTTATGCAGCGAGCCGCCCGAGGCAAGGGAGGCCATGGACTATTGATCTCAAATCTCGCACAGGAATGCATTTGCACTCAGTGTACGAAGACGACTGAAAACCGCCGGAACGGAGCCAAGACAATGATAAAGTTTGCTTATATTCATCAGCACCTTGAGTGTCATCGCAGACAAACGATATCGTGATATTGAGACAACTCAGCCGACAATGCGCCAAACGAGCGCATCGAGTTGATGTATCGACTTCGGCATCATGAACCCGATTAATCCCAAGACCCAAAACTTCACCCTCATCGGATCTAATGGCACTACGTTTCATATATCCCTGGTAAAGATCGATGGGCAGCGCATGCGGCTTGCCAACATCTGTATCAGCTACGGGGTGCAGCTCGGGCTGAGTCTGATGATGCTCTTGACGCTATTACTCCTGGTCCCAGTCTCCAAGATGCGCAAGGCTATCCACGTCGTGCACATCACGAGCCTCATCGTGGCCGTCATACGACTGGTGCTCCTGATCCAATACTTCCCGGGCCCGCTGTCGGAATACTATGTCGCATGGACCCAGGACGTGAAGGCGCTCGGGGTGGAGGACTATGGCACCAACACGGCAGGCAACGCCTTCAATGTCGTGCAGTTTGCGCTCATCGAGACAGCCCTCGTGATGCAGAGCTGGGGCCTAATTCAGACGTGGCCGGACCTGTGGCAGTACGTTGTCAAAGCGACGTCGGTCGCGCTGGCGGTGGCCACGGTCACAGTGAAGAGCGTCTGGGTCGTGCGGCATACATGGGCCCTAAGGGACAGTACATTGCCCGTGCCATTAGATGCCGTCGGTGAAGCGGCAACCGTTCTGGGAGCCGTGTCGATATTTTACTTCTGCGGCATCTTCTTCATGAACTTAAGTGTGCATCTGGCTACTACGAGGAGCATCCTGGTGAGAACGGAAAGGGGTCTCACGAGCTTGGAGATCTTGGCAATCGGAAATGGGCTTCTGATGGTGCTTCCAAGTGAGTGAAACGTCGAACCTGCCGTAAGGAGAAGGCGAACCGGGATGTGCTGAGCTAACTAGGCATCGCAGGCATCTTTGCAGGCCTCGATATCGCTACCGGACTCAACGGCGCCCGCGTTCTGCCCTTTGATGCTGGTTCGTGGGTTATGACCCTGGTGGTCATCGGGTTGCCCTTGACGGGACTAATCGCCAGATACCGCGGTCCATCATCCCACAGTCCGTCCAACCGAGTGTCACATCGATTCTCACTATTTGCGCACGCTCCAATTCTCGACTCGAAGATCCATACCTCCCAGACTGCGAACACTACATTGCAAAGTCCAACGGGTACCAGCTTCGTGGTATCTGCAGAAGCGACGAGGCCTGATTCTTCTAGAAGTGGGAGAGAGGGATCACGACCAAAGTCCAGTAGGTCGAGTCCTACATCAGATGGTGATCTGGAGTCGGGGATACAGGTGCGGAAGGATGTGTCCGTTACTGTTGAGGGAACTCCGGGATCGAGTGCGCTGTCTGAGCCGGAAGACAAAAGGTAGTTTTTGGGTCTTGCCTTCCTGAGTTTACATGGAGCGCAACTATGTTCCTTCAAGTATGCGATATCTATAATATCCCAGGTCCCCAAGCCTATCAAATGCTGTCCTCGTCGTGTATGAACCCCAACGACAAACCGAGAGAGCCACGTTACCCAATTATAGCCCTGCGTTCCGTTATGCTTACCCAATTTCCATGCAATTGCTTCTATGACTTTTTATGGCCCCGTCGTGCATGACACCTTAATCCCTATGCAGTTTTAGAGAACCTATCCGCCAGTGCCTCGGTCTCTTTTGCCTTCTGGTTGACGCTGTCCCTCTCAAAGCCGGCGATGGCCTTGTAAGCTGCTCCAATACCGTCTAACTCCTCCTTTGGAATAACATCGTAGATGTTCGCGAAGCCTTCAGGTGCTCGTTCGTGGGCGAGTTGCAAGACATGGTCGGGTCCATTCGCCCGATTAGCCATGACAATCTTAGCTGTCGGTGGCAGTCTGGCTTCCTGGTATGCTTTCAATGCTCCAGGTACATCATCTGGGTTTTCAACCAGGCATTTAGCCAGGGTTTCAGCATCGATGATTGCCTGGGTGGCGCCATTGGACCCGATCGGATACATGGCGTGGGCTGCGTCTCCAAGGAGTGTCAAACGTCCGAATGACCACTGGTCCACTGGGTCCCGGTCGCACATAGGAAACTCAAAGACGCTATCCGTGCTGTCTATGAGATCCTTCATACGAAGTCCTCCGCAAGTCCACTCCGAGAAAGGACCTTCGAACTTGGCCTTCGGGACCTTCTTAGTCCAGTCTGTCGGCGGAGGAGTCACATCTGGATCGTTCTCATCGCGAACCCGAAGCTCAGCGATCCAATTCACCAGTGATTTGCCGTTGCGCGCTGATCTTCCGCTGATGGGGTATGCTATGAACTTCTGGTTTGCGTGACCGGCCCAGATCATCGAAGCGCCTGTGAGATATGGATCACGCTCCACACATCCGCGCCATAAGATGCGCCCAGAGAAGTGCGGCGGGCCTTCCTTTGGGTACAGCAACCGGCGAGCTGTGCTGTTGATTCCATCGGCAGCTATGAGAATGGTGCCGGACATGGTCGGATTCTCAGCTGGCTGGTCGCTGGCGCGCCGGACAAAATTGGCCGTAATGGAGTTGGCATCTTGAGTATATCCCGTAAGAGCATGGCCCAGGTGGATTCGATCACTGCCAATGCGTTCCTTTACTGCATCCAGCAGGAGCATCTGGAACTCCCCCCTGTGTATCGAGAACTGGGGCACGACGTATCCCGCTCCGACACCTCGTGGTTCCGAGAGAATAGTGTGGCCATGCCGGCTGTAAAAGTTCAGTTCCTGAGTCTCAATCCCAGTTTCCTGAAGCTTTGGCAACAAGCCTAGGTTACGCAAGATGAGCACTGCCGATGGCTGGACGTTGATCCCAACACCCAACGTGGTAAGCTGCGAGCTGGCTTCGAATATGTGTATATCAACAAAGCCAGCAGCGTGCAAAGACAGAGCGGTGCTCAGTCCACCAATTCCGGCACCGGCTATCAGAATCCGAGGTTGTGGCGAGGTCAGAAACGGCATGTTGTCGACTGGGATTAGCCTAGACCAGAAAGCGATTTTTCCAGTATCCGAGTTGGAAGCAGTTGCTGGATTTGTGAAGCAATGAATGATACTTTGGCAGCGAAAATCTTCCTGGCCATTGCGAAGTCGGCCTCGATCACACGCCAGATCAAGCCCACAGAACTGGGCCCATTATGGGGAATCTGGGGAAGATTGTGGTTTTCCAATTGGACAATTTCGTTCTGGCCCATGGGGGTGACTTCCAAAGGGAGAGGGCGGTCCGGGAAAAGAAGAGTTTGGGAATTGGGGACATTTGATTGGGCTGCCTCAACGTCGGCAGCTATTGTCGGCAAGTTCGTTCTTGGCTTGATTGAAACTAAATTGGCGCCGAAAGTGGGTGCGGATCGCGCTCTTGAGCGGATGCCGCTGAAGTTTCAACAATACACCTTGAGCATCTAGTATATCTCGTATTCTGCAAAAAAATAATGACACCAGACTCAGGTGCATTGCCCGAACAAGAATACCCACTGCACCACTTAGTCTCTAGTCTTCATCCTTCCGAATGCTAGCACACAATGCAGAGTCTTGTCTTGTAAAATACCGTTGGGGGAGGTACCATCCGTATTTTGTTAAAGGGACGACTATAAGTCGCCAAATCCGGAGAGCCTCCGTGATGCGGCCCAGAAACGCCTGGAGCCTGAGCTACCTGCAGAAGCGACTGGTGAAATCGCGGGAGCTGGCAGCAGTGTCACGTTCCATGTCCCTGAGCCGATTGGATGATTAGCTATTGATGATGGCAGTCTATCTGGCAAGCCGGACCATCTGGAAGATGAGAGAAAGGTCCACTGCTCGGCATGAGCAGATCGATGAGTCTTCCCTCGTCTTTCTCCGTCCGGTGGTAAATACCCCATTTTTTAGATTTCAAAATTTACTATAATATTAGGGCCGAGAGCTGAAAACCAGGCCTGAAACCTATGTATTGTAAGGCCTTGATGGTTATCAAGTTGGAGTATTGCAAAGAAAAGGTGCCCATATTAGGTCAAGTAATTACGGTGTCTCCTTCTCAAGTCGATCCCCTTCGTCATCATTCAGTTTTGCGGCGGGGTCGGAGAACACACTCTTACACTAGTCATGTCACATGAAGCAACGGATGACAATTTCTCCGTCAAGTTGACAATTAGTTGAGTGCACCACCGGACTTATATACGAACCAGACATGTTTCCGACACTTTTGGTGTACACTAGTGACTTTGACCCATAACTAATCCTATTGTGAAGCGAGTGAATCACATTTGGGATAAGGTCAATGTCTGTTCGTAACCATGCTAAAGTGACACAGCTCAAATGGTCATAGAATCCTAGGATGACTATCTGCAATCTATTGGCTCAGTGCCAACACTTGTATACATTGCATGAAATCGTATAACCACAATTCGCCGTAGAGCACTATCTATACTTTCTCACTCTATTGTAATGCTATCATATCGTGTATTGCTAAGTATCATGCAGGAGTTTTGGGAGCCAGTCCCTCAGTAGATCATCATACCCCAAGTAATGTAAGCGCTATCTTATTTAGATAGCATGCCTTATCAGTCCTGATTTCCCATCCTGAACACATTGAGGCATAACAAGGATGCATATTGATGTAAGCACTAACGTTGCGGCGACCTATCGAGTTGCCCAATGCCAACAAGGCTGAAGCAATCCATAGCTTGCAAGCTACACGATTGGAGCATTGTGCTGGTAACTTTAGCTAATTAGTGTGGGCGCAAATCCTACAAATTGCTAGTGCCGTGATGGGGTCTGACATATAAATAATGAGGAGATCCCTTAGCTCTCTTAACTTCTGTCCTTGTTTTTAGCAGAGATCTGAGAATCTGGATCGCGATAATGATTCACGAAGCAACATACGCTCTGGCCGGGCTCATTTTTGCCCTCTACGCTGTCGATTTTGCTCTCAGTTGCCTTGACGATTCGCGTGAGCCTCCGAGACTGCGACCGAAAATCCCCCTGATTGGCCACTTATTAGGATTGATCACCAATGGAACAACCTACTACAGCGTGACAAGGTAAATCTTTTTGCATTGCTCCCAACGCCAGACATTAATGTAATGTAGCAAAAGTACCGACGCTGAGTTGTACACGTTGGGAATCTTCAACTACAAGATATACGTCAGTAATTCTAACCGTCTGATGCCTCTGATTCAGAAGGCATCCAAAAGCCTGTCGTTCAAACCATTCATGCAGACAGCGACCAAGACGCATTCCGGTATGCACGTTCTTCATTATGACCCCGTTGCACTAGTTTGATGAGTAAAGAGCAGTGTCTTGAGAGATACACGTCCTGCAAAAAAGTACAAGCGGGCAACCCACGCTCAGTACACAAGCATACTTGGGAAATTACTGACATCAACTGTGAGTAGGTGCTTCCGATGAGACCTATCATATCTTCGGCAACAGCGACATGTTGGATTCATATTCGCATGCGATGAAGACTAGCTTAGCGCCGGGCCCTCACCTGGACGAACAGAACTTGAGGATGGGAAAGCGGGTTATGGCTGATATCGACGCTCTGCTTAATCACAGTCAAAGTGAAACCCAGCGAGTCAAATTGCTTGAGTGGGCGCGCCACGCGATTGTGCAGGCTTCTAGCTGTGGCGTATACGGCGAACATCACCCCTTTGTCCGATCAGAGGTGGAGAGGGCGTATTGGTAAGAGCAGCACAATTGCGTCAAATTTCATTCGAGATCTTTTCGCTCATATGCCGACAGGACATGGCAGGACTACATAGGTCTACACCTGGTAGGCCTGGACGTTACTGGCACAGGTTACGCTGCAAGAGAAAAGGTGGTAGATGCATACCGCCAGTACATGAAGAGGCTACCGGGAGACGCAGCCTTGCTAGTAAAAGAGCGTGTCCGAGTGCTGCGTGAAGCAGGTGTACCAGAACAGGATATTGCTCCGATGGAGTCCAGTTTCGGCGTTGCGGTCTTCTCAAACACCAGTCCCACCCTGTTTTGGGCAATCTGGGAGCTCTTTTCGCGGCCCGACGTTCTGCATGAAGTTAGGGAGGAGGTCAGACTACAAGCTGTTACTGGATCGGCCAAGGAAGGCTTCGAGCTTGACGTCGCAGCGCTCAAGCTCCGGTGTCCACTCCTTTTATCCGTGTTCCAAGAGACGCAACGCATGCGTCATGTTCACGCAAACATTCGTAAGGTGCTCTACGACACTGTTATCGACGGAAAATTTCTTCTCAAGGCTGGAAACTTTCTGCATTTGCCGGCTGCGCCTATTCACAGCAGCGAGAATATATGGGGTGCCTCCGCTTCTGTTTTCGACCCTTACCGTTTTGCCGATACGAAGAACACAGCCTCTGTCACCGGAAGCGCGTTTCTCCCTTGGGGGGCCCCACCACATTTGTGTCCTGCAAGACAATTTGCTTCAACGGAGATCCTGATCATCATTGCGTTGCTGGCCATGCGCGCAGATTTGCAACCTATAGGCGGCATTTGGAAGAGTCCGCCTCTAAAGACTGCTGATATGGTCACTGTCTTAAATCCTACAAGGGATGTGGAGATGGACGTTAACGTAAGAAAGCAGTGGGAAGGGGAGTGGCGCTTGAGGATGAGTGAGAGTACAAGTCGCATTTCCCTTGCGTCTGGTTAACTTGGGAAGTTCGTCCAGTGGCATTTGTCAACTGACCAGTGGCGATCATGAAAACGACTTTACCCAGACGACAGTCAAACTAAAGAACAATATTTTCCGATAGAAAAAATGTTTTCAAGATGACTGGATTACTTGTTCAGCTTGGTTTAATACTGAAAAGATTAGTACGTTTAACCGTACATAAGGCGAGTTGACCGTTGAATCGATATTGCCACACTGATTCGAATAAGACAGGCACATGTGACCACGATCTTGTGACTTTCTCCTTTGGAGACACTTGCTGGGCGCGTATTGAAAATAGTGAACACGCGTGCTCGTTGAGCAAGTGAAGAGAGTAGGAGTAGGGCAATATAGGTTTTCGCCTGTTGAAGATCACCTAGGGATTGACTATCATTCCTTAATACAATCTGAGTAGTGATAATTATATCACTTCTACTGAGTCCATGATTTCCAAACCTGCAGCGAATGGTTCTACCGCTATTCGACGAGACAACCATCTAGCCATGTTAAGTAGATTAGGAGATACATACATATGCCGTCTCCTGCTGCTTATTAACTTAGACCTTTGGGGGCCACCGCTGATCCCCAGCCACGTGCATGCCGATGCCGAAGGTTTGTCCAACTCAACTGATTTCAGCCAATGAGACTGCAGTTAGTGCACCATGGCTTTGTGCCTAAGGCGGGCCATTGTTCAGACAAGCCAATGAACAGATCTTTCAATTCGTAGGGGACGCTAACGTGAAAGAAGAACATATATGTTACCCTTGGCGAGAACTGTGTCGAACCACAAGCTGTGTGACTAAGTCGAATGTTCCGTATGGCGTTTATTCTGCGACATGAGTGGTGAAGAGGCTTCTTGAGAGCCTACCCTTATTGGATAACTCGTTGAGTCGCGGAAGGAGGGTGCGGCTCGTCGTCATTTTGACTACAAGCCATGCAGCCACCAACCGCGCGTGATTCAACTGCCTGGGTGCGTTGGGTGTCATATTTGCATAAATAAACCGAGATGGCGCAGAGAATCCTTTCAGCCTACGGCTATCAATGTTGACAAATCGCCGTCTTCCCACACTTGTGGCATCTTTGCAATGGACAGCGCTCATCTCGCCCCAAACAAACAATCTCATCTGTCAACAAGGCCCAATTCAGCTACCCGACAAGCCGCTCAAGAAGATTCTAACTTTGTACCTTCGGGAATGAATGCACATACAGATTCCCACAGGGCCCCGCGGAAACTTGTGCTATGCTTTGATGGGACAGGCAACAAATTCAAAGGTGATGATAGCGACAGCAACATTCTAAAGATCTTTCGGTGTCTTGACCGTGAGGCTGGTGATCAATGTGAGTAATCACAATTGTTAGCTTTTCAGTGTCACCGCCGTCTGGTGAAATAACCAAGCAGCCTGCTAGATCATTATTACCAACCTGGCATCGGCACCTATGTCGTCTCCAATTCCCTCTCGCACACAAGCACTGGAGCTCGCATCCGATCATGGTATCTCAAAGCCAAAGACTCAGCAATTGGCAGTTCCTTCGACCACCACGTTGTGGGGGGATATCGATTCCTCATGCGTTTCTACTGTCCCGGAGATGATATCTACTTTTTCGGATTTTCGCGTGGTGCTTACGTCGCCCGATTCCTGGCAGAGATGCTCGACCACGTGGGACTTCTGTCTCATGGGAATGAAGAAATGGTTGCGTTTGCATGGAAGGCTTTTTCGCGTTGGCAAAGCCGTCAGGCAGACAACTCAGTGGAAGGGACAGCCAAGAAGAAGGAAATGTTCAAGTTCATGAAAGGCTTTCGGGAGACTTTTAGTAGGCCCGTCAAGCGAATCCGATTCCTGGGTCTCTTCGACTGTGTCAACTCTGTACCACGGTTTGAAACAGCCTGGATGCAGAGATCAAAGTTCCCTTACACAGCAAGGAGCACTGCCAAGGTAGGATTGTGGTAGCCGAATGTGGAGAACTCTGCTGAATATATGATTTTTAACAGGTGATACGGCATTGCGTTTCTATCGACGAGCGGAGGGCGAAATTCCGCCAGGACCTGATCTATCAAGGCAACGGCAAAGATAGAAGAAGTCGCAGTCACCACAGGCTTCACGACGTCATTGATGAGAAGTACAGAGTTCGCAGAGCTGCCGTTTCGGGCCCTTCGCAAATGAATGGTCAACCTCGCGGTCGCCAGGGGACATTAGCACCTCCTGACGCTCAGAATGTCTTTCGACCCCGATCGAGGTCTAGGTCCAGGACTCCTAGAGGGTCAATTGACGTTGCATCAATGACATCGAACGCCGATTTTGGATATGACGCGGATTCAGATGATGAAGGCCAAGACATTGATGAGATATGGTGGGTCCTGCTCTCTCGGTCCAGCTTATCATTCTAGAGACAGAGCACTGTCTAGCGATCACGAAATGCGTACTGATCATGATGCTAGGTTCGCTGGAGGACATGGTGATGTTGGAGGCGGTTGGGAATACATCGAAGGCAGCAAATCAGCGAGCCACGTTCCTCTGACCTATATGATCAGAGAAGCAGAGAAAGCAGGCCTCAATTTCGACGCTGAGAAGGTTGCGGAGATGGGATGCGCGGATTCAACCAGGGACTTCGATACACCTCTTGAGGGTATCAGCAAGTCAAACCTGGCTCGAGGTGTGCCTGATATCCAGATCAATGCCTCGAGCCCGAACCCTGGAACCTCCCCCGAGCTGAAACTTGAAACGACAGACTGGAGTCACTTCAACAACCACGTGAGCCACCAAGAGAAAGGCCACGGAACTAATCCATTCCATCAGATGCTTCACAGAGCCCATGTGGCACGAATTCATGATTCACTGGACTATTCCTCGGGGCTTGGATGGGGACAAGTTTTATCCTGGAAGCTCATGGAATATATGCCGTTCCGACGCATGGATCTCCAGCCAGATGGGTCTTGGAAGCCGATCAGATGGCCTTTGCCATGCGGCGAAGTCCGAGATATTCCACATACCGCTCGGATCCATGGGTCCGTCATCAGGAGAATGCAGCAAGACGAGAAGTACCGACCTGGAAACCTGATTGTCGGCGGTGGCGGGCGTGGCACCCGCCGGGCACCAAAGGAGTGCGGAATCGGAGAATGGGAATGTGTTCTCGAGGAAGGGAACCCCGTTGGTGAGGTTTGGTAAGTCAGCCATTGACCTGGAGCACAGGGTTGCAACGCTCCATTCTTCTTCGTGCAGGAAGCGTAGGTGCTGATATCTCAATTACAGGGTCAAGAAAACACCGTCGCCGATGGAATCGTAATGCAGGGTTTTCCGTCTGCAGCTGCATATCGTCGTGGATAGTTAAGAGGCTCGGTGTTGACTAATAGTGATATGGTTACTGCGTAATAAATCCTGGGTAGTTCCATGGCTATGAAGATCGCGCTATCCCACCCTTCTGAACACGTCCACTCCATACACACCTGTGAAGATTACAGAGTTTAGACTGCGGGGGCAAGCCAAGTATGCTAATTGGGGCTGGACTCAGCGCTCTTTTAGTACGTTCCAGCTGTCAATCGCCTAACCACCCGGGTAGAGAGCCAGTAACTACTCCGTACTACGTAGTTAGGTCAGCGAAAAAGACTTCCGTCGGTATCAGGTTCCGACCCCTCCGCCTGAGACTAACCACGGAAGTCATCCGTCGCTACCTGTAAGTGCTCGTACGTAACAGATGAGGCAATCTCACTCGGTTGAGAGTCTGTCAATTGGCGATCGAGCTGTTCTTGTTAGCATGCGCTCTCGTGGCTGGACCTGTTATTCGTGTTGCCCCGCAAATTGTCGGGATGAGCGTCTTCCGTGTTGTCGGGGATCTTTTTTTTGTTGCGACGAGTTCACGTTGGTGGTATAGAAGCCGAAGATAACATTCGACTGTTTCGTACATTGAATTTGGTAGAAACTATCAATTCTATTGATCAGAAAATAAGATACATCTTAACCGCCATGGCTTCCGCAGAAGTGACGAAAGCAAAGAAACGAATCTACCTCAACTTTTTTGACCATGGCTGCACTGGTTCACACATGTCACCAGGCCAGTGGAGGTTCGTCGTGTCAGCTTCTAACACAGTACCACATAGCTGATTCAAGTGTAGGGGCGACGGCGACAAGGGAACAACAAAGGACACCCTAGAATACTGGACCAATCTGGCCAAACTTGCTGAAAAAGGCAAAATATCATTCATCTTCCTCGCTGACAGCTACAACACACATGATATCTATGGTGGTAGCTCGGACTACATGCTTCGTGCCGGTGCACACACTGCCACAATAGACCCTTTCACTGTGATTCCCGCCATGGCTGCTGTTACCAAGACTGTCGGTTTTGGAGTTACGGCGAGTACGAGCTACATGACCCCTTTCTCGTTGGCAAGGACATTCTCGTCACTCGATCACCTTACCAAAGGGCGCGTCGCCTGGAACATAGTCACAAGCTGGAGCAAGAGTGCAGCAAACGCTTTAGGCCATGACGATGTCGTCCCGCATGATGAGCGATACGCCGTCGCGGATGAGTTCATGGATATCATGTACAAGTTCTGGGAAAGTTCTTGGGCAGATGGGTCAGCAGTCTTTGACAAGGAGACACGAACGGCTTTCGACCCCGCAAAGGTCAAGAAAATCGACCACCAAGGCAAGATCTGATCCTGAGACCCATGCAGTGACACTAGCTAACCCCTTGTTAGGTAAATACTTGAAGGCTTCTGCGCTCGGCCCACTGCATCCATCACCGCAAAGGACCCCCGTGCTCTTTCAGGCTGGTACTTCCAAGGCTGGCAGTGCGTTTGCTGCGAAACACGCCGAAGCCATCTACGTTGGGGGGCTAGTCCCCGCGCAGACTAAAGGATCTATCGCCGGAATTCGTGCCGCAGCGGCTGATCGTGGTCGCGACCCTAAGTCGTTGAAGTTCTTCGTTGGTATTTCATGCATATTGGGCAAGACCAAGGAGGAGGCACAGGCCAAGTACGAAGCAGCCAAGGAGAACGTTGATATCGTTGGCGGTCTCGCTCAGTTCTCTGGCTATACCGGCATTGACCTGGCTCGATTCCCCTTAGATGATGTGTTTGAGCTCAAAGATGCGCCTGGTGATGCCGCAGTCCACACGTTCCTAGAGAACTTCAACAAAGCCACGGGAAACAGTGAGCCTTGGACGCCAAGAAGGCTGGGAGAGAAAATGGCCCTGGGTGGCTTCCATCCTCTGCCCATTGGAACCCCTGAGGTGGTAGCAGACGAATTTGAGCGGTGGATTGATGAGGCAGATGTAGACGGTTTCAATATTGCCTACATCACTACACCTGGAAGTCAGGAAGACATAGTTGAGCTGTTGGTCCCAGAGCTTGTGAAACGGGGCCTAATGTGGGAAGACTACGAAGTTGAAAGCGGATCACTTAGGGAAAACCTTTACAGTACGCCAGGACAGAAGGAGCTCCCGAATGACCATTACGGTCACAAGTTCAAATGGGGATCTGGATATGAAGGCGAGTCTATCGAGAAGCTCAAGGCAGAGAAAGCTGCCACCGACACAACATCGGAGAGCAAGCTACCGCCAATTCACGCCATACCTGTAGTCGAGCAGGCGACGGCGTAGTATTTCATAACATCAACTATTCTAGTAGTATATAGCAACGGTGAATAAAATACAATATGAATAAATTCAAAAATTCTACGACGCTTTATCTATAAGTTGAGTCCAATGCGTGATGATACCCTCTGCATCTCTATCCAACGAGAAGTTGGCTCCTTTGACTTCAATCAAGGGCACGTCAGATCTATGTTTCTTCGCGTTCTCTGCATGAGCCCACAGCACATCGTCTCTGGCACACATGACGACAATCGGACACTTCACCATCTTGAAGTAGGTTTCCTTGTCCTGACCCCAAATGGCCCCGTAAATTTGGTTACGGCCCTTCCAAGCACGAATATGATCAATTGCTTCACGCTGAAACAGATCAAGATCGTCCCCGACACCCATACCTCGGAGGTAGTCCCAGGTTTTCAGAAGATGTGATCCATCAGGGACAGGCTTATTGAAGGGGGCAAAGTATTGTTCCTTCATCTTGGCCCGCTCTTCCGCACTCATGATACTGGCCCCGACAAGACAGATGCTCTTTACCTTGTCCGGGTAAACGGCTGCCATCTCAGTCGCTAGGGATGCACCCGAATGGTGACCAATGATATGGAAACCTTTGTCGGCTAGACCTAGAGCTTCGAATACACTCATGAACAAGTCCACGTACCATCGGGTGCCCTTGGTACTGATAATATCGATCGCGGGAGGTGGAGGGTCAAAGGAACCTCCAAATCCTGGCATATCAGGAGCGTAGCATGAATGACCAGCAGATGAATAGTGTTGAATCAGTTTCGTATAAGAGATGGAGGATGATGCAGACTTGTGTAAGAACACGAGCGTGTCTCTGGTAACCTGAGGAGGTACCGCATACCGATAATGGACCTGGCCGTATTCGGAATCAACATAGGCCTTTTTGATACTTAGAGACTCCATTTTCATTCATGGATGATTCCCGAAGCTTGTTGGTTGAGTTGTAAATTGCTATTTGTTAAAGGCTTGTGAGCTCAAATTCAAGTTACAGTCCACTATCGTCTCGTCGGATCGTCGGAATCCAACGTCGGAAGGTGGCGGCTGGGCTGGTGCAATCGTTCTGGTCCTACCACGTTCAATTGTGCCCCGAAAGTCCCAGAGAAGCATAGTGTGGGTGCACTATAAACTAGATTTAATTCAGTTTGTAGTTACCACGCTTGAAATGTTCTTGAAATCATCAAAAGACACCCTCGATATCGATCGATGGGTTTGACTTCGGTGCACCTGGGTGATCATGGCCTACCGTCCGTTCACAATGTGCGTATCTTACAGTAGTAATGCTATTGCTTCTATATGAGCCCGAAAGTAAACCAATTGAGTATTCATCGCATACGGAGTTCCGAAGGCGTCATTTTGTCACCCACGGCATGTGGCTCAACAGCCGAGATTGATTACAGGCAGCTTGCAAGCGATGAGGGCGCTGAAGTGGGTGCTGGAACAGCGGGGTCGCTCCCCAAGGGCCTGTTGCTTTTGGGCGGTCGCTACACGGAACACAGTGCTAATCGTTTCCCGAGGTCTATATCCTTGCGCCCAGCACTCGATAAGTTTTCTTACTTCCTGAAGTATTCCAATAGATTGATCCGAACGACTGCACGGGAAGCTGACAACACAGCCATTGAGATCATAAAAGGCACCAAGAACCACTTAAACAATGACTCCCGCACAACTCGAGTCTGGTCTGCCTGTTGAGGCCCCAGATAAGGAAGCATTGGTCAAACGAAATCCGTATGACAACTTCGCAGCAGTTGAGGCCGAGCGAAAGCCGTACAATCTCGACGATGAGTGGAAATTGACCAAAGCCCCGAATCCAGACTGGAACTTCGGAGATGGCGCGAATAACGACAAGTGGAAGAACCACAAATTCTTGTCAATCGATCCCTACGAGGACGGCCGGGATCTCGTCCTAAACTATAAGCTCATGATATCGGCAACCATTCCGCGACCAATTGCTCTGGCGAGCTCTGTCACAGAAGATGGAAAGACGCGGAACATCGCACCGTTTTCGTACTTCCAGTGCGTCACGACAGACGTGGGTTTTCCAATGCGAATCATTGAGCAAAGCTTATCAGAGTTCAGCCTCCTTTATATTCCTTGTCATTCACCGGCAGACAGGCGAATGACACCGTGAAGAATATTCTTGCCACCAAAGAGTGTTGCATTAGTTTGACGAGCGACTGGATCATTGAGTAAGCCAATTTCCCATGTATTACTGGCTGTGACCTTAACATCACCAAGAGCAGCGAACTTCACGTCGGTGAACACGCCACCGCACATCTCAGAGTGGGAGCTTGCTGGTCTAACGCCTATCCCTGGCGACGTAGTCAAAGTGCCTTATGTTGGCGAGTCGCCTTACTCCGTGGAGTGCAAGTATTACTCGCACCAGGACTTTTACAGCAGAGTGGACCCAGGTGTCAAGACAGCAACCCAAATTATAGTCGAAATAGTCAGGTTCCACATATGGGAGGATGCTTTGGGTCCGGATCGTGCGACAGCAGATGCGAGGAAGCTCCGGCCTGTTGCTAGGTTAGGTGGAATCACGTACGGAAATCTGTTCGAGGGGTTCGAGATCCCGAGGCCAGATGCGTTTAGGGCTCTTCGTCAAGACGAGAGGGTTGACAAGATTCTGAAAGAGCAAGAAAATCAAGCCCAGCCAAAGATATAGAGTACATTGGCATATAGAATTAACTGCTGAACGAGGACTTCACAGGTCGTAGCCCGAGACTCCTAGATGTGTGTGGATACTATACGGATGTCGCCGGGAGTGCATCACATCATACGATCTTGTGAAGTCCGTTACAGACCAAATCCCATGAGCCGTGCTGAGCACTCAATAGATAAGCACGTAGCCACCATCTTTCAAATATTTGAGGCGTTCTATTTTGTCTATTCGCACAAAGCCATGCCACTAACTCTATGCGCCTAAGCCGTTCAAATGCTAATGGAGTACAGCCCACCTACCATAGACGCCATCTTGCTCATGGGCAATAAATTTTGAGAATTACATCCGTACAACCAGCTTCTTCCCTTTCATGTTGCCCTTCTTGAGCATGTCAAGCCCGTCTTGTACAACCTCTAGACCACCTTCAATGAGGTGCAGTTCAGGCAAGACCACTTTGCCGCTCCCAAGTAGTTTCCCCAACTCCTCCGTGTAACAGACATTTGACTTATCCAGAACGAATTGCTTCATTTCCACTGTATGAACAGTCACATTTTCTGGTACGACCTGAGACCCTGACATCATAGCCAGCGGAGCAAAGGCCACAGGTGCGTCTGTCGAGACGGCATCCAATGCCAAGGCGGCCGTCTTCGTTCCTACCAGGTCGATCGCGCGGGTGATACGGCCACTGGTGATGGTTCGTATCTCCTCGACCAACGCCTCGTTAGACTTCCCATCTCTTACGACAACGTGGGACGCTCCGAGTGCCTCCGATAGAGCTTTGGTCTCGGATGAGTTCACCGTAATTACCTTCAGGCCGCTGTGTACTGCAAATTGTGTCGCAAACTGACCAGTGACTGTAGAACCTCCCCAGATCAGCAGCCACTGTTCTTCGGACATATCGGTCGTAGCAGATGGAAGTGGCACCCCGAGCCATTTCCATAGCGACATGCCCGCAGTAAGAGCGGCAACACCGAGGCAAGAGGCTGCCTCGAATGATACTGTGCTGGGTATCGGCAGAACTGTATGTGACGGCACGACGACGAACTCCTGGAAGCATCCGGCGCGGACATCCTTGTAGTAGGTGCTGGTCCAGACTCTTTCACCTTCCCGGTATCCAGAGACGTTCTTTCCTACTTGGGCCACTACACCAGACATTTCTCTGCCAGTTACCTTTAAGTGCTTTGATCAGTGATGGCCCATAACGCATCACGGAATGAGGGAAGACTCACCCATGGGAACTCGGGCAGGCAAAAATTAAAATCAACCGACTTCCAATCAATAGGGTTCAACCCAACGTAATGGCTTCGTATCATAACTTCGTCGTCACCGACAGTTGGTATCGGGAAGTCATGTCGAATTTCATATTCGCCCTTTCGAGCTACGACCAAGGCTTTTTGCACCTGGGGTACGGGGAATTCAGCAACAGAGAGCGCCACTGAACCCTCTGATGTGGAAATCGATCCTTTCCCTACGCCTTCGATGACTTGAGAAGATCGCCTTTGATGCTTGATTGGATTTGATCTTATTCTCCGCAGCAGCGACCGAACCGTTTTCCAGGAGTTCCTGGTCTTTAGGGAATGTGAAGACTGAACGTCTGTCATCTTGAATTAAAGTTGATGCAAATAGGCTATGTCATTGAACCACCACGAAATTTTAGCATTGAACAAAGGCTGACTCCCGGACGTAACCAGAAAAGCTGAGTTGAAGAAGGTATGATGATGTAGCGCGCGGCTCATGGCTGGCACTCGATGGAGATGCCGACCACGGCATACGGATTAGATCATTATCACCGAAGCAGGCAATCCACCCAGAGTCGGATTGCCCTATCAGTGTTGCGATTGCTGAGAACATCAAGTTGTGTGTGTGGCGCTGGAGGTGTCACGACAGTATGGCAGCAGATTGCACCATCCGTCGGCTTTGTAAGTATCGGCCGTCGGAGGTCATCCGACGTTGCTCAACCCCCAACACCAAGCCTCAGAGGTCCACTTCACCACCCCCCACCCGCGCTGGCTTTCGCTTGCTTAGATTCCGAATGCGGGAAGGGGAAGGTGGAGGTGCATACCTACATGAGTTTGAGCATCAAATGGTTGTGGTCAAGCTCCAAGTCCACCACTTCCATCGCAATGCCTGATCCGACGGCCGAAAACTGACTTTGCATGAGAGGATGGACGTCTTTCAAAAACATGTAGTGCCTTGACATACTCCTCCTAGAACACAATTGAATTTGTTGCAAGCCAAGTTGCCTCCTGAAATTTGATCCTAATGGCGGTCTTCGTTGACCAGCAACGGCCATGCCGTATCATGAACATCAGCGGGTCGCCCGCCGACCGACGCGATGTTCTTGCCCTGTACGCAGCTTCTGAAGAACCAGTAGACGTCTTTGTGGGAGACTGGATGAGCGAACTCAATATGCCCAGTCGCGCGTATAGTGTGGCCAATGGTTTAGGTGTTGGGTACGAAGAAACCTTCATTGAAGCTCTCGAGCCTGCTCTGGAGGACCTTGCCCGGCGAAAGATCAAGCTAGCAGCTAACGGCGGCACGGTGGCCACTAAAGAGCTTTTCGAAGTGGTAGTCCAACTCGTCGAGAAGAAGGGCCTGGACCTTTGCGTGGCGTGGGTAGAAGGCGACCTTGTCATGGACAAGGTTGAGGCGTTGAAGAAAGAGGGCACAACCTTTAAACACATCTCCACAGGCGAAATGCTCGACGATTGGGAGTACAAGCCGCTGTTCGCTCAGTGTTACCTTGGAGGGATGGGCATCGCCGAGGCCTTCAGAGCTGGCGCAGATCTTGTCATATGCGGCCGTGTTGCTGATGCAGCGCCAATTGTAGGGAGTGCTGCTTGGTTTCATAATTGGTAAGTACGCGCCGAGCATACAGTGCAGTATGACTGAGAAGTTTGTTAACATTTACTGGGTCACGCACCGATTTCGACCAGTTGGCTCGATCTCTCATTGCGGGCCATCTGATTGAATGTTCTACTTACGTGACAGGGGGTAACTACACTGGTTTCAAGGGGATGGACTGGAAAAATCTCGACAACTTTGGCTACCCTATCGCTGAGATCGATGCTACTGGAGATGTTGTTATTACTAAACCGGAGGGTACTGGTGGAGTTGTGAACGTCGAGACCTGCAAAGAGCAGCTGCTCTACGAGATCCAGGGGAAATGGTATCTTAACTCGGATGTGACTGCTGTCATAGACGCAGCCCACTTCGAAGAGATCGGGAAGAACCGAGTTCGGCTGTCCGGCATCACTGGGCGCCCTCCTCCTCGTACAACCAAGGTTGGTCTGACGGCATTCGGTGGCTACAAGGCCGAGGTTCACTGGGCCTTGATCGGCTTGGACATCGAGGAGAAGGTAAAAATGTTGGAGATTCAAATGAAGGCAAGTTTTGGAGTAGAGAGGCTGAAGAAGTTTACCACCTTCAATCTGACGACTTATGGGTCGGTACCAGCAAACCCGACCAACATGAACGCCGCAACAGTCGACTTGAGATTAATGGTGCAAGCACACAACGAGGAGGACCTCTCAGATGAGAACTTTGCACGGCCAGCCTTTGACATTATCATGGCCAGCTTCCCTGCCGCCACATTCCATCCAGACAAACGTACAGCTACACCCATGGCAGTAAGTCGAGAGAGAGATCACACGTAATCAGTCATGTCTGCTTACTCAACCTCCAGTACCAGGAGTATTTTCCAACACTGATTCCGCAGCCAGCAGTGTCGGTCCACTTTTCCAAACCCGGGATGAAGAGTATCTCGATTCCGCCCCCGGAGGAGACAATTGAGCACCCGGAGATCCAGCCGTCTTATGAAACGGCAAATGCAATACCTTTAGAGGCCTTTGGACCGACCGTAAAGGCGCCGCTGGGTTACCGTGTCCTGGCCAGGGCAGGTGACAAGGGCTCAAATTGCAATGTTGGGTTCTTCGTTCGTGACGAGTCTGAGTGGCCATGGTTGCAGTCCTTCTTCACAACGGCAAAGTTCATCGAGTTGATGGGAGACGAGTATCATGGCCAGAAGATCGACAGGATGGAGTTTCGAGGCCTTTGGGCGGTGCATTTCCTTGTGAAAGACTTCCTCGACCGTGGAGTCACTGCGAACGCAACGTACGACGTTCTTGGAAAGTTCCTAGCCGAATTTATCAGGGCCAGATTTGTGGATATGCCGATACAATTCTTGATGAAAGGCAAGATCTGAGCCAGCAGACCCGAAGGTCCTGCATGGAGGGCGGACTAATGGGCAATCTTCCCAGTACGAGGTTGCGGTGAGATCCGCGGGCGTCATTGATCTCTTTTTTCTCCTGCGCTCCAGCCGCGCGTTCATTTTGCTCGAGGAAATCTGGCGCCGCCTTGGACCGTTATGCTGGTTCAAGCCTCGCAGGCGGCGTGTTAACAGTTAATAGCATCGCAGAGGCTACGGAGTGTCTCCTCTAAGCCACCGCCCGGTGGCTCGAAGGAGACAGTGTAACTAGTAAATTAAGGGTGTGAACCCCAGAGTAGCAGAGGTTTTGTTACGGGTTTAGGCATATGCTTAAGTCCCATCACTAACCAATATCAACTAAAGCATTGAGCCACTATTTTGCAACACATTCCGAGGTTATCAGTGCGTAATTATCAGTCATTGTTTCCTACCCCGGCCATTAGCCACTAGTTAGATGCTACGGGAGTTCGATTACCATTGGCAGGTAGTTAGTGCTTCGCGAGCGCTGAAAGCCTGATCTGCTTGCAAAGTAGCCGCTTACCTACTGTAGACTAATGACTTATACTTTTCGGAACCGTACCGCCGCTAATCTCCCAAATGACCAAAATGCATCGTCGCGTCCACCAGCACCCTTGATAAGCCCTTCGCTGCTTCGGAAGTTGACTGACTCCCAGCGGGGACCAAGCGACATTGTAGGATGCCCCCGCATTGATGGCGCCCAATCCTGTCTTATCAATTCCATGGGCTTGCCGGGAATAGGGCAGAGAAGACCCCCGCTTGCTGGCCAGTGCCAGACCATTGGATTACGACCCCAGAGATCCACCCCAACGCGCACCTTGCAACAAGGATGTCTGGAGCAGCGAAGCACATGGATTGTCCTTGTCGAATAAATGCTCCGTTGCTCTCGAGATACATGATGCCCGGTTTTCAGGTTCCTCAAGTGAGGAGCTTCATGATGCTCTCCCGGGTAGTGACCCTCTGTCCTACGCTTTTCATAGCCTTGCATATCTCGAAGATTTCCAACTCTTCTACGCCTCCATTTGATAGCTAGTCGTACAACATGATGTCTCCAGTGCAGGCCGGAGTCGCCACGGCTGAGACAGAACCAAAAGCGCGGCCTGTCAAGCGTCCCCGTGTTGCAGTTGCATGCAAAAGGTGCAAGACCAGGAAGCAGATACGTTACCCGGCGCCGTCCTCCGATGTTGTATGCTGATGTTTTAGCACAAGTGCAATGGGCTCCAACCCTGCTCCAACTGTAGAGACTTCGGCGCGGTTTGCGAATATCTGCCGCCTAAATCAATGACCATCCACCGCGATCAGCAGAAGTCCGTCCAAGCCGTACAGGCCGTCGAAGACCGTGTTGCTGAGCTCGAATCAATTCTACGAAGGGAGGGGATTGGCAAATACGGCCGCAAACGGAAAGAACGGACCGACAGCGATGGTTATACACGCGCTTCCTCGACAATAGAAGTATCCACCTCGAAACGGTGGCAGCCGTCCCCAGCACCGTCAGAGCAGAGATCAGATAGCTCATCTCCAGTACCGAAGCGCAAACCAGTCGGCACAGTAGTAGAAATTCTCCGTGATCTCTCGATAGAAGCATCCGGAGGCTACATTGGTGCCACATCACAGATCACTATGGGTCGTATGATCAGTTCAATCGTCCAAGCCAGAGAGTATACCGTCAGCAATAGCGCCGAAAGAGGCGGTGCTTGGGAGCATCTAAGTCCCAAATCAGCCAACACCGGACCGGGACCATTGGGCGGTGGCTTCGACTTTGCCCAAGTGCCACCTGAAATTGCAGACAAGCTCTTCAAGGGTTACATTGGCCACATTGCAACCAGATGGCCCGTTTTACAGACGCCTTTCATGCGCCTCCTCCACGCTGAGCGTCGTACGCTCTCTGATGCATTCTTCACCAGCGTCTTACATCTCATTTACGCCATTGCAGGCAGATTTCTGGAGACTACTGGCGAGACCGGCGACTTCTTCCCAGAGCAGCATTACGACCAGGCCTTGAAGAACCTCGACGACATATTACGACTTCACGACATCAGATCAGTCCAGTTCCTGCTCCTTCTCTCCATATATAGCCTACGATCGCCCAGAGGCCCTGGTGCGTGGACGTACAGCGGTCTAGCTATGCGGACTTGTATCGACTTCGGCATGCATAGGAAGACCCATAAAAGGAGGTCACCCCTTGAGCATGAAATGCGGAAGAGGGTGTTTTGGACTTGTTATTGCCTTGACAGACAGGTATCCATCATACTAGGACGGCCTTTCGCTATTTCTGATAGAGACATTGATATTGAGGTAAGCAACCCCTCGGTTTCCGGAGAGCATTAATTAACTCTACCAAGCTGCCGTTGGACGTTGATGAAGCATGTGAAGATCTAGAGATTCTTGAGAAAGTGAGATCAGAAGCGGCATCAAAGCCGAATATTCCACCAACCAAGTCTACGTCGATGACGGGTTTCATCTACATATGCCGCCTAAGACAGATTGAGTCAAACATACAGCAGTCTGTATACCGCGTTGATCAGTCTGCTCCTGCCACAGAAGCTGAAGCCGAGCGATATATTCAACAGCTGGAGGATTGGAAGCAGCAGATGCCCACTGATGCGTCATCAACGAACCCCGAAGGCATGATCGTAGATGGACTCGATAATTACGTGAGTTCTCTACTAGTTTCTTTTGTCTCCGCGAACTCTTGTTAACTCTTACAAGATGGTATACTACTATAAATGTCTACGGTTCCTTTTACACCCAGTTATTCTTTCCCCCGAGTTATCCGACACGAAATTCCTGCGGAAATGTGCCGAAGCCTGCGGTGGAGTGTGCAGGACGTATAAGAAGCTGCATCAGTCCGTGCCAGTGGGCTTCAGTGTCATGGCTCTCCACTCCATCTTCCTGGCAGGTAAGCTTATGATTTCCTGCAAATGGCAGTTACGACAACCGCTAACATGAGCCAGGCCTCACCCTCATCTACTGTGCATGGGCATCACCAAAAGAGGTGTTCTCTATTAGCGCGAGTAACGATATGAATGCATGTAGCATAGTTCTTTACATCATCACAGAGCGATGGCCGGGGGCAAGAAGGTATCGTGATGTTTACGAGGCAATCAAGCAGATGGTGCTTGAATCGATCGAGGAAGGAGAATATGAACCACGCAGGGCTATCACAAACCTACGGCCAGGTCTCCATGCTGCCTTGAGAGCAATTGACCAAGATGATGACGGGGAGTTCTCGGCAATGGTGACAGATATGGCTGGCGGCTACGTACCTGCCGAAGAAGAGTTTCCGCAAGAACAAACCCCAAATGGGGTCTTTGGCACTCCGGGAGCTCAGAACAGCTTCAACTTCACGTTACCTCTGGACGGGATGCCTCTCGACTTTCACGAATCAGATTCTTTCAACGTCGATGGGATATTCGCCACGCCCAGCAGCGAGTGGCTGGCAACATGAACCGAGAGACGGAGCCATGTAGAAGAGGACGGGAAAGATTGCTTGGCTTCAAAGACTTTGTGCTTGTGATTCGATCCATGCTGAGTGTCAGTCTGGTGGGATAGGGTTAGGCCGATGTAAACCGCAACTTTAGGCATGCATTTCTATTAACGGTCACGACACCTAAGAGAGCACATCATGCCGGATTATTTATACGTAAAATTAATGTAAAGAACGCCGTCCATGTGACCTTGTGGTCGTGTTTATGCATCTTTAGCAGGTGTGAGATGGCTTTAGTGGCGGTTGAGCAGATGAATGTTGACCGGAACGTGGCCGTACACGGGCCGGGATTGGCGGGTAGTTTTGGTCCACATCATCCGGGATCCGCTCATGCCTCGGGCTTACCGTATCTAACGCAAGATAATCTATCAGTCGTCTAATGATGTCAACCTCACATGGGGCTCACTGGCTGGCATGTCGCCTAAGTTAGCTCGATTTAAGCTCCAAGGTACTCTTTGACGGCGGAGCAGAACTCGTATTATAAACCACGGTCATATCGTACAGCGTGGGTCCAACCATAGATAACTCCTACAATCACACCCACGACTACTCCCACTGACTCTCAGCTTTCAAGATGCCTGATCCCCCGCAGGCCACTCCATTCGCTTCAACCACTGATGTCAGGCATGCATTTTCCGTGGCAATGTCTGACGTCTACAGGACGGAAGTACCTCTTTACTCCGATCTCCTCTCTCTCGTAGGGGATGTCAATAACAGTTTTCTCGAATCCAACCCTAGCGTCCGAAGACATATGGAAGAAACGGACCAGCTTGAGAGGCTGCATTATGAGCGACATGGTGCAATCCGGCTTGGGACCGCAGAGGAGATGAAGATGATGGCACGATTCTTCGCAATTATGGGAATGCAACCAGTCGGTTACTATGACCTCTCACAGCCCCCGGCACGGCTTCCCGTACATGCAACATGCTTCCGATGCCTCGATCTCGAGTCCCTTTCAATGAATCCTTTTAGAGTATTCGTCTCTTTACTGCGCCCTGAATGCATATCCTCAAACCTCCGATCGAAAGCGTTCAAGATTCTCTCACGCCGACAAATATTTTCAAGCAGATGCCTCGAGCTGATAGAACTTGCTGAGCGACAGGCGGGGCTGTCGGCCGCAGAAGCCGATGAGTTCATCAAGGAAGGCTTAGAGACATTCAAGTGGCGAGGGACCTCAACAGTCTCACTCTCAGAGTACAGCGACCTTCAAGCTGAGAGCGCATTGTTGGCTGACATTGTCGCTTTTCCGGGGCCGCACATCAACCACTTGACCCCCAGAACTTTGGATATCGACCAGGTGCAAATCAGTATGGAGAAAAATGGTATCCCAGTTAAGGAAGTAATAGAAGGACCCCCTGCGCGAGATTGCCCTATTCTTCTACGTCAGACTAGTTTTAAAGCGCTGAAAGAGGGCGTTTACTTCCCGACCTACGGAGATGACGGTTCCAGGTCAGAGACGGTGCTGGGCAGCCATACTGCTCGCTTTGGTGAGATAGAGCAGCGCGGTGCCGCGCTGACTGAGAAGGGACGCGCGCTTTACGACCATCTTGTTAATGAAGCATGGAAGAAAGGCGTTACACCGCAGGATCCTGAAGCTTACAAGGACTTATTCAAGTCTTTTCCAGATACTTGGAAAGATATCAGGTCCCAATCATTGGCGTGGTTTCGTTATTATCCCGTCAAAGATGCCACGAAGGATGGCGAAGATAGTATTGAGGAACTCATTCGCAACGGCAAGGTTGCGTATGAGCCGCTGACCTACGAGGACTTCTTGCCTCTCAGCGCGGCCGGGATCTTTCGCAGTAACCTTCGCACGACAAGTGCTGGGGATGAAAATGAATCTGTCACAGTAACTGGCGATGATGGCAGGGATGAACTGCAAAAGGCTGTGAAAAGAGTTATCGTGGATGAATTTGTAACTTACAGGATGTTACAGCAGGAGAGTCTGGAGGATTGCAAGGTACACTTTGCACTCACAACATAGCTCGATGATGCAGAACATTGACCCAGAGCAGCCTAAAAGAGAGCCAGTCTACGCCCTAAGATGAAAGCTGAATGTGACGGTATTGTCCCAGATATCCTCTCTTCTGACCTACATCGGAATGTGGAGAGTCCGCACAACTGTGAAAACTTCTCGACTGTATTCGCCTCCCTCACGTCCTGTACCGGAGTTCTTCATTCCCCCAAAAGGTGTTCCAAGTTCTCTGACTAACCAGCAGTTCACCCATACTAGACCAGCCTCGATCTGCTCACCCACCCTCCGTATCCTTGACGCATCCTTTGTTAACAGTACGGACGCCAATCCGTTCGGATTGTCATTGGCAAGCTCTACAGCTTCTTCTTCGGAATCGAACTTAGCAATAGTCACCACCGGGCCAAAGATCTCTTCCCTCATGATCCGAGAAGACGTCGAAACGTCGGTGAGGATGACGGGGTCAATCCAGAAGCCATTTTTAGGATCTGCGACAGGGGTTGAGCCAGTGTTGAACGTCGCCTTCTCAGATTCGGCTAGTTCAAGATATGAGCGGATCTTCTGATAATGCTGTAGAGAAACCACTGCTCCCATCTTGCCGCCTCGCTGGTAGTTCGCGGTTACGTAGGCAGTGAATGCTGCAACGAACTGGTCATATATGGCAGACTGCACATATATGCGAGATCCACACAAGCAAATCTATAATTATCAGCATGATTCATCATAGTATATCACTTAGCCCTTAGACATACCTCTCCCTGGTTCTCAAAAGCAGCCGTGGCGGCTGTTTGAACTGCTTTACTGAGGTCTACATCCTCGAAAACCAACGTCGGGTTCTTACCACCCAGCTCGAGCGATAGGTGCTTATAGATCTGATCTGCAGTGTCTTTTCTAATGCGAATACCTGTGGCAGTGCCACCAGTAAAGGAGATACCCTTAACCAGGGGGCTTTTCACCAACGCCGACCCCGTGGTGGGGCCATCTCCGAAGACGACATTGATGACACCCTCCGGTAGCTCAGCGAGGCGGAAGATCTCACATAGAAGAAAAGCCGACATGGACGTGACTTCTGATGGCTTCGCCACCGCCGTGCATCCGAATGCGAGACATGGGGCAATCTTCCATGTCAGCAGGTAGAGGGGCATATTCCAAGGGGAGATCAACGCGAAGACGCCAGCTGGAGACCGATGCTCGTAAGTAAGAGCTACGCCATCGATCATGCGAGCCGCAGTCTCTTGGTGCAAGATAAAAGTAGAAAAATAGCTGTGAAGGGTCTCCTCAGTAACAGACTCCTCCGAGAACTCTCTGAGGATAGGCTTACCTGAAATTCGAGACAGCCCGATCGACCTCAATCCGAGCCCGTGCCAGTGTCTTCCCCTGGTCAATGCTCTCCCAGATTGCCAGTAGCTCTCGATTCTCCTGTATGAGCTGCGCAACTCGCTCCAAGTATTTAGACCGTGTTGCAACCGTTGTTTTGCTCCATCCCTTAAAGGCAGCTGTCGCCTTTCTCAACGCCTCATCGACCTCTGCGGCACTGCTGATTGGGACCTTCGCAAATGCCTTTCCTGTTTTCGGATCTACCGAGTCCATATGCTGAGAAGATGGCGCAAAGGCATTTCCCACGAAGTTTTCCATGGCCAGTCTGCCGTTCTCGCCCTGAGCCTGGATGAAGGCCTCGGCCTTGTCTAGCGAGTCGCAGCCCCAAGCATCGCGGATGGCACTGCAGCGAGCTTCCGAACTGACTGATCCCATACTAGCTGACGTGTGCTCAGAATTTCGTGAGAACAAGGTCAGCTTCACGGTATGCGCCTTCAACAACAATGCTCCCCTTGAACTGCTATGTCCTTGTAGCTAGACGTATTCCCCTAGCGGTGCTGGCATCGCATCACCGGCACTGCACTGCACACAAACCCCACTCCGCTGTCTCTTAGACCTGTATTGTCCAATCTAAAAGTTCCCGGCACTGTGCGGCAGCGGCGCCTGCACTCGGATGCGGAAGAGATCTTGATTGGCCCAGATTGCCCAGGATGTCGGCCCGCCCCCGTGTATGGACCACCGGCATCGTCCGCCTCACCCCTACTGTGCTCGGCATTCATTCTGCAGTGGCTCGACTCACTCCAAGTTTGACTGCACAGCTACCGTGTGCCAAAACTGTCGGGGCACATGAAGGATTGAGGTATAAGGAGTCAGGGTTGTTGTATGGCTTCATCGTCCTCGCCTGCGGAGTTGAAGACGATCCTACAAGGCGTTCCAAGATTGGGTGCTGCGATTGCACCAGCGGGGTCACATTGGGGGCTCTGGTAGCTACTTCAATAATAAATAGCAGAGCCGTGTCAGCACTTCTTCCTCCTCGCAGCGAGTCCCAAGAGTCTGACTGTGGTGTTAACATGATAGCCAAATGGTGCCTCCCAGAGCAGTGGATGTCTACATAGGTATGTATTCAAGGGAATAATGCTAGAAGGACGACCTAATCCAGCGGGCAAGACACGGCAGGTGCCCGGGTCCTAGGGTGGGTTGAGGACCTCGAAGACCGACGCCTGCGCGTTACGACTATGACTGCTTAAGATAAATAGCTACTCGACTTGATGGATTTGGACTATTAATCCTAGGAGCTTCTACTGTCCGGATTTATGAGTTAGAAGAGAGAAATAACAACAGTACTTCCAACCTGTCTACTTGCGGTGCTGCAGTGGTAGGTCGCATCCAATGGACTAACTTAGGCAGTCGAGTCGCTGTGGAACTGGCGCCCGAAGATATCCGCTTTCAGCCAGTGCAGCGGGCAGCGCATCCGAACGGTGCCCGGAGCGGAACTGTGACACCAAGGATTCACTTTCGACGTGACACCCAAACTTCAAGGTCCCCTCTATTAGCAAAGCGTTCATTTCCGAGCTCACCTTCCTGGAACGGAGAGAGAAACTTCACCGCAAGCCTTTTCTATCAAGCACAATTTCGGGTGCCCAAATCTCCACACAGCCCCCAGAATGTCGCCTTCTGCCAACGGCACGCCCTTCTTCCTACCTGCAGAGCGGGCTCAGGGACTCGCCAACTACCCTCATGCGCGGATTGTTCCAGCCTCTCAGAAGACACTGCACGTTTCTGGTACATCATCGCGGCGCGGAGACGGTACCTACGCCGGATGCACCACAGATGATGCTGGCAAGCACACGCTGAATATCAAAGAGCAGACGAAGGCTGTCCTGGAGAACATCGATACTATTATCAAAGGGGCAACGAATGGAGCTGCTGGGATCGAGAGCGTTGTCGACGCTACCATCTTTTTGACTGACATGAAGGATTACGGTGGAATGAATGAGGAGTGGAATAAGGTGTTCCCGGACAAGACCAAGGCACCGGCTAGGACGTGTGTTCAGGTGGCTGCGCTGCCGAACGTGAGGCTCAACGTTGAGATCAAGTGCACAGCTCTGTACACTGAAATTTCATGAAAACCCAGCCGACAGGACGAGACATGAGGATGAGCATGGCAAACATAACGGACCCCCCACCGGGAACGTGGCTTGGTCGGACTAGGCGCGTCTACGAGGAATAATATAGAATTCCACTATAGGGGAATTTATGATGTCAAAATTGAAGTTATATTTTTTAAATCTTGACGATAAGCTTCCCAACAGTCTTCTTGCTAACAAGGTCTTCCTGAGCTTTTCCAACCTCAGCGAGACTGTATTCGGCCCCAAAGTTGACCTTCACAGTTCCATTTTCAACAAGATCCAGCAGCTCGCCGCTCCTCGCCAAGAACTCCTCTCGTTCTGTAATATAGTTTGCCAGCGTAGGCCTTACCAGTCTGATGTTTTTCTTGCTCAGATCCAGGGGTTTGATTGAAGCAATCGCGCCGCTCGAGTTGCCGAATGTGACGAACGTACCCTTGCGTCGTGTCATGGCCATATCCGCCTGCACCGTAGCTTGACCGATACCCGAATAGACGACATGGCAGCCTTTCCCGTCAGTGAGCTTTGAGACTTCCTCCTCGACATTCTGTTCCGTATAGATGATGACATGATCACACCCGTGGGACTTGGCAACCTCTGCCTTGGCCGCGGTCGAAGTCGTCCCAATTACAGTGGCACCTAGTGACTTGGCCATCTGAACGAGGAGTCCTCCTGTGCCTCCAGCAGCGGCTTGTACTAAAGCGGTCTCTCCATTCTTCAGTTCATGAGCGTCGCGGCATAGTGTCCAAGCGGTTAAGCCCTGAAGCATGATAGCGGCTCCCTGCTTCGTCGAAACGTCCCGCGGCAACTTCAAGACCGCTTTGGCATCCGCCACCATGTACTCGGCCATGGCTCCGGGAGAGAAAACTGCGATCCTGTCGTCGACTTGAAGTCCCAGATCAGGCGAGACGTCAGCGCCGAGCTCCGCAATGACACCTGCGGCCTCACGACCAGCCACACATGGTAGCGGAACAGGGTAGAGCCCGCTTCTGAGGTATGTGTCAATGAAGTTCACACCAGCGTATTCGACTTTAATGAGGACTTCGCTGGATTTCGGCACTGGCTTTGGTATGTCTACCAACTTCAGCACATCGCTGCCACCCGTCTCATTGAATTGAACCGCCTTCATGGTGGGCTTGGTGGACTTAGCTAGATCCTGGAGAGGTATCGCTGAAATAGAATGATAGTGAGAATATATCCATTTATGCTAGACACAGTAAGCTGCCCAGCTAGACGGGATCGCGTCACATACGCCGTTGTTGGCTATGGCAAACGTGTTCCGCTACGGCTGCGAACGCTTCCGGCGCTCGTCGGAAATACTGTGGACGGCCGCCGGCGCCACACCAAGTGCATTTGTATCTACTCCACTGCAAAGTGTCCCCAGAAAACACTCCATATTGGGTAGTTATTCTTCTACTCTTCAAACTACACAATCCGAGGCGCGCAGCCATATATGACTGATGATATAGAGCATAATGTTGCACTTGATCTCAATACTCGTAACGCAGGTGTCCTGAATGGTCACCCTCGCAGGCGTGCATGAGTCAGCTTAAGGGCTGGCTGCAGTGCAAATATCGGTTCACCAGCGGGGCGAATCCAGAAGCAGGGTATCGCAAAACGTGCTTTGCTTACCAACTTTTAAGCAGCCCAGGGTGAGGGGAACTGATTGCGACGTGATGGGACCAATTGATATGCGGGACCGGAAATCTGCATTTTTAGTCCTTGATTATACTGCTCGTAAAGCCTAGGGGGAAAATGCACATTCCGTGTCGGTGAGTACGAGTGTTCATCGAACCAGAATTACGGGCCACAGTGTACGATCAAATAAGATGCAACCGATTTCATCGGCCATGAACGGCTCAATGGATAAGAGGCCGATGCACGTATTGATTGCTGGAGGAGGCATTGTTGGGCTTACGGTCGCTCAAGGCTGCCGAGAGCACGGTATCCCATACACGCTGTTTGAGAAAGAGACAGAAGGTTCGTCATCATGATAATGGATGCGAAAAGTCAACACCTAACACGAAATCAGAGACACGGAGGCATGGGTGGGCCTTGACGCTCCATTGGTGTCTTGATGCATTCGAGAAAACCATTGGGCACGATGGAACAGCCAGGTTACCCGGTGTTGTGGTGGACTCGTCTCTCAAGCAAGACGCGGGTAACTTTCTGTTCTTGAACGCGGAGACTTGGTTGGTGCCTGGGACATATGTTCAACTCGCCAGCCACATGCTAACCCCGGTCTAGTGAGGCTCGGTTCAAGATTCCGCCGGCCAAACGAAGGCTTCGCCTTCATCGGCAAAAACTACGTGATCTGCTCACTAGTGGTTTAGATATCCAGGAAGGAAAAGAGCTTACAGGCGTAGAAGAGATCAAGGATGGCATCCGGGCATATTGTGCTGACGGCTCATATACTGATGGCACTATCTTAGTCGGCGCAGATGGGAACAACAGTAATGTTCGGAAGTTTCTCCTGCCGACTGATCACGAACTTACCAAGTTGCCCATCCACCTGATTGGAGTTACACGACACTTCTCCCCTGAGCAAGCAGCCCCGATCCGGGCACTTGACCCTTTGCTATTTCAAGCACTTGACCCAAAGACGTCGACCTTTCTTTGGTATTCGGTCCAAGTAGGGTAAACCACGGTTGAGTCTCTAAATTCCGACTAATTATCATCTAACAGGAAAGCTTTACGGAGGCGGACGGACGTTTGTCATTCAATTGCTTGGTGATTATCTCATGGATCGTGAAGGATGACATCGCCGATGCGATCCCAAGCACACCCCGAGAACGGATCGCCATGATAAAACGGCGAGCATCAAACTTTGCCGAGCCATTGCGCAGTATCGTGATGGACATCCCGGAAGATCTTGATATTGCTATACCGTTGCGTCTAGGTGACTTCCCATGTCGTGACTGGGACAATCGCGGTGGACGAGTGACGCTTGCTGGCGATGCGGCGCACGCAATGACCATGTACCGTGGCGAAGGTGCCAACCATGGTATCTTGGATGCAGCACTCCTGGTCGATGAGCTTAAAAGAATCTGGAAAGGGGAAATTGACCAGAAGACTGCAATTGATACATATGAGGCAGAGATGAGACCTCGTACCCACGCAGCAGTCCTGAAAAGCCGTGATGCGGCACTGGTTGCACATCAGTGGGAAAAACTCACCACGGACAGTCCAGTTGTATCAGCGAGACAGGCACCAGATTCTGCATTGAAGTACCACTAAACTCTGTTTACTCTCAATCAATACCTTAGCTTTGGATAAGTCGCAATGCTTGTCCGTGTAGTTATGGATCGTCCTTGAGGAACCCACTTTCAAAGCTGTATGACCTAAGAGACAAGTGTGGCACTCGACGACGCAATAGAGCAGTACATAGACATAGCAGGTGCTGCAGAGACTAGTAACCAAGTAGTCTTCTTTACAGAATCGACAGTCGGGGACACCGGCGAGTGATACATATATACAGCGTTTCTGAAAACATTTGACTATTTGGGCGACGTTATTGAAACCGTCCAGACACCAAAAACCCAAGCTTTGCGCCTCATAATTATGTAGATAGGCCTTAGGTATTCTCTCCATCTCTCCTCCATAGGAATGATATCACCTAGGGATGCCGGCGTGTTCCCGCAAATACGCGCTTTTCCAAAGTGTTACAAGTTACCTGGCAAGGTATACGACAAACTCCAAACCCCATTTCCAATGTAAGAGCTACTGCAATCAGTTGGCTAGGACCGTTCCTGTTTGAACACCAACTTCCACGCCAACTGACGCCTTAAAGTCCTTTAACCTGGTTTCGAAGTTTTTCTTGAAGGAACTGTCGAGATTGAATAGGTCGATGGCATTTCCGGCAAGCATGTGCGCCCGCTGATCCCAATTCAGAAAGTGAGACAGCTTTTCCTCCGTACACAACATCTTTCCAGCTACCGGAACTTCTGATTAAGTTGTTAGCGCTGAAAACTCAAGTCATCGCGGCCGAACTCACCACCTAGTGGGAATGGATAATCGCTTCCCATCACGATGCGTTCGGATCCAATCTTCTTGCACAAAAATTCCATGAGATCAGGATCGTGGACCAGGGAGTCGACCCAGAAGCCGCCCCTGGAGATGTGTTCGGTAGGACTAACACCTCCTGCTTGGCCTGCTAGAAGGTCAGGCCGGCAATCGTACCCATGCTGGATTCGTCCAAGCAGGGCTGGGAACGCACCGCCGGCGTGAGCAAAACACAGCTTCAGTCGCGGATGCCTCAAAAGTGTGCCGGATGATGTGAGAGCAAGAATCGACAGCGCGGTTTCCGATGGCATGCCCACAAGCCAGGAGCCCCAATACTTGGCCCACCTCTTGCTGTTCTCTTTGGATAACGCGTATCCCAGAGGGTGTACAAATACGGGCATCTCCAACGACTCACACGCCGCCCAAAAGGGGTCAAGAACTGGGTCATCCAGATTCACATCTCCAATGGTGGTTCCAATCTCAACGCCCTTGAGCCCCAACACCTTCGCCCTCTGCAGTTCTTGGACCGAGGCGCCTACGTCCTGTAGAGGCACGGTTGCTAATCCAACAAAACGGTCAGGGTACTGGGAGCAAAGACCGGCAATGTGATCGTTCAGGGCGCGAGCCAACACCTTGACGGGCTCTGCAGGCTCATCGTAGAAGAAAAGGATAGGGACTGTGCTGAGCACCTGTACGTCCACTCCGGCGGCATCCATCTCGGCAATACGAGTCTCTGCATGGATGCAATTGGGCTCCACCGTCCTGAAGAACGTGTCACCGACGTACATATCAATCTGGTCGGCAGAACCCGTTTTTGATGGCCGCAAAGTCAGCCATGGACTGGATTGTGAATTCGTAGGATAAGATGACAGGTCTGGAAGTTCAGAGGGCATAATATGGGTATGGGTATCTATGCGATAGAGTGTGGACCCATCTGGAGACGCGATGGATGTCCTGTGAGAGGTCCTGGCGCTACAGCAGCAATCATCGCTCAGATCGCTGTGGTCACTCGGGTCGCTGCTCGAGTCCTCGGTTCGTGACGGTGCCATATTAGACGTTATCCTCGTTATCCTTGCTTCTCGCGTTATGGAGGCTACGGGGGGACAATATAAGTTATCAATTAGAGGGAATAAGAGCCAAATATCAAAGTTTTCCTTTTTCAGGGTCCAATACACTGCAGTGCGAAGGTAGAAAGAGGTGCAGACCGCTGTTATCAAACTGTTTACTCCTTCCCCAGAACTTAGATGCTGTACGCTGACGTTGCTGGCGTCGGGGGTTGATGCTTGGCTTTCGGACCATGCCCCAATGGCACAGTATCCGCTTGCTATCCGCCTTCCGCCGCTGTCATCCGCTAGCCCATCCGAACGCGACACCAGTCGCTGCACTAGCTATCCAGTCTTGTTGCGCAGTACTGATGCATGTCCCTCGCATGACGTTCTTCCCGTGACTGATTGATCGTAACCAGTCCCAGCAGTTTGTTGAAATGAATACAAATCTAGCCGATCTTTCAATCTCCATATGACAGCGTGTTGATTCCAATCGGCGTATCCGCGCTTGCGTAGTATCCTCTCTTCAGTTGTGAGAGCCCAAAGGACACTGTCATCTTGGTCCAGCCTGCGACTTTGTGCAGACTGATTACACCGGTTTTCGCTTGCAATCATACAGGCACCCAATTACGGCATCCGGAAACCTTAAAAGAAGGTCTTTGGAGTTGAGCGCTGAAGTGCATGCATCACCGGCCTTGGTTGCGCCTAGTCTAGACCTATTTCAGGGATCAGATCGCCTTGGGGAGAGCATTTTCAACAACCCAGCGCATAACTACTAAATCCGGGATTCCAATCGTCACAATGGCCGACGTAGGAGCATCAGCGCCAACTGTTCTACCTCCGCCTCTAGCATTTGCTGCGTGGCTTGGTGAGAACCAGTCGAAGCTGCAGCCACCTGTCAATAATTACTGTCTTTACAGTGGCAATGATTTTGTGCTGATGGTGGTCGGTGGTCCCAACGAGCGCAATGACTTCCACGGTATACACACACTCCAAGGCTCAACTTCAGCAAGCATAATATCTAACTTGTGATTCCAAAAAGTCAACGAGACGGAAGAATGGTTCTATCAACTCAAAGGCGAAATGGTACTCCGAATTGTTGAGAATGGGGCCTTTAGAGATGTCCGCATCAAGGAAGGCGAGATGTTCTTACTACCAGGTACGTCTCTAGGTGTCACTTAAAGCAGCACCTCGACCTGGTTATTGGCTCGTGCATTAAACTCACGCTGTACTGTACTTATCACAGGAAATGTCCCACATAATCCCATCCGATTCGCAGACACGACAGGTCTAGTGATGGAACGGAAGCGACCAGAGAAGGCTCTGGACCGTCTGCGTTGGTACTGCACAAAGGGACATCACGAGGAGCTTACAATCATCCGAGAAGAGGTCTTTCACTGCGTAGATCTAGGCACTCAGTTGAAGCCCCTGATAAGGAATTGGCAGGAGGACGAGGAATCAAGGCGGTGCAAGGTCTGTGGTCAAGTAGAGAACCCCATGTAATATCTAGTAAAGCTTCTATGAGACTCAACTACACCTGACAGCACAACGTGGCCGTCAGGACATACATGTTGCTCAATCACAGACGTACATGAAGAGGCATCCCGCCTTCTTCGCTAAAATTATTCAGCGCTGGACTCTTTTATAGTAGCCTCTCCAAGCGGTCCAGGTTCAGCAGGTGCTTGGCCTTCTGTTCACATCGTGAGGCAAAACTAAAGAGGTCGCACCAGCACCAAGTTCAACTATCGGCCCAATGAATCTCTCAGCTGAGATTATTCACCTCGTCCGGAGAGTCGACAGGGCGTTTGATTATGACATGTTGTTATATACTGTTTCGAATCTTTGATTCCTGAGAAACAAGATATGTATAAAAATAAAGTATGTCCATTTCTAGTACGAATGCACATTATGATACTCTTATGGGCCGCTTCTGTCACTATAGCATACATAGTAGCGTAATACGAAACACAGCTCAGCAGCAGGTTCAAGACCAAAGTCAAACTGGCCTTGTGGCAGTTTACGCAGAAACACTGCCAGGCACGATTGCGCTACTTACGCCGCAGTATTCCTGGGTACATCGGTTTTGTCGATATAGAGCTGCTACTCAGCATCCAAAGACGGTTGCGGTGAGACTATTATGCGCATGCTCTGTAACATCCATTTTTTTGCATCCAGAACATAAGCTTTCCCATAAGTTCTTCTTGTCACGCTGGAGTTCGGTCCACAATTAGATGAGATGGTGTGGTGGCGCGTTGTAGGTCTTAGCAGTGCTGTGGGGATACGAGTTTAGGAACACGAGATCTGGATCGCGCTATCCAGCCAGCTTCCAGATACGTCATGTTTGGAACTGCATACAGAGATCTCTATGTAGTTGCAATCATTATGTGACTGATATACAGGTACAGAATATAGTTCACATAGTGTAGAATGCGCCAATATCTCCCTTTCCCGAATTCCATTGGCATCTGGTGAGATTTAGATGTTTGGACCAGTTGCTGCAGTCAGAGCGACGACAAACAACCAACTCCTCCGGGCTTCCAGCGGGCCACCCGGATGCAGGGGTCAGTGCACGCATTGCCACTGATCAACGTCGTCGAAACACCGATCCTCTTGAATTGAAAGAATGATGAAATCTGCCAATTCTACAATCAGATCCATCTACAAACCAAGAAGCTCGACTCTTTCCTTCACACATGCAGAGTTATCTCTCCAAATAGAGTCCGCTTGCAGAGTGGGAGTAGCGCATCGGTGTCAGTGTTGGGGTAAACAATCAGCACAATGTCGCTACAGCGGCTCCTTGGGATGGGCCTATCGACAGCTGCGATGTCATTCGCAGCAGCAGCGTGGCCGAACGGGCCCCTTGCGACATCCGGCCGATGGATCAAAGACGCGTCCGGCTCTACTGTCACATATGCCGGAGTGAACTGGCCGGGGCACGTCGACACCATGATACCAGAGTAAGCCGGACGGACTATTCCTGCAGCGCAACTGCATCAAGCCCCGTGAGGCTCGCTAACACTGGTCAGAGGGTTGCAATACCAGTCCGTGGAAACGATTGTATCCAAGATAAAGAGCATCGGCATCAACTCCATTCGCCTGACCTATGCAATTGAAATGATTGACCAGATCGAGAATAACGGAGGTAACGATATTCCGATACGGACTGCATTCACCAATGCGCTGGGTCAAGATAATGGCACAGCCATATACGAAAAGGTTATGACGAACAATCCGGCATTCGGAGATGAGACAACGCGATTGCAGGTTAGCTAGATGTCACACGTCCCACTGAACGATACTGACTGGGGCAAGGTCTTCGATGCCATTGCGACGGAGTGTCACAAACAGGAGATATATGTCCATCTGGACAATCATGTTTCCAAGGCCGGGTGGTGCTGCTCGCCCTTGGATGGTAACACGTGGTGGGGAGACACATATTTCTCGACGGCCAACTGGACTCGAGGCCTCTCATACATGGCCGATCATGTGAGTGCGAGTTCGGTCTTAGTAGTTCGGTCTGGTTGCTGATTATCGACCGCAGGGGAAGCAATGGCCGAATTTGATGTCCATGTCTCTCCGCAATGAACTACGCCAGCCACTTCTCAACAAGGAGCTTTATTCAGACTCATACAATTGGGAAGACTGGTACAAGTATACTAAGCAAGGAGCAGATGCTATTCACTCAGCGAATTCTGATGTGTTGATCTTCCTCTCCGGCCTGGACTCGGATACCACATTGCAGCCGGTCGTGGAGAACACAGCACTTACGCCAGGATCTTCCACGTTCCAAAGAGCTGACTTCAACGGCTATGGCGACAAATTGGTCCTCGAGCTGCACAACTATGCAAACATACTAGGGGGCTCGGAAGCGACGAACTGCACCGCCTTGCAAGGCGACTTGTCGGACGATGGCTTCAAAGCCTTAGCAACCGATGCGCCTAATCAGTTCCCCGTCGTCATGACTGAATATGGCTTCGAGCAAGATTCCACGACGCCGCAAGACGCATTTGCCTCTTGCATAGAAGAGTACCTCGCCGACCAGCAGGCCGGGTGGATGATCTGGGCGCTTTCCGGGAGCTATTACATCCGGGAGGGCACTCAGGACGGTGATGAGCCCTGGGGGTTACTCACACATGACTGGTCAGATTGGAGGTCACCGGAATACGTTGAGGGGAAGCTAACGCCTCTCGTCAAATCTACGCTCGCGGTGAACGGCACCGATCAGAGTAGCTCGGTTGGCCAAGATGGCGGGTCCTCAGGCAATGGAACCTCGGGCGATTCAGGGGCTCAATCTGGTCCCAGAGCGGGTGATGTACAAACAAGCGTTCTGCTAGCTTTGATTGTTGGCCTAGCTATGACCTGTATATTGGCATAATGGCTATTCTATCTTGTGCTATTATCAATGAACAACTGAGGCGGGCCAATTCTTTTCCAGTATGATGAATTGTACTTGGCATATATCGGAGTTCACGAATTGTACGGTATTCTCTTTCGGCTTTCGAGGTGAACCAACTAGCAATGACGAATCCAGGTTTGTTAACCGCATCCAGATCTTTAGAGGCGACTGTCTAGACTCCTTACGCTGTACTCACACAACCAGCCAGAAAGGGGCTCAATAGCGTTGGCTCAAATTGTTCTGGTACTAGGTGACCACTTGGTCCCCATGATAGGTTACCAAGAGTTACATTGAAGCGCACGCTAACTATATCTTACTTGCCGGCCAACATTATCATTAGATTATCAAGATGAGGTACATTATGCTTTATGGCTTATACGCATCCGGGCACTGAGCCTCCCAATCCCCATATGTGGTTGTCTGCGCCGCGACGTCCCTGCCGAACTCACGAAGGAGACCACCGGCAGACTGACTGTACAGCGGCCATGCCTGCGACGTCATTCCCACTGCGCCGCCGGCGACAAGAGACACCCAGGCATCCTGCATTGCCACGCTTGTCTGGTTCTCGAGAGCCGTCGAAGGCCCACGGTAGTTGGAGTGAGTGCCGAACACGATTGGGATCTCGGAGCCGTGCCAAGCGCCCATCCATCCCCTGGGTGATATATTGCTGAAGTTGCCTGCGTACTCGTAACGGAAGACTGGGGCGCCTATCTTGACTCGTGTCCTATATCGTCGGGTCAGCAATTGTAGCAAGTAACACTGGCGCGGAAAGACTTACGTTGCTGATTTGTAGGTGGTGCAGAAGAAGTACAGGAGTGTAGCTTGAGATGCCTGGGTGGGATCAGGTCCATCAGGGTTGTATGGTACGAAAGGGACTCCGTCTTCAGTATTCGAGCCTATGATCGTTGGCTGTAAATGAGTGTTAGCCTGTGTAAGCGGTTCTCGGACAGGCTAGGGGTACTTACCAGCGCTGCCAACTTTCCGTCAAGAGCACGACCATAGAAGTCGGAGAACACAGTCTTTTCATCGACTATAGGCGCGAAAGAGATGCTGGGTGTAGTACCTGCATCGATGTAAGAGTGTAAGAAGTCCTCGATCGCTTGGCCATCAACCTTCCGCATGCAAGCCAGCTCCTCAGCCGGCCCAAGGTTGCCACATCCAAACTGCGAAGCGATGAAAGTGAAGTTCGAGTGCGGCGAATCGGGTGAAGTAATGTCAAGCAGCTCGCTGCCCGACTGCATGATCAGACTGCCGACTATGGGATCCTCTGGGTATGCGTAACTATAGTAGCCAACCGAGATAGCACCGGCACTCTCGCCCCAAAGACCCATCCGGTTTGGGTCACCCCCAAAGGCAGCGATGTTGTCTCGCACCCACTCCACGGCCAATCGCTGGTCCAGCAGGCCCAGGTTCTGCTTGTCCTGGTCCAGGCCAGCCGCGTTGGGGAAGCCGAAAAAGTTGATCCGGTAGTTGAACACCACTACAATGTGGTCTTGTGTGCGCTGAATCCATTGCTCCGGCATGTGGTAAGGGATATTAGTGCCACCGGTCTTGAAACTTCCTCCGTAGATCCAGATGAGGACAGGCAGGTTCTTCTTGTAACCGCGCGGTGCCCACACACTGACGGTGAGGCAATCCTCGCTAACTGGCCCCATGGAGCCGTTCAAGCCGCCCTGGTTGAATTCCAGCACATCGTTGGTCCAAATGTTCACGTTGCTCGTCAGGTACTGCATGCAACTTGGTGGTATCGTGGTAGCCTCAATCTCCCCGAACGACTCGACGGCCTTGGGGGCCGTGAATCGCAGATCGCCCACAGGAGGGACGCCGTAGGGAATGCCTAGAAATTGGCGGACATCGGGGTTCTCTGGCTTGACGACTCCGTGTACGGTGCCGGCCTGAAGTTCAACGGTCAGATCGGCTTGTGCACACTTCGATCGTCGTGCAGGTATGCCTAAGGCCGGGACAGGTCCCAAGAGGGCGCCCGAGAACAAGAGCGCAACGGGTGACAGGCGCATCTTGATTGCTGAATAACCACCACACAAGACGGCAGATGCAGCGTGTTATTCCTTTCAGCGGTTGCAGAACCACGGCTCTGGGACACGACCGAGAAGTCGCATCGCTGGGTTATAATATACTGCATCCCGAGGCAGACAGCGGATATCACCGAGGTTTCGATGGGCTGCTCAATTTTCCGCCGCTAGACATGTCACCCCTTCGCTGAGCCCCAGCAACCATCCCAGCGGTCGACAAACAAAAAGGGCGATCTGACCGCATCCTCGTCGTCATTCATCGTGGCCCGACCCTAGCGGAAAACCGAGATTGGGAATGCAAGTCATGAGCTTGGTATTCTCGGCGACTTGTCAACCATGCGCCATTGGAGATTGTGGGGTAGGAGACCCCTAGCTCTACCCCATGATTGCAGCCGGGCTATACTGCTAGCGGTAGTCTTCTCCGGCACTGGACTAGCGCCTTGCCGGAAACCCTGCACCCGCCGGTATTATTGCAAGAAGTTCTCCGCGTTTATTCACAAGGCGTCAACTTCTTTCGTCCGCCTCAGGGTAGGATTCCGATGCTAATTATGAACCGATGGTCTGGGTCCGGAGAACTCATGTGAATCAAGCAGTGGTCTGGATCTGTCTAGAACCTCACGTGGACATTTAGACCTCGGTTTTCTATAAGCCCTACAACAACTCCCTACCGTGAAAAAGTCGATAAGTCACCCTTGTCCAAATGACGCGGTAGTCAATTCACGGCTCCATATCTATGTAGTCAAAACGCAGATGGTGGAGACGGGGAGCGTGCGCGCGCAATCTAAGTTAAGGCTCCAGAAGGACTATAGATCCCAGCCTATGGCTATTCCTAGTAAATAAACAACATTGATGACATCCTAATCCGCGCCAGAGTATTAAGAAGTCGAGCGTAGCATGAGTATATGCCATACTTACGCCTTTCATTTTGCCTGTGTAATTTTGACTGAGGCTCACAATAGTAAGGCTAGAAACAAGAGGCAAGGGGTAATAGAAACAAGGATACGCGAGCTCACCCGCATGTGGACCTTGTGCTTTGATGTGCTGGGTGGATATTTGCAACGGGGTCGCACAACTTACTTATCATTATACAGCGGAAGAGCACATGCGATCGATGTGATGACTTTGTCCGAGCGTGTTCCCCACCCCTTCGATGTAAAATATGGCCGTGCATTGAGGGCTTATCAATGTCCACAGATGAAGGCCATCTGAGACGCCGATTGGGGAACAGTAGTTCGTTTACAAAAGTGGCTGTTTTGGCTTCCGAGTAGATTAAATAATCGGGAGGTCTGGGTTGCGGATTTCTCAGTAGATAGGTAGACAGTAAGTTTTCTGATTAGAAGGAAAATTTCAGGGGAAGAAATTCCGTCAGGCGGAACCCATCTTATATTGAGAGTTGGCCATTTGAGTATCGGTGTGTTGTGCTCCTAAATCAAGCATTTTCAAGTCCTGGAAGAGCCAGATATAAATCCAGTTGCGAGAACGGCGGTGCTGCGAAATGGGCCGGGTGTCAATTCAAACACTAGCAGCAGTCCAAGCAGTTGTGGACAAGTCCTCCCGGGTTCTCAAATCAGTATTTGTATAGCCCATCTTTTCTATACTCCCCATCTACCTCTAGATGATGATGATGATGATGCTGCTGCCGACAAAGCAGACAGCTGTAGTGAATTTGTGTTCACGGCCCACGGGTAACATGGTGTATTCCCCGAGAGATGCGACCAGAAATCAGGTCAAATGCAACCCCGATGCTATGCTCATGCAACATGCAAAACAGAACCAATCAAACCCGTGCGTGTCCACCCGCTGCTTGACTATTCAGTAGCCTGGATGCTGTATGTAGACAACCAACGCCGATGCAATTTTCCCAATCCATGCTTGCCAATCCCAAAACACCACAAGCTTATTCGGAACATGCTTATGGCTTTGCAAAATCTTGGCCGAATATCCGTTGCCAAGCGTCCAGCCATTTCTCCTGTTGGGAGGTAAGGAGTTTTCCAGGGTTCTTGAACGAGCGCGTGAGGACATCACGAAGTCGTGCGCGTAGCACTTTGATGACGAGCATTGTCTTCCAATCTGGGACGCTAAAGCGAGCCCGGTTTCCGTCAAGGACGATGACACCCGAAAACATCTGTTCAGTAAAGTCAGCATGGATTGGCTTCCCAGAAGCAGACGCATGAGAACAGAGAAGAGACGGTAAGATACTTACGTCGATGCGCACGTCGCCGCATAGTAGAGCGATGGCAAAATTCTCGACTGCGGTCGTCTCGTGGGCGTTGAGAAACCTGTCCCTGGTTAGATGGGTTGTCAAAACATGCTTGCATGATCAGCGAGCGACCTACTGTTTAGACTGCATGATATTGTAGTAAGACAGCCATTTCAGTTCTAGGTGGCCCTTGTTGACACTTGACGGATGAAGGCTAATGCTCTGGTTGTTCCCAACATTGCGGAAGCCCTTGTTCTCCCGCATAAGCAGTTTAGGATAAAAGCTCCAAGAGATGACAGACGCTGAAATGATATCGTTTTCACTGTTAACGTCGACTCGCTGCGGCAGTTCAAAGAACTGCCGGCGTCTACTAGCATACCGTAGCCTGTTCAAAGTGCGTCGCTCGTCTTCCGTAAGCTTTAAGAAGCCAGAATCGACAAGTGAAACTAGAAGTTGTCCCTTCAGGTCTTCAATATTGGAGAGGGTTTGTGGTGACAGAAAGTTCTTCTTGCAGAACTGGAAGTCTTGATGTGTCTGTGTTTGGCACGTCTTCTTCCAGCCCAGATACGCGTTGTAGACCGTCAGAAGGTCGGAGTCACCCCTCCGGAAGGCTTTGCGCGCTTGGTCGGCTTGAGCACGTTGGCCAAAGGGGGCAGAGAAAGGTGACTTCGAAGACAGAATTGCGGCGCATGTAATGGCCATATCGAGACACTTGAATATCGTGCCCTGCAAAATGAGTTTCCCTAGGAAAACGTCGAGGGGAATACGTGCCAGCTGGACGCCAAGAGGAGTTAGCTCCTCGCCAGCTGTGAGAGCACGCACGTCGATGAGAGCATCGATTGCTCGGCGGATGTTCTTGGCAGAAGGGGCGTCAAGAGCTTCAGCCAGAGTCTCTTCGATGCCGCCGATCTTGCAGACTTTGACGCGCATAGCCAAGTCCTGGAGGGACAGACGAAGCATCTCTGGAGTTTGCTGATCACTCATGAGCTTGTCGTGGCGATACTTGGTGAACATATGGAAGCACAGGCCCTCTTGCACACGGCCGGCTCGGCCACGTCGCTGCTTTGCATTCGCGCGAGAGATGAAAGTGTCGATCAGCCGAGATAACTGCCTCCTCTCGTCGAATCTCGATTCACGATGCTTGCCAGTGTCGATGACGCATGTGACGTCTGGGATTGTGATTCCTGTTTCCGCAATGTTGGTGGCCAAAACAATCTTCCTGACACCAGGCGGCGGCACAAGGAAAGCACGCTCTTGGTCCTCCGTCGCTATGGTCGAGTGCAAGGGAAAGACTTCCCAGTCACGTTGAAAGAATGGCTGCCCTAAGATGGCTTCGTTCAAGGATCGAATCTCAGCAATACCAGGCAAGAAGACCAGGATTGCCTTGCTATAATTCACGTAAGCTGGATCCACAGCAACTCTTCCAATCAGCTGAACGATGAGCTCGAAGTCGATTTGATATTCGTCGAAGACGGATAGTGTATTTCGTGTTTTTGGCGAGTATTGCCGCAAGTCTTTGGCGGCGTCAGTTAATGAACCACGATCACTCTCGCTCTCAGCAGGATCGTCGTCCAGATCGGTCATCTTCTCGTTCGGGTTGCGTTGTTCAGGCGTATATCCTGTAAGTTCCAATGCATCCTCCAGGTAGTTGACCTTCACCGGGAATGTACGGCCTGGAACATTAAGCACCGGAGCCCCGCCCATGTATTTTGAGAATTTTTCGGCATCGACAGTGGCAGACATCAAAACAACCTTCAAATCTTTTCGGAGTTCCAGCAGCTTCTTGAGAACAATGAGCAGGAAGTCAGACTCAATTGAGCGTTCGTGCACTTCATCCAGGACAAGATGCGTGATTCCCCCCAGATCGTTTGAGCCCTCTAGCATCCGCATCACAATACCAGTTGTTGCAAACACCAGCCGAGTTTCTCGAGAGGTATTGGCTTCAAGACGAATGGAATATCCCACTAGCGATCTGTTGGTTCCCAAGTCATTTCGGCCTTCGCCAAGTTCCTCACTAACACGACGGGCGAGTGAAATGGCCGAGATACGCCGGGGTTCCGTGCAGTAGATCTTACAAGCGCGACCTTGAGAAAGCTGGTGCTCCAGGAGGAATGACGGTACCTGTGTACTCTTGCCACTGCACCAACTATTAATATGATTGTGGTCCTCGGGGGCACATAGTTGCTTACCATCCAGTCTCGCCGCAAATTATGACAACCTGGTTCTGATCAACTGCCTCAAGCACCTGCTCCCTAAAGTACCACATGGGAAGCTGCATCCGGGCTTGCTGTTTTTATGTCAGCCTATCTCATACTCTGCAATGGTCACTGTGAACCTACCAGCATGTGATGGAATCGAGGGTTGTTGATCTTGTCAGCCCAGATCCGATGGTAGAACTCGGGACCGAGATTCTGCCCGTTGACTCTTTCGAAGGCAGACGGGTCGGGAGTTCCATTACGGTTTGTACCACGGCCTTTGAAGGCACTTTGGAGAACAACACCCTCCTCTTCCTCCTGGTCTTGCCTCTGACGAACCAAAGTGCGCAGATCCTTGATGAATGCACGGTCTTGGGCATCACCTTGGTTCTTCTTCGCCTCTGAGAGCTCTGTCCAGAGATCCTTCCAAGTTGCAGGCAGGCGCATAAAGACCTTTTCTTCCTTTGTTGATCCAGATATGGCGAAGAGTGCCACGGTTGCGACATAGGCCTCCGACTGCTTTGAATCGGGAGTAGCAATGGTCGCCATCTGGAAAGCGAACTGTTGAGGGTATATGGAGCATTCAATGTGAGATACTTCCGGCGTGATGAGGTCCTGTGGCTTGGACCATGTAATAATTACCATGTGGCGGTTGGCAAATGGCGCCTCAGACATAAGTCTGTATACAACTTTCGCCGATGAATCCCTATCGCGAATGTTAGTGCCGGTTTTCTTCGGGTGCCAGGAGTCATATCTTACCTCGACCGGCAAGCCTCCTCCAAAGCCCGCGTTGGGCTTACGCCTGTCCACTTGTTACCATAGTCACGGATGAAGACTTTGGAACCGTCGGTGTTGTTGATAACGTTGGCCGTCTTGCCAGTGCTGGGATCGACTTCTTCGACCGGCAGGCTGGCAAAGAGGTCGGACAACGACGCATCTTCGTCGCTGGCATCCTGCTCCAGAACCTCATTGGCGATCTTCTTGGCTTCCTTCGCAATTTCATCATCAGAGTCGACCTCTACTTCTGGTGCCGCGTCCGACCCCTCGTCGCGCTTCGCTTCCTCGGCCTGCTGCCTTTTTGCTGCAGCATAGTCTTGTTCCAAGACGATCCGATCACTCCGCCACTGGTGTTCGGCAAGGGGCTTGTCAAATAATGGATCCTGGTCGATGCGGTCAATCTTGGCAAGGAGTTTCGCCTCTTTCAACTCTTCCTCTGGCGAGGACGAATCAACTGCGAGTGACCCATTGCCATTGACGGAACCGTTTGTTGCCTTCTTGGGCCGCTTGGTCTCCTGTCTCGGGCGCTGCATATGAAAGAGCTTGGTCTTGGTCTCCAGGTAGACGGAGATGAGGTCATCAGGCTCGATATCACTATCACATGTAACGACGACCTTTCTAGGTGACGCCTCACGAGAGGAGCGCGATTTGGCCGAGCCATTCTTCAGACCAGCAGATTTCGGCGGACCATTTGGCTCGAGGAACCGTGGTGTTGTGGCACCCGAGGGGAGTGGAGTGTCTTGAGGCGTCTCAGCCAGGCGAGCGCCCACCTTGCCCCTCTGCTCGTAATCGGGAAGCTCGTCTCTGGTGCACTCACGAGCTAGCCATTCCAGGGCTTCCTCGAGGCCCCAGATGTTGTCCTTAGCAGCCCCGGCAATATTGGGGGCTATATCCAGCACATGTTGCAAGACCGACTTGACTCGCTCTTCGGGGAAGCCGGCCGGCTTGAGGGTCTGCTGCAGCGTCCACAGCTTCATGGTCAAGTCTTCTTCGGGTAGCAGTTTCCCAGGACTAGCGGATTCTGTCCCCAAGGCAGCGTTGCTGAAACGGCCCTCGGCCCGTATCATGTCCAAGATGTGGTCCATGAGCTCGGCGGGAAGCCATTTGCGTGTGTTGAGCGGTTCGGCCTGGCCACGAAGCAGGCGGCGGTCCGTCTCGAGTCTGGACTTCTGCCGCTGGGCGTCCCTCTTGACCTTTTGGGCATGCTTCTCGACTAGTAGCTGCAGCTCCGACTCTTCCAGCTGCCTCTCAAACTCCTCCGGTGTGAGTTCGTCCTGGCTGGGGCGGCCGTTGGGGACGGGGGCAGTGGGCGTCGTATCGGGGACAGGGGCGGCACCTTTGGGATCGTGAGGAGCAGACGAGGGAGTAGCGGCCTTGGGAGCTGGAGACGTGGTTTCGTCGGCATTGTCGACCCGGGCGACGACCTTGGAGGCCACCGAGGTGGTGGCGAAACCTCTGGCCGGATTGGCCGCGGGTTTCGTCTTCTTCTTGCTGTTCTTGCCCGCCATTTTGGAGGCGAGCTGCCGCCAAGTGACGGTCAAGGACGTAAGAAGATGTCAAGTAGAAAAATACCGACTGCCAGGACGTTGGGAGAATTCGGCTGTTGTGGCACTCCGTGGAGGGGTGTAACTTGGGTGAGAGAAGTACATGGGTTGCGCCTCAGCGCAGCAAATGCAGACGTGAGGACAAGGACCTCCAATGTGCAAAAAAAGAGGCGTATCTGCAAAACGCAAAAGAAACAGGTGCAACTGGATGGTGGTATGCCGGACTGGACGTTGAAGCCGTCACGGTCGCCTCGCCTACGTTTAGAGCCAGGCGCAAGTGAAGAAAGGCCTGAGGTACCTTACGGTTAGCGGTACCTTACGATTAGCTTCTCTGCGAAGGGGACCGCCCTCCAGTGCGGTAGGCCCCTCGCTACAGGTACAGAGAGCGCACCACTGCGCTAAGAAATTTGAGAAGTAGCCGGCTAGGTACCTGGGGGTACAGTGGGAGAATTTCCAATGGAGGGGCTCTGGCGATTGTCTACAGCACCGTCCTCCGTCCTCCATCCAGGCGCATCGTGGAGGGGCAGTTGGCCCGCTGACATCACCGGCCTCCAGCTATCGCCTCGTGCAAGGCCGAGTTTTCTCCCTTAGCGGGGCTTTTCTGTGTGCTGTAGACTGCGGCGCCGGGAAGACGCCAAGACCAATCCAGCCCTCAAGGCCCTGGAGACGTTGGAATTGAGTCGCCCCGGGCCAGGGCCCTGGCAGAAATCCGTGGACGGGCTGACCGCCTGCCGGAAGAGAGGCGCACGCCGCATCAAGTTCGCAAAGCTCACCCCACATTCAGGCCATTCGGGCCAGGAACGGACGAGATTGAGACCTCCATCTACCTATACAGTACATGCTTTGGTTGAGTCCAAGTGGCTTATTAGAAGTTGTGACGATTCGTGGTCAGCCGGTCAGACAGACAAGCGACATCGAAGCAGGGCTGGACTAACATCTGCACACAAAGCAGCGGTGGTATCGTGGATATCCGCAGCTGCTTCTTGCCTGTTGCTGTTGTGTTGTGTTATTTTATTTTATTTTTCGCTACATGCTATGTGAAGCTCTCTCTTCCAGAAAGCTTCCCGACCTGCCCTCCTTCCCGCGCCCACGCCGCCCTATGATGTCCGTTGACCTCCCGTCAGCCTGCCGCCATAATGACTGAAGCTGGCGCCAACGGTGCTGCCCAGACGGCCATTGACTTTCCCTCGACCAAGGCGGATTTGAGCTCTGCTTCCACCAGCAGGCGCATCACCCGCCTGCGGTCGCTTGACGACAGCGTCAATCAGAAGTGTAAGCCGAGCCCGCCCCGTGCCCTGCTTGTGCCCATAGACTTGAGGTTGGTCTGGGAGCCCCGAAGGGAATGTGCACTGATGCCTCGAGTCCCACAGCTGTCGACCATGCCTCGATACCCCGACTGCTGAAGCTCCTGTTCGACACCCACCCGCTGTACGACGACAGACCCTCCAGGCGTGCCGCCCAGACGTGCCTGGCCTCCGTCTTTGCGACCGTCGACGACTCCAAGGTCCTCGCCCCCTTCGTGACCGCTCTGCGCATCGAGTCGCAAAAGCCCGGCATAGCTGCCAAGAATGCCTTTGTCTTGGTCGAGTGGTGCTGCCTGCTGCTGAAGGGCCTTGCCGGCACATCCCTGTACGACAAGTTTGGCCTCGACATCATCCACGCCAATGCTGCTGCTCTCGAGAGATGTTTCCAACCCCCTTGCCGGCCCTCGGTGGCCCAGTCTGCCATTGTCATCACGCGCCGAGCTCTGCGAGCCGCCTTCTGGTACAAGGGATACAGGGAAAAGGCTGTTCAGGACGCCATCCAAGCTCTGACGGCCAAGGCTGGCCAGCCGACGACGAGAAATGCTGTCATGCTTGGTGTCGTGGCTGGCGTTTGTTCGCGCCAGGACCAGGCAAAGGCTACATTTACCGAAAAGAAGGCCGACTACTTCACATTTTTCACCCGAGAAATCATTGGCTCGCGGACGGCCGTGCCAGACCATCTGGTCGGTGGCCTTGGCGATTTCTTCCTGGACTTTGTGACCCTTGATGACCTCAACAAGGACGTGATCCCCCCCATCGAGAAGGGTCTCCTGCGTGCCCCTGAGGTCGTGCTCGACATCGTCCCGGCCATTGTCAAGTCCCTTTCTGAGAACATTGATCTATCAAGTATCCTCGGCGGCCGTCTCATGAAGCCGCTGTTATCCAATGCAAAGTCTAGCAACCCTGCCATTCGGCAGAACGTCTTGAACACGTTCAAGGCCGTGAGTGCCAAGAGCCACGACGTTAAGATGTTGGAACAAGTCGCCGATGAGATTCTGGGGCCACTTAAGACGGGAAAACTGGCTTCGGCCGACCATCGTGTCCTGCATTCTGAAATGCTAGCCGTTATCCCGCTATCGGAACCCATCGCCACTAAAATCACGGACTCACTCCCAGCCGCCGCCGCCAAGGAAGGTAACGAGGCCGCATTAGCAGCTGAGCTTACTGTTATTAGCAGAGCTGTTTCTCATCAGCTGCGCCAGGGGGTGGCCTTGGCGAAACCGGTTGTGGACGCCTTCGTGAAAGGCTTATCCGACAAGAAGATCAATGCTCGTCGGGTGTGGTTATTGAAGGTCGGCGATATTTTGACCGACTCTTCTTCTCCTGCGAAGGCTGTGGCCCCCAATGTTGCCAAGTTTGCCGAAGCCGTGGCAGTACCACTCTCTGATACATGGGCTGAAATCCTCAAGAATCCACCGGCAGCGGTGCAAAGCAACTTGATCACCGGAGCCTACATCTTCACTACTATTACCTTCCAAACGCTCATCCATATCGAAAGTGACAGCATCAAAACCATCCTGAAGAAAGCTGCTGTCTCGAAAGAAAGTCTTGTTCTTGAACCAAAACCTTCGTTCCTCCTCAATCACCGTATATATGGGCGGTTATCGTCTGAGGATGATTCAAGATGGTGTCTGTCGGCATTGGCGGCTGTCGTTGCGGACTTACCGAAAGCTACACCCGCCGTCCGATCGGCGTGGTCCCAGGGCTTCATTTTCCTGTCCTCCTCGCCCACCGTTCCTCCGCAGATACGGAAGGAGACAGGTGAGGCTCTATCCAAGCTATACGCCAATGAACCAGCTCTCATCTCTGAGGCTGTGATTGCCGGACTCTGGCAATGGGTCGAATCGACCGAAGTTGCCGAAAAGGATAGTGTTGTCGCCGCCGCCAAGTTTGATAACACTCATCTACACGCCATTTTGCGATCCATTTCTCTTACGAAGGAAGAATTTGCAAAGCTTGGTCTTGAGCCCCAGCCAGAAGTCCTGGAGAAACAAATGTGCTCCCTCCTAGTACTGTCTAGACCAACTCTCATTCCGCGATCAAGCTGGATTGATAATGTATTGAGGGTCGGCCTGGATCCCGGTAGCCTTGCACTTCGTCACGAACAAGATCTCCTCCAGGAGATCATCGCAAAGACAAATGACAGTCGGAAGGTAAGTCACTTTCGATAGTTCGTCCCATGCACATCTAATTCCAAGCTAGGTTGGATCCATCAAGACAGCCGCCTGCCAAGCTGCAGCAGATCTTGCCTTTGTGGCGCCTGAGACAATGATTCCAAAAGTCATTGAAATGATCCGTAAGGACCTAGACCCTCAGGATCTCAACGACATCGGCCCAGTAGAAGCCGCCATCTTCCGCACACCCGAAGGGACTGCTTTCATCGATGTGCTTGCCAAGAATGCTCAGACCCTGCCCAACAAGAACACCAAGGACTACGATACGCTCAAGTGGGAGGAAGAGCTTCGAAGTCAGCTAGCGGCCAAAAAGGGCACTCAGAAGAAGCTCACAGCCGATGAACAAGCCAAAGTTAACGCCCAACTGAAGAAGGAGTCGGAGATCCGCAAATCCATCCAGCAGATTGAGGCCCGGCTACTCCGTGGCGTCGGTATTATCCAGGGACTGATTACTGGTCCACCCACCGACACAAATCTCTGGATGGGCCCTTCGGTAAACGCCTTACTGAAAGCAATGGAAGCCGGCGCGTGCCAGATCACCGGCGACTCCGCCCCATCGGCTTATCTTGCTTGCGCCGACAGAGTCACCAGCCGCCTAGGGTCTATCCGACCGTTTATTGGTGTCGCAACTCTTCGAGCTTTGGGCGTTACTGGGCTTCCAGAGAACTTGATTGAGGAAGGCCTTGAGGAGCTTGTGACCAGAGTCCTGTATCGCCTCCGCTTTGCAGGAGAACAGCGAGCTTTTGATGCCATTTCGGTGGTTTATATCTTATCCCTCATGTTCCTTGTCCTACAAAAGGGTGGATTCGCTGCTGCTGGAGATGACCGTGATGCTCAGGTCGTTCTTGCGATTGAATTCATCTCATTCCATACAAACGTATGCTCTGACGAAGCTATTCCGCGGTCTGATCTGATCTCAACCTTGATATCTTCTATGCAACGGTATAGCCAGCACTATAAGATCATCAAGGACTGCTTCTCGGATCTGATTCGCTGCGTAGCTCCCAACATCAGCCCTTCCGAGATTGCTGTACTCGTCAAGGGTGCAATTGTCCCAGAAACTTCTGTGAGGGAAACAGTGCTACAGGCTATCAGCGCAGAGGTAGACCTAAGCGAGCTTGACTTTTCTGACGAGATCTGGCTGGCTTGTCACGATGACAATGAAGAGAACGCGGATGTCGGAAAAGAGATCTGGGAAGAGAGCGGCTTTAAGCTCTCAGAGGACGTCCCATTCAGAATGTTACCGTATACTGAAAGCAAGGATGCTCAGCTACGACGGGCTGCCGCGCGTTCTCTAGCCAAGGCCTGCAAATCATCACCTGCTACCGTCGATGAAGTCTTGACGAAGTTGAGAGCTTCCTATGTGGAGTTTGCTAAACCACGCGTCCCACAATTGGACAGGTACGGAATGCCAAAGAAGTCAGATTTGTCAGATCCGTGGGAAGCGAGACATGGCATTGCTTCCGCTTTCAAGCAGCTCGCCTTTAATCTTGAGAAGGGACAACTTGACGGATTCTTCAGTTTCCTGATTGAGAAGGGGCCCTTGGGTGACAAGAACGATGGCGTACGAAGCGAGATGCTCGATGCTGCTATCGCCGCTATCGACCTGCATGGACGAGCCCTGGTGGATAAACTGATGAAGATGTTTGAACGTACTCTTGAGGCTCCAGACAAGGGATCAGAAGCTGGAGACAGGGTCAACGAGGCGGTAATCGTCATGTACGGTGCTCTTGCAAGGCATCTGAAACCAGGCGACTCGAAGATCCCGACCGTCATCGAGAGGCTCCTGGCTACCCTAAGCACTCCATCTGAAGCGGTGCAGTTTGCGGTCGCCGAGTGCTTGCCGCCCCTTGTACGTACCTGTGGCGACAAATCTTCGAAATACTTCGACCAAGTGATGAATACTCTCCTCAACTCAAAGAAGTACGCAGAGAAGCGTGGCGCCGCCTACGGGCTGGCTGGTCTCATTCTGGGAAGAGGCATCTCAGTCTTGCGAGAATATCGTATCCTCATAACTCTGAAGAGTGCTACTGAGAACAAGAAGGAACCGCAGCAGCGCGAAGGTGCTTATCTTGCCTTCGAATTAATGCCGCTGATTCTCGGACGCCTTTTTGAGCCCTACATCATCCAAATCGTTTCTCAGCTACTGACTGGGTTCGGTGACAGCAGCGCAGATGTCCGAGATGCTTGTCTTGCTGCCGCCAAGGCCTGCTTTGCGAAGCTGAGCTCGTTCGGAGTCAAGCAAATCTTGCCCACGCTGCTTTACGGTCTCGACGATGATCAGTGGCGTAGCAAGCGAGGTGCATGTGAACTTCTGGGTGCCATGGCGTACTTGGACCCCCAACAACTCGCCCTGAGTTTGCCAGAAATCATTCCGCCCTTGACAGCGGTGCTTAACGACAGTCACAAGGACGTCCGATCTGCCGCCAACAAGAGTTTGAAACGCTTCGGCGACGTTATAACCAACCCTGAGATTAAGTCGTTGGCGGATATCCTTCTAAAGGCCCTCAGTGATCCCACTAAGTACACCGATGAGGCGCTGGATTCTCTTATCAAGGTGCAGTTTGTGCACTACCTAGATGCTCCGTCTCTAGCTTTGGTGACAAGAGTACTGCAACGAGGTCTGGGAGACAGATCCAACACCAAACGGAAGGCCGCCCAAGTCATTGGTAGTCTGGCGCATCTTACAGAGAGAAAAGACCTGGTCGCTCATCTGCCAGTCCTGGTCAGCGGTCTCAAGCTTGGAGCGGTGGATCCCGTACCTACAACACGCGCGACCGCTTCCCGTGCATTGGGATCACTTGTTGAAAAGCTCGGCGAGGATGCTCTGCCAGATCTGATTCCTGGACTTATGCAAACACTCAAATCCGATACCGGTGCCGGAGACCGTCTCGGTTCCGCTCAAGCTCTGTCGGAAGTTCTTGCTGGACTCGGTACAACAAGATTGGAGGAGACACTTCCAACCATCCTGCAGAATGTCGAAAGCGCCAAACCCGCAGTCAGAGAAGGCTTCATGTCGCTCTTCATCTTCTTGCCGGTGTGTTTCGGTAACAGCTTTGCCAACTACTTGGGCAAGATCATCCCGCCCATTCTGGCTGGACTTGCTGATGACGTCGAGTCGATCCGTGAGACTGCTCTCCGCGCTGGTCGGCTGCTGGTCAAGAACTTTGCGGCCAGGGCTGTTGACCTTTTGCTACCCGAGCTTGAGCGCGGTCTAGCAGACGACAGCTACAGAATCCGTCTCAGCTCGGTAGAGCTTGTGGGCGACTTGCTTTTCAATCTCACAGGCATAACTGGGAAGGAAGACGCAGAGGATGAGATTGAGCAAGCTAAGGAGGCAGGTGCCTCGCTCCGTGAAGTGCTCGGGGAGGAGAAGCGTAACAAGGTTCTGTCTGCGCTCTACATCTGCCGTTGCGATACTGCAGGTGCTGTCCGCTCCGCAGCGATCAGTGTTTGGAAGGCTCTGGTCGCATCTCCAAGAACACTCAAGGAGCTTACGCCTACGCTTACTCAGTTGATCATTCGTCGCCTTGGCAGCTCCAACATGGAGCACAAGGTCATCGCTAGCAATGCGCTTGGCGAGCTGATCAGGAAGGCTGGTGATAGCGTTCTCTCGAGCTTGCTTCCTACCCTAGAAGAGGGGCTTCAGACCTCGACGGACATTGATGCTCGTCAAGGTATTTGCTTGGCGTTGAAAGAACTTATTTCATCAGCCTCGGAAGAAGCTCTGGAAGATCACGAGAAGACGCTCATTGCAGTCGTGCGTACTGCGCTCATTGATTCCGACGAGGACGTCAGAGAGGCTGCTGCGGAGGCCTTCGACTCGTTGCAGCAGATCGTTGGCAAGCGTGCTGTGGATCAGGTACTGCCGTATCTTCTCAGCCTTCTGCGATCCGAGGCGGATGCCGACAACGCCTTGTCTGCTCTTCTGACTCTGCTTACTGAGACAACCCGGTCTAACATTATTCTACCCAACCTCATTCCCACCCTCATTGCTCCGCCCATTTCGTCATTCAATGCCAAGGCATTGGCATCCTTGTCCAAGGTTGCTGGTGCGGCTATGAACCGCAGGCTGCCCAATATCATCAACTCTTTGATGGACAACATTGTCAATAGCGAGAATGACGAGCTTCACCAGGAGCTTCAGACCTCATTTGATACTGTCATTCTGTCAATTGACGAGTATGATGGCTTGAACACCGTTATGAATGTTCTCCTGTCACTTGTCAAGCACGAGGACCACCGCAAGCGTGCCAATACCGCATACCGAATGGCCAGCTTCTTCGAGCAATCCACGGTTGACTACTCGCGATACAACCAGGATATTATTCGGTCCATGTTGATATCATTTGATGACAGAGACAAGGACGTTGTGAAGGCGGCGTGGACAGCGCTTAGCGCCTTCACCAAGAAGCTCAAGAAGGAGGAAATGGAGGCATTGGTGCCGTCCACCAGACAGACTCTCCTACAAGTCGGCGTTTCGGGACACAACCTGCCGGGTTTCGAGCTGCCCAAGGGTATCAACGCTGTTCTTCCAATCTTCCTCCAAGGTCTCATGAACGGTACTCCCGATCAGCGAACCGCCGCTGCATTGGCTATCTCGGACATTGTCGACAGGACCAGCGAGAACTCACTGAAGCCCTTCGTCACCCAGATCACTGGCCCGCTTATCCGTGTCGTCTCCGAGAGATCAACCGACGTCAAGGCTGCTATCCTGCTTACTCTCAACAACCTACTGGAAAAGATGCCGGCAGCATTGAAACCCTTCTTACCCCAGTTACAACGTACTTTCGCAAGGTCATTAGCCGATACCACCAGCGACCTTCTCCGTTCTCGTGCAGCTAAGGCTTTGGGCACACTGATCAAGTTCACTCCCCGTGTTGACCCACTAGTCGCGGAGCTTGTTACTGGATCCAAGACTTCCGACTCTGGTGTCAAGACTGCCATGCTGAAGGCCTTGTATGAGGTCGTCAGTAAAGCTGGCTCCAGCATGAGCGAAGCTTCACGCACCGCTGTTCTGGGCTTGATTGATACGGAAGCGGATGAGACCGACACTGCCATGACTGTGACCAACGCTAAGCTGCTGGGAGCACTGATCAAGAACGTTCCCACGGACGTGGCCAGCTCCCTCCTGAAGAACCGTGTGACCACAACGCACTTCAGCACTTCCTCAGTACTGGCCCTCAACGCCGTCTTTGTCGAATCCAAGGAGGCCTTGCTTAATAGTCCTCTTGCGGAAGACCTGCCCGATGTGCTTTGCCAGGGCATGTCAAACAAGAACGTAAGTGACTCAGGGCGTGAACTAATTTTTTCCTGTATGGTCATGATGGCTAACATTACTAATAGCTTTTCGTTGCTGATAATGCAATCCTTGCCACTGGCAAGTACCTTCTGTCTGTAACCCCAGCGTTCGAGCAGACGAAGCCTATCTTCTCGACTCTGGCTACCATTGTCGGCCCGGGCAATCCTGGTGACAGCCGCCGTCTAGCTCTTGTGGTCATCCGCACAGTCTGCAGGCACAATATGGAGCTTGTGCGTCCGCATCTTCCACTCCTTGCAGGCCCGATATTCGCCTCCGTCCGCGACCCTGTGATCCCTGTCAAGCTGGCCGCAGAAGCGGCGTTCATCGAGCTGTTTGACGTCGTGGAGGAGGAAGGCAAGGTGTTTGAGAAGTTCGTGCAGAGCCCTACTGGCCAAGAAATGCAGCCAAACACCAGAAGGAGCATGGGCGACTACTTCAAGAGAGTTGCTTTGCGACTCGGCGCTCAGGCGCGCGAGAGGAGAGAGATGGAGGGATTGAGCAACGACGAGGCAGAGGATGAGAGGGAGATCTGGAGCGTTGGTCAGGTCGAGACTGGTGGGGGTGTGTTCAGTCAAGACTAGATGTGCTGTAACGACGTTGAGGAAGACGTGGGTCTGTGCATATGAACGAGCCATAAAAGGGGTCATGACGCATTTTGTGGTAGACAAAATATATTTCACGATTACATCTGGAGCATCCCTTTCTTCATCAACGGCAGCACGTGAATGTATCTGCATGCTCGTGTCACGCTGGACTTCCGCCACTGTTTGAATATATTCTGAAGCTGATTGGTAAATACCTCCCGTGAACAGCGAGATTAGCTAAAGAGCACGCGCAGATGATATTGCAGCTACCCATCACGCTACGAAAGAGAATTGCGTATCATCCTTCTTTCGTCAGGCATATCATTTTTGCATTTATGATTATTCATATCTGCGTATTGCTCTTCATGATGCGGCCTGAACGTGACGAACCATCTCCAACGTCCTTACGTCTCGAGGCTGCCTGCTTTTTCTCGCCCCTTTTCGTTCTGAGTTATTATATCTTACAGGTAAGTATGACACAGAATACCAAAATCGCTGGTTAATGTTGTTAGCTGTAGCTGCCAGTTCTAAAATATGGTCGGTACAGTAGCTTCCATTGGTGAAAGTTGTCGGGTTTGATAGGGTCTAAGTCACAGTCAGTCGAACTAGCACTGCACAAATTGACTTTCATTATAGCAAACATGGTTATAGCTAATGATCGATGATAATCAAGTAGATCCATGGTCAGTATGTCAAATCAAAAGGCCTTCAATTATTTGTGAAACACTTGGTGCTCATGATGTTGTAGAATGTCGAGGCAAGTTCCCCAAATCTCGCATCGCTAACTGGATCCTTACTGCCTGAGCCCGGCGTCAATGCTGCCACTCAACTGCATTATGCGCAGCTGCGCAAATGCAGCGCCACGTCGGAAAAAAAAAAGGCTGCCTACCCCGCAAGATTTTAATGACCACTCTTTTTTTTTCTCTCGCAAGCCTCGTGAGCGTAGACTCGGCATCGCAACACTCTGTTCTGCTCGCAAATAATTTACGTCCTTTAAACAAAACATTCCCGCCTCAACTCACAACTCCTTCCGTCACTATTCTAGCCTTGTATGATATGGGTAGCACTCAGAGAGGTAATGACGGTCAGTTCCCCTATGACGTGTAGCGATCTCTGATAATAAGGGTCGTCTCCCCCACAGGAATGGGAGCACAAAAAGAGCCGTTTGAATCGGCGGATGAGAGCTCAAGACACTCAAGCGCATATTTAAGCAGTAGAGGCAGCACTTCATCGTCGTTTTCGTCGCGAGATATCTATCTGGCCAGTAAGTCATCCCAAGAGTTATACTTTGAGCAGCGGCTGAGTGGTTCGATAAAAAGATCGCAAGAGATCCTCCACATATAGGGGCTCAACCGTCGTTCACAATGGGGCCAGCCGGTCTTATGATGCCCACGAGCCCTACCCAGGGTACGAAAGCATAAGATACAGCAAGTCAGGCGGGTCAAACCAGCAAAGCAGAATAAGATCTCAATCAATATATGGAGATGTGTCCACCTTGCCTCTGAGCCATCTCAACGCCAAATTATCGTAAGTAGATCCCTCTCCCATTGTCACTCATTGTGCTAGTCACAAATCAAGCGCGGAGCGAAAATTCAGACATGCGCCCTTTGCAGGGGCGTCTAAGGCTTCGTCACAAGATCCGGGGTTGACATTGAACTCAAGCGATCAACAGATTTTGCGCCCTGAAGGAGCATATCCGAAAGGGCATAAAATGACTCGACGTCCATCATCGCTTTCACTCGGACAGGTAAGTCAAAAACGTGACGTGACAGAACAACACGTCCCCCGGCAAATGCGACAGTTGGAAAGAGGCTGTAGTCACAAGACTGATATATGATGCCCTCGCCACAGGGTAAGCGTTGTATTTCGTTACACACTAATTTTTCTGTCCAAGAAACTCGAGAATATGACGATATCATCGCCCTCCACGAATACCCACAATGTTCAAGACATTACTGGTACCGAAGCAGCGTGTCATGCGCCAACAGCTATATTCAGTGCCAAACTTTCCCAAACAGTCGAGGTAGCTCCCGATTCAACATTACCTTCTCATCAGAAATTTCAGCTCCGAAATCACGGGGTTGTTCACAGCCAGGAGATTCATCACCAAGGACCAGCAGAGAAAACAGTGCTCACCAGAAATGGTAACTATCCAATACCCGTGTATGTCGAAGGTTTTCTGACACTATACAAGTCAACTATGACTCTTCTGAGCCAACTAAGAAACCAATCGACAAGTCGTCCGAAAGGGAAGCGAGTCGGGATTCCGCTGATAGGCGATCTGAGATAGGTAGCTGTGAGACCCAACAAGTTTATGTTCGAGATGTGGAAATCCGCGATCAAGATTCAGATGAGATCGAGCACACAGAACTGCCTTGTGAAGAGCACAGTCACACAAGGTTGTGTTTGTCTCATTCATCTTCAGCAGAGTCAGATGCGAGTTCGAACCCGAGCTCCTTTGAGGAAATATCCCCCATTACCGAAAGAAAGAAAAAGATTGTTCACAGTATTGTACACCAAATTACTCGATGGATGCAAAACCAGTTCGGAAAACACGGGAGTGGCGCTACTACAGAAGGCAGCGAAGCGTTTCCACTAGCAGATAGCACCCCAAGCAACAGTGGCAATACTAGGAACGAATCCACGCAGAAAAAAAGAAAGATCAACGATGATAAGGGTGAAGGGGGTGACAGAGATAGCACAGATGATGAAACAGGAATTTCAAAACCGGCAGGTACCAAAGGGAAAGGCATTGCGGTTTCAAAACTCGCTTGTCCCTACTACAAGTACAATACTTCCAAGTACGCTACTTGGCCACAATGCTGCGGCCCTGGTTGGGATACCGTGCACCGAGTGAAGTCAGTCCTCAAAGACCTATCGGATTTGTTTGTAACTGAAACGGTGTAGGGAGCACCTCTATCGCCGGCACCGGCAGCCGCGGTTTAGGTGTAAGCGCTGCTGGCAATCATTCTCGGATGATATGCAGTTGGAAAATCACCAACGGGCTGAGAACCCTTGTTCCCTACAGGAAGCCGAGCCGTGTGAGGGATTCGATGATTGTACAGAACTACTTCTGCGGAAACGCAAGAAGGGGACGAAGGAGGTGTCAGAGGTTGAGAAGTGGAGAGAGGTTTACACTATCTTGTTTCCGGATACCCCAAAAGATGAGATCCCTTTTCCCTGTGAGTCGTTGTCCCTGGAACTCAATGATGCGTGTATAAGTAACGGATGTGAAGACTATGAACAATGCGATGCCCACCGACCCCAGCCCATCTCCAACGATCTGGCACAATATGAGCAATTCTTGCTTCGCGAAACCCCTCCGCGGCTAAGAAGGTTCCTGGAGCATGAACTGGAAAACAATCTCAACATTATCGAGGAGAGCCTCAAGAGGAAGGTGATGGAATGCTTCAAGCATCTCCAAGTCGAGCTCCTGCGCGAGTTCAGGTTAACTCAGCCGATTGCAACATCTGAATCAGCCAATTCCTCCGAACAAGCACCCATTCAGGCGGATCGCGAAACAGGTATGGAGGCTTCTCCCAACGACAGCTGGCTCACCAACTTGGACTTCGACAATCTAGCATGGGCGGCAAATGAGGAACTAGACTTCGGCATCCTGGATCCTTTCGCTATGCTTGGGGACGCTGATTTCGCAGTCAACGGCGGAGGTTTGATTGAAGACATAATGGCCAATTCTGAGTCGAACGCGGAAAAGATTGCGCATGATTCCGGCTATGGGTCAACTGGCAGCTGAGGTCAATGTCAGCAATGCAACTGAGGAGTAAGCAAAGGTGGATATCTGAGTCCTTTCGTACGTCATGTGATTTACATTGGGCACTATCACTCCTTTCAAGTAAAGGACATGCTAAATGCTCTAATGTGACTAACACATGTATTGACACGGCGAGTTACGCATTTCTTTCAAATCGCCGGGTGTAAGTTACAGAATGGTAGAGGCAACTAAATATAAACAAATCCGAAAGGGTATAGCATCTAAGTAAGTATTTCCGCTAGTCATATGCTACTCGTACGCGAGGATCTTGGCAACTGCTGCTTCCGCGACAATCATAACCATTGCCTGAAGGTTGCCGGTGGGGAGGTCAGGGTGAATACTGGCATCGGAAATAAACTGGAGGGCTTGTTAGCAACTCAATTAAAACAATGAATACACAAACATTGTGTAAACATCATGAATCTCATCTATGTGTGTGCGTGTCCATGTAACAAAGAGGGGGAGCTTACCAGGTTGTCAATTCCGTAGACCTTGGTGTTCAGGTCCACAACTGACGTCCCATTCTTACGGCCGTCGTCAACGCCCATCTTCGCTGTGCCGGTGTAGTGGATTCCGTTTGTGAGAGTGTCAAGGATGGCACTCGTGTTAGTGTACGTCTGAAGCGTCAACCCCGTGGATGGTGCTGTGATGGCGTCTACCATCTGCTGAATGAAGAGCTCTGCGGCGTCCACATCACCATCGGTTTGGAGGTAGGGCGATTGTTCGAAGAAAGTGTTTCCATTCTCATCCATTCCCAAGACTCCAGTGGAAGTCAAGCCATGCGTCATGTACGCGGTGATGCTGAATACGCCAGTAACTGCTGGTGCGCAGGACCCCTGGTAATACCGCGTGATGCCATCGCTGCCGACATTTGACGTGAAGAAAATGGCACGGTGCTTTCCTTCAGTCAACACTCCCGAGTTTTGACGCTCGTACAAGTCGATCGAAGACGTGTCGGTACCGTTCAGAACGCTGGTAGCGTCGAGAGGGCCCCATGTACCGTTGGTCTTGACCTCGATGGAGAAGATGGGGTGGTCCATCAGGTTCGAGCCCACAGGTAATTCGACCCAGTCATTCTCAGGGGGCAGTGTCACGTTGGCCTTCTGGGCATTCAAAATCTGGGATCTAGGCCCAATACCGGAATTGAAAAGGATGCGCGGAGTAGACAAAGCACCAGAGGACAGAACCACTCTTCCGTCCTGGGCAAGTCTGATGATTTGGCGGCTGCCCGAAGCAGTCTCGACCTCGACGCCGGTGACCTGAGAACCTGACCGTACCAGGCGGATGACCTTTGTGCCAAGCTGAAGAGTGAAGTTCTCGCGCTGCTGGGCAAGAGGCAGGTAGGTGCGAACAGGTCCTGCGCGCTTCTCGTCCTGGATGTTCCACGCCGGATGACTGTAAACCTGGAATTTCTCGTTCGGTTGGTCGATCATGTCCACAGAGCTCCAGCCAAGGTTGTCGAAGAAGTTGGACAAGACTGAGTACAGTCCGTCGTCGTAGTGCTTGCCATCGGCGGATGGTAGAGTCGAGCCTGGGTTCCGCTCGTACAGTCTATCGGCAGCAGACGCAACATCCTCCCACTGCCAACCTTGCGGCCAATTTTCGAAATCGCGCTCCGGAGGGTGCACGAAAACCATGTAATTCACCGTAACGCCGCCACCCAGCACACAGGCTGCGTAAGACGGCGTGTCTTGGCAAATATACTCTTTCCATACGTCAAGCGAAGCAATGCCTGCGGACAAGCCGGGAATGTCGATTTCAGTGAGGGTGTCGTTCCAGCTGAGAGTGTGATTGGAGCCTGTAGCAACGGTAGGTCCATATCCTCGTTCAATCAATAACACTTTCTTCTGGGCTTCGGCGAGCCTCTCAGCAGTGATGATGCCGGAAGGGCCACCACCCACAACAATGTAGTCGTAAAGCTGTTCCTGGCAGGAAGCAGACACGCCCAAGGCCAGGCCCAGGCCCGCCAGGCCCTCAAGTAGAGAGCGTCGCATGGTGAACGAATGAATGCCTAAAGATCTGGACCCTTGAGTTGACTGGGCAGCACTGAATGGAGTGCCAAAATCTTACGGTACCCCGTCTTGATAGTTGCGAGACACCCATGGCTACTTAAGCGACTGGCGACGTTCGTCATCGCTTGTGACAAATACTTACAAACTTCCCTGGCATGCTTGTTTATCACCAATTTCCGAGTGTGCTCCGTCCAGAAACCCACCTGAAGGCCTGCCAGGTTTTCGCGTTGCAGTCAGTAATCGGCATCTAAACCTTCGAACTTGGATACTCCTTGCTCTTTTCAACGACTAGCTTCGCGCTAATCTTCACCAAAGTCCCGAGAACTCTGGGCTTAGTCATAGCATCAATCTGATAATGAGGCCCATTTGGATGTCGCCAAGTCGCGAAAACGTTTAAGGCGGGAAGCCGGTTAACAGTGGGGTTTGGCTTCGGCACCTGCGTCAAATTTTCTCCTTTCGCTGCCCCTTACTGACTCGTCTGCTTGGCCGATGAGCGATTTGATAGATTATTAACGTCTTACACATCACTCCAGCGGCTGACAAACTAACTACTTGACTACCGTGAAGGCCGTTTGTTGAGAGCCAACTGGGGCTTAACGGTTGTCATTTTGATATCCACGCCTCGCCCCCGATAAAGTGTTTCAGCCGACAACCGACACCCGGGTTAGCGCTTTTAAACCTTGGCTGTATCCTTGGCTTCGCCAAAGCCTCATGGCGTCATGGGCTGAAAAGCGAGGCGAGAAGTTTCGAGGTTTCCCAGGGTCGCGTTCCCATAGAGATTCAACCACTTTGTACTATGGCTATGCCATAGGCCATGCATTCGGACTGTCACTTGTTCAGCTCAATTCATATAGAGCCATCCTGGGCGCTCTACTAACAGACATCGACATCTCACCTACTGCCTTACAATTCGTGACACCAGGTACATAACGAGCTTCATACAAATGGAGAATGTACAGTATCTGAGAATATGCCGATAAGAGCGGGTAAAGTCTTAACCTTGCATTATCATGTTACTACCACCCCACCATGCCCCTACTAGTATTTATAATATGTAACAGTGTTTCTCATTCCACTCATTCATTGCCTTTGCGCCTTCATTTCGTAGAACTCGTTGACCCATTCCGTGAACTGGGCTATCTCAGCAGCCTGGGCAGCCGCAATCGGAGGATGGACCGCATTGTTTAGCAAAAGGTCATTGCAGTGACGGCTTCCCTCGATGATGATGGAGGGAACGTCTGCGGTGCCGTTGAAAAGGCCGCCGGGTCGGAATTCGGAGACCACAGAAGCAGACCGCCAAGGGTCAAATTCGCCATTAGCGTAAAAGAGACGGCTTGTGTGCGTGTTGTACCAGCCATCAGTCCGCTTGTTCACGTAATCCTCTGTAACTCCGCGGTTGCTGGCGAATGTGTAGCGCCCTTCACGCGGAAACCACAAGCTGCACTGACGTTGGTAGTACTCGGCCGTAGCGAGACGCGTCATCACAGTTGGTATGTTCTTTGGCGCACCGCTAGTATTGGCCACCATCAGTATCATGGTCCACAGCTGCTGTTGGAATTTTCTTTCTGGGCAGAGGGGAAGCAAAGTATACGTACGTTTGCCAGTAGAAGAACGGTTCGTTGCACGTCATCCAGATCCATGGCCGGTCGACAGCGCTATCTGCCGTCCAATCTCGGAAGACTTCCATCGATGTATTGTACGAATCAAAGCATTGCACGTTGTTCTCCCCGGACCAGTCTTTGTAGCCATACGAGTCGCAGTCTTGGATATTTGGATTAGTTGCAGCACTGTAGCTCTGGACAAGAAAACTTACAGCCAGGTAAATAAGCTGAAGTAAACCAAGCAGCGAAGTTGGGCAGTGCCTGACTCAAACCAACACCAGTCTCGGTCTGTGCGCCCCCTTCTATGGCATCGCACATTTGGTAAAATGTTGAATAGCCAGAGTAAAGTTGGATGCTCTGCCAGGCCCAGATTGGGGAGGAGATAGCGACAGCAGCATCGTCATCATGCTCCAAGTCCTCGAGAGCAAACATCTTCTTGAGCGCAATCTTGTCTTCGTCCGAGCCATTCACGAAGACGTTGTCCACGTGGTCGATAATAGCTTCGTAGTCGACACTACAGTTCTTTGGCATGCCCTGGTCACGTTGAGTGAGATTCCAGTATCATGGCTCTGTACCAACTTACCTGCTGGATGGGGTAGTAATACTCCCAAAAGTCATAGACGGCCTGGACCGGGCCACTTGTCGAGTGGTAAGCCCAAAAGGTTCCTGGGGATAGCTGGGGGTTGAAGTCAGTTCAACTCTTTGCATTTGAAGATCGGGATATGTTAAACCCACCTTATCAACCCAAGCTGCCAAGGCTCCAGAATAAGATCCGCCGACCCATACCCAGGGCTGTTGTATTGTTAGTGACTCAATTCAGCCTAGCGGAGCCATGATCTTGAACATACAGCATGCTCAGCATTCGTTTGCCCGCTAGTATCAAATGGCAAAGAAACGTTCAGAGCGAATTGTACAAAATCGTCCACAGCTTGCTGCAGCGTCAGGTACTGCAGATGGGCTGTCGTCTGATTTGGGTAAGGGTTAGAAGTTCCCCAATATCGGTCTAATAATATCAGGTCAGTCTCTGTTGGTTGTTTCCCGCAAACTAGATATCATCAACTCACGCTCCACTAAGATGGTTGCGCCGCCCACTGCTTTCCCGATCATTCCAGGCAGAGTACGTTCCGTCAGGTAACCTGTGTACGGCGCAGCAGCGGACTCTCCCGGGGTGAATAGAATAATCTAAATAATATGTAAGCTTGTGAATATCATAATAATCCTCCCGACGCACCGGAGACCCAGGCCCTTCCCAATTTGTAGCATTGTACCAATACGACAAGGAGAACGACCCCAACGACGGGTTCTTATGATCAATCGGCACGGTAAAGGTCCCATTTCCAACGAGGCTGACCTCAGGGTCAAGGAGTTGAGCCATCTCAACCTCGGTCAGACTCATTGGAGGCATCTGCCCCGTAGGGGGAAACACTCCCAGGACACCTTCGAGCCATGCTAGGCCCACCAGAGCACTATACAACGTTGGCCTCATGGCGAAGGATTTGAATGAATCGAGCACCAAGGAAGAGTTGAGATTAAGGCTTGGCTGGTGCCGGGGTACTTTGTCTATTTATCTCTCAGATTGCCCCCGCCTCAGGCTCCAGACTCAATGACCGCACATCGTCATAACGCGCATTAAGACCCAGGTCATACCTAAGAGAGACACGAGATGCAAGGTCCCTAGCTAGCGCCGGCGACTGGCAAGTCTGTCGTCTCTGAGCGTATGCAACGTTCGACACTGGTATCATGGTGAGAAAACAGAATTCGATAACGAAAATATTGAAGTCTTGCATGCATTCAGTTGGACTTAATTGGCTGGTGGAAGGTGACATTGGGACGTTGATCTCTGCTAAGCTCAGCTAGGAAGGTGGTGAGAATGAGGGTCGGGGTCTGAGGGTCTCGTGCGGAAATTGTTTGCTGTACCCAGGCATGTCCGAGTCGCCGCGGTTCGCACCAGTGGACACCACAGGAGAAGCACAAAGAACAGCTCTATACCGGTCGTGCAGCCCTCCAACCACTATTATTGGGAAGTTTGTGCATGCGGGTGGTCCGCTGCCCGCAGCTTACCGCAGTCATGCGGCCTTCCGGTATCCCACCCGGACCGGGCCAGGCGGGAAAGAAAGGGTCAATACCTCTTTCAAAAGTGCCTGTCCCGTGTTCACACACACCATCACCCGAATTATACGCACTGCTTTCACTGTCATGTGGTCAGACTCCCACAGATAACAGCGTTGTATACAGAATAATCCAAGATGAGCTATCGAGATGGGTACATGGCTACCTAGATGAGTAGAACATGATGATCTCTGGCGCCGTAGTATGTACATCACAGGCATTGTATATCCACGGCCAGCACAAACTGATAGATCATCATGTTGTTGAGAAGCTATAAAGTCTTTCAATAATTGCTATAGTTTAGCCCGATGAAAATGCATGCGTCATTTAGTGCAAGTTAATCCATTAGTTTAGAGCTGGCTATAGTATTGTACCGCGCGGCGCTGGACGTGGCTACGCTGATTCCCATAGATGTATAATCAGCGATATACCACTCAGCGGGCTGACTAAAGGACGTAATTGTAATACCCGTACGCACTACAAACATGTGCAGGAGTACTGTGTGAAAGAGCATGTAGGAAGGATTCTATAGCGGCCCAGTTAATATAACACACTGATTGGATGATAGTAACACGCGAAGGATCATTCGGTACGAAAAAGGAAATAAGCTAAGAAAAAAGTAATGATATACGTGACAGAGGATAAGTGGTCGGACTTATAGGAATCTGGCATGGACAGGGATGGTTAAAATGCAAGCTGCAACATTTCAGGAAATCGGCATTCTTTATCGGTGCAGTTCGTGTCACTGAGGTTCCTAACACATCAACCCCGTCGCCTTAAAAACCCTCATTTCTGGCGTGTTAGACACCAATGTCGCAAGTTGGAGCCTTTCCTGCGCATCAAAATTGAGGGCTGTAGTATCCTTCACCATGGCCTACGGCAGACTCAAGTAAAGGCGTAAACAGTCCTAACCGTAGAAGGCTCCCCGATATAATGCTTCATACAGTAGACCCAGCGACCTTGAGGCCATACACGTGGTAATTCTCAGTAGGTGGACGCTCTGGGCGTTGTCCAATTCCAGGGGGCACACTGTCCTCTGTTATTTGACTTTTCAGGGAGGCATCGCTTTGGTCAAAATGGTCGCCTGTCTAGAACTCATGAAACGCGAGCTCTGCGATGATAAAACAGAAAAAGGAAGCAAAAAAGCGTCGCAAACTAGGCCACAAGTGAATCGCCCTGGGAGCTCGCTCCGGATACTCGACTAGAGCAGCGGTCCAAGTTGACCTGCAGTTTGACCACTCTCGGTTCCATATAACCAGGATAAAGGGCATCTGAATGCATATAGATGTGTTCGTCGCAAGCAACGAGTCACTTGAAGGTTTGAGGCATACTTGTGCCCGCTACAGTCCAGGATCAAATTTTGGAATGTGAGTTTTCCAGGTTCAACTCCTCGACGCCACAATATACAGAGCAGTGTGTACAAAATATACATGACCAGCCAGCTATCTTCCGATTATTTTGAGTGAAGATCATCCTCGTCATCGCATCTATCCTAAATAGCTTCCTCTCGCCATTCCCTGAACGTATCGTACACTTTGGCCTGCTGGTCCTCCCGCGTAGGTGGCCGAGAGGCCACAAGGAGTAGCAGCGACCAGCAGTATTAATGATAGCGGCCCTGTGCCCGTTTCGGTATTTCCAAATCGGCCACACTCTCGCGCACCGTCTGGCCCTTCTTGTACTCCTCCTCCAGGGCTTTCTGCATCTCGAAGTCGAGCTGGCGCTCCTTCTTGATCCGCTGCTGCTCCATGTCACGGATGACACCTTGGTGCATTGCCTAGGGGCCAGTCAGTCATCGTGAGATTGCAGCAGTGGAATAGAACAGAGAATATGAATGGACAGGGTTGACATGGTATCACGGGGGAAGAGTGGGAGAGGAGGTATGAGGCAAGTCAGGCAGTCAGTTAGGCGGTGTTGACCGCTCCTTGGGGATCATGAGTCGAAAGAGTGTGAGATTGATGGGGGGGATGTACCTGCTGTTCAAACTTCTGCTGGAAATGTACAAAGACGACGGTGGTAACGGCAAAGAGCGAGGTGCCCAGCAGGGTGAGTTTGGAGGCCCGCGACATGGTGTACCACGGGCGCCTGGGCCAGGTATGCAATGGTGTGAGAGGAGGCGACTCTGGTGCTATGATCCCATAGCACGGGGCAGAAATGGCCAGGCGTTCGAAGGCTGCGAGCGGGTTCCGTTGCGCGGCTGTCGCATTCGCAAATCGCAAATCACACGATGCGAAAGTCGGATTCGATGCAATTGGCGCCGAGCGAGCTTTTGGACCCCTGTGCCTGCAGATTGACGTCGTTCGGCTATCGATAGTGAGCACCACCACCACCCCCAGACCACTGCACGGCGGCTTCAGGCGCCCCCCCAGGTGGGCAACTAGGTGCCTAAGGTTACCTAACCAACCGCTAACAGCACTGGACTTCTGGCGTGGCCGGCCCGGGCTAGGAGGCTGCCAGGCCACCCACCAGCTGCCGGCCAGCCTGCCAAGCCCCCCGAGCCCCCCGGCCAACGGCGACATCATGCCCATGAGGCCTGTAGGACGACAGCTCCCGATAGAGCTACCTTGACATATCCCGTCCACATCGCCTACGTACATCAGACGCATCCCCTCCTCCCACCTTGGAATCTATTGCGCCGCCGAGGGCACCGCATTCACCCCGACAGACTTCCCCCGATTCTGCTCACTGTCACAAGTCACCATGGTACGGCGCGCCCGCTGCATGCTGAGCTGACCCCCCAGCCCCAAGGCCCTCGTCGTTGTTTGGGAAGCTAACCATGGTATCTCTCGCAGTCGGCCCAGAACTCCCAGGGTATCCAGACCCTCCTCGATGTACGCCCGCTCCCGCAGACTACGAGTGCTCACGAAATCACAAGCTAACTTGGTGCCCGGGATGACAGGCCGAGAGAGACGCATCCAAGATCGTCCAGAAAGGTGCGTCGATGCGCTGCTGCCCTGTTGGCGTTGGTGAATACTAGCATCGCCAAAATTCGCCTTGCCCTTGGCTTCTCTTGCTTCGGGCCCCCCTTCATCTCCTACATTCCTCCCTGGGTACTTGACCACCGGCGAAGCTGACTCTTCCCATCGTCCAGCCCGCGAATACCGAACCAAGCGCGTGCGCGAGGCCCGCGACGAGGCCAAGAAGGAGATCGAGGCCTACCGGCAGCAGAAGGAGGACGAGTTCAAGAAGTTCGAGTCGGAGCACGCCGCCGGCAACAAGACGGCCGAGGACGAGGCCAACAAGGAGGCCGACGCCAAGATCGCCGAGATCAAGGGCGCCGGCAAGAAGGGCCAGGACAAGGTCGTCGCCGAGCTGCTGAAGGCCGTCTTCGAGATCAAGCCCGTCCCACCAACGGCTGCGTAAGCGGGCCCGCTGCAGGCGCAGACGCCGATATCTAGACGGGGAAGGTCATGAAATACTGTTTTATTGACACTGCAAGCGCTTCGCCGGCCAGCGCATCAGTCGAAGTCGCGTTGTGAGGGGTCAAGAGAGGCAATATGTGTCGATGGCAGCATGGAGCATTGGGAGGCGGCCACGGAGGGCCCATCGTGTGACGTCGGTATAGAGAGACTATAAGATCGGGCCACCGTGGAGCTGTATAAAGATGGCTGGCCGAGATGGCACGGGAAGACATATCAAGTTGCCCGGCGGCCGAGTCCATGAATTGATTTTCACCTTTTTGTCTTTGTTTCTTTTACAAGCTACTTCTATAACCCCGGACCCCGCTATTGCAGGAACTGGGCCAGCGTCGTGAGCATGTCCCGGGTATCTTTGGTGTCCTGGTTCTCCCCGTCCATCCCCTCCATCTGCTCCTCGATCGTCTGCTTGACCACGGCCAGCGTCTCGTCCTGCTCGGCGAGGAGGCCCTTGATCTTGTTCCTCGCGCCGCCGTCCTCGGCCGCCAGCCAGGCCAGCACCACGTCGATCGTCTGCAGGGAGAAGAGGCCAGCGTCTAGCCGTCGGGAGAACCACTCGTCCGCCATCTCGTCCTTCTCCTCGGCGCTCATCCGCGCCTGTTCGGCTCGTATCGACCCGTCGACGCTGGAGACTCTGGACGCATAGTCGCGCCGTAGCCTGACCAGCTTCACCGTCTTCTCGTAGTCCTTCTCCACAAACTTGGCCAGCGTCCGTATCCGCTCCGCCGAGTTGGCGGGCAGCAACCGCAGCATCGAACTGAAGATGCTGATCAGGTGTTCTGACGTCTGGCCGTCGTTATTCTTCTTCATGAACAGGGTAAACATGCTCTTCAGACCTCCGGCCTCGACCATCTTGGTGCAGACCTCGGCCCCGGACGGCCCACCGGTGGCATGGTCCAGGAGTCTCAGGGACGCCATCTTGCTCAGCTTGCCCTCCTTCAGCATGAGCAAGCAGAGCTCCACGCCCTCGGCCTCGACGAACTTGGTCTTGCCCTCGGGCTCGTCCGCGATGCACGTGAGGGCTTCGAACAGGTTTTCCATGTACTCCTCCTCCTCGGCGCCCTTCTCCGGGTCGCGCCTGCGGTACGGCGCGATCAGCTGTAGCATGATGTCCACAGCGTCCAGCCCGGCCAGTCTCGCTCGGTTCTTGGCGCTGGACTGCACGAGAATGGCCAGGATCTCAGCCGCATACTGTTTGTTCTGGCCAACAGGACTCTCCGTGGCCTGTATCCTCCGTAACAGCCAGTTGACGAGGCTCTCCTGAGCGCATATCCTCTCGGCCGTTGCCGTCCTTGAGCACAGGTTTTCACAGATGTTGAGCGCGTGGTAGATCCCATTCCGATCCACCTCCTCCTTCTCATCCAGCCTCTCCAGGTTGCTCAGAAGCAGGCCGAGCAGGTCCACTTCCAGGGCGGCGTCGATCAGCGCCCCCCACTGAGCATCCTCGGCCGGTACGTCCTCGTCGGTGAGCTCGTTCAGAATCTCCAGCACATCGATCGCAATGTCTGAGTTTTCGTGCGCCAGCAGTCCCACCAGGCTACCCACACAGCCCAGACGCGCAAATTCGGGGTACAGGTCGGGGTGCTCGGCCAGGATGCTCAGGGCCTTGATGTCGGCGTCTAGGTCGGCCTCGCTCTGTATGAACTTGGACGGGTCGTCCTCAAACTTGGCACGCTGCTCGGCGTTCTTGGAGATGCGCTTCTCAAAGTTGAGAGCCGTCCGCCGCAGCCACGGCACGTCGATCTTCTCCTCCTTGAAGTTCAGTTGTCCATCTGCATCGTCTACGTAGTCTAGGATCTCGCGCTGCTGGGCGCTGATACCGCCGCCGAAGAAGCGGCCCTCCTCGTCCTCTGCGCCGTCGTCTTCATCCTCGGGGGGCAGCGAGGGCCCGTAGTCGCCGCCGTCGTCGTCGCCTTCGTCGGGGGGTGCAGCCGGCCCGGCCTCGATGACTGCATCATCCTGCGACGGCTCGTCGTCAACGCGGGCCTGGCGACTCGATTGGCTGCCGTTGAGACGGGCAGATTTGTAGATCTCGTCTGGGAGCGCGCGGAGCTGTGGTCAGTGGGCTTCTGTGCGTGCGAGGCTGACGGTGACTTACTGGGATCCCGCAGAGGGTCGAGCTTGCGTTTGTTGCCAACACCCTGGGCTTTTGTGAGCAATGAATGGGTCAGAAACTTCGATGTGAGTTCAAACTACCTTGAAGAGCTCGTCTATGCTGGTCATTGCGATATCTGTTGCGGCAATGGGGGACACCAGGTGAACTTGCGATGAGGCTGAAATGTCATGAAAGCCGACCGAGCTCGCGACAGAGCTCTGGGTCTGGGGGCTCTGGAACTCCTAGAACACAGTTAGCAATACAGTTGACAAACAGTGCATGAGCGGGATTCGTGCCCAACTTCCGGGCCTTGCTACAGTGTGAGATTGCTACCAGGTACCCAGATCCCGGGGACTAGTGGCCTTCGTCAACGAATCACGGGTCAGTCGCCTAGTCAGGCAAGTAATACATCAATTGCTCGGCGCATGAATCGGGCCCGTCCTCGAGGCTGGAGAATTTCTGTAGAGTGAATGATTGCTGCATGGTATATTCACGTTGAGCTTTCGATTTTTGGTCTGTTTCGGTATCTTTCTAAAACGATAGACGCATTCTGCATAGACAGCAACGACAGCGTTCCATCATGCCACCTACGCTCATCCTCATCCGCCATGCCCAGGCGCTACACAACGTCGAACGCAAGTGCCTCATCTACCATGGCAAGCCGGTGACTGACTCCCAGCAGAGGACTACAGCATCCATGACCCGGATCTCTCCGAGTTGGGCTTCAACCAGCTGAAGGCGCTCAGGGAAAACCTGATGCAGCACCCAGTCGCCCAGGATGCCGGCCTCATCGTCACCAGCCCCATGAGAAGGACCATCCAGACCTCGCTGGGCTCGCTGGATTGGCTGATCAAGAAGGGAATCAAAATCGAGGCCGATGCAAGCTGGCAAGGTACGTGAGAGGGATGTGAGGGAAGCGAGTCGCGACTGTTCGAATTTGGCGTGACCTGGCCTGGTGTCACGTTCCACCTTGGTTCAGAGGTTGCGGGCCCTCGTCCAGGTCCCAGTGCCAGGAACTACTACATTGCGGATGCTTTTCTAAGCAACGAAACACCGCTCTCTTGTAGCACGCTGGTTTTCGTACCAAATACAATCAGCACGATACTGACCTTGGACTCAGAAAATTCGGCCAAACCTTGCGACACAGGAACCCCAGCTCCTGCGTTGGGTGCTGAGTTTCCAGGGGTCGACTTGTCAACCCTGAACCCTGTGTATCCCGACAAGATCACACCGGCTGGTGCGCACTATGCGTACAATAAGAAGGCGCTTCTGGCACGCGGTCAAGCCGCGTTGAAGAAGCTCTACAGCCGTCCGGAGAAGGTCATCGTCGTCGTATCACACTCGGGGTTCTTGAGGCTATGCGTCACTGGCTGTTGGTACTTCAACTCAGATTATCGCATCTTCGAGTTCGAGCCACGGCAGAAAGACGATGAGCCATATCGCTTGAAACAGAGCCTCGAGACCTTGGAGAGAGGAGGTGGCCTGGGGCTAAGCTTCAAGGATCCTGTCGTCTTGGGTAGTGACTTGCCTGACGAAGATAAGACCTTGAACGGAAAGGCAGCATAAAGTAGACTCGCTATCTTAGACCATATAAAGCAAATTTTCTGCGAAACGCCACATTTCCAATTTGGTCCGCCGATTCGTGATCTCTCTTGTGCGTGGTAAGGCCACTTGCCGGATCCCTCCTCGTCGAGGAAAGAAATTCAAAGTGTACCCAAAGAAGACCACTGCTATTTTTGGGGCTGTGATATAACTACTGCGACTATTATCCTCGTTGATTGGTATGCCATCCGTACCATTTTAGATTGACTACATGCTAGAAGGGTAACCACGGTGGAGCCAGTGTTTCCTTTCTATCTCCATAGGTAGCTTGACAGATATTGATGATCAAATAGGCACAGTACTGTTGAAGCTGATACATGGCCCAAGGATTGTCGATGACATCGAGCTTGTTGTGTTCGTCACCGCGGCTCCCAACGCGCTCGTACCACATTTCAGTCCGAGGACAAAGGACTTTGCCATGATGTCCGCCATATATGCCGAAGTATGGGTATGGTCGTTCGGATAATTGGCATTCACGACCGTGGTGCCAAGATTCTTCATGGCTTGGGCGGCGTAGTAGCCATGAGGGACGTGATAAACACCCTTGGCAGTCCCTCCTGCAACCACTGCAGCGTACCTGTAGGCGCCTGTCAGCTATGTTGGCGGCATCTTGCCTGAGACAGGAGATTACCAGGCATAGTAGTCAAAGCGCGAGGGCCCCCAGCTGCAACTGCCGCTCTCACAGATGTTGTTAGGAGTCGCAGAGCTCATGATAACTTTGGCCCCCTTTCCCAGAAACATAGCTGCTGCTTTCTCGTAATAAGCTGGATAAGTGAGCACTGTCTCAGCAACACCATTGTACGTTGTCGAGCACGTCTGAGTTCCTTCGCCGAAGCAGTCTGAGCGCCCATTATCAGTAGGCGTTAGACTTCCGCCGTCATTATGTCCGAACTCAATCACAACCCAATCCCCGGACTTCAGCTTATCCGCGACAGCTTGGAATCGCCCTTCCCGCGTGAAAGAGCGCGCGCTCCGTCCTGCGATAGCATTGTTTTCCACTGCGAAATTGCTCTTGTTGAAAGAATATTGGAGAAACTGACCCCAACCTTCAGTCGACGATCCACCGCCTGTTTTGGCCATTGTCGAGTCACCACACAAATATACGGTTGCCGCTTCTGCATGATGAGCCCCAATAGCCGCCAACGCTACCGCCAGTATAGACCGCATGGCGGTTAGCGAAGCTTCAATGTTATTTACCGCGTTTGAAATCAATTTCAGATATCCAGTATCGCAGCCTGGCCGCCTTGACGACACGCTGATGACACAAGACTTATATTTGGCCACTTTAGTCGCCGCTAAGGTTGAATGAACGACGACGTGGAGGCTACCTTCCGGGAGATCTCGCCTGCATCTGCGGCCGTACGCAGGTAAACTCTGCGAAATTCCCGGGTGTACCTCAATAATGATTAATGGCAGAGTCGAATAAATAAAAGGCGGCGGATCTTCTTTGTCCCCGTGCACTAGGATTGGTGAGAACGGAACACTGGATACCCGAAAGGGCAATGCGGCGACCCTGCTCCAGCACTGCATCCCGGGAAAATTGCCGCCAAGAGAACGATAAATCCCAACCAGTTCTTCCAGTTCTTCATACGGCTCCATGCCTGCTTCAGGTCGGGAGCGAACTTGTGATAACGATATGAGTGCACAGCCCGCGTGAAAATTGGGCACTACAAGCCAACCGTACGCCTCTCTTTGATTCGCAATTACTTAGGCGGCCTCCCTAACACGATAAGCAAAATTCATGACCTGAAACATTGAATTTTAAAACAGTGTCAAATTGACGAGTTGCTAGTAAGATGCTCAAAAGAAGAAGAAGAGAAAAAAGAAAGGAAAAAGAAAAAGAGAAAAAAAAAGGGAAAGGTGGTGACAATGCCCTTGGGTTGGCCATCCCTGGTGATCTTGGATTGCTGAACGCCACTGGTTTATATGGCGTCTTGTAAACTCTGCTTTCACATTCAATTATAACCACTACAGTATTTACGAAGGCGACTCTTTCTGTAAATACATTGAGGAAAATCACACCTCTCGGAGATCTAGTTAGCTGAACCCTGTTGCCGTTGTCTTCACCCAGTAATTTCAAACCAGTGTGACTGTGCACAGACACATTAAAACTACACCCAGGACCAGTGAATCAAGTCGATGTGATACAGATACGTATATATAAAAGGCTGACCCTATAAGCGAGTTTTGTTTAGGAATCACATTAAAGATTACCAGCCAGCCTTGAATTTTCATGTTTCATATGTCCAGCTGTTTGTAATATCTCAGTCTCACAATCGAGGCCATAATTTATTTTTTGTACTTCTCTCACCACGGGAGCCGCGGTCGACAAGCTCCTCTCTGTCTCTCGCCCTTCCCTAAGCATATACCAGTCTCGGGACCTCAAAATTGGCCGAATGGAACCGCTTAGGGTAATGACCGACTTTACCGGTGAAAATACTAACCCTCACGACTTACTCGCATCCGCAAGAAATTCATTTCTTACCTGCACCAAAGAAAAAAATAAAAATAAAATAATCATCAAGCAAGGCGCCGATACTTGGAGCTATCGAGATATTTTGGGCCTTTTAATGCCTTCAGGTGGTTGCGACCTCTAGACTGGGGCGCATTTAGGTTGGCGGTGTTGGGTGAGCACCTTAATAAGAATGGCAACCCAATGGAGAGCTTTGCGGCCTACTTCGCCGTGAGCGCAGTGGCTACTACATGGGCTATCGAGATCGTAGCAAATTTGATTATTCAACACCGGTAAACTTGAACTTTTCTTCCTACGCTAGGATTTACCTTCTGACAAAACGCTGAATTGGAGCATTTCAGCCATGAATAGGGCTCTCGCGACAATACAAGAACGAGCACTCCTATCCAAAGCCAGAAGACGGTAGGCCGCTACAGCGCATACAGTAACTTATGAGAAGCTGCTATGGTAAGAAGAAATGCACAGGGGAAAATCATTAAGGCCCATGATGTTCATCGTAGTCAGGTGATACGGACTCTTTTTGCACGGCATGCACTGCCGCGGCCGGGTAGATTGGACGTTGTATAGCACCAAGGGCGTCGGATCACGAGTTACGGCGTATTACTATGTCACGGGGACTACGTTGAGGAAGACCTTCATATACATTGCCGCATGACGTCGGGGCTGCAGAGCCGCCTGTATTTATTCGAGACAAGGACATGTCATAGGCGGGATGTAAAACCTAGCACACGATGCCAGTTTTATTCAAACAGCATTAAGAACGGAGGTCGTTATATCACGAATCAAAAGCAGTTAGGTGCCAAGACTCAAAAAGTGGGATTAGTCTTTAAACGACTAAACAATAAGTATATATATAGAACGCAATTTGTTCTTTTAGCATCTTGTGGATGCTACTGTGACTTACGTCACCACTCAGGTAAAATAGCCGGGTTGGAAACAACATGGTCTCCCAGCATACGCAACTGCCGCTCTGGCAGATTGCAAGAAAAGAACAATGAGGTATCTTGTCAAAAAAGAAGTGTCTGTGACCCAGAAAACGCCGTCCCATATTTTGCATCCTAGATGCCGCTCTATATCCAATAAATGTTTTGTCGTAACTCGTGCACTGAGTCTAGAGAAGGATAGGAATCTATGACGAGTAGATTCCGACGTATGCGACCTCCATCATGCTGCCGTAGCCGTCCAAGGTAGCAGCGTCAGGCTGGCCTGGCCAGTTACCCTGATATATAGTTAGCAAGATGAGGCAGTGAGGAGTATACGAGGAAGTGCTTACACCAACGGCAACATTCAGGAGCACGTATAGAGGGCTATGCGCCAGTGTTGCCCACGTTCCTTGGTCACCAATGTCGGAACCCGTGAGGGTGTTGAAAGTGGCGCCATTGAGCTGCCACTGGATGGTCTGCTGAGTCCAGTCGGAGTTGGTGAGGTCAATTCTAACTCCCCACGTGTTGAAGCCCTCGGTTGGCAGCGCGACCGTGGAGGCCCTTCCGTTTGGCTCGTTGCAAGGGCCACCGGGGTTGGAGCCGCAGTGAACGGTGCCGTAGGCGGTCGGGGCTCCGTTGACCTGCTCGAAAATGTCGATCTCGCCAGCCAGGGGCCACTCTGTCCCGTGACGCATCGCATCGCCCAGGGCCCAGAAAGCAGGCCACAGGCCCTGCTTGTTGGCTTGGGCGTTGTTACCCAGGAGGAGGCTTGCTTGAATCAGCATCACCTTGCCGGGTGCGGGAGTCCAAGAGCCCTTTGTCTCGATACGTCCCGAAGTCCAAACTCCCGTGGTGCCCTTCCGAGGGATAAACTGAATAGTCTGACCGCCGCTGATCTGCAGATTGTTGTTGGATGTGGTGTAAGTCTGGGCTTCGTTGTTGGTGTTGATTGCCTGGGCTATGTCCCACAAGTCCGCGTTCGGTGGGGATCCAGCACTACCCGCAAAGTCGTCGGAAAACAAGAGGTTGAAGCCATCGATTCTAGGGGCTGCAATACCCGCGACCAGAGCCGGGAGCAGAGGAAGGAGCGTGCTTGGCTGGAAACGCATTTTGGAAAGCCAAGTCTTCGGGTATATGGTATAAGGTTGATGTCTGGTCTAAGGTGAAAAGCGATCTTGCGTCTGAACAGGCAAGCAGAGAATGGATATCAGTTGATGGATGGTGCACAGCAAGCCCGACTAGCAGGAGGCAAGTTGATATATGTCGAAAAGAAGGACGGAAGTTGAATGGTTGGCCAATGAGTGGCTTTCTGAAGGTAAAAGAATGTGAGGCTCGGCAAGCAAGACGCGGAAGAAGAGAAATAAAAAAAACAAGATATTCAGAGTAGACACGGCAAGATCAAGAAGTTGTACCTCTACGCGGAGCGCACATCTCTCAATATAAATGGTCCTGATCCGGCATTGAGAAGGCAAATACCCTGGACAGGAAGAGTATCCACCATAGAACAGGGGTCCATGATTACCGGGTGGGATAACAGGGGCCAGCATAGTTGGTCCAGAAATGCCCCGAATAGGAAACGATCAAAAGCAGCGACCAAGCCAAAGCGACGCCAGCAAATCACCAGCTCGGGGCGGGTAGGTAATGTGGAAACGCAAGGGTGAAACTTCTCGGGAGCATTTGCTCGACTGGGAGCAAGGGGGCTCAAAGTGTGGATGGGTGGGCGGTGCTGGAGCTCCTGAATTCATATGAAGGGTGCTAAGAGACAAGGGCGCTTGTCTTGGACGGTCCCAGCAGCGAGCCGAAAGCGGAATGGCGCACGTCTTGCCACGACGAAGAGAGAGGCGTCTATGCATCTGAATGGTCCATGCAAGGAAACGAGCTGGTTCTCCTGAGAAGCCCGGCCCAGAGCTCGGCTGTGCTGGGCACCTGGGCATGAATTCAGGTAGAGTAGATAAGACATGATGCATAGGCCCAGAAGCAACGCACTGAAGAACATCCATCCACATGCATTGCCTGTATCTCACGGTATAAGCGGTGGGTGGCATCGATGAAGTCGTGGCGAGCACTCGCTCTGCAGACACGCTCGCGAAAGCAATATTACCCGCCCCAACAAAAAAAAAAAAAAAAAACAGTCGAGAGGCACACTGCGACAACCGTCGAAGCTGTTTTCTACAGAGGCGGCGAGGCCGATTTGTTGTGTTGCATGTGATGGCGATGTGTGGTGAAAGATGGGACGAAGGCGTGGAGGGGCTATCCATAGACTTCTTAGTTAGGTAGCGTACTAGAGAAGGGTGGAGGACGTTTGGACGTCTCACAGCAGGACTGCACAGCAGACCACCTACCTGTAGGCGGTACCTGAGTTAGGTAAGTTAGCGATTAGCTTTGGTACCTGCGTCCGCGGCCAGCCAACCCACCCCCATGTGGCTAATTGATTGATCTCCCACATGGGTCGCGAACACCCCGCGAGTCCGCCGCCCCCTCTAATGTCACCGACCTTGCACGCAATTTGACAAGATTCAAGCGCATCTTATCGTGTTCACGGCCCCACCAACACAACATGTCCGTTCACGAGGAGGCAACCGATGCCCCCAAAAAACCCCTCCATGGCTGGTTACATGACATCTCTGTGTCTAAAGTAGCAAACTGTCGGGGAGACGCCCAGTGCAACAGCGCATCGCCAAGCCTGACAAGGTTCCAGCCTTGCCAGCCATTGCTAAGTGATCCATCAAGGCCCTCTGCCCCTCCCCTCCACTCCACCGACGGCACCTACATAAATATCTATTCGACAGCAGACCACGAACCATTGGCGCCGACATAACGCGCGGCAGCGGTTGCGCTTAGAGAGCAGCGCTGATATCCAGTCCTCTGTCGAAATTGCGACAGGTTCAAAGACGGAGAAATTCACGACTGAAGACCTATGCTGCCGTCGGCGCGCGTGTCGTTGTGAGGCCAGAATCTGGCAGCTTGACAGCCTGGATTGCAGCTAACTTAAACCTTGAGGGTGACTTATCCTGCGGGTCATCCGTAGACGCTTCAGGTCCGGGTTGTCCACCGACCAATGACCAGCCTGAAGTGCCAGCTCCCGAAAAGCCGCATCGCACCGTTGAGATTGGGCGCAGCTTAGAAGCAGGCTATCCCGCCCTCTGCGACGCTAAAGCGCAAAAACACAGAGCGCCTTGGTGCATACTCCCGGCCTTAGGGGTCCTTTGGTGTTGCGTGTGCGCGCCAATGACTGAACCTCAAATGAACCAACGATGGCTTCAGGGGAAGGGGGTGTTTCACGTTTCGCGCCTCCCACCAATCGACACATGTATCTCGAGTCCACCAAGACTCTAGAATTCGAGAGGCTTGCCTCGGGGAGGAAAACCCTTCGCCCGCCGCCACATAAGCTTTGACACGAAGTCAACCTCGTCTCCGTACGACTTGCCTTGCTCTCCACCATGTGATAGGACCACGAGACTTGCAGAGAACCCTGCACCAAGACACGTCGCTCCATTGCTAGCTGTACTTCCAGCCTGCGGTCGCTTGTGTATGCAGCCTTCAGGTACGCCAATCGCGATGCTTGTGCGCATCTACCACCTGCGTCGTCCAAAAGATGGCAATGCACCTCTATGCTGGTGACCAGAGGCTTGAAACATGGCCCAAGATTCCGGGGCCTATGGACATTCAGCACACAAAGCTGTGGTGGTTCCTTTGGGTAGCGTGTGCATCTCATCGCGCAAGTGCCCTTCTGTTTCCTCTTCTCCGTGTACTCTGTTTCGCAAGTCTAAGTCTGATGCACGCGTGCTGCCGTGCTACTGTGCTGCCACTATCACCACCTTTCAAGTATGGGTCAAATCAGTTTGATGCGGTAATTCAACCCGGCACCGTAGCAGAGAAAAAAATATCCTCCGATAGTATGGTACCGTAGTCGATTTGTTGCCCGCCGAGCGACGCGATCTGCAAGCCACTGAAAGCCACTGCCGAATCGCTCCCTGCTCGCTCATTGCAGATCTTTCGGCACTGAACTCCATTGGGGAATTGCAAGGAACGATTTTTACGGGGATCAAACGAGATCTGGCCGATCTTTTCATGCTCAAGCACTTGAGCTCGTACTGGTTGGCACGAACAGCCAAAAAGAAAAAAAAAAAAAAAAAAAAACCGCTGAGAAAGTAGCATAACGCTTCCGTCTGCTTTGAATCCCAGTTCACAGTAAACAGGTTGTGCTTCCGCCACCCTCATGCTACTTGGAGAGGCTCACCCGCTCCTCTCGCCAGTGTCCTCCGTCTGGCGCAATGCGGCTCTTAACGCCTTGCAAAGCCGCGGATCCTAATTCAATGCCGACTGCTCGCTTGGTCTCTCCTTGCCGCTTAACGTCCATGGGTACCTCGAGCATTGCGTGGGAGAAACGAGACTTTCAACGCAAAACGGGTTGCGCCACTCGCGGCTGGCAGTCAATCGACGTCGGATACCCATTCTGGCCTTGCTATGGTCAAGACTCTTCTTACTATGGTATTCATCCTGTTGCCCCGGCAGTGTCGGCACAGTTTGAACCAAAGAAAACCCAATGTACTGGTACAAACGACCATTGTTGATGGTGACTCTTGCTCCGCGCGATTGATTGGAGTTGTCACCCCGTCCACGCAGTTCTGGATGACATGGCAATGTGACAACACATCACTCTCGATTGTTTACCACGGTCCTAGTTTTATTAATCCCTGACCAAGCCCACACTGTTCCTCACCCAACCATAGACGATTTCTAGCGGTATGGTAATGCCTGGGCTATAGTCGCATTCTGTCTCAACGGCGAGCACGACTGAAATCAGGCTGTCGGGATGCCTTTTGACTGGCGCGAGCTTGCAGCCCTGTTTTTGGGTCGCAACAGCTGCCAAGTTTCGGTCGGTGTCTCTCGTCCAGTGGCAACACACCCCGAGGAAACCAGAGATCATCGGCGGCTCGCATGTAATATAGCCAAGGATCGCGTCGGGTAAAGTCAAGACGGCTCAGACCCTTCGTCCCTGGCAGCATAGATGAGTTGCCACGCGTGCAACCGACGGGAGAGGCCACCCGTTCTCGGTAGCCTGCATCGACGTGGCCCCAGATCTTGACTGTCCTGATTATCTGACGCTGGGCCCGACTTCTCCTCAATCACTATGGCGTCAGTCAGGCAATGACAATTAATATAGGGCTTTTGGGATCTGCCAATGTTATACTTCAAGCCGACCCGACTTTCCTCTGCTTTCTAACCCTATCACAATGACAATAGCTCACGTGCTGTCCGTTTCTAGGCACTATCCTATTTGAGGCCGTCTTTTTCTGACTTAGCATCCAGTGTCTTCTTGATTAGGTATGGCGACACAAGGCTCTACAGGGAGAGACGCATGACTGAATGTAAGGAAAGCCTATGCTGACCATCAACCGAGGACATGGTCGCTGGTAAGGTTTAAATGACACAACTATCCAAGGCATATCTTGCATGCAGGAGTTGTCCACTAGACCTAGAGTCGTCGGAAACTTGAGGTTCTGGGAGAAGAAAACGAGCGCCATATATCGAATTTGAGCTCCGCAGAAACAATAGAATTCGGTCATGTAATAAGCAGAGTGTCAGCTTCGTAAAGGAACGCTATTGGCCACGCCCAAGGAGCAAGCTGCAAAGTTCGAAATGCGAATCGGTTGCGCATGCTGAGCCATTGGAGGCGATTGATGAGAGTTACGGCTAAGAACATGGAGAAGTGGTTGCCTACAATGAAGGACAGTGGTTGTTCCTAGGTGTGATTTAGTATCATGCCAATAGTCCAACAGCAGTGCTGTATCTAGTGAACGGGTTCAAACCATGTACCTATATGTCTTCGGCGTAACGTCACCACTTGGCCATGACACAAAACCAAGCATGTCCTCCAACTGATTGTCTTCCTTCAATGGCCTGTCGATTATCTCCTAGCCTACTTTCAGTCTCTTGTAACGTATCCTTCTCTTCTAGACACACTAACCGTAATCCGGACAAAGATCGAAAGACATAGTGGGTTAATGATAGCGAAATCCCAGAACCAAGGACCCCAAAGACCAGTTCTTCATCGGTAGTGCCCTTAATCGTAGGACTGGCAAAGGCGTCTGAGAGACAGAAAAGTGCCAGCTATCCCTATGTCACAATCTGGCATGCCAAGTTCTTCTTAGGTGAACACACGAAGATGTTTAGGCAAATATAGTATCATTTGCATCTAGCTGCCTTATCGTATCACAAGTTCCCGTCACTGAACAATTTGTTTTTTGACAATGCAGAGGACAGCAGTCGACACGCGTTTCAACTGGAACTTTACAAGATTCCTCCGCAGAGTCCGCTAAGGGACTCTTCTACTTTGTGGGTTTTACTGTTATCGTAAAAGAAAATTCTTAGTATAAGGCCGTTGTTGTCGTGATAGAAACCAGGGTCGGCCTCAGGCCATGACAGAGCATAGACGCCGAAATTTGTCGTGTGAAGTCTTGTTCACGCTTCTATCGCCCGGGCTCGGTTCAGTCATACCCAGAGAAAATTGTTTGAGGCTTATTCGTCCGGCTCCGCCATAGTTACGGCATTCCGCCAGTAAGAGGATCTGTCTTTCGTGCTACCACCCACATAAACTCGGCTCCATAGTCTGGATCATCCTCCTTCAATTTCCCATCGCCTGCCTGCAATACTTCCACCTGCAATAAGTCGAATCCGACTTCCCTCAGTAGTGCTTGACTCCCCTTGATGTCGAAGCTACTCCAGAACATTCCATATCCTAAGAATTCGCCATGGATTTCTTCCTCATCGATGGTTGCGAGATTGAAAACAAAAACTCCGTTAGGCTTTAGCCAACTGTGGATCTTGGTTAACATATCCCTGAGCTTCGACCTTGGAAGGTGGAACAGTGTGTAGAAACTGATTGCTCCATGGAACCTCTCCGGCTCGAAAACGAGTTCTGTCATGTCGCCAGAAATCAGCTCACAATCGGGGAAGCGGGCTTTGGCCTTTTCAATTTGCTTCGTCGAGATGTCATTTGCGACTACGTGTGCGCCTTGTTCGAGAAGCAGTCGCAAGATAGGAACTCCAGGGCCACAACCAAGTTCTAGAATAGAAGGTGACGGTTGTAGCCCCTCAAGGAGCTTCTTGACGTATCTCTCTCGCGGTGATTCATGACTCTCGACCCACTGTAGGTACCATTCTGAGATGTGGTCGTATGCGTATTCGACGATATTTTCAGGTGTATCAAACATCTCTTTTTAGTGGATCACAGCTGTCACGGCACCAAAGCGGATTGAGACATTGCTGCAAATCCTGTATCATTGCGAAAATATAAAGCTAAGGAGGATGGTGTACTATTACTGTGTTAGGCAGAGGCTCCTTCTAGGCAGAGGCTCCTTCTAGGCAGAGGCTCCTTCTAGGCAGAGGCTCCTTCTAGGCAGAGGCTCCTTCTAGGCAGAAGCCCCTTACCAGCTATGAACAGACCAGTTACCAGGCCGATCATGCCATAATATCACGGCACGGGCCGATCTGACAATTGGTCCACTTGACCCAAATGCAGACAACACTGCGCGAACTATTGTGTCAACCGCTTGTCTAGTTCTTGACCATCGTGTTGTTAGTGTTACCAAGAATAATCTGACCTTGGTACTGGGAGGTGAGGGGAAGTACAAGTAGAGGCGGTGTGCTGCCAGACGCTGGAGCTGAAGGAGGTGCTGGGTGCACGGCACCCCCACGCCCTCGTCAGCAAGCACGAACTGGCCCTCCGCCTCCAGCATCAGCAACAGGAAGTCGGGCCTCATGTTGCGGCTCCTTCAGTAGCATTAGCACTAGCTCACCAGGTCGTCAGGAAACCAGCTCACGAGGCTGCACTTAACGAACGAAGCTAAGGAGATAAATATTGGCGCAGGTTAAGAACGTGTTCAGATTGCCTTCTCGCCGAGCATAGTAATACCATGTTTACAGGGGGCTTGTATTAGCATAAGCATTCAGGTGAGACAAGCCAATCAGGCCCTGCTGAGGCTTGTTTCGAACAAGCCCACCAGTTTCCGATCTTTCCTCCTTTGCTCAACCAAGAAATACGAATACGTTGACTGGGACATACGTGAGAAATATAGGGGCCCAACTGCCGAATATATAGCGGTTATCCTACGTTTCAAAAATGGGGTTTTGCAGATAAGGATAGGTAGGACCCGAGCGGGGGTTGCACCGCGATCATCCGTTGCTGGAACCGATATCTCCTTTGCCAGCCAATGGGACGGTTATCTTCGTGACGGGCCTTAATTTGGTTGGACCGATATGCAATGTGACTTTCCTCAGTTCCTTGGACCTGTTCATTTTTCAGGGCCTCTATTACTTGCTCATCCAACCCTTTCAGCTCCTACCTATAACATTGGGATGCTCTTCAGAATTCTTGGCGCACAGTTTGATTTCACAGTGAACTAATATAACCAACTCAATGGCTATGATTCAACCTGCAACATTGGTGTTAGATGGAGGAGACCCTCGAATCAGTAATGATCACGTCGTACCAGCGGAGAACTATTCACGCCGCAAGGTAAGTTTTGAAGAATACATGTACTACGCGGCTATCACGCGTGCAGAAGAGAAGGAAGCGAATAAACGGTTCATTGAAGCTCGAGGACGCTGGACCTTCAGGAGCATCCTCAAAGCAATATTTTCCAAGGGCGAGGGCGCTGCTATCACCGACTCACCCACCAGCGCCCAAGAAAAGGCTGAGGAGAACGCCGCTGCGCGAGGATCGATCCAAGGGCGATACCAGATCTCGGTTGCTCAAGAAAAGACCGCCAGCAGAGCAATGAGAACTGCGAGCTGGGGTGCAATCTTCTACCTCATCACGACCGATATTCTAGGTCTGTCACTGATCCATGCCATTTAAATTAGGCTAATCTTACTATTCTCAGGACCTACAAGTGCACCGTATGTACCATGGCCACCTACGACCTGCACAGATATTAATCGCATAGTTTCAGATGGGCATTTGCTCAACTAGGGTATGGCCCTGGAATAGCCCTATATACTGTGTTTGGAGTTCTGTCTTACTAGTAAGCCGCCATGTTGTTGGATTGTCGGCTGCTTGAATCCCTGCACTAATAATAAATCGAAGCTCTGGTTGGATTGTTTATCAAGTATTCCTAGGCCTTGATTCGGACAAGTATCCTGTTCGTGGATACGGAGATTTCTTCTTTCGACTCTTTGGGCCCGTCGCACGCCACTTTATCAACGTTTGCCAGTCCATACAGATGCTATTGACGGTATCTGTGCTTATTCTATCAAATGGACAGAGTATCTCACAGATCAGTCGAGGTCCAGCTGGCGACAACCTCGGTCTATGTTTTGTCGTTTGTCTTCTCATCTATATGGTGGCCGGCTTCGTACTGGGACAGATCAGAACTTTGCAGCGCCTCGGTTGGCTTGCAAACATCTCAGTCTGGCTCAATGTTGTCATGATACTCTTATGGTAAGAGGAATGTATTGACATGGCAATTTAGCCCTAGCTCACTCGTCACTAGTATGGGCACGGTTGGGTATGGACCAAACTACGCGGCGGTCAAGGCATCTTTCGGCCTAGAGCCAGGCCCTATCCGGACTTTTGCGTAAGACTCCTTGGGGAATCTCGCCACTGAGAATAAATACAAGTGATTCCACTGGGAATTGGAAGATTATTGCTGATATCTGTGGAATTGAGTCATCCGTCTTGGGAGGTTGTGGAAGACGCATCTTCGTTAAGAAAACACAAAGAGCAGAGCTGACATCCATTTGCTTCAGTGGTACTCCTCCTGATGGATTCGCCAGCGGCGGGACTGGTTTTATCGCAAGTCTGAACGGATTGAACACCGCTGTCTACGCCTGTATGGAACCCTTTTGCTGGGCTCCCGTTCCGATTTCTTGAGTTGCAAAGAGCTCAGGCATTCCTTGTCTTTGACGAAGAACTCTCCATTTACAATTTTATTTGATTTGATCTGGAATATGTATATTTCACTGATATTATGTTTACTAACTTTGAATCTTGTCAGACGGAGGTGCTATGCTATTCGCAGCTTTATTAGCTGAGATGAGGTAATTATCACTCATCCCTACTTGGTCTTTGAACAATCTGACGTTCTATGTTACAGACACCCTTTAGACTTTTGGAAAGGCCTGCTTATCGCGGAGATCTTCATATACGCAGTATACATCTTCTTTGGAGTCTTTGTCTACTCATATCAAGGCCAGTTTGCGTATAACCCTAGCGTACAAGGCTCGTCTTACTGTGGAGATTCACCGCGAATTAAATGTGCTAATCAACCACAGGGGTTGCATTGTATAGTGCCCAGACAGCGGCTAACATCTTGGCAATAATCACCGCTCTGATCGCGGCTGTACTTTACAGCAACATTGGCTTGAAAGTAGTTTACATCGAAGTGTTTCATGAGCTACTTGGGTTTCCGGACCTTACAGTCCGTAAGGGCAAGATATGGTGGGCCGTCATGATCCCCGTCTATTGGGCCATCGCCTTCATTATCGCCGCTTCAGTGCCGGCTTTCTCATGTAGGTGATCAAACCTTGATGGAGTTCCCTCCCATGCGGCACAAGATATTACTTAAATTGGCCGAATGGTCCGAGTTAAGGACAAGCCCAGCAAGGCAGTGCGACTGAAACACCCGCGATAATGACTGACATTTGAACCTAGATGTGGTCTCTCTCGTTGGGGCTTTATTCATTTTATCCTTTACCTACACTTTCCCCGCCTGGATGGCGCTTGGATACTGGATCAAAAGAGATGCCATGATAGAAGGAACGGAGCGATTTGACCCCACGACAGGAACGTATAATTACGTTGACCATGGCTTCTCGCGCTGGAAACGGGGTTTCATGAAGAGGCCTCTGCTCAATGCAGCCAACTTTGTTTACTTTCTTGGAGCTCTGGTAACTTGCGGTCTCGGCTGCTACAGCGCCATCCAAAGCTTGAGAACGGCTTTTGAAAGCGGCGCAGCAAATAGTTTGAGCTGTCTGCCACCGCTGTAGAGCTGGGAGTAAGAGTACACATGCTATCTCGGCCAGTGGAGAGTGGCATGAGGATAGCGCCGAATCGGGCTTTACTTGACATTTCAACAACCGCGGCAAAGGATCAAGCACATGGAGTCGTTTATCGGCTGTGGACATGGTGTTAGTTGAGACGCAGGTTCTTTTTCTATCCTCTCTTTTCTCGACTTGAATCTGTCAGCAAGCACTTTGGGTTGATACAATGAGTCGCGTGCTTCCTGCTGGTTAATTGGAACCATAAAACACTGGGTCAGCCTTTCTCAACATCTGCTGACTGAGGAATATATTCAACGTCAATAGTATTCTGTGTACTTCTGGCATCTAGGCGAGACTAGCAAGTCAAATCATCACATTGCGCCTTCGCTATCTGAACCATGACCAAACCTCTGCGAGTCAGGCGGACTTATTTTGCTACATCCGCAGTTGCCTCACTGTCCTGACATGTGTATTACAACACGGGCACGTACTCAGCGACAACCGTGCCACTTTATTACTCCAGATCCTCTCTGCGCAATACACGACTTTTGACACAAACATTCCCAATGCTCCCACACGCCAATGCTAAAATACAACCAAACCAGAACTTAGGAAAGTAATCACAAAACAAGACAAGTCTATTATAGCCGCACCGCTAGATTTCTGGGCCACTGCATTGCTCCAGAGGCAGCTGTTGCAATTTCTAAGGGGTCCATCAAAAACTAGGACGCTGTTCTATGCGTCCAATTTCAGAAGGATGTGTCGGCAGTGGCACGTCTGTCAGAGGTGCCATAGACCTTGGACGGGCCTCGACGACGTACTCGACACCATCGTCCGAGGCGTATGAAGGTGGTCGATTCGCGGTGCGTGGCTGGTCAGCTGGTTCCTCCTCGGGTGAAGAGGCCTGCTGCTCATTACGCTGCCAGTATATACGATTCGGGTCCACACGCTACGCCATTTGTGTCAGCGAATTGCCCTTCAGGGAGTTCCGACTTAGGGTAATACATACCACGCTTTCCCTCCAGAGTCCGTAAGCAGGAGGTTGTAGCTTGGTAGTCTCACTCTCCAACCCGGCTGCTTCCTCATCCCTGGCCAGTACAACCCGGATCGGACGCCTCGGGACGGCATAGCCCCCAGGGCCGAACATTTCTGGCAAGCGAGCTCGCTCGTCTTGCTCGGACGATTGAGGACGGACGATGAGCATGCAAAGCCTGATCAATCCGTGACAGAAGAAGATTGTTGTGAAAAGGATAATGAGGATCAAAAGAATGGTGAATTCGCTGTTGTTGATGTTTTTGGTTATGCTGAGGGCAAGGTCTGGCTTGATGATTAGCATATTGCGACAATATTTGGAATATGTGTGTGCGGTGTCCATGATACTTACAAACTGCTAGCATCAGTATCAAAAACATTCCCGAAACAAAGCACCGCAGTATCTGCGATCTGATACGCCGACTCTTGATCCATGGGAAGCAGAACATGAATCTCTTAGGCTTCTCTGCATGACGTGTGCTGCGAGAATTATTACCATGCCGCCTCCGCCTTCCGGTGTCCGCCAGGTCGGCCAGATGCATTTCTGCGGGATCTGCGCCTCTGAACTGCCTCCTACTACTGCTGGAGTTTGACCTAGGATGAATGGGCTGGGGCTCGGAAACAACAGGAAACCGCTGCGTTCGTGATCGCTGCAGCGAAGGGCGCGGCTCGGCTGCCGAAGACTCTGTCGTGGTGTCTCGAGGCGAAGCGGGACCTGATGTATCTCGCGTCCATGTACGTGAGAGGTTTGGGAGATGGAGGCGAGTTGACGGTAGAGACGGCAGGCCGAGGTGAAACCGAGGCGTTTTCGGACTCTCATCCTCGCCTTGAAGTGTAGGTCTCGATTCTGGTGTTCGTCCGGCATTTTGGCGGCCAGAGAATAGTAACGGAATCTGAGGGCGGCCCAGGATGAGGCGCCGTGTCCGACCCTGGCCTTGCTCTCCTCTGCTTTCAGTCGTGCGCTGCTGCTCTATATCCGCCTCTTGCCCATCCGACGAGTTTCCTCGCCGCAGGATATTGGCCCTGATGAAGTCCATCTCTTAAGAAATCTCCTGGGTCCGCGCGTAAGTTTCAAGCCGTCACCGGAGATTCTGATATGTCATACTCTGCTGTTATACGGTGACGGCGCATGCATGCCTTGTGGTCGAGCTGGTGGTGGGCCTAAAGCAATGATGGCACAAAGTTCTCGGACCGCTCTCTTGATAGATGGGGCCGCCGCACGTTGCTGTAACGTCTGTCTCTCACTTTTTCGCCTTCTCTCTTACTTCGGATTCGAAAATACAGCCTCCCCAAGATCCGATACTAACTCAGCGATGGTAAGGGGAGTCGGGTACTAGCAGTTATTGCCTGCAAGCCCGTGGGATGCCGGAAAGAAGGCAGTCCAAGTAAGAAGGGCGACGTAGGATATAGATGTCTATGTCAATTAGAAGATAGCGAAACCCAGTCGCTGAGGGTTGAGTCAAGGATTCGGGCTTCCAGAGCCGGAAATGGTCGTCTAAGTGGTCAAGCGAGGGTGAAGAATGATAGATGGACGAGCAATATCGTCGAAGGGCCGGGCCTGGCTGCAGTGGACTATTGGATTCCTACAACGCCATCGAGCAGAAGGGCGGATGGAACACGGGAGCGTGCAAGAGTCCGTGAGGACGGACAGGAAACGCCAAGGGAGGGCGATGACCTCAGGGCAGAAAGGTCGATGGTTGTCCCGGGTGGATCAGCGAAGGGATTGGGAGGGTATGGCAAGAGATGGGGAAAGATGGACTGGAAGGCCGATGGAAATACGCCTTGATCAACGAATGGCAAATGCTCCGCGACGAACACACAGACGGCGGACCCGAAGCTGGGGGTTCCGCTCGTGATGGCTCCTGGCGGTCTCACCTGAAGCTTAGAGTAAAGAGTGACCCTGGAAGGCCGACCGGGATCTCGCCGCTCGAAGTTGCACGTCGCGAAACACAGGCCAGGGGCCACTTCTACTGGGAAAGGAAGAACGACGAACAGGTGCTGCATACTGTAGTGCATCTTTGCTTTCTCCTCGAGCCGCCTCCAGCACGAACGGAAGCGCAGTCGCCCAGGGGTTCAGGGGTCTCTGATCGTACAAGACGACCCCGAGACAAGTGCCTGGTAGCCAATGGCTTGGATTGAGGGTGAAGCAATGCCATCTCTGACAGCTGGGTTGTGGAAATGAGACGCGACGCAGGGGGCCAAGTGTTTCGGATTGGGCGATGGGATTGGGCGCTAGCCCCCTTGTAGCTGGCCAGCCGCCCGATGGGTTTGCCCGCCGCGGAGGGGGCTAAGGTCGGTACAAGACAGCAGGACAGGTTTTATATTGAGCACGAGGTATCTCTGATCTTCGTTTAGGTGTCAAGCGAGGTCGAAATGCGATGCGCAATATGCAGGAACCTATGGGACGTCACCAGCGCGTACGAGACCGGGGGCTGCAGGTCTATTTCTGCTATAAGCATCACTGCAACGTCCGTGCTTGGAAGTTGACCTAGTCTCGAGTTCGAACCAGATCTAAGTATGTCGTGAAGATGGGCACGCGTTAAGAATGAGCTTTGGGTGGCAGATCTTTCTCTCGCCCTCTGAGGCGCTCTTCCGTCCATACGTAGCTAGGTTACGATATCCTGGAGTCACGACGTCATTTCGACGTCGAGGAATCGCCGTCTCGTGGGCGTGTTTCGCACGCTTGCCTCAGGAGCAGCAAGTGGGCAGACCTTTGCCTCACAGAACGTGCATCCGAATTGACATACGTGCCCATTTTGTCCATCCACCCTCCTAGTTCGAGCCGGGCTCTCATTAATGACTACCCAGACCCAGACCCTGACTGCTTATTAAGAGAGGCTCTTGGATTGCCAGCTGCATCCAAGCCAATCCCTTGCTGCGTCGGTTGTGTAGAATCCAACGTGGCACTGGGGTTTGCTGGGCTTCTGACCTGGTAGCACGGGCCATGAGTTCGCCATAGTCAGCCGCCGACGTCCCCAAGGTCCCTTCCCCAGAGACCCTGATTTCCAAACGTGGACAGGTTCCGCGATGATTGGCTCCTTAATTTGAATTTGATATGCCCAAGCCGAGATTCATCGCAGTTCACCTAGCAGGATCCTGCGGTCCGACGAGGCTGAGAGAACTATAGCAGTATTAGTGGCAACGCCCAAAGTGTCGAGTTGCGGTGCAGGCAACTCACTAATCGGCTCGTCGTTGGGGGCAAACTCTGCGCAATTCACCGTGCCCTTGTGGCCGGGTAGCTTGTAGAGAAGCTTGCCATTGTCGCTGGACCAGATGACGACGGTTCCATCGCCCGCGGGAGCAGCAATCTTCTTCCCAGTCTTGTCCCAGCTTGCCCGCATCAGGTTCTTCTCTAGGCCAACCTGTGCACCGTCAAAGGTGCGTATGTGTCGTTCCGTGGGAGCGAAAGGCCTGATATCCCACGTCTTGGCTGTCGAGTCATGCGAGTAAGACAGCAATGACTGCGCGTCGGGCGATACTCTGAGCCCTGTCACAGTGTCATTGTGGCCAAGCATGGAGTAGACCACAGCCTTTTTCCGCAGGTCCCAAACCTTGATGTCGTTGTCGATGCCGCCCGAGTAGATCTCGTTGCCGGC